CCACTGCCTTGCAGAATATCATCGAGAGAAGAAAAGGCTAAGGAGTAAACCTACACAAATCCAGAGAGAAGTCCCTAAGATGGTTGCATGGCACCTTGTACACCTCCTTCTGGCAACTCCTGCAGCTAAGCTGGTTTCCTTTGGACCACATCAGTGAGGCCGAGAGGGGGCACTTGTTGTCTGGGCAGCCCAGAATCTCCATATACACCGCCCAGGCTTACGCCCAACACTTAGGTGTTGCTATCGCAGTAGTTTGACTTCACCCCCAGAGGCGAACTCCATTGTCTCGAGACGTTTTGACATACACACACCCCAAATCCTGGTAACTGTATTTTGTTAGGGGTACTGGAAATTGTAAACTACAGTTCCCAATATTATTTGGGGGGAGCCATGTGCTTTAAATGTGTGCTAACTGTGCTTTAAATGTACAGTGTGAATGTGACTTGCAACCACCAGTTGTGTGTGATTCACTTACGTGTAAGTCGGTCTGACATGACTGAAAGTAATGTTTAAAGAAAACAAGAGGATACCTGGAAGGGAGTGCGGAAAGTATCCACTGCTGCTAAGCTCCCTAGAATAGAGAAAGTATAGCATCTGATTGCTTTATTAGTACTGGCAAAAGAAAATGGTTTGAGTTCATCTGCATTATGCATTGCAATGCCTTTCCAGTTCAGTTCGTGGGAATTTTCAACAGAAAAGTCTGCATCGGTTGTTCCTTCATCCAATACCAGGAATCCAAAGGTAGTGAACTAAATCCTTTATCAAACTGCATACAAGCAAATGAAATATTTCCTTCTGGTAAATGGAGTGACAGGTGATTAGCTGCTAAACTACAAAGGAAAACTTGATAGGCTCTGCACAGTGACAAGGCCTTAATAATTCCATTCTGTGTATGCAGTGTTCCTAACCCCACAAGGCATCCTGTTTGGTCAGAGGAAACAGTGCTGAGAATTTGACCCAACTGAATTTGCTACTAGATATTTCTCACTGCAGAGCCATTTAAGGCTTGAATGGATTTTCCAAGGAAACTTTTGTGAAAACGTATTTTTGCGACTCCATTTAGCACAAATATTCCTTGTGGGCTTATAAAACTGTTCCTAACATTTCCTGGCAGTAGATTTTAAATGTTCTGAAAAGAATTGTATTTCACTTTGAATGGGTTATCTGGCACTCGCAACACAAAATAAGCATTTGAATATTTATTGCAAGTATGCAGCATTTTGCAGAGAACACCCAAAGATCTCCACAATTATCTTGTTCCAGCTGTAATATATTAGCAGTAACCTCCTGAACAGACCTTTTGATAAAACAGTTTCTTTAACTTTTCCCCCCCTCCTGAACGCAATTTACTCCCTCATTCACAGCTCTTTGTAGCCATCTAATCTCTCTGTTTATGTCTCTGACACAGCCACAATACTCCATGACTGACATACCTGACAGCTCTGACTAGTGACAGAATGCTCACAATGAAACAGAACTCTATGCAGGATGAGTTTTACCTACCGCTAGTCTGGTGGAAATTGGAAATGAAGGTAAGAAAAGAAAGGGACTAGTTTAACCCCCTGCTGTTTTTTCTGCATTGGAGAGGACTATTTTATTATAATTACTTACCTAATGAACCAATTGTTTATTGAAGACACAGTGCGCTCCTTAGCATTTCAATTTGGATTTTTTAAAAAACGAGCACAATAAAGTTTGAAGACTTGTTTCAAAAGCATATTCTGAGGCACAATTTTCTCCTTTCTTTGGCTTTCCAGCCACCTTACAGTTTTTGCCAGATGGAGCTCAGGTTTACACAGGTGGCAAAGAACCTTTCCAGAACTGATTGAGGAGAGGGCCAACTTCAGGCTTAATAATTATACTTTGTTTTTGACTTGAACCTTGCGACCCACCAACCAGAGCCAGACACAGAATGATGGCACTGTGACAGCGGGGTGGGGGGATGGACTTCTGTACACTTAGAATTAAGAACCATCTTTGATGCTTGCACCAGGAATTTGTTTTTAGGAACAGAACGGATCTCTTAGTCACTGCCTACATAAATAAACACTTAATTTTCCTCCAAGCTTTCTTTGTTTCAGCAGCCTAATCTTTTTTCTTTCGTTTTTGAGGACGTGTCTTTTTTATTGATGCTACAGTGGTACCTCGGGTTAAGTACTTAATTCCTTCCGGAGATCCGTTCTTAACCTGAAACTGTTCTGAACCTGAAGCACCACTTTAGCTAATGGGGCCTCCTGCTGCCGCTGCACCGCCACTGCACGATTTCTGTTCTCATCCTGAAGCAAAGTTCTTAACCCGAGGTAATATTTCTGGGTTAGCAGAGTTTGTAACCTGAAGCGTCTGTAACCTGAAGCGTCTGTAACCCGAGGTACCACTGTACTGAAAACCACTCCAATATCTACCAGGAGATCCTGATTTATCTTCTGCCCATCCCTGGATTGGGACATCGGAAAACAGCACAGGTCTGTAACCTGAAGGAAAGCCACTACAGTGGTGCCTCGCAAGACGAAATTAATCCGTTCCGCGAGAGTCTTCGTCTAGCGGTTTTTTCGTCTTGTGAAGCAAGCCCATTGACGGATTAGCGCTATTAGCGCTATTAGTGGTTTAGCGGCTATTAAAGGCTTAAAGGCTTAGGGGATTAGCTGCTAAAAGGCTATTAAAGGCTATTAAAGGTTTAGCAGATTAGATAAAGGGGGGGAAAGCGAAAAAAAAATCTCAGGACTCGCAAGGTATTTTCGTCTTGCGAAGCAAGCCCATAGGGGAATTCGTCCTGCGAAGCAACTTCAAAACGGAAAACCCTTTCGTCTAGCGGTTTTTCCGTCTTGCGAGGCATTCGTCTTGCGGGGCACCACTGTAATAGCCATCCAGTTCCATCCGCAACAGTAATTAAAAGAGGCTCCCATCCAGATGAAAAGCAAAAAGAGCCCAGTATTCTGACCACTGTTTTAGCTGTGAATCTCTGGAACACAAACAGTACCGGTAAAACAACTCGGGTCCCTAAAAGTGTTACATATATATATTCATACCAAGACATATTCAAAATACTATGAAAGTATTTTGCAGACAATAAGCTATGTGGCACATTGTGTGTGTGTGTGTGTGTGTGTGTGTGTGTGTGTGTGTGTGTGTTTTATATAATAATGCAGATTCTGACAGTCATTTCTAACCTAACCATTTCTAGCCTTCATAAAGCACAGAATTGCTCCAGCCTTTTATGCAAGCTATGCTGAGGGGTCTTCAACTGTCTACCTCCATAACCACTTGCATGGGCTGAAAATGACTGAAGCCCCACCAACCACAAAATAGTGGTGCAGGAGTGGAACAAGTAACAAAATGGGAGTGGATGGAGGTGGAGTTTAGCAAAACAACTTGGCAATGGCTGACTTTATTCTCTCTTATCAAGTCCTTCTTTTGGCCCAGTGATTTCCTTGTCACATGTAAATTTGTGAACAGTTCCATACTGCTTCTTTATTATGAGCTGCATTGAGGTTATTGCTTTTAAGCATTTGTGTTGCATGGTTGCTACGTTGTTTATTATCCCGCACACCACTTGGTGGCCTTCTGGTGTAGGGTGGTCTATACAGTTCTTCATCTGATCTGTTCATCCCACAGCCTAAACCCAGCTGCTGTGCGCTAATGGGTGAATAAAGGAACATTTATTTAGAACGAAATGGCAGCAGCAGAGATGAAAGGAACAGAAAAAGCAGATACCTTCAACAAGTAAGGGTCAGAGACAACCAAAGGGCCCCACTAACAAAAGCCTCTGAAGGGAGCTGTGCCTGTGTGTGTTTGCAAACGCACATAATTGAACGTACTTACAAGTCTCCTCACAGTCAACATTCCTTCATAACACAGGGTTTCTGATCTCTTCCTCCTTCAGAGCTTCTTGTTCAGTGAATGAGAGTTGGAAGTGTTGTGAGCATACATGTACCCAACTCCTCTTTCCCAGTTTAGGTCCTCATGCATTTTTTTGAATGCCTTAATAGGGCCAGTGACTAAACTGTCATCATTTCCTGGTTTGCTTGTCATAGTTGCTTGGAGCAGTTTCAGCTGTATTGCCTGATAGTGGGAATAGAATGCTCAGAGAAGTGTAAATTACTGCACTTTTGACCCCCTATGCAAACACTACTAGCAAAAACTAGCTCGAGAATATGGACCTGGACCTGAGCGCTATTATAAATAAATAGCTTGCTACAAAGTGATTATTTTCTGTTGCTCTGAAAGAGGTGTTACAGCTGAAAGCATTCATGGGATCTTGAAAAACTGTTCATTTCAAGCATGCAGTTATTGGCCAAATTAACAAGAGGTTGCTTACCATTCATAGAATCATAGAGTTGGCAGGGTTATCTAGTCCAACCCTCTGAAATGCAGGAATCCTAACTAAATCATCCACGACAGATGACCATCTAACCTCTGTTTATGAGTTGTATTTCTTAGCTCAATTCCCATTAGGCTGAAGTCACAACATGTTTCCTGAACTCAGTAGGCAAACCAGAAACTATACCTCAGTAGTTTTTGAGCTCTAAGCAGCTTTAAACAATATTCATCATAACAAACCTAGTGCAAATTTATTAAAACACACCAGGATTCACTTTTGAGCTACGCAATAGAGGAAGGGATTTGCAGAAACTTGTAACTCTTTTTCTACTGGAATATAGAGCTGGATAGAAACAGGTAAGCCACAGGGAGTTTAGTGATAGCTGCTGTAAAGCGGACAAGAATTCAGTGGAAAACTTTATTTTTTTTAAAAAAAACATGTTTAAAAACACAGTGTCATTTGTAAAGTCATAATCAATACAAAAATAAGACACAGTGCTGCTTTCAACAGCCAAAGTGCAGTAGTGTAAGTTGCATGATAACATACAAAATTACTTTATTTAAAATTACAAGCACCTCCATTTCCTACAAAATAGTCTGTGTACAACAACAAAAAAGAACCTGTCATTCAATAATTTAGTTGTGAATTCATCGCGTACTGAAAACAGTAGCTCTTTAAACTACTATTCTGCCAAACCCACACCAATGAGCTGAATGGTAAGAGTGCCACTTTTGTCTGTCTCTACCATCAATAAGCCTTTGAAAGTGCCTGCTGATACTGGCTTGAACTGTACTGGTAAGTTGCAGTAGTGGTGACATCTGCAAGAGACAAGTTTACAACAGTTAGACAATTCCTTAACAGGCTGCTTCAGTTTGAGATTTCAAGAGAAAAGTACTGTAGCTCTTTACCATCTTTTTGGGAGCTCTGTAGGTCTGCAAGAGCCAGCAGAAAGTTCACTTGCTAACTGGCCAGAATACTGCAGTCAGTGGCATAATATTGTGTGTGGAGTTCAAACTGGTTTATCAATCATTATGGATTATTAACTGTTATCAGTAATTACATTTCTATCCCACTTACCTCCCAAAGGAGGCCAGGGCAACAAATAACAAAGCAGCAAAACAATACAACTAAAATAAAAAATATTTAAGTATTTACAAACTTTTTGAATATGTAAGAACATTTAAAAGTCTCTTTGTGCCTTTGATCTTTGACATCAGCATAACCAAGAAACTTAAGCCATTCTAGAAAATGTGTGTACAGGACATAACTCAGGCATTTACTTTGAGTGTCTCCAGTGCCACAACCACATGGGCTATGCAGGGGTATCAAGACAAATGTTCTAGAGCAGCCTTTCTCAACGTGTGGGTCCCCAGATGTTGTTGAACTACAACTCCCATCACCCCTAGCTAGCAAGGCCAGAGCTCAGGGATGATGGGAGTTGTAGTCCAACAACATCTGGGGACCCACAGGCTGAGAACTGCTGTTCTAGAGACAGTCAACATGGTGCTCCCCAGATGTTGTTTAATGACAACTCCCATTCACACCAGCACGGCCAATACTCATCCTCCTAATCCAGGTAAAAGTTGAAGCTTTAGAACATTTGAGTTCACTTACCTCAAAGTATAATGGGAATGTTTGATGTAAAAAGGCTCTCTGGGACATCTGAACTTCAGCTGAAATTTAACAAGAAATGGTTAAGACAATTCAGGTTACTATATTCATTAACAACTAAGCACATAGTTCCCCAGAGTTCAGCAATAAGATAAAAGATATACTGGGATGCAGGTTTAACAAAAAGGTCTGCATCCAAAACAGTTAAGCTTGCTTAAACCCACGCCCAACTTTGTTGGATTTAGACCAGAAAAGGTTTGTAGTGTTTAAGCTTTTAATATTTGTTCAACAATCAATCCACAGCACAAGTTCCAAGATTGGGATTTACATTCAATATAGTGTACAATTTTAAAATGAAAGTTAATTGGTGTTCAGCTGAAAATGAGATGAATGTTGGGAAGTGAATGACCAGAAAACAAACATTGGTAGAAAGAAATTTAGCCCGAGACCTACTATCAGGAATTAGATGCTAAGGAGTAAGAGTTATTATATAAACACATCTTGAAACAATACTATTAATTCTATATATACCTTGTTTGAAAAGGAAGAATAATTCCTCACAGTAATTTTCAGTGTACTGGATTCACCAATTCTAGTTGGAGGAAATTTATAAATGTCTTCCTGGGCATGTACCCCTTTCCTGTTTTTGAAAGAGAAATGTAAAAATACAGTCAAACAATCATGTATATTATTATATCTGTGTTAGTAATATTCTTGTATTTCTTTGAAAGCAAAGAATCAACATTTGGCACATTGTTGGAACCACAACTGGATAGTATCTTTCCTAGAGAGTCCCACCAAACCCACTTTACTGTTTAGTTTTAGGAATCCTATGAAAATGCATTTTGCAAACATTCTGTAATATTGTTGGGTGTGGGGTCTTTGATAACCCATTGTTGCTATAATTTTTTGTCTGAAGCTATTCACTGTAAAAATAAGCAAACCATCTGCTAGCCATCTAAGCCAGCTGGAGCTCCTTGGAAGAGGGTGGGATAAAAAGGAAATAAAATGGATTTCACTTCAGCATAGGAAAGAATATCACTCTCAGTTCCTCCTTTGAAGCTGAATCACCTTATGTCACATAAGCAACAATGATCAAGAGTTACTTTGTTGATGATGAAAGAGTAGACATATGGCTTATAAAAAAAAATCATTTTCACATACCACATTTTGTGTTCAGAGGTATTAGGGTAATCTCTTCTTAGGGTCACATCTCGAACGCTGACTTTTACTAAAGCAGCTGCGGAATCTTCATTTTTAAAATCTTCATTTCCTAAGACACCCTGATGCAAGAAACATCTGAAGTTATACATTAGTATTAGCTCCCTGAACTACAGTGGTACCTCAGGTTACATACGCTTCAGGTTACAGACTCCGCTAACCCAGAAATAGTGCTACAGGTTAAGAACTTTGCTTCAGGATGAGAACAGAATTGTGCTCCGGCGGCGCGGCAGCAGCAGGAGGCCCCATTAGCTAAAGTGGTGCTTCAGGTTAAGAACAGTTTCAGGTTAAGTACGGACCTCCGGAACGAATTAAGTACTTAACCCGAGGTACCACTGTACGCTGAACATTTTTCATGGATGTGAAAAATTAAATTCATTACTTTGAGAAGGATTACTTTTGTTGTCAAAAACAATTCTAGTGTTGAGGCAGATACACTACTAAGTGAAGATTTCACTTACTACATATGTCACTTGTAGGCTGACAATATTACAAAACTCTTCAGGCCATTGTACTGAGTAGGAAAAATGTACCACTGAAGAATCATGAGTGCAGAAGCAGGTTCAAAGTAGCACAGTTCAGCACTTAATATTGTTATCTTGTTGTTTTTCCTTCTCTGTCTGACTTGTAAGGGAGGACTTGCTCAAACAGAATGGAAGTAGCAGAATAAAGAACAGGAACCTGTGACCATTCGCTAACTAGGCAGAAGCAAGACTGGCTTTTAGGAGGTATTTTCTAACTCAACATCTAGCTGAATCATCTAATGCAGAGGGGGAGAAAGCTGATTTCCTCCAGATGTTACATTTCAACTATCATCAACTACTGAATGGGGATGAGGTAATCCAACAACATTTGAAGGACCACAGATTCTCCAATCCTGTTCTTGGACCTGCCCATAAAAAGCAAGTCTAGAGTGAGAGACTAGGGTGTTGTCCGCTGTTTCAGGGAACTCTTCTCATGAGACTTTTGCGGGTGAACTGAGAGTTTGTTTAGACCCTGGGTGAGAACCCAGAAGCTAAGGGGAGGGTGTGTCAGAAGGAAAATGTACATACATACATAGATAGACAGATAAAACTTTATATTAATGTAACATTTTAATATCTAACTGTTTTTGGTAATATTTGCTTAAGATGTCTGTTGTTACCTCTTTTTTGTCTACCGCTTAGATATATTTTTAATATATTAAGTGATACAGAAATTAAATAATCAATCTAATCTAATCCAGTGGCTGGAGACAAAAGCACCTAGTGCTTTGGGGCCTTTTTGCTATGTGTATGTCTCCTCAGAGATACCTTGTCTGGAAACAGGTACAAAGTATTTAGTATAAAGCTACAAAAGTTGTTTAAATCCTGTATGCTTTAAGCATTTAGATTAGACAAGATTATTATTATTATGGGAGTTCTTTTGTATGGAGGAGGCTAGACAAATGATGAGACTACACAAATGATGAAATGACAATGTTTCACATTACATCTCAACAAGGAATGAAATCTTGTTGAGTATTAATCTCTAATAAATAAAATAATGATCTCATTCATATACTCACCATTCCACAAAACTGAAGTCTGTGTTTGTCTTTCAAGTGAGATTCGTGAAGTGGGTGACACTCGAGATCCCAGAACTGAGAATAGTGTCCTCTGTCTCTAGGTAAAAAGGTGACTACAACCTATGAAGAAAGTAAGTTAGAGAATAAATTCTTTTCCAAATTTGACTGAATCGACAGCCATTTCTTTTGTGTTTGTCAGAGTTGGCGAAAGTGCTATTCCAATCTATGTAATGTCACTGACACTACCTGGACTGCTGATACAAGACCAACCCCAGGGGCCAATATTAACAAGGTGTAAGTTCCTTATCCAATTTATGTAGGTTCCCAATGATCCTGAATGATTAGTTCTACCCATGGGCCTCTAGAAGGAGGGCAGTTGCTCCCTCCAGAGGAACCATAATTCCTGGATTTCTATTACTGTCAGCTTTCATATTGAAAAATACAGTTTCTAGAATTTGTAAAGCCTGATATACTATTTTTTCCTAATTTTTGTGAGAAACTAGCCTGCACCCCTCTTTCAATATTTCACTTTGTGCCCTCTCACCCTGCCCCCTTCCACAAATCCTGAGGATGCCCATGGTTGTACCCATTTAACCATAACCCTTTTGATTATGTATGACCACTTAGGTAATAACTGGTACAGCACAACATCTGGGAAAGGGGAGGTCTTTACTAAAATTCCCAAAGAGAAGCATTCATTCCTGTTAAGGAGGGCAGAAAAAAGATACTATCCTTCAGCAGATACCAGACCATGAGCTCAGAGGAATGGTCAATAACTAGTAGATTCCTCCTTCAATTTCTGGGGAAGCTGGAAGATGAACCTTCATTAAGACAGCTCTATCAGTGTCTTAATGAAGACACTGCCTCTAGGTTCATGTGACAAGATTTTCTGAAGCACAGTGACTGTCCTCACTCAGAGAAAAGAAGTTTGTCATGCGAAATATAAGGGGAGAATCGAGGGACAATTTATCCTTCACCTTTCCATTAAAAAAATTCCAAACTAAGGATAACAATAAGATCAGATAAACACACGAGACAAAAGTTGATTAAAATGTCAGCTAGTTACAAACATCAATTAGAAATGCATATTAAAACACAGAACAGCTGAGCAAAACAATTCAGCCCAGAATGCCAATTGCCTGTTTAAATAAAAAGGCATTCGCCTGTTTATGGCAGGCCATCAACCAGTGTGGGGAGGGAAAAGGCAGACAAGCGTTCTTATTAGTGTTTTATGAATGATTTTCAAGGTACAAAGAGAGAGAATATTGAATGTTAACTTTTGCTTTGTAAATAAGCAGCTTTTTAATTTTTATTTCACTGTATTTAGTAACTGGTTCATCAGGTAAGGCCAGAAATAATGTGAGAGACACCATGTTCTTGGCATGCCAGCAATGGGGTGTGTGTGAGGGGGAGCAAAGGCAGTGGGATAGCAGCACAAAGTAAAGTAAAAATCAGATTGATCAGAGGATCAACTTTCTATTCAGCAAATTCCTTGAGATTACAGCTATAGGACCAATGCAGCCTTCAGCATCCATCTGACAACCCTTCTTGTTACTGGAGTTTGTAGTTTACCTGCTTTTGCAATCATCCTCGCAAGCAGTATGAGTCTCTAGTATGTCCTTTTTTCCTATGAAACGTGTCACTTTCTAGCTGAGGAAGTACAGTGGTGCCTCGCAAGACGAAAAACGCGCAAGACGAAAGAGTTTTCCGTTTTTTGAGTCGTTCCGCAAGACGAATTTCCCTATGGGCTTGCTTCGCAAGACGAAACGTCTTGCGAGTTCTTGCGAGTTTGTTTCCTTTTTCTTAAAGCCGCTAATAGCCGTGCTTCGCAAGACGAAAAAACCGCAAAACAAAGAGACTCACGGAACGGATTAATTTCGTCTTGCGAGGCACCACTGTAATTCACAATTGTGAGGGGAGTGTGGAAGAGATGCTCTATGCCACATGAGGATCCTGAATGATCTGATAAGCCCCCCTCCTGCCTTGTATGACTACAAATTCAAATGAACTAGGTCTACAAATTTATGTCATGTGACACTGCACATACAGCGTAGGTGAAGTCACCCCATATCTCAAAGTTAATTCTTCACAGTATACTCTAAGAAAAGCAAGTTTCTTCATGCAGAACCGAACAGTATTGTGTAATCTTGATGCTACTTTTTCAATTTCTTTAGATTTTTCAAGATGGATTATTGAGTAGAAGCCTGACTTCATTTCACAAAAATGCTGTTGTTATAGCCTAGAACTTTTGAAGCATTAACTGATTTTTTTTTTTATGGAAGACAAACAGAAGTGCAGTGTATTAAGATGAAAACACAGTCAATGTGACTTACCTTTTCTTCCCCATGAGCTTTAAGAATACCAGAAAGCAATGAACATCGAAAAGCAGTATATGTGGCCCTGTAAACCTCTCCACTGTCATCTAAGCCCTGAAAGGAAATTATTAAACAGAAACACTAGTTTTACAAAGCAGCCTTGGAACATGTGCAAGTGAAGTGGGTTTTAATTGGAAACTGGGTGGTGTTCAATTAGGTTTTTCTCAGAGTAGACCCATTTGAATTAATGATCATGACTCAGTTAGGTCCCTTAACTCAGCAGGGCTAAAACTTAGATGAATACCACCCATTAACATGGAAGTTGTTAATTTCAGTATCTAATGATTTCATAAAAATGATTTTCCAGTTTGTTCTCCAACACCTCCATTGTGAATCTACTGTTGAGATCATTCGAAATTTTAAGTGTTTACCTATGTCCAGCACTTGTCTATCTATACAATCTGATTAAAAACCAGAGTATGCACATTTGTCTATCTACTACAAGTTGAGGGTAAGCAACCAGATCAGAAAGAGATTAATTCTTTAAAAATGTTTGAATTTTCGGTGTTGCTTTTGAAACCTATTTTCCAATATTTTTCTTCCGTCAGAAGAGCTCTATTTGCGTGTTCTTGTCAGGCCAGGTCTGTTTAGATGCAAAGATTACAGAATATATAACCTGATCTTTTAAAGACAGTGTGTGTTTGTTTTTCCAGATTTTCTACTCACCTTGAAATAAGGCGGTGCAAAAGATGACAATAGCCACTTCACATTTGCATCTCCATTATTTTCAATCTCTATGTACTTTTCTGGAAGAAGAAGTGCAGGCAAGTAATGTAAGTAACAGTTATTTATCATCATCATCAAACCTTTTATTGGCATCACATACAAACATCCATAGCAAGTAACAGTTATTCTTATAAGGGCCTGTGAAGGATTTGGACCTTGTTTGCATGAACTGTGAGATAGTATATGGGAATGATTATCTTCCTTGTCTATTCATTTGGGGGTTATAGAATTAACTTGTGAAGCCTGGCACTGCCCTGGGGCTTAGCTAGGAAGAGAGAATTTCTTTACAGACAAGGAGTGTGGCAGGTCTCTTGGCTGAGAGGCTCCATGAGGTCCTATAGCCTGGAATGGAAGAAGCTGTGACTGGTAGTCAGGCTAGAGGTTTCTTAGATCAAGGGGATTTCTGTGTGACGACGCAAAGACTTTTTAACCTGGGAAAGACATGCTACTCAAGAGCAGCATTCTTCTGAGAGCCCAGTGAGTTGAGGAACTTCTTAAGTTCAGTGAAAGTGCTTATAACATTTGGTCAGGAGTGATCATATTTATAGTCTTCTATAAAAAGACCATAAAAAGGGTTTTAAAGTGCTGCAAGACTGAGATGAATTGCATGGAAAATAATGAAATTAATACAACTTCAGTTTGGAAACCTGCACACTTGCCAATTTGTTATTGGCTTAGTGTTATGTGTGAACTGTGTGAATGTGAATTTCAAGTGTGAGTCGCTGCTGTGCATGGCCAGTCATGCTTGTCTCACTGAAGTAATACATGTTTCGTTTTCACCATTAGAAAACATTTTACTCAAAAAGATACTAGTCATATGCAAGACCGACCTTACCTGAGCTTTCCCCAGACTTTGTTTCAGGAAAAAACACAGTCCGATTCTTTACTTCAAGTTTTGTTGAAGATGGCTTTTGAAGTGGCCTTATGTGCATAATAGGAAGCTCAGGCTGCTGCTGATGAACACCTACTTTGGCAACTGGTGAAACCGTTTCAGATTGCTTCTCAGAGATATTTTCCCGAATTTGGACCCTAACAAGCTATGCACAAGAAAGAAACGAAATCATAGTATTTTGCAGTTACTGGTCTCAAGTTAATCCTACAGTTATCTCCCAGACTGGCTGGCCAGTGCATATGCTCAAACCTGCCTTGCAACCAAGGACTCAAAAGCAAGGTGAAAATATTCAATGTAACAAAGAAAATGGAACACATACATCTCTTAAACTTTTAAAACAACTTCCATACAAGAGCATAAGTTGTCCAACACTTGAAGAAATGCATTTCCCAGTTTTCAACACATTTCCAAGACAACTTACAATTATTAAACAGAAATATTAGCACACACAATTTAAAAGAGCAAAAGTGACCAGAGATAAAATAAATATTTAATTGGACATGCCTTCAACAGAAACTACTAATGAATTTGAGTTAGTAAATATCGGCAAATATAGTTGGACATATACAATAAGGGAGCAGACTACTACAGTGGTGCCCCGCAAGACGAACGCCTCGCAAGACGGAAAACCCGCTAGACGAAAGGGTTTTCCGTTTTGGAGGCGCTTCACAAGCGAATTTCCTATGGGCTTGCTCGCAAGACGAAAGCCCATAGGGAAATCTCCGGGACCTCTTTTAAATGCTAGCGGTGGGGAGCAAAGCCTTCCCCCCTCCGGCCTTCAGAAGAGGTCCAGGAAGGCTGGCGGGGGCCGAAGGCTTTGCTCCCACCGCCAGCATTTTAAAAGCAGTCCGGGATAGCAGGGAAGCGCTCCCGCTATCCCGGACGGCTTTGAAGGCAGGAGAGGTCCGCTGAAGCCTGGGCGCGCTGATCTCAGCGCGCGCAGGCTTCGGCATGCCGGCAGCTCTCCGCAAGCAGCGGCAGCGCTGCCGCTGCTCGCGGAGAGGTCCGCGGGCCTGGGCGCGCTGATCTCAGCGCGCGCAGGCTCGGCATGCCGGCAACTCTCCGCAAGCAGCGGCAGCGCTGCCGCTGCTCGCGGAGAGGTCCGCGAGGCCTGGGCGCGCTGATCTCAGCGAGCGCAGGCCTCGGCATGCCGGCAACTCTCCGCAAGCAGCGGCAGCGCTGCCGCTGCTCGCGGAGAGGTCCGCGAAGCCTGGGCGCGCTGATCTCAGCGCGCGCAGGCTTCGGCATGCCGGCAACTCTCCGCAAGCAGCGGCAGTGCTGCCGCTGCTTGCGGAGAGGTCCGCAAGCCTTGGCTGGACAGCTTTTGAAGGCAGGTGGGGGGACAAGACTTTCGCCCCCGCCAGCCTTCAGAAGAGGTCCAGGACCTCTTCTGAAGGCTGGCGGGGCAAAGTCTTTGTCCCCTGCCTGCCTTCCCAGGGGCTTAAATTGCCCCGGACAGCGGAGAAGTCCTCCGCTGTCCCGGGGCAATTTCAAATGCCGCCCGCCAGCATTTTAAGATCGCCCCGGACAGCGGAGAAGCCCTCCGCTGTCCCGGGGTTTTAAAATGCTGGGGTGGGTGGGAAGAAAAGCCCTTGTCCCCCCAGCCTTCAGAAGAGGTCGGGGACAGACTGTCCCCGGACCTGGTCTGAAGTCGGTTTCCTAGGAACGCATTAATTGATTTTCAATGCATTCCTATGGGAAACCGTGCATCGCAAGACGAAAAACTCGCAAGAAGAAAAAACTTGCGGAACGAATTAATTTCGCCTTGCGAGGCACCACTGTATTATATTAAGGTATTTTGCTATTTTATGCAATTAAAAAATAAGAAATAAAAATTAAGCAACCAATCAACAAAAGAGAAAGAGATGGAACACACACTTATGCCTGCCTAATATCATGTATGGGAGGCACAAAGAGAAAACCCGCTGAGGCCAGGTGCAATCCTATAGAAGCAGGTTATTCCTCAGGTAAACTGACCCCAAGCAATTCTTCACTTACTCCCATAACTGCAAACTTCATCTAGGAAATGCAAACTACTCCCTTTAAAGCAATAGATGAAAACTTAACTGACAACATGAAATTAGTTTTCTAAAACCAAGGCATTTGGCAGAATTTTCATAACCACAGACACTTATTTAAGTCACTTACTTTTTGTCCATTATCACAATGTACATAAATAAGGCCACTCCATGGAAACATGGATTTCTTTTCTGCGAGTGATGGATTTGGACTCACATAAATTGAAATGTTGCTTCTAGAAATAAGACGTCCAGTGCATTAATTTTAATATGCTAAATGAAATCAATGTTTCATCATCAGATCTGGTTACTGTTCTTCTTGACTTTTTTGTACACAACTGATGGAATTTTAGTATTCTATTAATTTAATCTGAGGAATTGCAAACCCATGCCTATCTACAAGTCTAGCTTCATAAGGACAAGGGAAAACTCACATAGTGATGTTTCAATCACCAGTGCACCTGCCATGTACACAGAGCTAGAATTATTAGGTCTATGATACAACACTATCAGAAGCAAAATATCAAGTGGGGTGACAATATGCTTGCCAACTGTATAACTATTATTGTGATAGGTGCAATATATCAGCTTCAGATCATATGGTAGCAGAATTTTCATAGAAGACTATGAAATCTTGTGTGAGAAAGGCTCTAACTTTAAGTTATTTAAAAAACATAAAACTGAAATACACTGATAACTCAATCTGAATCATATATCTTGTATACGTACAGTATTAATTTTTTCTGTGCTAACCACAAATACTTTAGGTTATCCTTAAGAATTAAAGGTTTTTCTCAGTATAAATAAAAACAAGGCTGTTTAATCTTTTAGGAAAGAAAAGCTTGACACTATGGACATAGCCAGAAACTCTCTTCACAACTGTACAAAGATTCCTTCCCTTTCACCTTCATGCTATCTCAAGAGCTGGATGTAATCGGACTGACAGTGCAATCCCATACAATGGCACTGAGATGTAAGTCCCATTGAATTCTACAGAAACTAGTTGTGCATGAGTGGATATAGGATTGCAACCTTAGTTACGGCAAAGGACAGTTTTCAAATTAATGGAATCATGTGGAAAAGTAATGAACAATGGAAGTACTTACCCTGGTTCAATAGTTCCATGCTGAGGTGTTACTGTCAGACAGTGAGCAGGCCACGATAGCTCAAATGTCAATGACCTGTTTGAGTTGTTACTTATTTGTGCATGTTTAGTAATCGCAGCTCCACCTTTTGAGATAAGAATTGCATGAATTCTCAGTTATCTTATAATACATTTAAGTGCTATTTACAAAGCATTAACAACCGTATCAATTATGCAAATGTTACTTCCAAACTTACATGTGCAGTAATGAATCAAAGGCTTTTACATAATACAGCTATAGGAAAAAAGCATGTATTACTTTATTGATATCTAAATAGTGGGTTGTGAGTTACTTTGGAAAGTGGAAACTTTACAACCACTGACTAGGCTGCCAGCAACTGATTTGTTACCAACATTGAAACAAGGATCTTTTACTTCCTTGTAACAAATTAGAACTACAGTCATACCTTGGTTCTTGAACGGAATTGGTTCCAGAATTCGGATCAACTTCCAAAAACATTCAAAAACCAAGACGCAGCTTCTGATTGGCTGCAGGAGCTTCCTGCACTCAATCGGAAGCTGTGTTGGACATACGGCTTCCAAAAAACGTTCACAAACCGGAACACTCACTTCCGGGTTTGTGGCATTCAGGAACCAAAACGTTCAAGTCACAAGGTGTTCCAGAACCAAGGTATGACTGTAACAAGGAGATCTGTAAAACACAGAAAATCCTACTGAAAGTTTCTAGGTAAGCTTTTGAAGTCATCTCTACTACAGAAATAAATTCTCTTAATTCCAGAATTTATGCATCATGATCAATTTATCAACAGAGTTCTATATACATGGAGAAATATTCCGAATCCCAAACAAATTCAGTTTATTATTGTGTCTCACAGTAATACTATCTATCACATAACAATCCTAAGCAATTTATAGGTTACAAATATCATGGTGAATATTTTTAACAGATCTTGAAACGTGTGGAAATAACATACTTTGAGAAGGAGCAGTGAGAATTAGAAATTCAGGCAGAAGAGTCCAGTTTTCCTTGGAAACAAGCTTATTTTCATCAATGCTATCAGCATTTGATGACAATGCACAACCATGAGGTCCTTTAACAGGTAGTACATCCAAAGTCATATTGGATTTCTCAGGAACACCAGGTCTATGAAACAGAGAAAGAGCAGTTCAACACCAAATACTAGGAAACGAGACAAGAGAAGCAAATATCAGAGTATAAAACTTGCCTTCTAAAAGAAAATAAAAAACCCTTGCCTTACTTAGACTTAGCCAGAGTTTCAGACAGATAAAAACTGATAAAAAGCAATTAAAAGTTAGCAGATGAATTTAGTATTCTGAAAATGGTTTTCAGTCCCAACATAACCTTTCCCCTATGTATTACTCCACAGGAATCATATCAACACCCACAACCACCAAGAAAGATTATATACAGACCCCAGTCACTGAAGTAGTCCAGTCAGGTAACTACACATTATGACCTAATTTCAGAGTCTTTTAATTCTTTTTTTTGTTGGAATATTCAAAGTTTACCAAGGTAGAGGAACTGCTTACCAGTATTTCAGAAAATACTAAAAAATTACAAATAAAATTACCTCTCTAGTGCTACACGATGCACTGAAGATGGCTTGATATCGAAAGCAGAACTACTGAAGGCATTAACCGCCGAAACAATAATCCTTCTCATGTTCATGAAAAAGTACTGGATATCAAACGAATGTTGCGGAAGATCATATACTAGAGAAGACATTTAAAAATCAAAAGCAAAGCTGGATTAATGAAACAAACTGCAGTATTTACTGAAGATTGGTGACTAATGACAGACTTATCAACTGGGTTATTACCGTCTTTACAGACAGTAATTGCATTCCTGGACCTTTTCAAATTCTTTAGAAGTTAAGAGAGAAAATGGACATAGTCCATCACCAGCCTCCCAGCAGATACACAAGAATACACAAATTCCCACTGATTTCAAATGGAACTTCCAAATATGTACATTTGGGATAAAAGCTAATGTTGTAAAGGTGACATGAATGATGCAAGCTTCAGAAACGTATTAAAAAGTTATAGCTAGAATTAGAGCAAGATCAAGCAACTACTGCTGCCAAAGGCAGATGAAAAGGGAATCCTAAATAGCATTGGAGGAATGACAATAGGAGATGGGAGAGAGAAAAGAATTTGCTATGGAGAGGACAGAGATGGCTGCAAGGTTGATTTCTCAACCAGTATTGGACAGTGAGATGGGCTGCTCACTTGACTTCCAGCAGGTCGCATAGGTGTTGCTTCCTGGGAGGGTAAGGAGGCTGTGAGGTCTGGGGACATAAACAGCAGCAACGTGATGGACTAGAGGTCAGGTGAGAAGCACTGCGCCACCACAATATCCCCTACTATCAACCATGTTAAAAACAACCCAGCTGCACTAGCACCTGCATTATGATAACCAGAGTGCAAGAATATAATCATATGAATAAAGGAAAGTGGTAAAGGTAAAGAGACCCCTGACCATTAGGTCCAGTTGCAGATGACTCTGGGGTTGTGGGGCTCATCTTGCTTTATTGGCCAAGGGAGTCGGTGTACAGCTTCCAGGTCATGTGGCCAGCATGACTAAGCCGCTTCTGGCAAACCAGAGCAGTGCACGGAAACGCCATTTACCTTCCCGCCGGAGCGGTACCTATTTATCTACTTGCACTTTGACGTGCTTTCGAACTGCTAGATTGGGAGGAGCAGGGACCGAGGAACGGGAGCTCACCCTGTCACAGGGATTCAAACCGCCGACCTTCTGATCAGCAGGGAAAGTGGTAGTGAAAGCTAAATTTGAAATACATCTAAAGAATGGCGAGAAATCAAATATACAAACAAGTAGATATTCTCAGGGTGGTCAAGCTTACCTTCAGTCACCAGCTCTTCCCCAGGGAATTCTTCATCAAACTTTACATTTATCACAGGATTATTAGCAGGAAGCATTTTTTGCACTTGCTCTGGATTTTGCTGTACAGCTCTGAGTAGACAATTGAGAGTTTTCAGGTCTCATTAACGTTATGAAGAAGCATTTAACAAAGACACTAAAATACTCTGTAAAGCAGTCAATCCAATTACCCCACTTTAAAAGCATTTATGCACTACAGTGTGCTTAGGGACTACATCTGATCAGCTTCTTATTCCCAATGAGAAACATAACAAACATAACTCAATCATCCTTCCACAAATGTGTCCAAAAGTTTCCTTCCAGCAATCATCTGCCCCAGATGTCCAGTATGCTGGTTAAAGAACCACACAGAGTTAGAACTCTGGAAGTATAATCTTGCCTTCCACTGGTCTGTGGAGAGTCCAACTACTACTGATTTGTCTGCACATAACAGAGGACAAAGGGGAGCGGAGAAGCAGCACTGACAATGACCACATATAGTGGCCTGCTACTAACAACAGAGAAAGTTTATGGGCCCACAAACATTGTGCCCAAGCAAGCTCAAATTAGGCCAGATAATAGGAACTACTTTGGTTATGTTGCAGGGAAGAGGGAAACACCTACATATGTCTGTTTCCTAGATGTACTGCTCTTACATGTTCATTGTGGGATTGTTGGAAGTTACCAACTTGTTACGAAGCATTTGACTACCATGCACAAGGGGAGAGGGAGCAGGACTAAAAACAAAGACATTCTAAGACCCTCAAGTGCTAACCTGCCATAGCCAGAAAATGAAGCAAATCTGAGTGCTGAACACAGCTGCATACTCCAGTCTTTTCCAAACCTTTTGCAAACGTATTTTACAATAAGGGATTTTATAATCCAAAAAAGTGAACTTGTTCCTGTTCTTGATACCAGTGACTGTTGATCTTTGAACACAGACAGAGTTGGCTATGTTATTTAATAACCACTAATACAGAGCTTTCCAAACTTTTCATGTTGGTGACACCTATTTTAGACATGCATCCTTTCACGACACAGTAATTCAGTTTTACTAGCAACTGGAGGTTAAACTAACCCCTTTCTAGCCCCGGGAGCAGTGTGGGGAGCATTTGCGTGACACAGCCGACACACCAATGTTTCACGACACACAGTTTGAAAAGCTCTGTAGTAATATTTAACAGCCAATATAAAAAAAAACTTTTATTCTTTAAATATCCATTCTAACCATCTGCTTCTTATTTCTTAAGAACAGATAGTAATGAATATACTTGTTATTTCTCAAAAAACATTTAGCCTTACCTGCGATACTGCTGTCTCAAAATTTCATCTCCATAGACAAAACAAATTGTAGACAACACTGGTGAATTACTTTGATCTTCAGTTGAATTAAATGTTACTGTAACTTTCTGAGAGGAAACAGTCAAATTTTGGTAAATTAATTTGTGGCACAATGTTTGAATTATATGTAAGATTCACAAACACAAAGCAAGATTTTATGGCACATATTTGGGTGGGTGGGGGGAATGTTAACAGCTTACACATTTTATAGGCCTTGCGTAATATATATATTGTGGCTTTCACATTACCTGCTGTGAACTTTCCTGAAGAACAAACTTTTCTGGAGAAACTCTCATCACATTTGGATCCATAACAATTATTTCACTCGAGTTCTTAAAGCACAGTGCTTTCACGTACGCAGCCCGACTCCCTGTATTTTGTACAGAAAAAGAAGCCTGTCTTGTTTTACCATTCAGCCCCGCTATATCAGTCAGCCCCACTATGTATCTATTACAGTGTTTTTTAACATCTTCTAATCTCAGATTGCTATTTCCTCCATATCCATACAATGGTATCTGAAAGAAAGAAAAACGTACATTTACAAAAATCAGAATTGAAATAACCTTGCTCCCAGTTTCATTATCCCCAACTTTAATATTCAAAACAATCAAAGAATTCTAAAATTCTTTAAAATATTCATATGTAGCACACCCTAAAGACCAAATGATGGAAAAGCAGGGTAAAAGTAGCTTAAGTAAGCAAAATAATGACTGGTTTCTGATATGTACGAGTAACAGGATCTTTACAGGCAGGCAGATGCAAGTTGAAGGAAGTTGGCTGTGTTGGGAACAGCTATTTCATGGTGCCCTGAAATGGTTCTTCACAAAGGCGTCCCTCACCTTCACCACTGAGAAAAGTGAGGAAAGCAAGCTTCTTTGGGAGCTACTGGAATGACTGACTTAAGACACTGAAAGGCCCAGAACATGAAGAAAAAGATATCCAAAGTGCAAGGCAAGGGAGTTACTGAGATGTGGAGAGACTCTCTACCACTCTTAATATCAAGAAAACTACTGGAGTAAAATAATAAAATCCAAGGAGGTTATAGTGGTCAGTTTCTTGTCTGGCTTACTGTCAGAAAGTGTGAAGATACTTCAAAACATCCTGAAGGACTTACTGCAAAAATGAACATAATAACATCCCATGAAATAGGATCAGTGTAAAAAGTAACTTACAGTGAACTTGATTCCTAGCTGAGATAGAAGACCAAGCTGTTTCATTTCAAGCTTTGCATACATACAGGTTAATCGAGTTGGTGTAAACATTAGACAGACAGAATAATCATGTTTTGGTCGGATCTTGATTTCACAATTATTGTACACATGTTCTCCAAGTTTCAACTGCAAATATACAAGAAAATCCACACAGCAAATTACTTTAATTCAGAAAATTAATTTAGAAGAGTTAAGATTTTAATGAACAGTTTAAACCCAAATAATTTGCTCCCATAATTCTATGACCTCTGAGGTATGCCACTCTATGGAAATGCTGACATAGTAAGAATAAGTGTTTTTTATTCATTACAATTTTGCAATGTTTTCCATGCACAGAGATAAATCTCAGTACAGGAAAAATGTGTAAATGGCTGAACTGATGGCTCCATTCAAATTGGCACCCTCTCTAACTTTCTTTGCACTTCTCTCCCTTTGGGATTCCCCCACCCACCCACATGAAATTAGGATGATCACCTCATCCTGTTCTCCATCCCTAGTTATAAGAATCTTAAGTTTGGTCATTTTTTTCAAATTTGTGGTTTTAAAAGCCACTGAATATTTTCCACTATAACATTGCTCTGTGAAATGCAGAGTATATTAAAGAAAAATTCAAGATTCTTAAGTCTGATACAACAAAACTAGCAGCAAGCACTGCTGTAAGAGGGACACTGGCATAACAAAACCAACATTTCAGAAATTTAAAATTTGAAATCATGTCCACTGTACTCTCCTGTATGTGCTGATAAAGTCCAACTGAATTTGATGAGATTTACTCTGAGGTAACTGTGTACAGGATGGCAGACTAAGAATATAACATTTGAAGGCTTATTTCAGTGAGAAGATTAAAATAAAACCTAGCTTCAGTTTCAAATACCAAGTATATTTGAATCTGAACTTATATAAACAGTTTCAATTTTGCATTACTTACTTGAAAACAGTCCTGATCTTGACCCCTTATCAGCAATCTTAACTGCTGAGTAATAGATGGAGAGTTATTTCTCAGGATTAGCTTCTGCTGGCTGAAAAAATATAGAAATTTTAACATTTCACAGTAATTTGCTTATATATATGAACAGTTGCCCTGATAATCCACCAAGAATTACAGCATGGTAAATCCAAGGTGATCTAGTGAAGAGCTAGTTGGTCTAGCTGTACACCTGTGATTTTACTGAGTTATAATAGTGTTATTTTCCATAATAAGACATATTTAGAACCTTATCAACAGTCTAAAGTTTTGGCTATTTATGCACAGCATGTGCTTGCTTCTAAATGTACAGCAAAGGGTACAACGCTGAGAAGGCAGGCATATCCAACAGTAAATTTTGTGTGCCATTAAGGGGTCGCTTTTTTCTTTCTTTTAAAAAGAGTTGCCAGCTGCCAGGTATTTTATCTATTTACAGGGGTACTGCACTGGATCCAGGAATGTACTGGATGAAGACCAATATACTGAAGCTCAGTAAGGACAAGACAGTGACACTGTAGTCTCTCACACATCCCTAAATGCTGCTTCTGATGGTCATTTGGAATAGTAAGGGATATCAGCAAACCTGTCTGACTGTGGACATGGCAAAGACAGTTCTGCTTATGCAGGAACTCCCTGGATCCGAGCATCACCATGTTTGAACAATGCATTGCCGGCAACCCTGATTTGAATGGGGGTTGCATTCTAGGTCATCGAGTATGTTGGCAGAGCGTGCATAGGCCCACCCCAATCTCTTCTGGGTCTGAAAATGGTGCATGCTTTCAATGCACACAAAATGGGAGTTGCCTGTTTTTTATACTCCTGAATGAAAAATTGATTCACGCTTTATGTACCAGCAGCAATCAAGCACTGCATATCTTTTTTTCTTGGTACTTACACTGTTCTGCCAAGCTGTATACCTCCCCATGTCAGAAACTGCTTGTTAGCTAGGATGGGGGGAACTTCTGAACTGGGGTATTTCTGTACCAAAGGTTTGCTCTCCACCGCAGTCACTTTGCCTTTTACAGTCACTTTATATTCTGGCCCAGATGGCAGTACCAAGATTTTTAAAACACTATTAAAATAAAGCATCAAGTTAGAAGTTCTGTAAAAAGAATTTCTACTTAATATCATTGGGCCAATTAGGATGCATTACCTTTCAGCATTTCTATAGTCCTTTGGAGAAAACACAACTGTCACTTCTTGTTCTTCCCCAGGTATAAGAACCAGGTCCTCTGGATTGACAGAAATGCCGCTATCTGGCTCAAGTGCCTGGAAATGAATAGTGTTACTTCAAGGCGTCATCCTTTGATCCTCAGGTGACAATGGTAGCCAGGAACACTCTTCGTCTCCACTGGCTGCTACACAAGATATGATATTTCCTAGAGAAGCTGAATTTTGCTCCATACAACAATGCCCTAGTTGTATCCAAATTACAACACATAAGCTACCCTTCACGGAGCTGCCTTTAAAATTTAGAAGCTCCAAGTGGTGCAAAAGTGAATTACAGTGTTGTAACCAGAGTCCTTAGTTAGATCAAATTATATGGCAATTATTCTGTTCTGATCAGTTATAGTTTCTGAGCTAAATTCAAATGCTGACTCTAAACCACTTCATGGATATCAGTTAAAATACATGCATAGTTGCCATGATTTGCAGGAGGCAGTGGAAGACAGGAGTGCCTGGCGTGCAATGGTCCATGGGGTCACAAAGAGTTGGACACGACTAAACAACTAAACAACAACCATCTCACAGGGAAGATCTTAGCAGGAATGCTGAGATTCTCACCAGGATGTGCCGAGGGTTATGTAGCATCCACATAGTGCAAGAGCTTCGTAGTGGCCAACCATGTGGCTTTAGAAATAAAATCACATTACTAACCCAGCCCCCTACACACATAAGTAGATGATGCTATGCCAGAACTACTTGAGCAGCTGTCTTCCTTCTGCCCAGCATAGCAGCAACATGGAAACGGTGGCTATTATTTCTCTTGTCTCAGAAGCAGGCACCAGGCGATTAGGCCCTGTACTCCACTTTCCACTGTGGGTGAGTCCAGTTGACTAAGTCCAGCTGACAAAACCAAGATGGGAACAATGACCCCCTCTGAAATTGTTGGTAAGACTGCAATATCAATTTGCGCTTTAAAATTTTTGCCAGGAAAGCGTGAATTGGACTCTCTTTCTATTATGTACTGATTAAGTTAGACTGATTTGGTTGACAGTAATTTCAGAACTATTTCTTGGAATAGTAAGGTAACCTACCAGGATTTTCAAGTCAACTTTAATATTCCCGGCGTTCTTTAATGGCAACTGCTGCCTTGTTGATAATCCCATTCTCGCAGACATATATAAAGTCTAGAAAAAATAGGTTTCAAGTGGTAGTTAGAATTGAAATATTGAAAGAAATAAGCTGTATCACAAAAGATGGTTTGGGGAAATGTACCTGTAGGCCTTTTGGAGCATATATCCTAGGAGTTCCAGATCTTGCATGCAGAGGTATACTTAAAATTTTAGCAGGCTCTGGACAATCAACCTCCACATCAATTCTTGCAAAATACTCATCTGCAGGGCCCAAAGAATCTGAATAAAGCAAGTGCAAAGAATAAGATTGATCAAGTGTAAAATGTTATGATTTGTTCTAGAATGAGTTTTGACACCAAGTACAGTATTATCAACATTTAACCACCCAACTGTGATGTCAAATTAGAACGTGTCTGGTGCTATGGTAGTATTTTACATCAATATTGGTCTGTTTAAGCAAGGCTCTCCATTTCAAAATGTTTTAGTGCTACAACTGGCCTTCAAAGCAGCAAATGAATGGAAACAGCAATAATGAAGTACATCCTAAAAGGTATGTTGAAGCAGGGCTTCTGCATACCTCAAAGGTGTTTCAGCATGCAGAGTACATCGTACAACTGGTTGAAGTGATACATTTTTGGCTTCCAGCCTCAACAAAAGATAGTGACTCAAGGTAAAATGGACCAGCCTTTCTACAAAGCTTAATGCATGCTTGACATGCCTCACATTAAAAGGCATGCATTACAATGAATGCAAGGGACAGCACAGCTTATGGCACATGCTTATATACATTTCATAAGGGCTTGCCCATTACTGCCTGGCCCAGAACCTCCATGAAACTTGAAATCCTAGCACATTGCCTTCTTTAACCTAGATATGACGCGAGTCAGCACTTGCAGACCTAAGTATGCAAATCTGCAAACAGAGATTTGGTATGTTAACGTTTATGCACAGGTTCAAACATTTTAATGCTTCTTGAATATCTAATGTGAGAGCTATTCATCACATGGCATGATATCACATATCACAGACCTTAATTTGCTAAGCAGGTGTAACTCTGTTACTAAAAGCAAACTTTCAGCTAAGCATTTAATGATAAATACTATTTTGGCTCTTTTCTGCCTGGGTCTCCAAACACATGAGCCTTATTCACATGATACTTTGTTCATTTAAATCTAGAAAAAATCAAACTGTGAAGAGGATTGAAAGTTCTGAGTAGCAAAAGCTCTGCATACTAGATTTTGAATATAGGTTGGAATCATGAATATTATTTCAAGCAGAATTCGCGTCTGCCGGACTAACACAGATTCCTAATACAGTGGTACCTTGGTTGTCAAACGGCTTGGCTGCCGAACGCTGCAAACCCAGAAGTAAGTGTTCCAGTTTGTGAACGTGTTTTGGAAGCCGAACTTCCGACGCAGCTTCTGCGGCATCCGATTGAGTGCAGGAATCTCCTGCAGCCAATTGGAAGCCGCGCCTTGGTTTTCGAATGATTCCAGGAGTCCAATGGACTCCGGAACAGATTATGCTTGACAACCAAGGTACCACTGTACATCAGCTTCATAAGATAGCAGATCTATACCTGAAGTGATGCATTTGCTCGGTGCATGGAACTGAACCCACACTACTAGAACATCAGGATCCTGGAAAGAAAGACATTTGTGTAGAATGAAACATTTTTAACTTTAAGAACTGATTATGGTTGAAACATTGATCAGCTACAATCTTCACACAGAATTATATTTTTAAAGACCATGGCTTTAAGTCTTTACTACCCTAAACTACAGATACAGTAGGAAGAGAGAAGGGCTCTTCTGTGGTGTGAATGGTTCTGTGCTCACCGGAACACAACTGATTATGACTGGCAAAGAAAAGTGCACCACCAATTTAAGTGAAAGACAGATGTCCCCAATACTAGGGCTGCCATATGTCCAGATTTTCCCAGAAACTACTGGGATTTCAAAGGCAGAATTGACATACGGGGGAATTTTTGAAAGGTGGTGCTTTGTCCTGGATCTTCGGCAATTACTTCCCAAATAAAAACTCTGATACTAAAAGCAAAGCTTCAGCTAAACATTTAAGGATAAATACTGTTTTGGTTAATTCAAATATATTCCTTTGGTTTATAGTGACTTACTTGCCCATCACTTCTTGCATTCATTACATGGGATATCACCGACGGAGCTGCTCGCTGGGAAATGTCACAAGTAGGGAGCAAACTAACAGAAGTGTTAACTGGTTCCTTAGAAAATGTGAAACACCGCCATGCTACAGCATTCTGTAATAAAGATGTTTTTTACATTTTAAAAGCAGAACATGACTGCCATCCCCTAAATTATCTAGCATTTCAGGTTATTGACTGTTGTCAGGATATGCTAAATAGAGCCCTGCTGTTTTGCCAACTGAATAAAATTTTCAAGCAAGAGGTGGTACCACACGGGTTCTGGGAGAGCACTCCAAGCATATGGGGCGCTGAGCAGAATAGATGCCTTTTAGAAGCCAGATTAAATAAACCTTTGACTGAAAGAAGGGCTGTAGCTCAGTAACAGAGAACGTGTTTTGCATGCAAAAACGTCTAATTTCAGTCTCCCGAAATCTCAAGGTAACCCCAAATTGTTGCCGCCACTATAGGCAATACTAAATGGATCCTATGGACTTGATATATGGATGCTTCCAGTATTCCAAGTTGAGCAAGCAAGAGATCTTTGAAACAGCTAAAGAACATGTCACAAACGCATTGAGCTATAAGGAGTGGATAATTAGAGGGGATGCAGCTGTGTAAGGCAGCAATGAGGAGTTTGTGCTGCATCCAGGAGTTGATAGGATCCCAATGTAAGAGTTTAGGGATGCTATGCAGTCTAAGGGGCCATCAATTATTTTGTTAGCCAAGTTCTGGAAAGCTGGGGGTTGGGGGGAACTGCAAGCCAGAAAAAGAAAAGGCTGCAGTAATGGTGGGTGGCAACTGGAGTTTACATTAAGGGGCAGAAAATAAGTGTGCTGTATTTAGCAAAGTTAGACAAGGAGTAGCAACATGACATGGAGATGAAGAGTAGAAAGAGGAATCCAAGAAAGTCAAGACTTTCCTTGGTCAAGAAGGTAAATAACTATGTTACATTATGTACATACACTTAGAAAGCCAGAAGGAAGGGAGGATGAATATAGGATGGAACAAAAAATAGATAATTGAGGGTGCTGATCTGGGAGAAGTATTGGAAAAGCTTTCCTTGCCAGAAACATCAAATGAGTGATTGGACAGTTAGGAAGAAAGTGACCTGGTCAACGGTTTCACAGGCAGAAGAGACAAGGGCAGAAGTGGATAGTTCAACCTCTTTAATGAAACATTTGCAGGTTGAAGTAGACCTCCAGAAATAGAGCAAGGATTTACTTTACTAAATCAATGGAAGTCAAAACTACAGTGCAGTCAGCCTCACAACTGTATTGCCATGCAATAAGGTTCATCAGTTGCAATCCCTCTGCTTCAGCTTCTTAGAACATCTGCTTCTGACAGCTGTTGTGGGAATAGCATAATGAAATCCTGCTACACAACCAACATTCCCATTGTAGAGAAACATGTCAGGATGCAAAGAAAATATCTCAGGTGATATCAACACACTGCAACAAGGGTAATCCATTACCATTGGCTCTCTGCTTATCTGGGAGTGAAACCAAGCTGCTGGTTACCAATGTAGCAGTCACTTACAAGTTGTTGCTTCTCAAGAGATCACTATACAAGTTGCTATACTGGGAGGGGGTTGATGGTTTGTGCATTTTTTTGTTCTTGTTTTTGTGAAGTATTTTGTGTTGCAAACTATGGATAAAAGCTTGTATATAAGTTTAAATGAATGAATACTTACTGCATAAATAACAAGTCTGACTGGCACTCTAGCACATGTCTTGTTTGTTAGTTTCAGTGGAAGAGCTTTCCAGCTGCCAGATGGCATATCACCAAAGTCAAGATGGTTTGTCGTTCCTGCTTCCACCTAATATTAGAAAAAGGGGGAGGGAAATAATACATTTAAGAATTGAGGCACACAAAGTCATATTTATTTGTATGAAGAAGCAAACAGGTGTCACTAAAAGATAACTAGACAAGAGATTCTAGCTGTGCCCCCTCCTGGAGAAGCATTCTGACCACCACCTCTTACTGTTACTATTACAGATTAGCCAAAACGAAGAAACAAAAAAGTTTCACCAACATCTGAAGTTATTAAAAATTACTCATTGTGTACATCAGGATGAGGAAAACTTGGACCTAAGTGCCAAATGTGGCCCCCACCTCTCTCTGTCTGGCACTCAGGACTCTCCCCAAGTCACACCACCTCTTTGGCCCAACTTTATACCCTTCTTAAATATTTTTTCCCTGGCTGGAATGTACTCTTGAATTCTGATAATGCCTCTTGCTTGCCAGGATGGAGAATATAAAGGAGTGTGTGACTGTGGACAGAAACGTACCTACTGTACAGAGGTCCATCCATACTTCGGCCTCTGGAAGACTGCAGCCCTCAGGATGAACATGTACATCCTATATACATTGATAATTAACAAATTTTGGTAGATTTGGAGAGACCATTTATCGTATAGTAAAACTAGTGAAAGTCTGACTATTTTTTATAGTGTGGTGAAATAATTAAGTTTCAAGACTCAGTATTGTCATTTGGAATTCAGGAAACAATTTGTGGAATGATACAGCTGATAACATACCCCTTCCCTAACTATGTATTTATCAGAACTATGCATTATGCACTCTCATGGATTTTTACCTCAATATCGGGAATCTCAGCAACTGCATTCACAATCACTCTAGCTGCTAAGGCCTGTGCCTGGACTATTGTATCTGCATCTGCAGTAAATGGCCAAGAGGCAATGCTAAGCACACACTGAAAGACTCCTGCTTGACAGGGTAGAAACAGCATTTTTAGATCTTCCGTAGTACGAGGTCCTATGACAGTTTTGTTTTTAAACAGGAAGCACCTGTGCTTCAGAGGGTCCATCTGCAAAAAAAGAAGCACACACACAATCAGAGGTTCAGGACAAAGCCAGCAATTCTCAATAGAGAGGTATAAAATAGATGCAAAAAATTAGGATGGCATTTAAAGGTTCTGCGTTGACGATATCCAAATCCTTTCTACTGCTGTGCCCCCCTTCCCCATGGTACATTGGTGAATACTTTTGAAATGGAACGTAGGTATGAAAGTTTCATCACAATGACTTTTGTGTTTGAAAAACAGGGATTGCTATCAATAGGAGGAAGAGTGTTGAAGTCCATCATAGTTTATGGTTGAATGATATGAAAAAGTACAGAGCTTTAACCAAATTTCAAGTTAACAATTTTCTAGCCCTTTTTTTGGGGGGGGGGCTGGCAAGCAGGCAGCCATCTCTAGTTTAAAACATGGTTTACTTCACTAGAGAAAAAAAGTAAAATATTAAAAGATGCACAATACATATCAAGATTTGGTACATACCTTTTCACCATCAAGCATAATACTAAGAAGGCCGATGCTGACCTGGAGCCACCGTTCAGATGGGTTAAGAATACTAAGGACTGTGTGTGATGTCAGCCCCACACAACAAGCATTAGGGAACGTTACTTCTTCTGGGACTTTTACACGTTCTAGGAAAGAGAAAATAACCAATAAATTGTTTCAGCTGCAAATTTTGGACAACATAAAACAGGGCTAAAATGTATTTTATCCAACTGTTGGATAAAATGGATTTTATGCAACAGCCTGCAGGCAGAGTTCTGCTCATGCAACAGGATTTCTCCCTTCAAATCTGCTCTGAAGGATTTATCAACTTCTTGGAGCAGACAAAGGGAGCAGGATAAAAAATTGTTCACTGGCTGCTTTACATATAATGAACAAATAAAGATAGTAAATGATGCTCATTTAAAAATTAAATATATAAAAGAATGACCAGGAGTCCAAGTAAATGTCTTCCTGACCACAAAGGAATTAGATAAGGTTGCTGGAAGAGAAACAAATAACTTACCAAGTCCAAATGGCACAGATTCCTCCAGCTGTCTAGGTCCACCAGCATCAGCTACTTGTACTGTATGTGGAATGCTACTAAAGACATTCTGGCTGGATATGAAGTTGCACTGTGGAGCTGCACCCAACATTCCAGATCCAACTTCTGAACCTGGTGTCATTCCCGCAGTGAGTGAGCTTGGAACATGACCCACGGGGATGGTAGAATAAATCAGTCCTGGTGGAACACCAAAAACTGGAGGACATCCAACTTGATACTGAGGCAGAGCCATATTTGTTTGAGATGGCAAGCTTCTCAGATATTGTTGGGCAAATGGTGTTGTTCTAAGGGAACACCCTGTTAGCAGTGTTGGAACTTGAGAAGATATGGCTGGAATTTCTGAAGCAGGAACATGTGATTTAAAGTTTGCTCTATTTTGACTTAATGAAATACAGTCACCTAAACCGTCATGAGCAGGCACATCTTTTTGAGAGTCTAAGCCTGGTCCATGTGCTGCGGTTGTATACCCATGCTCTGTTACTGGTACTTCAACATTTCCCAGTTCATTACTATTTGAACATTTCTGTGCAGACTGATCTTTGCTCTTTGATGGTTGCTCTCCAGTTGATTTCTGGTGCTCTGGTAGGCTGGAAGCATCTGCAGATTTGTTTATTTCTAGCTTCTTATTATGGTTTCTCGCACTAGTGCTTGCACTGCTTAGTGATGGATGTTTGTTATTTTGCAAATCAATGTTTTTTTTAGTTTCTTCTTCCAATGCTGAAGTTGGGCTGGTCCAAACTATTGTTGTGCCCCAGCCACTAGCACGATTATTCTGAATAGAAGATATTAAAATTTTGATTAGCATTTATAATTTGTAATAAGCTTATGATTAGTACATATTAAAAGCCTCTACACACAGAAAGTGAGCCTACTATACTTGCCTACCAAGTAGACAAAACACCACAATTAATTCACAAAATAAATTAATATTATAGCCTAAACTGATTATCCTCTTCAATGGAAAAAAACAAGGCTTTTAAATGCAGAAACAATACTTACTGGCCCTGTTCGCATGTTATACTAAACCACAGTTAGATACAAACTATGGCTCACTGTGAATGAACAGCGTGCTCCTCAAATTGCACCTACTCTGCTCCTCCATTTCCTGAGCCAAAGGTAAAACCACAGTGAAAGCTTAGCATGGTGTGCAAGGCTCAATGTGTGGTTTCTCTCCAGGCAGGTGCAGTTTGAGCAGCATTCATCAGCACACCATAGCATGGGCTTAACGTGATGTGTGAAACAGACGACTATGTTAAATAAATTCATCATAGCTAATTTTTAAAAGCCACACAACGCTGGTACAAGGTGAGTATTTACTGCAAGCTTTTCATATAAAGTCAGCAATCTCATGATGCTTCCAGGCGGCTGCTTCCCCAGGAATGAAGCAAAAAGTAATTCTTAAGAAGTATCAAGGTGTATTAAGTGAGCAAGTGTGTATGTGCAACTAAAGGTTAGGTGCAATATTTTCCGTGCCACCAGTACTAGCCCTGCTGGTACAGCATAGTAGTTGGCATGAGGCAAGGCAGGGATGGGAAACATTTTTGACCCAGCAGAGCAGATCTTTATCTTCTTCCACTCCCCACAGGTCAACTTTGATAGGTGGGGCCACCTACCTGTCACTCACCTGATGTCATAATGATGTCAGGTGTCTGGCAGGTGGCTTGACCCACCCACCTGCCAAATTGGTCCATGGACGTGGGAAATACAGCCCAAGCAGGACAGAACTCCTTGTGTATCAGTGTTCAACCCTACTTTCTAGAGGTTTGGGATGTACTAGACAATTCCCTGTGGGAACTTGCTGGAATGCCTAAATTAGGATTAGAGCTAATGCGTGGAGGATTAATCCTGCTTCCTCCATGCTTGTCTACACCTGCCCCACACCTGACATCACAGACTTTGCCAGTTATGGGGCAGGTGGGCATACCTTTGGGAAAAACATTCTGGCATGCCACATGGGGAGGCCTGGCAGGTCAAGTTTGGTCCACAGGCGAGAGGTTCTCCTCTCCTGTGGCACTGCACAAATGAGTTTTCATAGTCCACTGTGTTATTAATTCATATTAGCTCATGTTCGCAAGTGTCCTAAGAATATTTGCTATGATTTTGCCATTTTGTTTTTCATATCACTGATCTGAATTCCAGAGCAGCAGGTTCATGAACGTGGTAAGTTTACAATGTGGCAGTGGGGGAGGTTAACTCTACCACTTACAGTGCATTTTGACCAGAACATTAAATTAGTTCTCCTTACTCATCCAATCCTTTGTATGTATGTTCCACTGTACTTAAGGGGACAAGAAACATTAGCGAAAGAGCACCTCAGGATAAGAGCAGTTTCAGCTTAAGAACGGACCTCCGGAACAAATTAAGTTCATAACCAGAGGTACCACTGTACAGAGTAAGTCAGAGTCCTGGCTAAAGTGTAACAATTTCAGCTTGCGTAATACAAGTCAAAATCTAGGCCACCGTCCACTATACTACACTAATCCTTGACTAATATTTTATACTTCTGGGAAGATAGTTCTTCATAAATGTACCTAAGATCATACTACAACTTGAAACTTGGCATATAAAAATATTTTGCATCTAACAAGCTACTTACCTGACATCTCTCTGGACTAGACAGAGTTAGATTCTGAAGGGTTTTTTCAGTGGCAGAGACAAAGGTCAATCGTCCCAAGCTATGATCAGTATACAGCACCTGAGGTAAGCTATCATTGCAAGATGATTCCTTAGAATTTGATGTTGTAGCAGGACAGTCAGCATCAGCTCTAAAACACAAAGAACGCTGACTTTTAAAAAAATGTACCCACATACAAACTGCCTACATAACCATTTAATAATATCCGGCTTTTCATTTCGTGAGTAATGTGATTTGCCCCTCATCTGTTTCCACGGTAAGAGTAGTGGTTGCCACCAGACCAGCACTGTGTTTCCAATGTTCCACCTCCCACCTTCTGGTCTTAGTGTGACCTAGCAGACCCATGGTTGCTACCAGCTTAGTGCTACTAGCCTTTAAAGGAGGCCATATCTGAGCCAATCCTTTAAAAAGTGTTTCTAGATCTCAGTTGCATGAAGCAAAATGACATAGTAACTGCTAAAACTACATGATCTAGTGAGAGGCTAGATGCAGCTTTTGAGTTTGCTTTTGATCATTTCACTCCACAGGCCAGTAATGGACACAGTATAGACCCTGACACAGCCTTGGCTTAATAATCAAGTGATTATCATCCATGACACTGGTTAGTGCTGGCTTAAGCTAATGGAAATGTAGTCTCAAAACATCTGGAGGGCACCATGTTGGCTACCTGTTCAACAGTCAGTGAACTTGGATTTAGGAGCACCATGGTTAATTTGTTTATGTAGCATGAGGCTTGCCTTTCATTTTTCCTGTATCACCACAGTATTTCATAAACAAATGTATACTGCTAAATAAAAATAAGCAGTTTACATAAATAATGGAATATTGATAATAACATTTAACAAAATCCCTAAAAGTGAAGAGAAACAATAACACAAAGTGATGCACCACAGGTAACACTGAGCAGCATACTAAACAGATAATTAAAAATTAAGACCCAGAGTCCAGGAAAGCTTGGGTAAAAGTACGTTTTAAGAGGCATTACCCAAGAGGATGAGTGACAATGCAGGAAGCAGGCCTTCTTGGTGATGTCACATAGTGACAATTGTCTGGTTGTGGAACGGCCAGCAGTGTCTCTGTGGAAGATCTTAAAGATCAGGTTTGGATCCTGGTGCCAGGTTGTGTAGGGTTTAAATTCCAGCAACGAAAGCCTGAACATAGCTCAGTAGCTAATAGGCAGCTACATTAATTTCTGGAGTATCCTTACTACTTGAGCGAGTCACATAATTTATAAGAATAAATTAACGATGCTGGCTCTTTGATTTGACACTGAATACTGCAATATTGTTCACTTGGCAAGAATGCTAAGAAGCAGCAGCAGCAGTGTCCTCATTTCTAGTTCACACTTAAATATGTAAAATTGACTGCCATTTATATTATGACAACTGTCTTGAAGAGGTTTATATTGATTGAAGAGTGTTTAAAAATTAGGGCCTCATGTACAGAGGTCAAAAGTAATATTTGCCAATGATTAGTTAATTTGCATATTCAACTGAGAGATTATCTCTCAAAGACAGAGAGCATGCTTTGCACAAAGGAAATCCCAGGAATCTCATTTTAAAAAGGGCTGTCAGGTGATGGGGAAGACTGACTGTGACCTGAGGGAGCTATGCCAGTACAGTGGACTGTATGGCTCAGACCATGCAATCTAACCATCTAACCGTATTCAACTACTAACTCCCACCCACGTTTGGGCTTTTCATGTTCCCACACAATAGTTACCCTAAAAGAGCAGTTCCAGTAGCTTCATTTGGAGATGAATGAATAAGTGGAGACGTTGAAGGTCTGAAACTGTATTGTTCATCATCTGAAATCTGTATACAAGGCACAGGAGTTGTAGGTGTCTGTTCTGTTACTACAACAGCATTACCTGAATATTTTAAAAAGGAGATGTTGAAATTAATCCTCCTAGCGATGGAAAGAATGACTTCAGATTATCAGTGACTATCCACCTCAGGAGGCAGTACTTCTCAACAGAAATTTGCAAAGCCTACATTTAGGGATTTCATATTTAGCTATGAAATACCTATACATAAAAATGGTAAAACAGTGAAGTATATGATAGAAGGATATCCTTGAGATGTAGCATTCTGACTGTGCACAGCCCCACCTTTTTACTATACATAAAATGCAGGTGTCAGCCCAGATGCCAACCTCTTAATGATCAGAAAGAACTATGGCAGTTTATGTCCCATGTTTGTCATGAGATGACATTCTATAAAGATATATTTAGCAATTGTGCTCAAATTCTTCAGATGGGCATTTCTTCAACAGTGAAGCGGTTGCTGAAGCTTGCCTCCTTTCAAGTGCCAGTAGAAAGGGCTGACTGTATAATCAATAATAAATTATTTATTTAGAATAAATAAGAAATTATTATTATTAGCCCTGTTTAGGGAAGTTTTTAATATTTAATGCTGTATTGTTTTTAACACTCGATTGGCCGCCGCCCAGAGTGGCTGGGGAGACGCAGCCAGATGGGCGGTAGAAATAATAAATTATTATTATTATATAAATTATAGTATGTGGCAACCAAAATCATTGGGATTCTTTCCAGGCATTGCTTTCAAAACAATGGCAAACGGGAGAAATACATAGCAGAGGCGTCTTGGCTACTAATAAACCAAGTTGTGGTCAGCTCAAAATCTGTCCCCTTTGTCTGAAACAATCACTTCCTTATCCCAGGGGAAATTGGTAGAGTTTTCTGGCCATGCCTGAAATACCCTTACCTGATTCTGGACAACCCAATTCAATGAATCTGTCAAAAACTGCAGGAAATGAGAATGTTTATAAATGGAAGGTCTAGCCCTGAAGCTAGTCACGCTGATACCCTTCTGCTTTGACTTAGTTATCAAAAGAACACGTTATTAACCACAATACTTGGAGAGTCTTACTCAGAGGGACAAAATATTCTGTGTGAATCAATCCATGGCTGCTTGAAAACAGCTATGCACCAAAGGCTACCATGGCCACTTTACTGCATGACCATTATTAGATTGATGCTCCATGAGCCACAAGTTATGAGAACTAGGTGAAAAGAATAAAGTCATACAGAATACCCATGAAGAAGAAGAAGAAGAGTTTGGATTTGATATCCCGCTTTATCACTACCTGAAGGAGTCTCAAAGCGGCTAACATTCTCCTTTTCCCTTCCTCCCCCACAACAAACACTCTGTGAGGTGAGTGGGGCTGAGAGACTTCAAAGACGTGTGACTGTCCCAAGGTCACCCAGCAGCTGCATGTGGAGGAGCGGAGGCTAGTACTCCCACTTTCAGAGTGGCTGCAACTCTAAGTAATAAGGGCCAGTGAATATTTGGGTGAGATTTCTGCAGAGCTTGAACATGTTAGAGAGCGACTCAGTAAGATGCTTAAGACACCTGTATTTTGCCACATTTTAGTCCAGATTGAAATTGCTTCTGCTGAAAATCACATGCAAACACTACAATAAATTGGGAAAAATTATGGTTTCAAATCTTGCTATCAAGCAATGTGAGAGTTGATGGGGAGAAGTGTGCTCCTTTTGTCCTTTACAATTCCATTTAAATCCAGGGGGTATAGATCTTAACAAAATTTTGGGGCAAGCCAACATAATGTTGAACTAGGTCCTGGTCTGTTAGAATAAGTGAGATCATTTCAGAAATCCAAGTAATGTCAACTGGGTGCCCTTAGTACCTGGTTACAGGCCTAGAAAAAGGACAAGTGACCTAGATTCCTGCGAACAATTTGGAGACATAATACCTCTTCTTGCCTTGTTCTGAAGACTAGGGTTCTCTGCCCAGAAGCCCAAAACCAAGCCCACCTAACTAAACTAAAACTAAGGAAGAAATAATGTTCTGTAAAAGCAACCATGCCTCAGAGGAAAGCAGCTCTCCTTCAATGGAGGCCAAGAAACAGCCTCCAGAGGTAGATGAGAGCAGTTATAAAGCACAGGAATGAAGAATAAACTTCATAAACCTATAAATAACAAACTATTTCAGCTTACTTTCAAAGCAGGCTTTGGCAGGAATCAATATATACTCTACTCACCAACATCTTTCTGGTTATCAGCAGATATATTTTCAAAAGCTGTATGTTTTTCATTGTTGCAGGCAGCATTCTCTTCCATTTTCTTCTCATCTTGTTTCTCTTGGTATTTAATATTGGATATAGTTTTTTCCTTATTAGGGTGTACAGGAAGAGGGCAAAGCAATATTGGAACAGATTTTAAACTGAGGGGCAGAGTGTTCTTGCTGGTTCTTCCTTCTGATTCAGAGTAAGCTGGATAAAGAAAAAAGTGTTCACAATCCAATTATACATTTTTTACTTTATACCAGAGATGCAGGGTTTTCCACTCTTATAAATGCGTTGCAAACATCCTCCCACACAGACCAATGGAAATTACTTATGATCCTGGCAGACCACATAATTATTTTTCTGCCTATTGTAGCATTTACAACACACTGTGATAGAAGCTGTATGAATGTTAATTGTATTCTTATTGCATCTTTAATTGCTTATATTGTATTTTATTGTACCATAATTTGCATCCCATAGCATTCAAACCATAATGCAACATAAAACAATGTAATATGTGTGAATGCAGACACACTGTAGACCACCTGAATGCTGCTCACAGACCAGAGTTTGGGAACCTTGTTGTATACAAAAGAAATAATTTAGATAAAACACATATGGGCATCAAAAGCTGATATGTGAGCTTTCTGGCTGCACATGAAGTACCTTCATGCAAGCCAGCAAACAAACAAACAAACAAACAAACAAACCACAAACTCTTCCATTAATTAGAGTTTGCATTTCATCTAAACTGGAAAATTATGGTTAGCAGCTTTCAAACACACCAGGGTATTATGGCATGGCTGGAAGTTGGATTTGTATCCTGATTTGTTCTGAAACTATTAAGCACAGCTGCCCAACGCAAACAAAAATAAGAAACCACCGTGCAGATTTCCTGAATTGTTTGCAGGCCTATATGAAGAGCGGTGCAAAGGGTTATGTGTGTGGTCAAAAGATCTATTCCACTGCAAAAGAGCATTTCTCTCATTACAAGCCATACTGACCCAAAGTTTTCATTAAGCTGCATTGAAATAATTGCCATTTTGTGAATGTCAGTTGTAAATGTTCTTTTTAAAATTGCACAGCTACCAAACAGTTTATAAGACATGTTAAAGACTTACTGGGAAGTGTTTTTTCACTATCCTCCAAAGATATGGTGGTAGTTTCTGATGGTCTCTTTTCTGAATCTGGTACAGAAGAAGTCAGGCTTTTTGGAAGAAAGTCTTCACCTATGTTAGATGCTGCTTTTAAACATTCCATTTCCTTTTTCTCAAAACTTGTTTTACAAGATGAGTCTCTGTAACTGTTTTCCTCATGTATTATGCTTAGATTAAGCTTCTCTTCTCCATGCCTGATAGACAAATTACTTTTGGACAAGTCTCTTGGAGAAGGCATTTCATATTCCTGTTTGTACAAAACTGTACGCAAGTCCCTGGCAGTTGCTTCATCTTTAATTACGCTTTCGGATTCACCGTCATTCTCAACTTCATCAGTTTTTCTGAGATATTTCTCTATGTCAAATGTGCTATTTTCTACATTGTTGACATATGACTGACTTGCGGCAGAAAAGTCTGTGAGTTTGACACCTCCAGAGATGCTAGTTACTTCTCTATTTTTATTTGAGGCTTTCGTCATCAAAGAAGCGAGTTGTGCTGGATCAGTACTAACAGAAGCATTTGCAATAGCATATGCAATTGTGCTTATACTTAATATAGATGGCTCATGCTGCTTACATTCAACTTTTCTGTCTTCACATTTCTCCTAGAAGTTGGAAAAATGAAAAGTTGACATTTTTAACATCCCGTAGCAAAGCTGAACTCATGTGTCATAATGGTTATATTGCCTCCAATATCAGAGGCAGTATAGCTCTGAATACCAGTTATTGAGCATTTTAAACGGGAACTGCATCATCGCGCTCATGTCCTGCTTGTGGGCTTCCCATTGTCATTTTGGCTGGCTACTGAGAATAGAATGTGGGACTAGACAGACCTTTGGTCTGATCCAGAAGTAGTTCTGCTACTCAGACAATTTATTCAGAAAAACTGACCAGGTTTTCCACTCATGAGACAGTGTTTTAACTTCCAGCTTCAGGTTTAACTGTACCATATTTTTCCATGTATAAGACAATGCTTTTTGCTAAAGAAAAAAATAAGGCAAAAATTGGGTGTTGTCTTATACACAAATAGTGAATATAGAGGGGGGACATGTGGTTAATGGCAGCAGAAAGCAGGAGATTGGCAGCAGCGATTGGCTGCAGCTGCAGCAATTGGGCAGGCGATTGGCGCTGTGGTGAGGCGGGCAGGCGACTGGCGGCTGCGGCAAGTACGTGGGTGGGCTGTTGGTGGCAGCAAGGGGGCAGACAATTGGTAGCTGGGGCGGGGTGTGTGATCAGCAATGGCTGTGGCAAGCCATCGGCAGTGGTGGGCAGGTGAGTGAGTGATTGGTGGAAGTGATCTTCCCCACCCCCCAAAAAGCTAAACAACTTAACTTCTTAATCTTGGGTTAAAAAAAATAGGGGTCGTCTTATGCATGGGGGCATCTTATACACGGAAAAATATGGTATGTTAGACACACTGAAATATTTGTTTCAGAATTCTTATAAGAAATGAAATACTTTTTAACAGATATTTATTTTGCTTTTGATGCCTACTTACCCTTCCTCTCCCTGTGTCTTTTGCACTCATTTCACAAAGGGTAAATGTAGCAGATGCAATGTGGGAGTCTTCCTTAATGCTTTCTTCTACATCCCCTAAGACAATAAAAGTTACCTTGTGTTCGCTAGAATACTGCTTACAATAAGCCAATAAAAGAAATGTATATTGCAAAGAACAAATTGCAAAGGTTAATGCTGCGCCTAGCCATATTCAGATCATTATCCATGTTTTCATGCTGCTGTTCCACCTCTTTCTGTTGTATACTTGCTTTGGCACAGATATTAACCTGATTTGTTAACTCACATTAACATAGAGTTCCCTGGCTTGGATGCAATGGGGAATTCTGGATTAATGCAAGGCAGGAGATCCAAGTCATTGGCCAATGTGAAAAGGGGAGAGAAATGTGTTTTATGACACTATGAATGATTGCCCGAACATGACCATTTTAAGTGTAAACACCACACAAATGTAATTAAGCACACATCTAAGATCTATTTGGAATAACAAAAATCCTATGCAAAAGCAATTTAATTCTATCTGTACTCTAACTGCTTATTTTCATACCAAGCACAGTGAGTGAGGATAATACTAAGCTGCATAAGGAAACCTATGATTTCTAAGCCATCCTTCATGAAAAGATTCCGGGGTGATTTACATATCTGTACCATTAAATACCACACATAATAAAGCACTAAAACCAAAATTTTAAAATCCGTTAAAAAAACCTCTTGGCCTGCATATAGCCCCAACAGGGTTTTTGACCCACAGCCCAAAATGACTTTTAAAAGTTCCTATGCACCCCCAGTGTTACGATACCAAAAGCTTTTTGCGATACCTCTGTGTCTTTTTTTTTTTTAAAAAAAAGAAATTTAAAATTAGCTATCCTCACTTTTAGACTTCAGCCATGCCCACTTTGACATGTTGCCCCTGGAGGGGTTGGCCATGAGTCAATCCTGCCCTCTGCATGAAAAATATGAGCTGCTCCTTACCTTAATATGAAACAGCATGAAACCCTGCAGCATAGTTGCCAGGGGGCAGAGCAGTCCTCTAATGCCATTCTGGAATATGCGCAATATAAAACACAGACCCCATTTTCTTGCCCTCACTTACACTCTGTTAGCAGGCTAGCAGCATAGTTTGCAACTGTATGATATAGTGTTAATCAGACTTGGCCCAATACATAAGCAGATTTTGGAAATGAAGTGAACAATTGGCTAAGATCATGCGTGGCCAGCGTGATGCCCTTCAGGTGTTGTGAACAGTCCATTAGCCATGCTAGTGGGAAGTATGAGAAACTGTACAGTGGTGCCTCGCAAGACGAAAATAATCCGTTCTGCGAGTCTCTTCGTCTAGCGGTTTTTTCGTCTTGCGAAGCAACCCTATTAGCGGCTTAGCGCTATTAGCGGTTTAGCGGCTATTAAAGGCTTAGCGGCTAAAAGGCTATTAGCGGCTTAGCGGCTTAGAAAAAGGGGGGGGGAGCGAAAAAAATCGCAAGACTTGCAAGACGTTTTCGTCTTGCGAAGCAAGCCCATAGGGAAATTCGTCTTGCGAAGCGCATCGAAAAACGGAAAACCCTTTCGTCTAGCGGGTTTTTCGTCTTGCGAGGCATTCGTCTTGCGGGGCACCACTGTAGTTCACAATCTTTGGAGGCCACTAGGTTGGCTTCGCCTGATAAAGCAGCTACTTACACAGAATTCTTAGGTTTACGGGAAATTATTAGGTTTACAAGAAATTACCTTGAAGAGTAGATGTCTGAGAATTCTGTTCATCAGTGTTTGTTCTAGATACATCTGATTGCCTCCACAAAGGAAGAGGTTGTCTCTTTTCCGGTGAAGTAATGTGATAACCAAAAGATGGCTGTAAGAGGAAATAACGTTCGTGATAAATGCTTTGAGAAACATGTAGTAATAGAAGCTGGCCAACACAGCGTCTAGATCTGGAAGATGTCAAACTTGCCTTCAAATATTTGCTTCTTTGCCCATGTTTCACAGTCCATTGTAGAAAATAACTCAACAGGTGTTTACAGGCACATGAGACTACCTCATGGACAAGTCAGTAATGGGCTACATAAAATGCAGTAGTTCTCCGGGGTCTCAGGCATATATATCTTTCAGTCCTTCTATCAGAGATATTTTAATGAATTTGGAAGGCACTAAACCTGCATTTTCTGTATACAAAGCATATGCTCTATTACTCAGTAATGAGCCTGCTCATTTACTTATTTCTATTTTGTAGTCTGAGAGGAATCTTGTCAAAAACCAAGTACGTACATATAGTGGTAAAAGTATGTGGACAAGACAGCTACGTACCCGTTTCACATCACCTCCTCCTCCGAGACAACCAAGAGCCTCAGACCTCTGACCAAAGAACTCTCCTAGAGAGAGCCGTAGGTAACTAGCATCTTTGCTAAAGTCAGTTTGTGAACCTCTTAGTGGGTTGCCGTTATTAACACATTTCCATGAAGAGTCCTCTAATCCAGAGGTATTTTGCAGTTCCATTTTCTCTTCCTGAAAATGTAGCAAACAAAAACGTCAAGAATTATCATTACCTATAGACAAAAGGATCAGAATAGCCTCTTTACGATGTTTCCTACCTGAATAAATCTGTGTTCCCTTTCAAATTCTTCTTGATCTTGGTCAATCACAGCAATTGCTTCAGCTTTTCAAAGAGTAAGAGGAAGAAAGGGAAACGATTAACCTCTTAGCATATCCCACATTCCCTAGGCAGAATGGATGAATGAGTGAAAGGTAAAGTAATCGTGAAGTAAAAATTACATTAAAAATTAGGCATATTTTATGTACTGAGCTTAGTTTCCTGTAAGGTCATGTAATGTTAATATGCAATTTGTTTAGCTCCATCAGCTGAATGTTTTAAGTCGGCTAAAGGCATATCTGCTTACTCAGGCTTCTTGAGATGTTTAAGGTGGTTATTCTGTTCAGCTACTGGCTGTGATGTTTTTAATTGATGGATTTTTAAAAATAATTTAGTTATTATTTTCTGATTTCTATTTGTAATTTCATGATACTTGTAGCACTTAAAGAGATTTTTTCCTAAAAATGTCACCAGTATATAAATCCAAATAAATAAATAAAATTTAAAAGTTTTGTGTGGTTTTATGATATTATGGTAATACCAACTGTAAGAAAAGACAGATATTTACCATTCAAGGAGAACCACTTTGAATAAAAACAAGCTTTTGTATCATCTGAAGCCCTGGTATTCTGTGCTGCTGTCTTTGTAAGGAGCAGAGCTATCAGCTAGGAAATCTGAAAGCCATGCCAGCCCTTTTCCTCTACCATTATTTAATTTCAGCAGTTTTGTAAGTAATACTACAATTGAAGTCTATCACAACTAATATCCTAAGTTTAAAGAAGTCAGGTTACTTATGCTATTAATTGTCAATTGCTTTAACACTGAAGTTTCAGTTACCCAAAGAAGTATTTTTGTTTCACTGTCATCCAATTGGCATCTGCATTACATTACCTACAAATATGTGGAGAATCTTGGTGACCCATGTCCTAACATATAATTAATCTTGTAGTACAAACTTACTCAAGCCAGGTCGAAGGAAAGCTTTGCAAGACCCCTGCTATGTTTCCTACTTCTCTTTGTGGAAAGGGGTAATTTAAAACCGAAGTAAAAAAAAATAATCTCGAGAAATCAAGGGAGCTCCGACGAAACTCCTTCTGATACTGACATATTTTGTAAATGTAGGTGTCTGTTCTTTTAAGATTAGGAAGTGAAATGCAACCAAGACATTTCCAAAGATTTAAAGGTATAGTAAGGCTTACATCCAGCTACGAAGTCTCCACTTAAGTTTGAGAAATTGGATACTTCTTCTTTATTAAATGACGTGTAGTAAGCAAGATCTGTCACCCATCTACCATCTTCATTTTGATACACAACATCATGTGGTGGGTCCTCTAAAAAAAGGAATCACATATTGTCTTTAGCTTCCTCCACTTTCAGTCATGACACACATGTACATGAATGAGTACATTACAATATAGCACAAATAAGGTTCCTATCCAAAGGATGTTACTACCTAGACTTTGACAATTGGGGGAAGGAAAGGAAAGCTAACAATGAGTTGATTTAACAAAACAACAACAATAAGCAATACATGCATGCTTTAACTTAGTGGTTAAATCAAAACTGAACCGGGATATTCAAAAGCTACTTTTGTTCCACTCTCATTTTCAAGTAAGCTACAGTATTTCATCAGTAAGGCCATGTGCTGTTTACATCAGGCATAACACAAAAGCATTCACAGCAGCCACCCACCAACTCAGCAACATCTCAAAATCAATCTAGAAGCTGAAAGCACACAGGAGCTAGCATTTAACTAACCTTCTGCTGTACATTCATATTGCTCTGAACCTTTGTAAGCACTTGGCGACAGGTATGCATCAGCCAGAGGAACATAATTTTCATTAGCAAGCTGCGACAGATCAGGAAATTGGGTTTGCTGTTCTGTGTGCCATATCTCAGAAGCAGCATTACTGTCAGCAATGCATTTAAAGTAGAGAGAATCTAGCTTTAATTCACAGTTGGTTACGTTTGTGGCATCCTTTTATAAAAAGCAAAAGGAAAGAGAGAGAGTTACTTTATTAACTGGACAAAAATGTTCATTTTCTTTTTAATGTCAATTAAGAGATACTTTCCCAGACCAATTTTAAATAACGTCATGTAGTAAGGTTTTCTATAATTGCTCAAGGACTTTCATTGAGTATGGTTTTAGCAAGCAATTTAAAGTGTTTATTGCTGTTAAGTAGTGTATGCCATTTGGGCAATTTTACCGGGAAAGCTCCCTCCAGCTTGCATATAGGATCATCAGCTAGGTACTGTTAACTATAGTGCTCATTGTGGTGATGGGGAGAGGAGGAAGGGACAAAAGGAACAAGTTAATGTTGCCTACTCAAGGTCTTGGCATGAGACAGATGACTACTGGTTGGAAAAAAATAATAGGGATTTGCATGTGTGATTGATTCATAAACTCTTGAGAAGCTTTGGAAATTCAGACTACTCAGAATGTTTTCCTTAAAAAACAGAAACAAAAAGTATCCCCAATACTTGCTCAAAAAGAAGTCTGGTTTATTTAAAAAAGAGATGATCCCCTGTTAAAAGAAACTGGTGATATCCAACTCATACTCAGAGTAGACCCATGAACAAGTTACTTAAGATTATTTATTTCAATGGGTCTACTCTAGGAGATACCCAACATTAGGTCAAACTCAGTATCTTGAGCCAGAATACATGGATTCTGATTTTCAGTCCTCTACTTACATTTCTGCTGCTGCTGACTGTTTTCGTCTTTACAGATATTCCATCTTCCTCACTACAGTCATGACAACCTGCAGTGATACAGTTATTTAGCATTGATTTTAAATGAAATGAAAGAAATGTTGTAATAGAAAAAACCATTTAATAGGTAACACATCTTGGCATCAACATGTTATTCCCACAGTACTTTGGGCATCATTACTATACTGTATTTTCCTCATTATATTCATTTTTACTCAATATGCATTTTTAAAAAGATGCTTAAAATTTGTCATGACAACATTGTGCCTTTTAAGGAGACACATAATAAACTAAGTTGTACCAAACTGATATGCACATTCAGTACATTAAAATGTCACCATCAATAACAGAGCTGCTACCTAGGGTATCTGAAGAAGCGTGTTGATAATCTGTTGTTCTACTGCATACTTCAGATGTGTAAACTACCATTTCAGCAGGAAACTTTTCAGAACTATCACTGTGTCTGGAGTTTAGACTAGGTTTACTGCATTCTACCTGTTGCAAATAAAAAAGAAAAGATAAGCAAATGCATTCCAATTTAAAGAAAAAAAAAATTCTTAAAATGTATTCGAGTATAAGCAACCCATGTTCAGCAACCCCCAAACTATATTGGTTAAAGGTTTGTGTCTTCTCTAGAAATTTAGCCAAGCTTAATTATGACGCACCTCTTGCCTTGCTGTCATGGGCAACATAAATTGCTCGTCTTTCTCATTCTGCCCAGCTTCCTTAAAATCATACAGTTCTTCGTCGCTTGCAACAGGAGAATCAGTTCTTGCTGCCTGGCAAACGTTAGGTATCTGGAACTTTTCCTGAAGAATTTTAAGTGTTAGTTTTCAGCCAAAATGCCTTCAATGTGCTCTAGAGTTGGGGAGGCCTGTGGCTTTGCAAGGAACATCATACAATGTGTCAGGATGAGCCCTGCTCACCGCTACAGCTTCAAAATTGGGAGGTTGGCTAGCTGCTCATCACGCTCAGAGCAGATGAAGCTCAAGTACCCAAGAACTCTTGAGTAACGGCAGAAGATTATTTATGTATTTTGTTAGAGCATGATCCACTTGCACCGCAAGTGTAGTGCTTATGAAGGATCCCAGAAAGTCTGAACAGAACCATTTCTTTTCACCAACCAACAAGGGCGTACAAGCACAAGTACACAACATTAGGGAGAATGTCTAGTCTCTGTGTGCTGCCTTATCTCCATCTATTGCTCATTCTGTATTCTTTTGTAGCTCTTGTGTGGAAAGAAAAGGGAAAAGGGACATTATTGCTATTAGGATCCTCTGCAGGAGATGCAGCTTTGGGGCAAGTGAACTGTGCCTCATTTTAGCTCCCTTAAGTTACCAACATTACCTACCCCCCAACCACCTTTTACAAAATTGTTCATGCAGACTGAACAATGTCATAGTGTGCCTACAAACCCCCAATACTAGAATAACTGAATTTTCACTTACAGTTTTCCTATTTGAAGGCAGTTCCATGGCTTTAACATGTTCTCCAAATTCATGTTCTTCAACATCTTCCATCTGCATTTCTGGTAGTACCAGCTGCTCAAAATAGGTCTCCAGTTGGCCATCACAGAACTCTTCATCTCCAATTTCATATTCTAATTCAGCAAAAAGCGGCTTGCCATTAGTTCAGATATTAAGTATGAACCACATGCATTCTTCCACAGTTCCCCAGATATATGCACACAGGTGTTTTAAGGACATTTGTATATCATCTGCACTTCACATGTTCACTGCAGGAAGCATATGCATTGCATGAAACACCAGTGCACAAATAATCTGGCTTGCTGTTGGCAGTGTGGAGCCATCCTTAGCAAAAATAAACTGGAAGTATACCAAACAATTCGAATTTTAAAGCAATACCTGTAGAATGTCCTTCTAAGCTTGCAAAGCTCAGTGGTTGTTCATTTTCTATAAATCTGGAAAAGTCGATCCTAGCCTTGTTGTCTATTTCATTTGTTATCCTCTTCTGACCATGTTCTAATGAAACAGCCTACAAACCAAAGTCAATACAGGAATTTGAAGTACTTATTGTTGAGTCTCCTCCATAACTTCACTTTTTACTGGCTGGATCAATCAAAGTCTCTAGTGTTCATCAAATGCCCCCAAGGAAAGCAGAACATGATGTTATATTATCCCACGTTTAAGTCGCATAGGTTTTAAAAAATAGAAGGGATTCAAGAAATTACAGACAAGTTAACTTAATGTTTATTCCAGTTAAATTGGTGTAAAGCTTTAAAGATAAAATGGTAAAGTATAAAAGAGAAGACGTCTTGCTAATGAAACAACAGCATGGCTTCTGCAAAGATAAAGCCTGCCTCACTACTGCTTTGGATTCTTTGAGAGTGTGGCCAAGCATGCGGAGAGTGATGCTTCAGAAGACATTATTTACTTAAGACTTTTTGCTAGAAAAAAAGTACATTAGTTCTTTGTAAAGTCTACATCAATCATACTGCAGAAAAGTTACCTTGCAGTCTTCATTGTCTTTTTCAAATGAAGCAAATATTCTAGCTGTCAAATCTGAAAGTTTAAAAAAAAAAGTTTTTTCCTACTGCATTAGCAGTCATCTTTACAAAGACAGAGAAAATAATTTGCCAGGAATTTCTTAACCAGAGTGGTACATGGATTATATTGCTTGCAAATTTTATGCAAATGCTCTTGCTCTGCAAGTATCACTAGTTTATTTTTTGGGGGGTCACTGTCTCCCATTTAGCACTGTGCATAAAAATTGAACGCTATCAAAAACCTTTAGCAAATGTAAACTAATCAAGTATGGAATCATTCAAGAATATTATTTTTAAATTAATTGCACCCTTCAAGTACATTCACATATGAGCTCAGGTACAGAGAAATGTGGGTTTGGTTTGCCCAAAATTACTTTAAACCACTGAGGTTTTTTACAATCAAGCGGTATATAAATTTTATGAAATAAAAGTAAAGAAATAAAATTGTCTGCCAGGCCTAATTAGGTCTGTAGATCAACAGCTCCCCACTCCTGCTCTACTCCATTCTCCCCCATCATCCAAGTCTGTCTATTCCCACCAAGTCAGCCAGCCAAATTATGTAGATGCCAGCTACTACCTTATTTTTGGTAGCTCCAGTTCATTTCCAAACTGATGGGAAACTCATAGTGGGTGACTATTAGCAGGAAAGCTATATTACACTTGAAGTATCACAAATGAGGATACCACACTTAGCAGAACTTCAGAATACATTGTAGAATGCTTAATAGTATTCCTACAGACACTGTGAAAACTGCCTACCTTCCAAGTGTTGAAGTGAAAGCCTCTCATGCAAAGAATGCCACTGGTTCCCAGAGCTTTCATTAGAAAAATGCTGGTGCTTTTGCTGCAAAACATTAGATCCTTGCTGGTTTGACTCCAACTGATTGTCTGCAGCTTTATTACAGCATTCCCTGAGAAAGTAAAAATGAAGGTTTTAATCTTAATTTTACAACTGCTTAGTAGTAGTTTAATATACTTAATGTCAGACAGCTCCACCTGCATTGTTTAGCTGAACCACACTAAGCTATATATTCCAGAATAACTTCCCTAGTGGTATCTTGTAGATTGGATCACACCCTGGATATTGTAGGCAGGAAGCTGCAACCTGCTGCATTTTATTTAAAAATATAATATAATAAAAGGCATGTTTATAAAACATATACAGTCATTGTCAATTCTTAATAAGAAGTTTCCAACTCAAATTTAATTTGTGTTTAACATGTATAAATATTTTTATAGTTAAGTTTGCATATTAGCCTATAGCTTGCTGTTCCAAAATTTTACAAACTAAGTACATCTTTCCATAAACCAGTTTTCATGTGTTTTCCTTCTAGCTCCAACATAGTAGGTGTATTTGAATAAAAGTTTTATTTCTCATGATCATTCTGAAATGGGAGGCAAGTTTAGCTTTCCAGCAACATATAAAGATTTTCTAGTGCTTCTCAACTGGTAATATCAATATTAGACTAACTTAAATGAAAAAGTTAACTAAAATCTGAAAAATATATTAGGATCTTACAGGTACTTTTTAACAAGCTAAGCCAGGAAGTAGTTATCTACTTCAACACTTAAAAAAACCCAACCACACCCAAGCTAGGTTTATTAGCAGCATCTACCTAAACAATTTTAACAGGGAACTTATGTTCCTTCAACAGGTCATAATTTGGAAAAAATGATATACACCATGCAAGCAAAAGATAGAACTTAATAGGGAGTACATAAGATTTGCTTCTAGAGTCATAAGTGGCCTTGAGTGGGTGAGTTTGCTAGATACAATCTGACCACAGGTTCTCTTGTGAGACAACTCCACATGCCACAGAAATTAGTCTAAGAACAACCGAGTTGGGCTTTCATTACTATCCATAGGTTAATCTTAACATACATTTTAGGATTTAAAACATAAGGAGTATATTTCATGGTCTTAGCAGTCTAGAACAGGAATGAACCTTTGGACCTTCAGATGTTGGACTGCAATTCTCATCAGCATGACCAACAGTCAGGTATTATGAAAGCTTAGGTCCAACATCTGGGGGACTATAGTATTATTATATTTATTAAATTTATATACCACTTTTCACAGGGCAGTTTACAGTATAAAAGCACAAAAATACATAACAAGTAACAAACAAAACAAAAAAAAACAGAGTTTAAAAGACCATAGGTTCTTTAATTAGCTGAAGGCTGGAAGAAGAGGAATGTTGTTTTTTCTGTTGGCAAAAGATATATAATGAAATTACACCCCCATCTCTGCTGTTAAAAGTGATAAGACATGCAGCAACATTTAAATCAGGCATTCATGAAACCTATTTGTCAGAGAATATCTCTTGAAAGTTAATTTTAAAGTTGAATCAAAAAGTTCTAATCTTTAAGCAGAAGGGAGTCTTCTGTGAGCAGAAATGTATCTTTGGATCCAACACAAGATATAACATTGAATTATGTAATCTACTTCTTACACAGTATCCTGAAAGTTAAGATTCTTTCTTGGATCAGAATCAGATTCATCACTACAGGAAGATGCTAATGGAGCAGGGAATCTATTGTCCGTGTAAGACACTTCATCATATTGTCTGCAATACAGAGAAAACAAAACCATTATTTTGCAAGTTCTCAGCTCTGTTGTTTAGAAGACCATTTCAGTGATCAGGAATGTCTTATGAAGTGGCACTACCTCCTCACATTAACCACATGATAAATTTGTCTCCAGTAGCAATCCAAGGTAAAATCAAATGAGGAAGGTACTCCAATCCTTAGTGTCTCATAGTCAGAGCACTCTTCTTCTTCTTCTTTTGAAAAAGGAACATATTTGCTTCCCCTCCCCCCCACCATGGTCTTCAGCTTTCAGCATCTTGCCTAATAATAGCAGCTTATGAGGTGGCTCACTAAATGATACTGCTGATGTCAATGGCCATTGCTACGAACAACTATAAGTCTTCATAGTGCTAAGCCAGCAGCCCCCAAGCTGCTTCACAACTCCACCTGGAGCAGCTACTGTTACTCAACCCTGTATATTACAGTTACTAGCAAAAATAGCTTTAATATCTAGGGATTCAGGTATTCACCTCTACACACAAGAGGGTGACCGAGATAATATGCTAATATGTCTGGGACCTGCTCCAGATCTCACCACTTGGGAGGAGAGGAGGTAGTCTTCAAACAGCCCCTTGCCGGTACCTGCTTTACTTGCATCCAAGTTACTACACAACTTGTGACAGTTCAGCACATAATTCTGAGCTTGCTGAATTCCGTTTCAACAAATTTTATGTAAGATTTCCAATTATCTAGATTCTATTTTTATCATGAATCATACACTGATGGAAGTAGAAAGCCATGCCTGGAAACAGTTTCAGATTTAGAAATTACCTACCATGAGCAATCCTTCAGTCAATACATTCTTCCCTACACTCATCTACGAATTTCTAGTCATGAACTAACAAATGTCTTACCCATCATGAGAGCCAGTTTTCCGTCTGGCTTCAGTTGAAGCAGCAACTGGTATACCAAGAGTTGATGAAATTGTGATATTGTCAAAAATGTCACTGGTGCAGCCAGTTACAGAGTTAAGCAAAACACTTGGAAACGTTTCATCTGCAATACATTTGAAGTCTTCCATTATACTGTCTTCTCATAGCTGCCCTAAAGGGTAAGAGAGAGAGGTTACACATAGGCAGCAAGATAATATTCAAGAAATGTTCTATTTTATCAGTACTTTTAAATCACATTGTCTAATCTTTGTTTCCTAGATGGTAAGTGTACAGTCAGAGACTGACCTGTCATCAAGCTCCTAAATTGGTACAGGAGCTCAATAACTGAGAAACAAAACTGAAAAGCTGTGCAGTTGTTTGACTTTGCTATGACTGCCAACACAAGCGTAGCACAGTATCCCTACATCTTCCACAAAGACAGACACTGAGTAAATTCTTTCACAATACGCTCTAGAAATTCCAAACGCAAAAGGAACGCACATTTGAAGGACTGGAACAGGTACAAGCTCTTTGAAAGCAAAATGCCAGAACAGTCCAAGATTAGAGTTACATCAATCACAATTGCAAAACCCAACTTTTACTGTATTTTTATTTTCAAAATCAAGTTATACAAAGCACCAAAACACACATGCAGGTTGTCAATCATTTAACAAAATAAATTCTTTTCAGGAACACAGCTCATTAGATTGCTGACTACACACAGTGCAGGTGCTATATTTAGCTGTTTAAGCCGATTGGCACGAGTTTATTGCTGTTTCTAGAGGCTGCCAGCACCTGAAGTGGGGTACAGCAGAGAGAATGGTGTCCATACTCAATTTTTCATTAATGCTCTCTCAACCAAAACCTTTACTATGGGAGTGGGGGAATGTGAGAAGCACCATCAACTTTCTTGCGTACGAAATAATTCTGAATCACAACTAAGTTTTGGTCAGCTCCAAATATATTTTTTCACACCGAGGCAAGTACTTCACAAATCTGCAAGATAAATTAAGACTATTTCTTTTGCGACAAAAGTAGCAATTAACTGCCTTGTTGAATTTACAGGAATTACTTTTTAAAAGAAAAGGGCTCATTTCTGCAACTGTTCCAGAGCCGTGTGGGTCAGTGTTGCTAGCTTCAAAGTAGTCTTTCATAGCACGTTATTAGCTCAGAAAGACCAGCAGGGGCACGGTGCCGGAGCAGCCCTCTACACATGCTCAGAAACACTCCCTGACACCAGCATCGTCCAACAAAGCATTCATTCAGTTTGCTGCGGAGCCGAGATGTGGCTCAGCTTTGTCCCCGTTTTCGACCTTCTTATGGGCAACTTATAGGAAAGGAGTGTGGACACTTCCAAGGCACACAGAGCAGGAGGAGGAAAGGAAGAGGAACTCTGTCCCCACCGCAGAATATAAATAACTGCGCCAGGCACACGTGGAGGGCGCCGATTTCTAGCGTTTTTCCTGCCAAGGACGGCGCTGGGCTGAAGCGAAGCGCCGCGAGGGAAGCAAAGGGGCGCGCCTTTTTTCCGGTTTCCCCTGAAATGGGCTCCCGCCCCTCCGTCCTCTCTTCTCGGGACACCCGCCAAAAAAAGCTTCCCCGACACTCGCTTTAGGCGCCGACACAGGAGGGAGGGGAAGCGGGAAGCAAGAGAGAATGGAAACCGCCCCTAAAACGACCTAAAACGGCCGCTTCTGATTGAGAAAAACATGCCCCCCTCAAAAAAACACACCACCCAACCTCCCCCCCCCCCACTAAACCGCTCACCCAAAGGAAAAGCGAGAGCTGGAACGGCAGCTCTCGGGCGCCTCCGGGCACGCGCATTGATGCGCGAGGACACCGTTCGGAAACGTCACGGCAACCCCAACAAGCGTCGAACTCTGGAAGAAGGAGGGAGGGAGGGGGAAAGAGAGAAACGCCCCCTCCTCTATTTTCTTGTAAGTGCGCACGCGCACGCCTCTTACCTGGCGCCTAGGAAACTCGCTTTTGGATTTCGGCGGGCGGGGCGGGGTGGAGGGCGGGATCGGAGAGGAAACACATGCGAATTCTATTGGTTTACGAGAACGGAACGAAGGGAAAGTGTAGCGCTTCTCTGATTGGACGAAAGGGTGGTGACACGCTTCTTTCAAACAGTCCGGGAAAGAGAGCTGGTGGGGTTTGAGGAGGTGACCGATAACGATCTCGCTGCGAGTCTGCTTCCTTGTTATTTTATTTACAAAAGCACCCAAGAGTTTCCTGGTGCTGTAGTTATTTTTTTTATACACTATATCATATACATAAGGTCACAAAGCGTAAAATCAAAGGCGACACTTACTCTCAATTTATCCTGCCAATAGGAAGGAGGGTATTGATTTGCTGTTTTATTTGTTTTATCCTTTATTTTATTCTGTCAACGGCCCTGAGATCTTATGATGAAGGGTGGTATATAAATCTAATAAATAAAAATAATAGGTGATGCTGAGATTTGTTCAAGACCACCCCATGAAATGTCTCCTGCAGTTCCGTTCTAATGAATTACTGTAACTGGAATAGTTCAGTAAATATTACTGAATCAAGGGAAGTAATAGTGCCACTGTATTCTGCTCTGGTCTGACCTCACCTGGAGTACTGTGTCCAGTTCTGGGCACCACAGTTCAAGAAGGACACTGACAAACTGGAACGTGTCCAGAGGAGGGCAACCAAATTGGTCAAAGGCCTGGAAACGATGCCTTATGAGGAACGGCTAAGGGCATGTTTAGCCTGGAGAAGAGGAGGTTAAGGGGTGATATGATAGCTATGTTCAAATATATAAAAGGATGTCACATAGAGGAGCGAGAAAGGTTGTTTTCTTCTGCTCCAGAGAAGCGGACACGGAGCAATGGATCCAAACTACAAGAAAGAAGATTCCACCTAAACATTAGGAAGAACTTCCTGACAGTAAGAGCTGTTCGACAGTGGAATTTGCTGCCAAGGAGTGTGGTGGAGTCTCCTTCTTTGTAGGTCTTTAAGCAGAGGCTTGACAACCATATGTCAGGAGTGCTCTGATGGTGTTTCCTGCTTGGCAGGGGGTTGGACTCGATGGCCCTTGTGGTCTCTTCCAACTCTATGATTCTACTGTAAATAAGCCTCATGACCGAAAGTGTGGCATGGGAACAGAATCAGCTGCTTAAACTATTATTTTTTTTAAAAAACCCTGAGGTCATATGAAGCCTTTTGGGATTACTCAAGACAGCTTTTTGGACACCCCCACCCTATCCAAGAAAGAGGGCAGAGGCTTTAAGGCAATTATACTGGATGTTCTTTGACGACCATGGTATTGGAAGCATAATTTTATGCAGATTTATGTACAAATCAAATAACATTCTGCCCACAGCGGGACTTTTGAGTTGCTGATGGACTCACTATTAAGACCGTGTTCATGAAAGACAATCTTACCTCATCAGCTTTGAGTGATCACCAAAGCAGCAGCAGAAGCATAGGGTTTTGCTGCATGTTAATATTTCTGCTTAGCTGCATGCAAAGCTGCAATCCTTACCCTTTACCTCAGACTTACTTCTGGGCAGACATTGTGAAGACTGAAAGGACGAGTTGTATTTTTGCACCAAGGCAAATTGGGTAATTCTTTCATATTTCTACTTTACCTGAAAACATTTCTACAAGAAACATTCAATATCGTCAGCCTAGAGAAAAGTCTGCAGTGCACTATTGTTGTTTACTGCACACTGTAGGGTTCAAACCCTTGACCCTGGTATTAAAAGTCTCATGCTCTACAAATTATGCTACCTCTCTCTGTGGATGATGTTATTTCAGATGCCACATGTTATACCCGAGGTGGCTAAGGCTAGAAACAGAACAGATCAAGGTGCACAGCATAAACCTATGGTCACAAATGAAGTCTGGCACCTCCCTCTCCCCAGTATTCACTTTTATACATTTAGAAATAAGTACAACTTAAATAAATCCACCACACAACATAATTTTCAATTTTTTTATTAACCTACAATTATAAAACAACATAGTGTAAATATTCTTATGCAAGAAAGTGAAAATGTTTGCAAGTGGCTAAACATACTACCAATTCTATATTGCTGCAGAATGCACAAATACTGCATTTTTACTTTAGCATTCCATTTCAGTACCAATGTCCAGGGCTGGAAAAAGCCTCAAGAATCTGCTCACTTAGAAGTTTGATGCTGGAGATTAAGATTCCCCCCCCCCTCCACACAGTAGAACAGTTTTATTCAAGTTCTATTTAGTTTTAAGGACACATTTCCAAAAACAATGCAGGATACAAACAAAATCTATTAAAATGAAAATAGCACGGTAGATTGAATACAAAAAATAAAAATTTTAAAAATGGTGGAACAAGCACTTTGAACTTATCTGTTGTGTATGACCCACACCTAATACTGCTTATTTGTTTCATCATGGTTGAAAATGGATTGGATTAGCAGAGCTAGCATTTGGTGCATAAGCGCTAGCACAGTGAATTCTGGAGGGAGAAAGTATGCAAAATAATAATAAGCAGACAGAAACGCAAGCATTTTACAAGCATCTGATTGAGGCCCTTAATACAGTTTTAAATGTGCATTAAACCCCTTCATGTTCCCGTAATAGGTTAAGAGGTCGAGAGATATATCGCCTGCGAGGGTGAGGATACTGGAGATTGGCAGTGGCAGCATCGCAAGAGTGCTCTATCAGAGGAGCAGGAGGTAGGAGCTGGGCATAACTGGACCATCTTGATCCAGCCCGTGGGGAATCCAGAGGGGGAAAGAAATACCTGAAAACAATGAAGACAGGAACACCAAAAAAGAAAAAAGGAAAAACAAGAAAAAAGAGAATAGTAGTAAATATGAGGAGAACCAAAGGGGAAGAGAAAAGACATGCTGGGGGGAGGGGGATGAAGGCTTTAGTAAATCCATGCCAAAAATAAAATATAATGGCCAAAATCATGTTCGCAATCAAAACAAAAATGGTTATGGCAGTCTGGAAACTATTTGGTTCGAATACAATATCTCTAAATTAAGATATGCCTTATGTGCATTTTGCAAAATAATAAATTATCTGTAAATTAAATGAGTTCCTAACTATCAACGCTTATGCTCTCTCCTTAAAACCATGTACTGTAACTCAATGTTTTTAGTAAACACTTGCAGAAAAACAGGCACACATTAATTATGCAGATATATTTATGCTGTATTTGCATCCACATTAACTTTAATGCAGATTTTATAGGACAGATGTGAAAAAAACCTGTTTTTACAGTGCTTTGATTTCCACAATATACAATAAGTGACTCCTTTTCCACTGAAATACAGTCTGGGTGCATATATACATAATTCTGGAGAAAATGTAGGATAAAACCAAATACATCTGGTAAATTAAAGGCTTAAAGAACTATTACATGTCACTTTTTATGACTTACCCGTAATATTAAAGACACCACTTTGTAATCTTTACAATCTTTGGAAATGTAGACAAATTTACAGAACAGAATGGCAAAGTTAGTAGAATCTGGAGACAGGACATACTTAGAGCTACATTGACATGCCGCTATATAAAACAAGGCATTTTCTTGCCATGTCCTGATGAATGTTTGCAATAGGACACTGCTTCAGTCTGTTCCAGAGCAATAACTCAATTGCACAGAAGCAGTGTGTGTCCTCACTATGTAATGCATGAAGCATCTTGAAGGCAATGGACAATAATTCCAGAGCAACTTGTCAATGCCACATGACAAACATTCATATGGATATGGTTCTCCACTACAATATTGTGACCAAAGGAAGTCTTGCTAATTATTCCATGGAATCATGCCACAGGAACATGCAACTATCAGGTAAGATCATTCTCACTAAAAGTATGACATTAATTAGTGTGGGGGCTTCTGGTGATTTTTTTTTGTTTGTTTACTCTGAAATAGTATTTAATTAATTGTGAAGCAATTCCAAATTAAGATACTAACTGTACAACTGTCAAGGTACAACAATGTTTACATTGCTTAGTTAAGTTTGCACATTGCAAATCCATTAACAAAAATGTAATGGTTAAGACTCATCTGAACAAAATGTAGAACAAAATCAATTATTCAAAGCAATTTAAATGAAAACCAACTGATTACCAAGGCTTCACACTAATACTTTCCCCGCCCAACACCTCAAATATAAAGGATGGTAATCCTTGTTACTTGGGTGAACTTCCCCCACTCTGATTTATATAAAAAAAATATTTTTCTGAAGAGAAAGAGGAGAAGTGTCTCCACAAGAAAACTCTCCATGTTACTGTTTTTTCCCCACAGATTCCAACAAGGTCATACTGTGCTGGCTAGCAAAGTACGCATACAGTGTTTTTTAATAGAGCCTTTTGATTTGCTTTTAGTAGTAGGTAGACTGCTGGTGTCTTGGGAAGAGGTCAAACGGCGCTGGGGAGGGGGAAAAGGAGTTCGCTTTCCATTCCTGTGTGCATGCAACAAGCAGCAAAACAGCAAAGTTACTCCAGTTAGCTTGGGTTCAGCTGTGCTTTCTGTTAAAAAGGACATAATACAAATGGAGAAGGGAAAATGCATCACAATTTTAGACACATATGGTTATAAGCACAATAAGAATACTGTGGAACAGTATTTGGTAGGTTTATTAAATTTTAATCTTTTCAATCACTTCTCAAAACAATTTTAATTATTTCCTTGTTAAGCATAGGGTGTTTGTGACGTTGATCTCCAAAAGTGTTAGTAGTGTTACTAGTAGTGTTACTAACAAAAGTACCAGAATGCTGAGCCATAATAACAATATTCTATTGTATCAGCCTGCTTCTAAAACTCAGCATTTACATTTCTGCTTATATAGAATCATCAGGGCAATACAATACGTCTGAGTTCAGCCCCATTTTCAAATATGATATGCTTCAAAAGGGTTTTTCCACCCCACAACAGCAAGTATATCTCATTATTAAAGCTGTACTATTTCTGACTCCAAATTTGTGCCCTGGAATACAAAATTTTCCTCTGAAATGTAACTCTGAGATTATAAGGGAGAAATGGAAACACAAGAACCCTGTTTAACTGAACAGATTTGAAGACATGACCACTTTAATTTTATAGATTGCTGTCTTTCTAGCCCTCGTATTTGTGGGCCCAAGTGTGGAAAACATAAATCTACAGCATATAGTCTGAATTGTGTCCATCAAATGGTTGTGGCTGTATGAAGCTGCCCGAGGCAATCCTACACAAAAAGTTGATCCCTCAACAATGGTTCCTTTCAGAATCAAGTTTGTGAGGACAGGCCAAAAATAGACTTGTGTTGAAAGCTAATTTTAAAAAGTGGTTGCCTAGAGCTACTGCAGAACAGGATTGGAAGAGGGTCATGTTCCCAAGGAGTCTCAGGAAGTAGGAGAGCAGCACAGGAGGTTGAAGTCAAAGAGACCTTAGTTGAGAGACAGTAGGATAATGAGTGGTCAAGGTATTATAGGGCAACAAAAGGCAGATACAGTACTGCGAGTAGGAAAATAAAAGAGCTAATGACATGGTCTTCAAAATACTCAAGTGAACTCAGCATTTGAAGTATGTGAACAGTAACTAGAAGGAAGTTTTTCTTTATAATACTTTATCTGTTGCATACAGGACACTGCAGATAAGACTAGGACAACTGTATCTGCAAGCTATTGATATAAAAGTTACTAATAATGATGCATATGAAAGCCAAAATGATGCTTAAGATTTTAGGGAGATTAATGGTGGGTGTTGACAAAACAGAGTTTTTAAATTGCAGAATTTACATACGAAGTGGCATACCTGCCAGCAGATGTTCCGTTTACTGAATTCTGGAGGCTTGAATTGGCTGTGCCTAAAGGAGCATTAAAAACTCCCTGCTGAGCGGAACTAGCATTGACTGGACTCCCATTACCTTTCAAAATTCCAGTACACTTCCAGTTGTCCATGTAGTTAGCTGCAGGGTGGGAATGAACAAAAAAATAATGCAATTGTGACTTGAGAAAGATATTTTTATGACAGTTAAAATAGTATAACTAATGATATAGCTCCTAAAACACATTATATTTTTAAAAATCTAACTGTAGCCAGTGCTAAGCAGGTTACTACTATGTATGCTTAAGACTGAAGCCATAGTCTTCTAATAATTTAACATTTAATCACACAGAATTCTGAAGGAACACTTACCTTTCCAAAGCCTTACACACCCATCGTCTCCTGAAGATGCAAGCACTGTGCCTGTAATGTTCCAACTTACACGCCAGACCTGAGAATTGTGGTTATCAAACTGAGCCACTAACTGGACCTCAAATTTTGTCAGGCCTGATGAAGAAGTCAGTTCCTTTCTGTTGAAAGCAAAATTGTATATTGGAGTTTGATCTGCTTGAAATACATCCATTCTTTTAATTACAGAAAGTAAAACAATGTTTTGCCCTTTTTTGTGTGCTGCTTAAAAAAAAGGATTACTGAATATTGAATAAACTTACACGGTTCTTAACCATGAGGACAATTAGTTCCATAGTTGAGAGAAAGAAAATACCAAATATCTGCTTCCACATTATAGGATATGTATGTCAAAAACTCACCTTAGTGGTTTTAATGTGAAAATTCGCACATCTTTGGTAGCTACAGCCAATATATGGAAGGACCTTCCCAGGTTTGGAGCAAATGCAATATCATGCACAGGGTCTGTGACTGTCATAAGTGTTTCTGCTTTTGCATACTTCCTGAAAAATGAGACAGACAGTGTATTAATTTCTAAACAGAGAAACACATTAAAGCCCCCCCCCAAAACTGTTTTTATAACAACATTATCGGTAAATTGTCCCATGAAAGTATTTTTTTAAAAGTGTTCTCTAGATAATAATCCTTTTTTTCTAGAATGTATGTGTACTATAATTTGTACTATTTGATGTCTGGGATGTACAATTTGCTACAAAATTATTGCCATGTTATGAAGTGTTCAAGTGACAACTGATTTTTGTTATGAACAGCAAGAGGATGGGACCAGGTCACTCAACAATAACACTGACTTGAATCAGAAACATTAAATACACAAGTTGTCTTTTTACTTCAATGAATTTAATAGGCAGTGCTATGGAAATTCTTTCTGAGGTACTGAAGCTCAGAATGGCAAGTCTGTTGATTCATAGCAGAAAAAACAGACTGTACTCTTAGATTTCAAAAAAATTAAAACCATAGGAAGGGGAAAACTTTCCACAGATCATATGTTTCTCATTACTTCAACATCACTCACTATTCCCAATTAGTCAAATCAAGCTTATTATAGAGAGTTTGGATCTTTGAGTAGAAAAAGCTGCTTTGTTTTGGCAACAGACTCTATATTTGGAGGAAAGTACACAGGACAGGATTTTTATGGTTGGCATTCATTAATTAAATGTAGCCTTGCAAAACTTTAAAGGAAAATAATAGCATATTATTAGGAAAGCTAAAATATTCAGTATTCTCTACAGATTGTTGTTCAAGCCCAACTTCTGTCATTAAATTATCATGGAGCATTGGCAAGTTACTTCTCCCTCAGCCTCAACTTGAACATTAGCTATACAGCAGAAGTGGGGAACCTCCTGCAGCAAGAAGGTCATGTCCCCTTGCAGCCAACTTTCTGAAGGTCAAATGCCTGCAGTGGCAGAACCCGAACAGAACTGGGTGTGGCCAGAACAGGCAGAGAGCAAATGCACACATACAAATACCCCCCACAGAGAGAGGCGGGGAATACTCACTCACCCACTACCACAATCAGGCTTGGAAAAATGTTAGGGTTTTTCTTTACTAGCCACAAGGCTAAGGAAGGGGAGATCTTACAGAACTCAAGTAGGTTAAAATCTTCTTTCCCTGCTGTGATTTCCTCCTCCCATGCACTCCCAGCATGACATTTAGGCTTGAAATAAGCCTGCCATAGGTTTATAGCTGGAACGGAGAACCACTTTCAGCCTAAGGGCCAGATTCAAACCTGGCCAACGTTCTGGAGGCCACATGCCAATGGTATATGTGCGTCAGAAGCGGATGGGATCATCTTTAACTGTATTTCACATATACTTTGGAGGGAACTTTAGTAAAAGCAGCAAGGCAGATTAGAATGAAGACAGGTGACAGTAAATAGCATTGTATGATTGGCAGGTGGGTGGAATTTGCTATAAATGGTCACACAGGCCATTTGGAGGGACCACTGGTGATCTATAGTATAAACTTAAAATCAGTACCAAATTATGGTTTCAGCAAACCATTTTAACATGTTCAAGTCTCAGAAGAACAAATGATGTTGTGAAGCAATATTATGAAGTGTTTAAAAATGAAAGTTGCTTTGTTTTCTTCCACTTACCTGGTATTTTCATTGTATTCATAAATCTGAACTTTTGCCAGTACATTTGGGCTGCTGTCATCACTTCCTACAGCTATCATAGGTGCATGAGCGCGAGAGCTGCAAATGCAAAATGGAATATTCTTACAGAGGATTTCTGATGATGAAAATAAATTCTTCAATACATTTTCTCTTAAAAAACAACATGCACAGTGGACACCTGATGGTAGGATCTCAGGATCTCAGACAGAAAGGTTTTTTGCATCACCTAGTCTAACTATTCAATAGTCTCGAATTCCTTTTAGACCCAGCACCACTATTTTACAGTCAAGAATTTAAATAAAGATTACACAAGAAGGAAACAAGCCAATTACCTTTAGGGTTTCCCTCCCTCTTTACTTTCTGATTAGCCTGTCAAGAGAATTGATAGCTTACCTTGAAGGATTCCAAGAAATACAACTGCAGCTTAGTTTACATGAGATTTCATGCTGAAGTGACCACTGACTGAGATTCATAACATCTGGTGCTTCATATATCCTAACAACTCCATCTGCTGAACATGTTGCCAGCATGAGGCCCATATGCTTAGGAGCAAACTTTACATCTGTAACTGATGTCCTACTGTCAACCAGAGTAGTCCTCTTCACCTAAAGATAATCAACGGAGCAGTCATTAGAAGAAGGAAAACAGATTTTTAGATGCACCATCATTTATTTCTTTAGGTAAATAAACTTTAGAATAGAGCGCTAAATTTTTATCTGTAAACAGGTAAGATACTACACATTTGATAAATTTCATGAAAAACATAACCATGAAACATAACTGTATTAGAAATCTTACAAGCTCCAAAGTTAAGAAGAGCAAGTATGTTCATTTGATATTATGAAAAATTCAATTGAAATACATTCTAGCTGTAAGCATAAAGAATGCTCTTGTATACTGCGATGGGCAGATCATTGTTAATACTAAAGGTAAGAGCCAAGCAAACAGTAGAAGCTAATCAGAATTAAAACTAATAGATACTTGAATTTGAGTAAGACAATTCATTTCTTGCTAGGTCAGATTGGCTAGTAGTGTCAAAGGGCTGCATTAGGCAGTCTCTGCTCTAGGGTCCAGGTCTAGGGGCGCCCCCAACCTTGGAGGAGGGCTTTTCAAGAGGCAGTAAAGGCAGCTGCTGGAAGGAGAGAGCTAAAATGTTTCTGTGCATATGCAGAAGACTGTCAGTGGTATTTGAATCACGGCCTTTGCCCTCCCATACTTTTCAACCCCAACCTCACCCCAATCATGTGGATTAACAGGATAATCAACATCCCACCAGAGCTACAGCTTGGATCTTAACTTTTATTACACAAAAGGAATGGAGTTCTGTTCACATAATGGGGCTTTGTCACCTCCTCTCTGCAACTCCCTACACCTCCCAAAAATCTGCTCCTGAGAGTTGAGGAGCTCTTGAGATTGGTGTAGGATATGCGATGTGGGACTGCAGATGGAGAGAAGTTGGTAGATATCACACATCTCCTTGTCTGAATAGAAGAAAAATGTAGGGTCCAAGCTTATGATTCGTTAAAAGCCATGTATAGTAAACAAATCAAACTAAATATATCTATATATATTCAAATATGTAGCTTTGTGAATATAGAACTTTTCTTTAAAAAAATTATAATAAATCTCTTAACTGTGAAATTTAGCAAAGTAAATCCTCGAGGCAGCAACAATGTTACAAATTATATGTGAGAAATGAGTGCATTAGAACTGTCACTCTTCAAACCTTACCCAATGACTTTGCCCTCGAAGTTTATCATTTGATTCTCCTACTATTTCTTCCCATACAGCAGCTGTTCTGTCAAAAGAGCAGGAAGCCAAGACCTGTCCAAACTCTGGATGTGCCCATGTAACACGCCACACAGATCCACTATGTGTCTGGAAAGGTAAGAAGAACTGGAACTTGAAAACCAGAGACTAAAATTGAAGATGTTTTAACGTATGCACCTTTCTAGGCTGGGAGGAAAAATAGTAACAGCAATATAAATTAAGTATCAAACATCAAAGTCCCTTTACAGTCCTCCCCTTGACTGATCCATTTCCAAAACACAAACTAAAATGTATGGGACAGCTGAATATTCCTGTATTGCAGGGAGTTGGATTAGATGATCCTCAGGGTCCCTTCCAACCCTACAGTTCTAGGATTCCATGATTCTATGTTGTATACCACCTACCCAGTTAACTGAAGTAATAGGGTCAAAGTCCATGCACACATAATATTCCAAGTGGACCCTGGAGGCAATTTCCCACATGGATACATGTTGGCCACATTTGCATGCCACACAAAACCATGATTTGAAGCAGGCAAACCATGTGCTCCTTTTGCCTGATCCACAGTTTTGTGTCACAAGAGATACCGTATTTTTCCGTTTATAAGACAATGTTTTTTCCTTAGAAACAATAGGCAAAAATTGCAGATCATCTTATACACGGATAGCAGAGGGGGGATGGGCGATTGGTGGCAGAAGCCAGCAGACTGGCAGTAGCGATTGGGCGTGTGATTGGTTGCCGCGGCAAGGCCTGCTGATGATTGGCTGCGGCAATTGGGCGGCCGATTCATGGCAGCGGCGAGTCATGCGTGCAATTGGCTGTGGTTGCGTTGAGTGGGCAGGTGGGCTTTTGGCAGCGAGCATGCAGATGTTTGGTGGTCGTGGTGATGCGTGTGATTTGCAGTGGTGGGCAGGCTGTAAAGTAATTTGGGCAATTCCTCCTCCCCTCCCCCAATTTCTGTTGCAGTCCCAAAAAATAGGGGTTGTCTTATACATGGAAAAATATGGTACTTCCCAAGTGGCATATACAAAAGGACTTGATGAGATGGACGTAAGGAATAACTCATATGACACTGAGCTTTGGGATAGGTAGGAGTTTCTACCTTATCCAAGTGTCAGCACAACATGAGAGACCTCCACCAAATTTCTTTTAATAAGAAGAGGGGTGTTTTTGTGATCCATATACCGCTAGCCATCTTGGAAAAGGACCTGCATATTGAAGAAACAGACTGGAAATATGTAAAGTGTGAATGGAAAATTCAAGGAAAACATTTTTGCAAATCTGAACAGAAACATGAACATCTGTATACATGAGCATCTTTATAGTTTCAACAGAGAGGAAACAAAATTTCACGCCAGGAGTTTTGTGTAGTTAAACATTCATAGGGACTGACTTAGCAGTTAAAAGTAAAGTAATTTACACCGAATTATAGCTGCAGACAATTATCGGGTTACACATTCAGGCTGCAATCCTTAAGAAACTACAAGGGAGTAAGCCCCATTGAACAAAGATAATTTTACTGCTGAGTGAACATGCATAGGACTGCATTGTTTGGAATGAATCTTTCCCTACATTGTGGCTTCTCATGCCAAAAACTGTTGCATGCAACTGATTTTTCCAGGTTTCAGCCCTTACCTTCCAGCTGGCAGTACAGTGCCATTCTCCATTTTCACCTTTGTCCCAAACCTATTAAGAAAACCAAACAATATCTAAATCTTTTATTCAAAAGTTAGAGAAAGTACAATGATCCCACAAACAAGTCCATAGATCAAGGTTTGTGGAGAGTCCCAGAAGGATGCTAAACCACAAATATTCTTCTATAATATCAACTCATATGTGAGCCAAATAAGAATTGTGCATAGATTTCTCTATAAAAAGGACAGTGAGTGTGTGTGCTATTCCAATTTGGAATTGCCTCTGTTCACTAGGACCACAAGAGTATCTGGCCCCAACATTGGACCACTTGGAATCCTTGAGGCTACCTATATCATTTTCTTACACAGATATAATTTCTATGCAGGGTTCAAAATTAGTAGGGTGCCAAGCACATTTTGTGCTTCTCCAAAGATTCTCCATTTATGAGCACTCTCAAGGATTACTGAAATGTATGTGCTTTGAAGCCTCGAAGTACAAGTTAAGTATAGACAATTAACAATTAAAAGTAGGGTGTTTCAAAACTGAAGTATGGTAACAATATTTTTAATGTAAACACCAGTTCATGCTTATCAAAATAAAACATGTTGCTGAACACCCCCCCCCCATGGCAACTAGGCATTCTGTTTTGGTGGCCTCAACCTAGGTCTCAGAAGCCATTTCGCTTATAGCTTTTCTATCCCAGTTTCTAACACTGCTTCTGTGTATGAAAAGGTTATATGGCATAGCACATAAGTATGTATTTGCTGAATATACATTGGGAAGTTACAGCTAATCATAGCATTCTGCTACATGCAGACATCTACATGTGCAGGATGACACAGTGCATATAAATTTCTACATGGGAGCAATATTTATGCAGGAAAATTGACATGTGCAAAATGGGTCTTAGAAGTAATGGTTAGTTTCGCCAATACATTGTCCTATATAAAGCAAGATAAATCAATTTTATCATTAAAACTCTGCATTTTTACCTGGGAATTAAATTCATTTACCACATTGGAAGTTACTTCCAAGTGAACACATAATTACGGTACTGACTTGCAAACTTTACATGTCAGCTAGACATGAATCATTACAGTATATTATAATTATTATCTAGAGAATATATAGAATATACATACACACCCCTAATGAACATTACTCTGAATTACATACAACAGTAGTCCCACTGAAAAAACTGAGATCCATTAATTTTAGTTAGGTTTACTCTAGGTAAAAGACAGTACAATACACACCTCTAGTCTGTGTTCTTTCTCAGCTGCAAAACTAGTATCCTTACTTGAAAGTGCCATTGAGCTCAGTTCAACTTACTTCTGAGTAAACAAAGAGGATCAATCTATATCTCAGCTGGTACACACTTACACAGCCTTCTACATCTACTCAAAAGTTTTAATTCAGTGGGGTTTACTCCCAGGTTAAGAGGGGTGAACACTGAAGAATGATTTACAATCCTAACCCACCTACTTGGGAGTAAACTCCATTAAATTCAATAGGACTGGCTTCTGAGTAAACATGGTTAGGATTGCAGCCTAAATCGTTATTAATCCCAAATCACTAATTCCCATTAAGGAAAATAAATCCAAATTGTCTACACCTATTGCAAACCTGTACTGCAAAACTCTGGAAAATAATCTCAAACCACTTTTTAAAAGCAAACAACTTATTGCATACATACCGTATTTTTCGCCCTATAGGACGCACTTTTTACCCTCCAAAAATGAAGGGGAAATGTGTGTGCGTCCTATGGGGCGAATGCAGGCTTTCACTGAAGCCTGGAGAGCAAGAGGGGTCGGTGCGCACCGACCCCACTCGCTCTCCAGGCTTCAGGAGAGCCCCAGCGCCAGCCCCACAAGGTCGGGGGACAGAGGGAGGCGGAACGCCACCATCCCGCTGTCTCCCGAAGTGGTTTGGAGGCTGACGGCGGGGAGACCCCGCTGCCAGCCCCGCAAGCTCCGGGGACAGTGGGGAGGTGCAGCGCGTCTTCCTCCTGTCCCCGGACCTGATCTGAAGGCGGGCGGCGGGGAGAAGAGCGCTTCTCCCCGCTGCCTGTCCCGCAAGCTCCGGGGACAGCTGGGAGGCGCAGCGCGTCTCCCCGCTGTCCCCGGACCTGATCTCAAGGCGGGCGGCGGGGAGAAGAGCGCTTCTCCCCGCTGCCTGCCCCGCAAGCTCCGGGGACAGCTGGGAGGCGCAGCACGTCTTCCCGCTGTCCCCGGACCTGGTCCGAAGGCGGGCTGAGGGGAGAAGAGCGCTTCTCCCCGCTGCCGGCCCCACAAGCGCCTGGGGGGGAAAATAAATTTTTTTTTCTTTATTTCCCCCCAAAAAAACTTGATGCGTCCTATGGGCCGGTGCGTCCTATGGGGCGAAAAATATGGTATGTTACAAGGCCACACAAATCTTCTGATGGACCCATGGGTATTAACACAAAACAAAAATCAGAAAAATTAGTCACACTAATTGCATGTTTAATGAAAAAGCCTCTGAACATGTCCATCATCCCACATTATTACTTGCTTTCTCCATTAATAAGTTGTGACTCTTCCATCTACCATGACTTGCCCAACATTGCCTTTGAGAACCCTTTAAGTTTAATTACATTGCACTGGTCCAAAATACAGAAAGATGATTAAGGACAGAGGCGTATGCACCCTTGCTATCTGGAAGTAAGCCCCATCGAATTCCGTGGAACTTTTGCCAAAGAGGGCAGGGGACAAGACACGCTGCTAGAGAAGTTCCCGACTTAACCATTTCATTCATACCACACGCATCCTGCCTTTTTTATTATTAGTTCAAGTACTGTAACTTGGAAGTTGCCACCAAAAGCAGTCCATGGGCCTGTTTTGGGTTTTCTCCCGCGCTACAAAAACAAAACAGGGACTTTCTCATGTCCTACAGTTTGTTATTTCTTCCGTTGTAAAAAGGCTGCTATAAAAACGTGGTCCTCCTACAAGCCCCCCTCCCCATGACCACCTGTTACCCAGGGCAGGCAGAAGTTCCCAAGCCACCGCAGTAGCCCTCCTTGAGGCCTGACCGAAGGAGCCGGACAGCGGAGGGGCAGCGCGTGGTCCCCGAGAGAGGAGGGCGAGCAAGGGAGCCGGCCGGAGGAGCATGGGCGTCAACGGGCCCCGCGCGGGTCTAGCCCGATTCACGAGGGGAAACAGACCGGGGCCCGCGGCCTTCGCGCGCTCTCGGCATCCCCGCACCTTGACACTCTGGTCGCTGGAGCAGGTCGCCATGCGCCGCCCGTGGAAGTCGAAGGAAACGTCGTGGATGAGGTCGCGGTGGTCGGCCGCGATGCTGCGCGCCACGAACATCTCGGCTGCCTCGCTCCGTCAGCCGAGCTCGCCGCTGCTGCTGCTGCTGCTGCTGCTGCTGCTGCTACGATTAAGGCAGCGGAGGAGGCGAAGTAGCGGCTTCCCCTGACCAGCTGCACTGACGGCGCGAGCAAACTCTTTCCCCCTCTCTCTCGCCTCGAAAAGGCGCGCCTGGCTCAGTCTAATTGCGTGGAGCGCAGGGCCTTGACGGGAAGGAGGCGGCCAATGGAGCGTCTCCCCGGCGCTTGCGCTTTTGCGCCTTTCCCTCAGGCAGAAGCTGAGGCAGCCCCGGCAGGGGAGGAGGGGAGGGAACCGAAGAGCCGCCCCATTGTTCTTCTCGAGCGAGGAAGGATTTGTTGATTTCCAAACCCAACAGGCGGAAGCTTTAAGAATTTCCCATAACCCGCCCTGAACATGCTGGGGTTTGGGTTTTTTGCAGAGACGCACGCCGAGGAGTCCGCTTAAGCAATTTCGCCTCTGGCAAGAAGCACCGGTCGGGGACGAAACAGTTTGGGATCCGGTGGCTTTGCTCTGCCCTAGTAAACGCCCTGTTTGGGGCCCTGAGCTTGATACCACTGGCGGAACCACCGCTGGCTAATAAACTGCTGCAGAGCACGCCCCCCCCCCCGGTCAGGAAATGCCCCCCGCCAGCATATCCTAACCTCCATCAGCAAAGATGGGGGGGGGGGCGGTGATGGTTGAGAATGCCACTGTTAGACTCCAGTCCTTTACACACTTACCTGGATATAAGTTTCATTGAAATCATTGGGACTTCTAAAATAGTTGCATTTATGCAAGACATATCCCAACATTGCTGCAATTCTAGTTTATATTAAAACACTCAGTTTATTTTTTTTAAAATGATATTTATTAAGGTTTCAGATAAAAAGAGACACATCAATAAAAAAGAATTTAGTTTATATTAAAACACTCAGTTTAACATGGGAATTGGATTTTGTCCCATTAACATTAAATTGGTCCAATCTAAGTACTTTCTCTTAAATCAGGAGAGACTAACCTTTGGCCCAAAGGTAAACAATTAAACAGGGATGAATGTGGTCAAAAGCTGGTTATGGCCACACAAACTTGCACGTAAACATTTACCACAACATACACCCCAGCATTGTGTTTACTTTTTTCCTTTGCCACCACCCAAGTTGGTGTGGTGGAAGGGGAGAAATTGCTTTGGTGGACAGATCACCCTTGCTTTTTGGACTGAATCCTTATAGACAGCTTTCACTGTAGCAATAACCAGCAATACATGCCATAGAACAGGGGCTGTCTCCGAAGTGCCTGTAGGCACCAGTGTGCTCACCAATACTTGTTAGGAAAGGCTTCAAAAATCCACAATGCACACAATACTGTTTGATCTTGCTCTATTCCCTTTTACACTGGTTTGGCATCTTGAACAATTAACATCATTAAACATGCCCACATTTCATTGGATACCAAGGTCATATACACCAACCGTCTTCAGTTCTGAAAGAGAAGTGTGAGGTTTCCCTCTAAGTGTGGTGGTGACAATTTTGTGCTATACAATACACCAGAAGTTCCCATTAACTAAATACTGTGGACCCATGTTGTTCAAAAGCCAAGCCATGGATTCCCTACTTTGGAAAATTTTGATATCTTTTTGGTAGTTTTTGTTATGTGAATAATGTCATGGACTCCCTAGGTGGGTTATGAGAACCTGGATGGTTAAGTCCAATCAAAGGAGATTATGGGGTGGGGCGCTCATTTCGCTTCAGGCCAAGGGAACTGGTGCTTGTCCATAGACAGCTTTTCCAGGTCCAGCATGACTAAACAGCTTCTGGTGCAACGGAAAACCATGACGGAAACCAGAGTGTATGGAAATACCATTTAGCTTCCCACCACAGCGGTACCTATTTATCTACTTGCACTGGTGTTGCTTTTGATCTGCTAGGTTGGCAGAAGCTGGGACAGAGCAATGGGAGCTCACCCTGTTGCTCAAACTTGAACTGCTGACCTTCCAATCAGCAAGCCCAAGGGTTAGTGGTTCAGACCACAGCGCCACCCACTCCCTCGAACCACTGCAATAGACCCATTGTAGTCAGTTTGTGACTGGTGTTTGCAGCACTTTTGTCAAAATTCAAAATGTACCCACTGCCCCAAAACGTTGGCAACTTCTACATTGGTACAATCTAGTTGTATGGCTTTTGTGCATTTTAGTTTTTCATTATTTACCTTTGACAGAAAGTTTTTACAGAAAGGCTAGATTGTTCAGCAGTACAGAAATATTAGCAAATGTGTAAGTAAGTAAAGGGACGCGGGTGGTGCTGTGGGTTAAACCACAGAGCCTAGGACTTGCCGATCAGAAGGTCTGCGGTTCGAATCCTCGTGATGGGGTGAGCTTCTGTTGCTCAGTCCCAGCTCCTGCCAACCTAGCAGTTCGAAGCACGTCAAAGTGCAAGTAGATAAATAGGTACCGCTCCGGCGGGAAGGTAAACGGCGTTTTCGTGCACTGCTCTGGTTCGCCAGAAGCGGCTTAGTCATGCTGGCCACATGACCCGGAAGCTGTAAGCCGGCTCCCTCGGCCAATAAAGCGAGATGAGCACCGCAACCCCAGAGTCAGTCACGACTGGACGTAATGGTCAGGGGTCCCTTTACCTTTAAGTAAGTAAGTAAGTAAGTAAATAAATAAATGCTAGCGACTGCAGCTGGGATCCTTTGCGTGTAAAGTATCTGTTCTATAGGTGAACTATGTTCCTCTCCGCTTTCCTTCTTTGTGACCAAGAAACAGAACAAGTGTGGGACTAAGCAGATGAGGCACAGGGCCTGAGCAGGTAGGAACAAACTTGATTGCTCATTACTGAACTCAACACTGGAAGGAGCAGGCTTAACACAACGTTGATGCCGAGTTTGCCCCTTTATTTTCTTCTATGTAAATAAAGCGAAAGCAAAAATAAAATGCTGCACGCAGGCAGCTGCCGCGTTAACAGCCAAACTGGATTGCTTCCATTTTCCTGACACTGAGTAATCGGCCTCGCTGACAGGTACAGTATCAAACTTCCTTTACAATCGTGTCCTTTACATGCTTTTTTCAGGACCCTTTAGCTTGACGGGCATTTTGCAAGTATACATCGGGAACTCCCTCGGGATCTTGAGAAGCATCCGCATCCCCCAATCCTCCAGCGCCTTAACACACGAGGAAAGAAAATAATCCCACTTCCTCCACCTGCCGAGCCCCCTCACGAAACTCGATCCACTCCCTTCCCGCCCAAAGGGAACAGCGGAGTGATCTCCCCCGCCCATCCTCCTTCGCGGCTAATGGGCGGAGCTTCCGCAATTCTGGGTAGGCGGTCATGGTGGCCTGCCGCGCATGCGCCTGCCGAGAATGCCGCCGAAGAGCCGCTGAGGCTGCGTGCGCGGTGGGGAAGGTAGTCGAGGGTAACACGGCCGGTGAAGTGGACGGGTTGTCGTCCGCGCCCTGTCAAGTAGCGCGGAGTAGGTGATGAACTTGTCGGCTCCCAGCGGCCTTCCTTCCTCCGGCTGTCGCCGCCATTATGTCCGTCACCGCCACTATAGAACAGGAGTTCCAGGAGATCGACGCTGCTAACGGCTGGCAGCCCCGGTACCTGGTGAGTGAGGGAGGGAAGGAGGGGGCCGCGTGTAGCGGGAAGAGAGAATTGGGGGCCGACGCGGGTGGTGAGGGTGCAGGAAGTCGTCGGTCCACGACCAGCTTCCCCCCCTCCCCCAGGTAACCATTGAGGTTGGGAGAAGTAATGCGCATGTTCCAGTTTTAAGAAGGGGCGGTGATGAGCGAGAAAGAATAATAAAAGAGGGCTGAGGGGAAAACGCATGCGCCTCGGGGGTCGGGCAAGAGGAGAAGGGGGCATTTGGGCAGGTTAGTGCTGCGCATGCGCCGGTGGGGGTAGGTTTAAGTTGCTTCGCACGGGTGGTGACGGGAGGGTTAAGTTCGTCAAGTGAAGTGTCGCAAGTTCCAGCCTCCGTCTCTCCAGGTTCCTGTCTCACACTTCTGTGTTTGCTCCGCGCGTAGCTGTGTCGTTCAGGCTGTCGCAAGTCGCCGTTTCGCTCGTTGACTGCGGAGTGAAATGTCCTGTCGACGTACAGGGAAAAGAGCTGCCCTTACAGTACCAAGCGGGGCCACGCTTCCACGTTAATGCGCGTTATGTGTTACAACGTCACTCTACGCGTATGTGCGCTGCTATCAGTCGCCCTGCAGAATTAATAACTTCCTAGCTACAGTTTAAACGTAGTGTCATGGTGCCAGGAACAAAGGAAATCCCGGGTTCTGCTGGAAACTCTTGGGAATGCCTCACACATTACAGTTCCGTCTAAATGTGACACAAGCACAGGAGCAGTACCATGGAACCATAATTTGTTGCAGCTCCCTGATGTGTGTTTGCTTGGTGGCAAATCCAGGTCTGTTGGCACATAATGTGTGAACTGGCCCTTAGTTGAGAACTGGAGATAATTTTAACTTTTCCAAAGTTTATAGGTGGGAAAGGCTCATTTGAGCTAGTTGTATTTACACACAAAAGGTTTTAGAGTTCAGTCTGGATCTTGATAGAATGTGGCCTATAAGTGTTGCTTCAGTCTTGAGCCATTTAGTTTCTTATGTAAATTTTTTGAATCATCATTGTGGAGTCCATTAAAAAGCATATGAATACACATGCTTAATACTCAAAACGATGCTAAGTCTCTTTAGATTCAGTGTGACCTAAAGTGATGGTGGTTTTAAAAGCCCAAGCTCATTACATTACTGTTGCTTTGTTACTTGTGTATGTCTATGAGAGCTGTTTGGCATATATATTTCAGGGCAGGTTACAATACAATAAAACTGTAAAACCACACTGCAGTGAAGCCAACTCATCACTGCTTATAAAACATAGCTTATCCTTAAAATGCCCAGGCAGGCACAACCCTGGAACCTCACTTGCAGCAGTGACAGAATCCATAATACACCCCCCCCAAAAAAAAGCTGTGCAAATAGATGAATTTTCACCTGGCACTGAATTGTCAAAAGTGTTGTTACCTGTCATGCCTCTAGGGAAGAGAGTATAGGTGGGATACCACTACCACAGAAGAGGCCTTATTCTGTGTCACAAGAATGGCTTTCTCTCAGATCTAATAGCATAGACAGACTGATACAGAAGAACTGTTCATTTGGGTATTAGAGCTTAAAGTTGTGTAGGGTTTTACAGATCAGCACTAGTACCATGAATTCTGCTCACAAGCCTATAGATAGCCAGTATTGGCTTTTCAGGTCAGTGGCTGTGTGATTCCAGCTAGATACACTGGTTATAATTCAGATCCCACATTCTGAACTATTTATGGCTTCTTGACCGCCTTCAAGGGCAGCCCAACATTGCAGTAGTCCAACTGAGAATTTACCAGAGCATGAGCAACTGTCACCAGGCTTTCCTGGTCCAGGAACAGATGTAGCTGATAAACCAGAATATAAGAAAAGTCCTGCTGGATCAGGCCAAGGCTCAGGTGGTTCAGCATCCTGTTCTCACAATGGCCAACCAGATATTTTAGGAAGGACCTGAGTGCAATAGCACTCTCCCTACATGGGTTTCCCTGCAGTTTCCCCAGTTCAGTCTCCCTGCAACTGGCATTCAGAGGCATGTTGCTTCCAACAGTGGCAGTAGAACATAGTCATTGTGGTTGTTAGTCATTGATAGCCCTATTCTCTGTGAACTGGTCAAAGACACTGCCCCACTGAAGTTACCTGAACCTTAAGTGACAATTCTGAATCAAAGAGTACCTGAGACTACACACAAGCATCTTCAGTGGGAGTGGAACCCTGCCCAGAATAAATTATCAGACCAATTCCAAGACGCTCAGGGCCTTCACCTGTCAGCATTGTCTCTGTTTATTGACTCTTATACATCTATACTGATGATTACAATTATAGAGCCAGAAGGGACCCTGCAGGTCATCTAGTCCAATCCCCTGCAATGCAGGAATCCTTCCCACAGCCATCCCTGGGTGGCTCGAACAACCAACCTTGATTAACAGCCAGATGCACTGACCGATCGTGCCACAGGAGAGCTCCCAGGATTAGCTATAAACATGTGCAGAGTTCATTTCAAATGCCCTTAAATTGGGAGGCATTATCTAACCTTTGTGATGGTTGCTATCCACATAATGTTTGGGAATGGGCTGCAAGTACATGGAATGTCAGCCATGTCTCCTCAGAAGTAAGTCATTACTCCCAGGTAATTATCACAGCCTTAGTGTTCTTTTGCATGCTGCCCTGAATCTTTTTGCTCCAATCTGCTTCTTGTATTGGTATATTAGATTAGAGCCCATGACAAATCAATAAGATTGAAACCAATTCACAAATATCTCTTGGATAACTATATGTGCCTGTTCTGTTTGGAGCAATAGCTCAAGTTCCATGTTACAAGGAAGCAGTAAGGTTATTGAGCAGGGGTCAGCAAGGTTTATTTTGCCTGGTCCGGATCGGTCCTGTGGCGATCCCTCTGTGGGCTGCATCACACGTGCACGTGAGTGCACATGCCTGCGATTTTCGGTGTCTGCACAGATGAGATTGTTGGCGTCTGCGCAGACATGATTTCTGATGGTGCGGAAGTGAGTCCCTGTGCTGCACTGGTTTAGTGCAGTGCGCGAGTGGGCAACTCTATTCAGGGGCGGCTCGTGGGCCAGTCAAACAACCCTCCGCGGGCTTCTTCTGGCCCATGGGCCTTAGGTTGCTGACCCCTGTTATTGAGGGTAGAAGTAGGTGGTTGACGTGGTACTTGTTTGCCCTGATGAGGCAGTTCAGTGATTGTGTATTCTGTATTGAGAATTGACAGCCTGAAGGCTGGATTTAAATGTATGTTCTAGTGAAAGTTGTTCTCTTCCTTGCTCTTTTCCTATACATAGTTCTGTAAAATTCAAAATAAAAGTGGGAAAGAGCAGAATGAATTTCTCCATCAGAAGAGCAGTGGTAGCCAATATGTTCATAATATGCATATTTCTTGTTGTCACAGTAGGGTTTGCCTGTGATGTGGCTTTCTTGGTTTCCATTTACTTTGGGCCTTTGAATCCCTAGACTTCTTGTCACACTGATGGTATCTTCTAATTTTTGCAACCACTGTCAGAGCACGTGTTGCCACATGCTTAAGCATAGTGGTGTGGTTAACTCCGTCAGTAATTTCTCACATGACTGTATTGCTACTGGATACTTTGTGAATAATGGGTTCCTCTCTGCAGGGTTGTGGTTAATCTGGTGATACGATACTATGGGCTTATAAAGTCCCTTCTGTCCTTGTCTGCTGGCTGCGTTTCCCTAGTATTTTCTGAACGGCGTATTAGGGACTCTGTTTCTTTTCCTAACTTTGTGTGGAATTCATTTCAACATTTCAACTTTGGTTGGCTTCATTTATTTTTTGAGTTTGGGCTATTTTTTCTGTAAGTTTTGTACTGGGTAGTGAACACTTGTGTATTTCCACTGACACAAGGGCCAATGATCTGTTTTCTGATGGTGGTATTTTCTTTGTCGAAAGAGGGAAAATTTTTATATATTGTTCAAAGTGATTATTTTCGGTAATCCTTACTTGCTTATTGTAAGGTGGACCAATGTTGTATAAAAGAGGTAAGGCTGCTGAACCTGAGAGTAGTTTTGCTAATACTTCAGAGTGAGCCCATGGTTAAAGTGAGATATCAGACTAAGAAACTGGTGGCTCACAGTTGATACTCCTAGCTGCCATGTTAAATAACTCTGTACCCTCTGTACCCAGGATAGGATGTGACTAACATTTCCATTTCTTTGTTGTTCTTGTGCTACATCTTTCTCTGGCCCCTTGAGAGATGCAGACTCTGCGCAGCGTACTCAGTTTTCTTTTGTTGGGCCAGCTATTTGTAGGAGGGAGAGATTTGTCCTAACTAGTATCCAATTTGTATATTTTCTCTGTGGGTCCTTGAGTTGTTTCCTGCTATGTGATGTGCTCACTACTGAAGCTCAGACTAAATGAAGGATTTTGCAATACTTACTTAATAGCCTTGTTCAGCTTAAGTGAAAAAGCCTTGGGCTCGTTGTCCCCCCCACCCCCTGCTTCCAGTGTGGCTGTAAGGAGGTGTTTAAAATAATTCACTGCCATTTTAAAATAATTGCTGTTTGGCCAGACTTTCAAATCCAGACAAACTGGTTAGTCTTACCTTTGGTTTAGGGAAACAAGCCAGTTTGAAATCATTATTAAAATTAATCAATTTTAGATTCAGGCATAATGATAAACTGAAGTTAATTGAAAACAGAATCAAACCTTAAAATCCCCTCACTGCTACGTCAGGGAAGGAGGATGTACATAGGCGAAAGCTCAATGATATAATATTAAACCATAGTTTGACATTATATCTGGACTAGGTCAGTGACTAGGACATTGGTGGTCAACCTGTGGTCCTGTAGATGTTGCTGGACTCCAACCTGCATCAGCCCCATCCAACATGGCTAATAGTCTGGAATGATGGGAGTTGTAGTCCAACAACATCTAGATGGCCCCAGGTTCCACCCCCTGCATTGACTGATAGAAACTGAGTTTTCAGTAAGCTCTATATCCCAGTAGTGGTACTTAATACCACCCTGGTGGCTTTCTGTTTTATTTTATTTTGCTTCAGATGCAAGTTTAAGCTTACGCTAAGTCCACAAGGAATGTTGCAAAAATGACTTTAAAAATAACTTAAAATATATCTTAACATTTGCCTCATAAGCACAATAATGCAGCTGTCATACTGGATGTAGTAGAGCACTTGGCCATGAAGTTCTTTCTCCAAATCTTACTATCAAGCTGTACCAACTAAGTTACTTTTAAACTCCTTAAAGTATCAGGATACCAATTATTCCCAACAGAAGTTACATAAATGGAAATTTTGAAAGCATGTTGGCATTCTAGAACCTCAGTCCTGAACATTTTGTTACACAAATAAATACATGCTTCCACTATAATGCAATTAGTGCCATGTGGGTATTAATATATATATTCCATTTTTAAAAGCCCCATTGGGGTCTTGAAGCAGTGGAGCAATTGTGGTGTGGAGTGGTGATGAAACTAGTTTATTTGGTATTAACAGCCAGTTCAGACACCCCCAGTGTGCATCTGCCATTCTGTTAGCTAGTTTACTGTTTGTAGTAAGAGGTTCTTTAAATATCTGATCACTGACTTGGATTAACACCATTTCCCAAACTTGTTACTGCATATCTAGGTTGGTTCTCTTCAGAACTTCCTTTCAGTTAATAGATAGACCAAGGCTATCTCTATTTTACAGCTGTTAAATTTGACAGAAGTTTGCTACATGAATGCACTCTACTAATTTAGAAACTTGGGTTGTAATAATTTTAATCACTGCATAAAATACTGTCCTTGTTGAATTGTGATCACAGTAGTCATTGAATTTTCAGTTGACAAAGAAATAAGGATTACAGCAAATTGAGTAAGATAAATTTCTACTGTGCCTTTAAATATAATATTTGTTTTTATTTCTTCAGTATCTTTTGTTTGTACTGCCAGGAAGTAATCATAACATAATCAACTATCTTTGCTTATTCCAGGATATTCGGCACCAGTCCAGTGATTATTCACATAGAGTTGCAAAGTATGCAGAAAATCGAAATCGTAATAGGTACAGAGATGTTAGCCCATGTAAGTAAACTTTTTTTTTCTTTTTTTCCCCCTGGTAATCTAGTGCATGACAAAGTAGGTTTGACATTACCAATGCTAATACTTTAAATAGTTTTGGGCTAGTGTTGTAGAGTTTGATATGTGAAGCTCCACTGCAGTCATTGAGATGAAAGTGCATACAATCAATGAAGTCATGTAGAAATTATTGTACTTTATATAGAGAGACTTCTATAGAAGCCTTCTATCCATGCAGTATTATATTTATATCTCGCTTTTCTTCTGTGGAACTCAAAGTAGTGTATAGAGGCCTCCCAGGCAGTCCTCTAGTCAGGTGCCAGAACTGGCTAACCAGAACTACACATGCACAACTTCTGCAAGGTTGCTGTGCCTTCAGGAACCCTGGATAATCATTATTATCCAGACTTCTAAAAAATTGTTAAGACTGATGTTGCAGTAAGTATGTGTCACTTAAGAAGCTCCTTCATTTTTCTCTTATGCGGTTTCAGATAAAGATAGGTCATCTGAACTCGACTTTGTTATGCTGTTGAAATAAAAGATGTGACAGTTCTGGTATCTTTCAGAAGGAATACTACTTATGGTAAATATGTACCAGACATGGTTTGGGACAATTCCATGTCACTCAGTTAACCATCAGGCTGTAGACAGTACCATATTTGGAAGAGAAAAGCTGAGCAACTGCAAATTTATTGTGATAAGCATATTCAGACAGTCAGAATGGGAACATTGTTTGTTTCAAGATTCTACTCCCATAAACTAGCAAATTTTGTCAAATTAAATATATTTAATGTAGATTCTTTTTAAACGTTGGTTTTGCAGAAGTGGTAATTTGTATGAATTCCATACAGTCTGTGTTGTTTTGATTGTTATTCAGTTCCATGGCAATTGTCAATTTAAAAGATTAAATGAGTGCTTTATAAAAAGCAAGGTAGAATTATTCTCAACTTTTGCTGGATTACTGAACTGCTATGGAAAAGTGAAGATTCCAGGTCACAGTGACCTCCAGGAATTACTTTGCTGGCAGTAGAGTAATTTCTGTCTTGAGCATTTCCAGCAAACTAGGCTTATATAAACATGCCTGAAAAGTCTTTTAAAAATCCTATTGATGTCTGTGGGACTCTTCCAAGATAAATGGCTTATTGACTGGAGTTCTTGTCTGCCAGATTATTCAGTACTGTACTTTATTTTAATCACATTTAGAAGGGCATGTTGAAAATTTGAATAAGTCTTAATTTTCCATACTTGTCACCACCAGTGGTCCAGAATACTGGGATACTCTCTACTCTATCCACTAAGAGGCAGACTTTTAAAAAGCCCTCTACTTTTGTCTTAAGGCAGGGGTGGGTAACAGTTAAAAGTGGGCTGGATCCAGCCTGCAGAATCTTTTTATCTGGCCTGTGGCCTCTCCTCAGACCTACCTTGTCCTTCAGTTGGGTGACACTGAACAGAGGCACCTCTGACCAGAGTCATACAACACCCCCTCCTCACTAGCATTTCCCAGAAATGTAGCAGTGTCTTATTATTCAGTGGTATACTTAAAATAAGTAAATCTGCAGTCTCTACAAGTAAACGCTGCAGAGATGTGGGTTGTTCAACAAGCTCAGAGTCCATTTATCCCTTCATAATCTGCATAGAGCCATTTTGCTCTTTTTGATGAAATTAGAGCTGAATAATAATTTGAAAAACTAGACCAAATGCTTGCTTTTTGTCATTGATGGACTGAAGCACAGAAGTGGGGTAAGACTGTTGTCTTCTGTATGAAATTCAACAGCACAGCTTGGTGATTCAGTGGTTAAAATAGTACTTGCTGACATCATCTTTCCGAGAACACTAGCACCAGTATGTGTGATTTACTATAACAAGATCTTAAGTTTTTCCTGTTGGCAAATGGTATGTAGTATTTACAAAGGTTTTGGTTTCTGTCCAGCAGAAACATTTGAGTTCCAATAAATTGATAATGAAAAAAGAAACTTAACGCTTTCATTTCCAAGCAAGGTAAACAGTTCCCCTTCAAGGAAACAATATTTGAAGCATTTGTATAGTATAGATAGATAGATTGGTTCAGACTCTGTAGATTTTAAATCCTCTCTGGAAAATACGTGTACCAAAAGTGATTGCGCTTGGTATCATATTTTCTGGAAAACAGCATCTATCTCTGAGTCCAAGCTTTCGTTGACTTTTTAAGGCTTGGAAAAAAATGCTTGTTTCATTCATTTTGAACAGTCATATTTTGTAAAAACTTTTGTACACTTGAAGTAATTTTTTTTCTACAGTCTTCTTGTGTGGTGCTGGTTTGTGCTTGCTTCTTTATTGTGCAGTTAGATTTACTTTCAGTCTGACAGGGACTCAAGGTTGTAGGTCTTCATTCTTAATTTCCAGCCACACATACTTTGGTTGTGTCTCTAGATGGTGTCAGAGATCCCTCCCAACCCCTATACTTTCAGTATCGATCGTATATCTCTAGGTGCTCCATGAGTGTACAAACCCTGGCTGTAATTTAAATTAGATGTCTACACACATAAAGGTGTGCACAGCCAGGACGCTATCCACATATTTGCTTCTTCATCTCCAACATGCAGCAATACAAGCCATTGTGCAGATTGAAAAGCGGGTTGTATCTGATCAGCTACTGATCACAAAACAGTAAGTTGCACCATACACAGTTTATTGGCTTGTAGCCCCAGATCTTCATCAAGCATAATAGACTATTTGTGTTCGCTTTCCATCTCAGTGTAACACTTCATGTATGCAGTTTGCAAACCCTAGCCTTTTACCTAGAAATGATGAAGAAACATTATTACAGATGATTGTCATGGGCAAGATACATGTTGGTGGGAGTTGTGAGAAGCCCAGTCGGGGGAAATTCTAATTACAAACATTTAAGAGGAGAGCTGGTGCAGTGATATGGCTTCAGGTATATGCTGGGAAGTCTGGTTAGAATTGGAGACCTTAAACAGGCCAATGCTATATCCTCCGTACCTCCATTCTGTGATTTAAAGATTATAATGCTGGTCCATATTATATAAATTACTGAGATATTGAGTGAAACACTTATTCAAGTACAGCTGTATTAATGTTACAACTAAAGGTTTAAATGCTACCCATAGAGAATGCCAGGATTCTTCACCCCTGAAGAATCTGACACCTTTTGTATATGCCAAATGGGTGCAGGTGTAGGTGTAAAAATATCTAAACTACATATGATAGGTAATCTGGTGACGGAATTGTTTCCTGAAGTGGTGCTGCTTGTGTCCTGAAGCAATCCGGCAGTAACTTCAGTAATCTACTTGCTAGTCAGAGTTTTTATTCCCAGGAGGATACAAGGTGTCCTACCCATGTTTAGAGTGCTTCATGATCTAGAGAGCAAGACTGGAAACCTCTGGCTGCCAGGCCAGTCTTGGCCTCCAGAGTGTCTAATTTGGCCTCTAAGGGCACCTTCCTCAAACCTAGGGTTGTCATATTTTGAAGAGCAAAAAAGAGGACACATATTTTCCAACTTCTACATTTAACTACGGATTGGACTTTTAACCCCACATAGGGCAACCCTAGTATGTGTCTGTATTTGTGCATGTATATGCACTCATATCAAGGGGGGGAAGGGGGTGCATGGATGTGGGTATAGAAGAAATAATAGAATGAAAGGGAAGATTAAAATAAAAAGGAAGGGGGAAAGGGAGGATTAAATGATTGAATGAGGGTAAAGAGTGCAAAAGTAGGAGTAGGGGTTTGGGGATAAAAGTCAGCATTCAAGACAAGGAATCAAGTTTAAAATGGGAGGTGAAGTTTAAAAATCAAAATGTAAAGACTTCCCCCTGTCTTTCTTTGGGTTAAAAATGCAAAATCAAAATGGAGAGGTAAATTAAGATTTGAAGGAATAAACCAAAAATTGACAGTTTTGAAAGGTTAAAATTTTTGGAGGTAGAATTTAACTAGCTGGTGTGAGGTTCTCATTAGCTCTTGAGTCCTGGTATACTCAGCTGAGAGTTAATGCAGCTCTCTCCCACCTCCTTGAATAGACTGGGAGGGAGAGAGGGGCCAGAATTTAGATAAAATAAAATGATAACAAAGCAAAAATAAAAGAGGGGTAGTAAAAAAAATAAATTGAAATGTGTGTGGGGGGGAATTCCCTTTAAAAAAGAGAAAGAAGAAGGAAGGAGGAGAGAAAAAAATATATAATGGGGGAGAGGGGGAGAACAAAAATTATAAGTCTCTCTCTTAACATGGAGCACACTGACCTGGAGGTGGCCTGGGAGCACACGGGGCTGCAGAGTCAGGGTGGGCAGGTGTCCTCAGGTGGAAGTTGGTTCCTCCTCAGCCGGTTGGTCCCAGGATTGAGCCTATTCCGGGTAGCGCACCTCCATGTGGCTTCCTCCGCCATTCCGATTCCTCTCGACCTCTCTTTTGCAAAGGTGGCAGTAGCAGCAGCTCAGGCCACTCAGCACAAGGGAGAGGCTCCCGCGGTGCCTGTCCTGCCACATGGTTCCTCTGGGCCATTGGGCAGGTTGGCCTCCATCCCGGGGCAAGAGGCCTTTCTCCATGACCTCTCCTATTCTCTTGCCCTTTGGGAGTAGGAGAGGGGAAATCAGGAGTCCAGTCCGGAGGGAGCCACTGCCTCAGTCCCGGGCCTTGCCTTGTTGCGCTCCCCTTCGCTGAGTCTGTACCCTGCCCAGCAAGCGGCTCCAGCAGAGGAGGAGATAGGGTGGAGGAAAGTGCTGGGAAGCATGAGATGTGGAGTCAGAGAGAGAGGCAAGGCAGGCAGGCCAGACAAAGTGGGAGCTTCACCGCCTCACATTGCATGGCAACTGGAGCACAAGGAGGCGGGGGGGGGGCAGACCGAACAAAAAACCCCAGACGTTTTGGCGAATTGGACAAATCCACCCAGACAGAATTTTTAAGTCTGAAAAAGAAGATGTCTCTGGGAAAATCTGGACATATGGCAACCCTTCCACATTCACCCACCCACCAGCTGATGTCACTGGGAATGTCAGCTGATGTGCAGGAGGACAGCATTTAATCTTCCATTGGCTATGCGCCCTCTTTACAGCAGGGAACAGGATTGCTCAACAATGGCAGCAGGATGTGAAGCCTTCTCAAAAGTGCTCCTGTGCATCTGCAGGCGAGCAACAGCAGGCATACACTTCTTCCCCACCAGACTTCTGCTGCTACCGCCACTTGCACAAAAAGTGCACAAGTTTTGATCTTAAAGGGGAGGGAGCTTACAAATGCCTTTGCGAGCCTCCCTCCTTAACATCAGCACCTGTCAGATTTGGCCTATGAGGCAGATCCTGATATGGATCCTGTTAAGGATCTGGCCCTTGGAGCCAAGAAGGTTACACACCCCTGGTATAGAGAATGGCCAGTAAGAAGATTTAAAAAGATCCAACTCCAATAAATCTTCTCTGGCTAAAGGCAGTTTAGCTAGAACATTAAATAATTGATGTTTTGAAAATGCTTAGTATGAGGATTGAAAATCTATTGCTCTTCAACTGATGCTTGTCTTATAAGACTTCTTCAAGGGAAGTTTCTGCTTCCTAGTATTTCTTCCCCACCCCCAAATGCATATCCTTAATTTGTTTCCAAATTGCTTTGGGAAGTGGGGCGTGAAAAAGTGTATGATTGCATATTAGACTATTTAGTCATAATATATATAGAGAGAGAGAGAGAGCTATATACAAAATATTTAAAAGTAGATCATAAATAGTTTAAATAACATAGCTTGTACCACAATATCTTGGCTTTAAGTTTAGTGCATTGAGCAAAGTTATCCATAAAAAACTTGATACTTAATCTTAATACTCTACTAATTATATTTATTTCAAGATGATCACAGTCGTGTAATACTCCAGAATACGGACAATGATTACATCAATGCAAGCTTGGTGGTTAATGAAGAAGCTCAGAGAAATTATATATTAACGCAGGTGAGTAGTATTCGACTTTTAGGTGTTATATGCTTAGTGACTTAATTCTAATATGGGGGGGGGGGCTCTTCAGATGACTATTCCAGGTTTAAGTGCTTCTCCTTTGCTCCATCCCACCCTACTTCCTGCCACACACTGGCTTGTTCTCTTGGTTTGTTAACAAACGTTAAGTCAGAGTTTCCTCAGTTTGGATATAACAAGAAATTCTGACTTAATGCACGTTAGGGTATTTGTGCTTAAGCCAGCATGCAATAGGAAAGGAGAGTGCTCATATCTAATGTTCAGTCCTGATTTGGTAAACCAGGCCACAATCACAGTTGCATCCATGTCACAATAAAATGCTGTAGGGCAGGTTTTCAACCTTTTTGAGTCCACAGCAATCTTGACCAGCTACATTCTTTCTGCGGCATCCCTGTGGAACTCAGGAGCCCAGCTATGTCACCCCTTCCCTGCAGAGCTGGCAACCTCTCACCCTTTGTCATACACCTTTCCTTGTGGAGTGTTCCCTCAGCCTCATCTTCTCTCCCCTCACTTTGGGAGTCCTCCGGGCAGCCGCAGCCGCAGCTGCCGCCCCTGGTCTCTGAGCTGCCACCCCTGCCCCAAAGAGAGGTGCCTCCTCACACTGCCCCACAGGGGCCTGGGAAGCACCTCCTGGCCAACCCCAGAGGCACTGTACACTTGAGGCCAGGGCTGCTGCAACAAACAGCTGTGCAAGCCTTTGGGAGGCCAGTGTTGCCCGCAGCACCCCTGACCATCATTCAAGGCACCCCAGGGTGCCATAGCACACTGGTTGAAAGCCACTGGTGTAGAGAGATTGTGCTTTCCTTGGATGTCTAACCTTATGGTGAGCTTGGTAAAGTGAAGCTATTCTTCTGCAGCAAAGGCAAGGCAATTCACTTGGCTTTTGCTGATAGCTGTATAGTGGGGACAGGTACTCACAGCCCAACCTCTGTGTGGGAATCCAAATGGGATTACTGCTATCATCGTAAGGCTTAGAACAAGATAGGTGATGTGGAAATAACCTTGCCTGAGGCAAATACTGCTCCATGCCTGAGGCAAATAAAAAAAATCTTATGAAAGGAAACTCCAACCTGGAACTTCAGATCTGAAGCAAGTTTTCAACTCAAATCCCTGCTTGGAACATTGGCCCTGCAGTGTTTATGTGGGAATAAATTGTCACAGTAGCTTTTTTATTTCATGAACAACCTTTGTTCTGTCTTACCCACCTACTGGAGATCCAGTTAAGTACAAGTCAGTAATGTTGGCTATTGAAAAGGGGGACTTACATGGTTTATTTTGTTATCTTATATGTTTTGTGACTGAGGCATGTCGGGGAAAACAGACTTTGCTGGAAGAACACTAGTAAGCCATTATGGGCAAAGTGCTGCTGTTAACAGTTAAATAGACCTCAATTTAGGCTTTTTAGAAAATGTGTCTGGCCAAATTGAACATGAAAACTGTTACTGAAACAAGCCAGCTGCTTTCCGGTGTGTTATTTACCCTAAAGATGTCAGTTGTTTCCTCTTTTTGGTGGAGGAGAGAGGTCATGATTGCCTTTTTGAAAAATGCCACACAAGCGTGTCCAAAGCAGCTGTTTATTTTTTGTTTTAAGGAACTGAGATCTGAATATCTACTTGGATTTTGAAAAGTATTTTAAAATCCACGTAGATATGGACAGATTGACTAATAAGAAGAATCTGCTGGATCAGGCCAGCTTGTCATCTAGTCCAGCATCCTGTTCTCACTGTGGCCAAATAGATGTCTGTAGGAAACTTGCAAGCAGCACAAGAGCACTTGTCCATTCCTGTGGTTTCCAGCAGCTGGAGTTCAGAATACTGCCTCTACTAACAAGGGTTAGTAGGCTTGTAGGCCAGCAATTCTTACAACATCATTTGAAAGGCTGGGCTAGACCTATTCATATTTCCAAAAATGAGGTGCACGTCTGACCACTAAACCATGTTAATGGAAGGGACTGTCGTTGAGTGGTAGAACACCTACAGAAGATTCTAGGTTCAAGCCCCAGGATCTTTTGGTAAAGCTGGGAACGACCCTTATAGGAACCCCTTGCTGCTAGTCAATGTGGACAATGTGGACTAGTGGTCTGGCTTACTGTAAGGCAGCTTCCTGTGTTTTTAATTTACAACTAGATTATTGGGTGATGGTCAACTTTGCTTCCAAGATTTAGGTTCTGAGTTATGTTAGACTGCTGACTGAATGCCTCCTTTCCCTTATTTTTACAGGGTCCACTTCCTAATACATGTTGCCATTTCTGGCTAATGGTATGGCAACAAAAGACCAAAGCTGTTGTCATGCTAAACAGAATTGTTGAGAAAGATTCGGTGAGTTGCCATAACTGCATTAAAATTGGTTTTATTGAGATCAACATGCAATTAGTGAAGTGTATATGGTTTATTTTCTACTTGCGCTCTGTTATGTGGAATTTTTTAATCTTATAACTTAGGTGAAATGTGCACAGTACTGGCCAACAAGAGAGGAGGAACAAATGATGTTTGAAGAAACAGGATTTTGTGTCAGGTTAAAATCTGAAGATGTCAAATCCTACTATACAGTACGCCAACTTCAACTAGAAAACCTCGATGTAAGTGTTCATCAAAACCTGTCTCCAAAACCCTTGTGAAAAGTGTATGTCATTGTTGCCATGGCATATTTCATGTGACAAGTTATCTCCAGGTGCAGGAGCATGTTTGTTCTTTGGTGCACAGAGAACTGCTGATTATAACAATTAGCAGCCAGGCACAGGCTTAAGCCCTGTTCACACTTAACTACCATTTGCTACTCAATATACTTGACTTCAGCAGCCTTGGCCTTCAGGGTTGGGGAAGAGTTCATTTTGAGAGTGAAACATTATTTGAATTTCAGAATGAGAGTATATCTTAAGTGTACACAGAATAAAGAAAAATAAATAAACGTTTGCCTTTTAATGAAACATGATATTCAAACAGCAGCTGATAGAGAGCAAACTTTTGCATTGAACAGGAACCATTCTCTATGTTGTGCCAACACACACACACACACACACACACACACACACAATTCCAGGAAGCTTATTTAGGTGAGGACCATTCAAACTTACAACCAAGGGATTCAGTTTGGAATTATTTTCATAATAATGAATTGTTACATTTGGATCAGCCATCTTACTGCATGCTGTTTTGCCTGGATGCAAAACATATTTATTTCAATAAGTTGCTCTTAAACCCATTTCTTTTTATTAGACTCATGAGACCAGGATGATATTCCATTTTCATTATACTACATGGCCAGACTTTGGAGTTCCTGAATCCCCAGCTTCATTCCTCAACTTCTTGTTTAAAGTCAGAGAGTCTGGATCCCTGAGTCCTGAACATGGGCCGGCAGTCATTCACTGTAGTGCTGGAATTGGGCGCTCCGGTACATTTTCATTGGTGGACACATGCCTTATCTTGGTAAGTTTGTCTTAGATGCTCCTCTAATAACTGCTGCTCAGTTTCTTTGTGGTGGTATGGAAAAAAATCCTAATTTACAATGCCTGAATAACAATTGAAAAACTGAATTCTGCCATTAAATGAAAAATAGTGCTTGCTCTGACAATTTAGACCGGGGTAGTCAACCTTTTGATACCCACCGCCCACTAATGCATCTTTCTTGATGGTAAAATTTCCTTACCGCCCACCAGTGCTCGATGGAAGGAGGATTCAGCTTGTGCCATAGAACCCCCTACCGCCCACTAGTGGGCGTTTCAGGATTCTAGGTGGGCAATAGGGGGTTCTACGGCACAAGCTGAATCCTCCTTCCATCGAGCACTGGTGGGCGGTAAGGAAATTTTACTATCAAGAAAGATGCATTAGTGGGCATCTACTGCCCACCTAGAATCCTGAAATGTCCACTAGTGGGCGGTAGGGACCAGGTTGACAACCCCTGATTTAGACCAAACATCTTGAACGAGCAAAATAAATACATCTGGTTTGTTAAATTACTTTCTTGTGATGTATGAACTGAGTGGTCTTGTGGTTTGTAGTCCTGGTTTGAGCAGTCTTTAGAAAGCAGGACTGAAAACTAATTTGATTGTGATTTGCAGAGATCATTCAAACTGTGATTTCCCAGTTAAGACATTAAAGAAGCTGGTTTAACAAATGAAGCTGCATGCACAAGGAGAGAGGAAGTTATTTGCTTGTTCTCATTCCAGCAAGCCATGGTTTAGACAGAATGTAATGTCTTAAACAGGTTTAAGTTTTCCTCTGATTTCCATGACAGAAAGTAAGAAGAACTGTGGTCAGGGATGCAGTTGAGGTGGGAGCAAGACCTACAGTATGCATTACAGTGGTACCTCAGCTTACATACATTTCAGGTTACATATGCTTCAGGTTACAGACTCCGTTAACCCAGAAATAGTACCTCGGGTTAAGAACTTTGCTTCAGGATGAGAACAGAAATTGTGCGGCAGCAGCGGGAAGCCCCATTAGCTAAAGTGGTGCTTCAGGTTAAGAACAGTTTCAGGTTAAGAGCGGACCTCCAGAACGAATTAAGTACGTAACCACTGTACTGCAATTTTTATATACCCTTGTGCCTAGCCTCTTGACAAATTTAGGCATGTTAAGACAGTAAGGGCAGAACTCCCATGTTCAATATTTTCTTTCTGCACAGGCTACTGTTGTCAAGCAAACAATGTGTTACATTTCAAGGGGGTGGGGGGAGAGATATCAAACTGTTTTCAAATTGTTGCATCAGGAGCTGTTTGAATACAGTGGTACCTCGGGTTAAGAACTTAATTCATTCTGGAGGTCTGTTCTTAACCTGAAACAGTTCTTAACCTGAAGCACCACTTTAGCTAATGGGGCCTCCTGCTGCTGCTGCGCAATTTCTGTTCTCATCCTGAAGCAAAGTTCTTAAACTGAGGTAATATTTCTGGGTTAGCGGAGTCTGTAACCTGAAGTGTATGTAACTCGAGGTACCACTGTATATGTATCATATACTAAACTTCAGCTTTCTATTTCCTTTGGTAATACTTCTATTTTTTATCTCTGCAAATGAAAAGGCAAGTCAGTGAGTGAGCTAAAGTGTCTTATAGAATATCAGCATTCTGATAACATGTGCACTCTCTTTGGGTGATAATTTTTATGCCTTGGAAATCTGGTGTGGAGGCTTAAGGGGCCCTCTGGTGCAATTTAGGGTTCTGCAGGGGATAGGAGAGGAAAGCTATGTGCTTTAATATCTGCTGGTGCAAAGTTGGAGTGCTACCCTTCTCTCTCTTGTTGCAGAGAGCAGTAATACTTGCGTGAAAATCATTTTATTTTAAAACAGCTTTCACCCTCTTCCTGAACTGCCATAGTGCCACTAAAACTAGTTGCTATTTTTTCTTACACAGATGGAAAAAAGAGAAGACCCACTTTCTGTAGACATAAAGCAAGTTTTATTGAATATGAGAAAATATCGAATGGGACTTATTCAGACTCCAGATCAGCTAAGATTTTCATACATGGCTGTAATAGAAGGAGCAAAATACATAATGGGTGATTCTACTATACAGGTAAACGTTTAGCATAAATTGACTGCTTTTTAAATCATTCGCTCAAGAGTTTGTAATGAAATTATTAATAATGCCAGATCCAGCTGTTCAGGGTTTATGTCACTTGTGGGCAACCTCCTTCCTGTGGTCCAGTTTTGGCCCATGAGACCATTTTCCCCAGACCTGTCAGGTGCAGTTGCAAGCTACATCAACTGATGGATGCCTGTTGCTGGCAGGAAGCAAGGGTGATTGACCAAATCAGCAGGATTAATCATGTGCTCATTACATTGACTCCCCTGCTAAAACGAAGGGGGAAACCTTAGGTTTTGTAGCATCTTGCACCTGATGTCATTGTGGTGTTGGTCAAATTTAGCCCATAAGCCTGATCCTGATAAGGATCTGGCCTGCAGATCAAAAAAAGGTTATGAGTAAAATTTATATAGTGTTTTGATGAATATAGCAATTTTGTAAAACAGCCTTATATGCTGAAGTTTACTTATTTTGTGATTTACTTTATTTTCTTTATAAATATACAACTGTAACATAAAAATATTACAGTTGTTTATAGAATATAAAACCATAAAAACCATGCAGTAAAATCATAAAAAGTTAAAAGCAAGTTAAAACCAAAGGAATTAAAAACAGACATCAGTAGACAATTGTTGGGGTGTACTTTTAATTGCCTGCACAGGCCTGGTGAAATAGAAAAGTTTTCAAGTGTTTAAAAGTTGGATCCAAAGAACAAGAAACAGACAGCCACTAGCAGTGGGGGGTTTTCAGCCAGAACTCACCAGAGCTCAGTTCTGGCACCTCTTGGGTGGGCACAACTGCCATTATAAGAGAACAAGGGAGGAGTTCATGGTGAGTTCAGGCACCTCTTTTTCTAGAGAAATAGCACTGGCCACTAGTACTATCCCACAAACACTAGAGGAAAAATTTGTACAGTGGTATATACCATATTTTTCTGTGTATAAGACTAGGTTTTTCGCTTAAAAATAATGTCAAAAATTAGGAGGCATCTTATACACATATACATTTCCCCCAATTTTCTTAAATCTGAGTCCCCAAAAATGGGGACATCTTATAGACGGGAAAATACAGTAAGTATGTTTCATAGCAGTTTCTGTGTTTCTTCAAGCACAGTTGCTTTGGATTTGGTTTTCTTTTTGTTGTGGAGTGTTATAGTGCAAGTTTTAAACCAGTCCTGTAAATGTATGTATGACATAGTATTTCATATATGGAAAGGAACCATTGAACCCAACTTGTCGTTCTTATCCAAGGATGTTGTAGCTCACCTTTGAAAATAACTGTACCTGTGACTTTTCAGGTAGTTAAAAAAAAAACTTCAAAACTCTAACAAGCTGTCCTCCATTCAGAATCGGTGGAAGGAACTCTCAAAAGAGGACCAGGCACCAAGTTCTGAACGCTCCCCTCCACACCCAACCAGACTAACTACAGGGAGGCACAATGGGAACAGAGTGGGATTAGAAAACCAGGAGCAAAGTGAGAACATCATAAATACTGACATGTCTTCTTCAATACAAAATACTGCAGATCCAAGTGCTGACACGTGAGTATCATTTTTATATAATAGCTTGAAAAGAGGCCACTAGCCAAGGCCATTTTTAAAAACCAATGCCATATGATTTGAAGAGAGTACCCCTTGTTACAAAATCCATACTATTGATTGTAATTCATATCACTTAATCTTGATGTTACATTCTTGTACTGAATTCTGGAAAGTGTTTGAAAGCTGAATGTGGTGGTCTGTATATGGATTGAGACCACAATGGAGCTAGTAGATCTTTGTTATATAAATCCAACAGTTGTTTCAGGATCTGCATCTTGTTTTGTTCTATTTGTGCACCCATTGGAATATCACTGAAGGGCTCTATAAACGTAGTCATAATAAAGACTTTGAACTACTATTTAAAAAGGAAGCTTATAACCCTTAAAGCTGAAAATATTCAGGAAGTGCTAAAACACTTGCTGTGTTGTTGTATGCTGATGCAAACATGCTCAGTAGTAATTGCAATGAATTGGGTCCAAACTTCACCTAACAGAAGTCAACTCTGGATTCAATTCAGTAACTTCTAGGTCTTAATCGTGATCTGATGTGTTTAGTAGTGCAATTTGAAACCATGACAGTGTTTGTCAAGTTAAGCCCTTGCTCCAGATTGCATGTACAGTCATACCTCAGGTTAAACACACTTCCGGTTGAGCGTATTCGAGTTGCGCTCTGCGGCAACCCGGAAGTAACGGAGCGCGTTACTTCCGGGTTTTGCCGCTTGCGCATGCGCCGTTGCTCAAAATGACGTCATGCGCAGAAGTGGCGAAAAGCGCCGTCGCTAGTTGTTTGCTTCTAGATGCGAATGGGGCTCCAGAACGGATCCCGTTCTTATCTAGAGGTACCACTGTACAGAAGAAGCAAGCAAAGAAGTGGGAAGGGTACCTTGATCATGTTCTGCTTGATGCAGATGGAACACTAAGTAATGGAGTATATGCATATAAACATTGCATTCCTTCCTCCTTAAGGAGTGTAGAAAGTGGGCATACATATATATAAAGGACATCACCTGTTTCTTGGTGTTAGTGATGTACATGTCGCAATGCATCTATTCGCCAGCTATGTGAATTAGTATGAAACCATAAAGGCTTGCATCCTTAACATTCCTTCTTTGAATATCAGGTTAATGGAGAAGGCCTGCCCGTCTCCTTTTCCCTCTGCAGTCCCCTCCGTGTCTTGATAATCTGTCCATCATGATTGGTGGACCCTTGGAATAAGTTATGACAGGGAGCCACAAATGGAAGGAGGAATTGGTAGAGATCACGTTGTATGCAGAAGAAATACTAGATCCATATTATCTACGTGCAGAACATAGTGCTTATGCAACTGCAGTATATTACCTTGAATATCAAAACCCAGCTCAACAGTTCAAAATGCATTTTCTCTCTTCTCCCTCTCCCTCTCCACCTTAGTAGCATAACTTGATACATAAACTGATTTTTTTTCCTCCCATAGTTTACTGTCAGTCACTGGGGGCACTTTATATTTTCTATACTGGGTTTCATTTCCAGATAAATTCAAGAAACAGGATTCAATCTATACACTAGATCAACAGCTGCAGTGATCAACCTTTCAGGGGCTGAAGCATAAAAGTGGGCATAAGCTCTTTTTTTATTTAAAAAAAATGACAGATTTGGAGGTTTCTTCAGAAGCTTGGCCATTTATCTTTTGGAGTGCTTCCTCAACAGTGGACACCCTTTAAAAGTGCCACATCATTAAATCATATATTTTACTTGTAAATGATGCACACAGGTAGCAATGGAGGGTGGGAATCATACATTTGTTCAGTATGTGTGTGCATGTGTAATGTACCTACATCTTGATGGGTTTCCTCTTGCCCATTTACAGAACTCTTCCCTTGGAAGCTTGTCAGCCTGATGATCTTCCAAGAAGACCTTCTTAATAGGATTAGATATTTGTGGCCAGGTTTAAGCTGCCGTTGTTCAATTTTGTATTTAACAAACATAAGCAATACTGTATCTTCTGGGGTTTTTTAATTGATGTGTTTTAAATGTTGCTACCTATCATGCACTCTTAAATCAAAGTGGATTAAAAATCTGTGACTATACCTGATCATTTTTTGTTTTCCTTTCTAGGGCTGTTCGGAAACGGCTAAGAGACGACAGGAAAGCTAACACAGCACAGATGGTGCAGCAGATGAAGCATAAGCTGAGTGAGGCTGAACGAAAAAGGAAAAGGTGGTTATATTGGAAACCTATTCTCACTAAGATTGGGTTTGGTTCAGCCATTTTCATTGGAGTTTATTCTTGCTGGAAATTGTACTTCCAAGGTGCTCTCATGTGAGTTCTTCTGCAATCATGCATCTAGTAATAGAAAGCTTAAATCAGTCCCGCTGATTTGAGGGGAACATAGCAACTATTTCTAGGTGCAAGACTGCTGCTGCAGTTGACAGAACAAGTGAGAATATAACTGCAATCGATGCAGTAATCTTGTAATGCATAACACATGAAGTAACCTGATCACTAGTCACTGTGGCTGGACTCTTTGCTTTAGGTACTTATGGAACCAAATTGCTACATGACATAAATTTTATTTATTTATTTATTGGATTTCTTACCTGCCCTTTACCTTAAGACCCCACAGTGGGGTGGGTTACATCAACAAAATACGCAAATATAAAAGAAAGCAGTTACAACTGTAAAATAAGAAAAATAGTTCCATAGTAAATGCAACTCCTTATATAAAACTGCCCACATTTTAAAACAATTTTATATATAAAATAGTGAGAAATAGTACTCAGAGGCAGACTGGGAAAAGGTCTCCACTTGTTGAACTTGTTGAGACCGGGGGAAGGGGGCGGGTTCAGTAGGGGCTAAAAGACAGGATAGCACCCGTCTAATAGGGAATTCTGAAGGGTGTCACCATCCTAAAGACCCAATTAATATATTGTATGGAAAAAACCTCCTGAAAAAGGTGGTTTCTGCAACAGGCTCTTTTACAGTTCTTGTCTGGGTATATAAGGAGTTAGACGATCCTTTAGGCATCCTGATGCCTAAAGGATCGTCTAACTCCTTATATACCCAAACTGTGTAGGGCTTTGCACACCAGTACCAGTGCCTTCAACTTAGCCTGGTACCTAATTTGTAGCCATTGCAGTTTTCAGCAGTGGCATGACTATGATAGTCTGCACCAGAAAGCAGTCAAGCTGCCACATTTTGCACTTCCTGCAGCTTCCGGGCGAGCGTCATGTAATCCAGTCAGGAGGTTAGCAGCTCATTGATGACAGTGGTCAGATTATCCCAATCTAGAAACAGCCATAAATGTCTTACCAGCCAAAGCTGATAAAAGGCACTCCTAGCCACTGAAGTCACCTAGGTCTTTAGTGACCAAAATGGATCCAGGAGAAACCTGCTTCTTCAGGGAGGGTGTGGCTGCGCCTGAAGTAGGCATTTGGACAATTATTCTGAGTCCAGAGCCACACCCATCCACACTCATGAGGCAAACTAATGCATACTTTCAGCAACCATGTATATATTGCATAAAACGATAGTCCACTAGATGTAGTAGACTCAATTGCCAAGGCTTTATCAACTCTCATAACTGGATAGAAGCAATAAACAGTGTGGTGTCATACTCTGAATGCAAAACAGTTACATTTGTGTGTATGTGTGTATTATATACCATCAACCATTTATACTATCCAGACTTAGAATAAATTTTGTAACTCTATTTAATCTTTTTTTGTAGATAACTGTATTTTTAAAAAACTACATTTGTACAAACTTCTCTGACAGAAAGAGTATGCATTAGTTATCGGTCATCCATCCCCAACATTTCAAGAGTGGTTTGGAAATTTACTGATATCACCACCCCAACTTAGTGATTTAGTGAATTGCCCTTTTGAGGTATTTGGTGTTAAGCAAATAGGGGCTGCTTATCAGTTTCTACTCTGTAAGTTGCATTCATGTATTTATGCTTGTAGTTACCTTTTATTTAAAACTTGAAAATGTTTAATTTTTATAAGACTACTGGGAGCTTCAATATCTCAAACAGACTCTTTTTGAAGGGAAGTTTGTGTTAAGACTGCAGCTACTGTTGGAAGCCATAGCTTGTGTTTAAAGTTCAAACATTCCATTAAATGTGAAAACGTTTTTGTGTGTCTCACTTGATTTGACTCCTATTCCTTGAAATATTTTAGTATCTTTTATAGTGGTTGTAAACAGCATGTGACAAACTTGGTCATATTTTCTGAAAAGAAAAAATGTAGGCCATATTAAGTGTTGCAGCTGGAAACAAATAAATAGCCCATAATATGAATGAATAGAAAGGAAATGGAAATACTATTTTTCTTATATGTTGGCCTGTGGATAGTGGGTATATAAGATAGTGGAAATAACAGTAGAGCTACTTTTTGACGGTGAAATGGCATGTTTATGAATCTCAGCACCAACAAAATACTTAAGACAACTGAACTACAGTACTCTGATATGGACACAATTATCAAACATTGTTACAGGTTAGGACACAGGATTTTAAGGAAATGTCAAGCTTATTCCGCCCACCATTCTCATAGATGTATTAGAGACATAAATCAGGGCCAAGAAAATACAAAACTCTAATCCCAAGGCTTTTGTTTTTCATTGTGGGGAAAGGAATTATGCAGTTTTAGGATTATTGAGTTCCTATAAGTGTTCTAAGGATCTTATAAATTCTAATCCTGAACAAATGGATGGCACCATATGTTTGGAGAGTTTTGAAGTGTAGTAAGCTTTTTGATCCAGTACAGCATAAAAGGAAACTCAAGATTAAACAAAATCAAACTCAAGGTAGAACTAAATCAAGGAAGTCTTGAAATATATTTTTCTCAGTTCTTACTGTTATTTCCCTTATGGATTATTAAATGTTAATAGAGGGAGTATTTTGGAATTGTGAAGCTTGAACATCAAAAAGGTACTGATCAGAATGTCAGGATTTCTATATAAAGGGACTTTTCCTTTTCCAAGAAACCAAATGCACAATAGAAGATGGAAATGTATTTCATTTCTGGATTAAATTGCCAGTTTCAAACTCACATTTAGGCACTCTTGAAAGCTTGTGTGCATGTAAAGAATGGTGGTACTTTTTCCATCTTACTGTTCAATACATACCCAGGTCTTATAGGCATCTGCCTCAGTGAGTCAAATTATTGGTCTATCCAGCTCAGTAGTACTATTGAGGTTTGGGACACAAGTCTTTCCAAGCCCTACCTGGAGATGCCAAGGAGATGTCTGTTACAACACTTAAGTTAAACTACTGAGCTGTGCCCTCCCTTTCCCTCAGAAGTAACTTCATGTTTTGCTCTTGGCAGCATTTTATGGAGCGTATTATATTGTCCTTGCTCCTTAATATTTTCACCGTAATCATTTATATGCAATTTTATTCATGATCAAAATAGTTGTTGCAACTGGTTCTATCATATTTTAATAAATATTTGAGAATATTTTCTGTGCAGTTTTCATTATAGATGAATACATGCAAATCCATACACATACACACTATATATATATAACTATTAATATATATAACTTTATCTATATAACTATATAGATAACTACATATATGCAGTGCTTTTTTTCTAAAAAAAATGTTTAGGAGTACTCAAAACCTACTCATATTGAAATACTGCCCCTCAATGAGGCCAAACTTAGATTCACAAAATGTTTAGGTGTACACATACCCCTGCATACCCCCCAGAAAAAAAAGCATTGCATATATCTGTACAATGTTACAGTGGTTTGTGTGGAGAAAATGAGCAAAGCCTTAAAAGTGAATACCACACAAGTCACTTTTGTAGTTGACATGTGTCGGGTTATTATAAAGACAATATATTATTCAGGAAAGAGTAAGCCTGACTAGTATTTGGGAGGGTGGCCATCTTGCTGGAGAGGGAAATGATGTTGGTTCTTTCTTGATATGGGAAGCAACCCAACAAAACTGGAATTCCTGACTCACTTGCCCTCTTTCCTGTGTTTTTTGGGTTTGTGTCTTCCACTGCTTTTTCAGTTCGTACCTGAGTTGTCCTGGTTCTGTCTCAATACCACTTTGGTGCAATCATCTTTGATGTTCATCTACCCAAACATTTGTTTTACTTTGTTGGCAGTTCCCATATGATAAAGGGATTGAGAACCTTGTGCAAAGAGAAAGCTAGATTTTGAGTTAACTTTTTTGCCCATCAAACTGATTATTAGACACATAATGGAAGGTTTGCATTTCTAACTAAAGCAAGCTTGTTCAAAATACTCTAAAAGCCTTTGTCAATTCATAGTTTATCCAACATATTAAAACTTTTTTCAAAAATATTGCACTCAGTTGAAATGCAGTGGTTACCATCTTGATTCTCCATGTTTTCTCTTGTATCCTCACTTAACATTAGTTTTAAGCTTTTCGTTTTAGTTCTAAAGGTAGTGAAATTTTCAGGAGAGTCAAATGCAACAAAATTGTACTCATCGTACAATGTACTTTCCTTTTAATCAAAGTGCATTTTTGTATTTCCCCCCTCCTAATTCACAAGGTCCTTAATTGGAGCATGAATGTTCCCAGTGCCTTTCTCATAACTAGTTCACAGACATTTTATCCATGGTAGTAAGGATACACCTGTTGCAGTAACCACTCAATATCAAATAAGGCCTTCATGACTTTCAAAAAATATTTCAACTTACAATTGCAGTAAAACTGTAATACCTCTTAGCAGTATACTTCTGTTTGTACTGAATCTGTGACTCTTTTGCGTTGTGTGTCTTTAGGCCGAGAGTGACCGACACCTAGATCTCCAAGACTTGTGAATATTCTGCAGCTAAAAATTATATACTTTTGGCATGCAAAGCAGGACATGACCCCTCTTCAGGAACAAAACTGAGGTCTGAGCAATACACAAGTGGCCTCATAACTATCTGTTTACAACGTAAACAACCAGGGAATGAAGTACATCACCAGCAAAAGACTTTGCAAAATGAAATTTGTCTTAAGTGTTTTATGCTTGTATTAACTGTAGAGAGATGTAAGAGATCACATTAGAAAATACTTTGTACTGCCATTCTTATTGTATTTTTTATACTTTTGGCAGCATTAAATATTTTTTTTAATTGACATACTGTTGTGTGTGTATTATTCCCCATCCCACAAAAGGGCTATTTCATTTCACAGAAATGCAAGTGTCATCCCTAATTTTTATCACCTTCAGCTACCATTATGGCCGCCTGAAATATTAATCAGAATACGTATATAAAAAAGCGAAGGAAGCTATGTCGAGCCCTTAAAAAACTCCAAAATCCAGTTGGGCAATACTTTTATGTGACTAACCAGGCTTCTGTTTTTCATTAGGCAAGAAGTTATTAAAAGGGGGTGAGAAAATAAACTAATATGTCAGCTGTACATACATACGATTCCGGAATAAAGAAGCAATGGTTGCTCCTGGATGAGGGAGAAACATGGTAGTCTTTAGCCATTTAAATTTTTTATTAAATTACTTGTGTGATACCTTGCCTGACGAGAACATTTGGAAGTTTCACACTTTTGTGATACTTAGGCTGGTCCCCACTAAAGGCATTTTATCTTCATTTTTAAAACTAGAGTTCATTTTATATACCTACAATTTAGGTAACTAATCTGTTACTTTTGTCAGCATACTATTAAGAGTTTTTTAAAAAGCAAAAGAATACCACCCACCAATAACAATAGCAAAATTAAACAAAAAAGTAATGGAGGTTTTTAAGCAGACGTTGGCCATCTGTCATGGATGCTTTAGCTGAGATTCCTGCATCACAGAGGGTTGCACTAGATGATCCTCAGAATCCCTTCCACCTCTACAATTCTGATTCTATGAAAAGGTTGATGAGCCCACTCACAAGTTCTTGTAAAGAACTAGTTTCTTAAAATTTGTTTCTAATGGAACTTAATCCCATTGTGATACACTTTTCAACAGGAAGATGGTAAATTTAAATAGCATGGTTTGCAGGGGAAATCTGCACTAAGCTGGGCTTCATTAGAAAGCAAACTGAGTTCAATGGGTCTACTCTTGAGTATGACCAATATTGGCTATCGCACAACAAGTTAGTATGACTGGCTAAAAATGATGCAGTTCTGAACACAAATAGTATCTTGGTATGTCATGCTGTATTAAGAAACGAAATAGCACTGAAGGCTTCCCTTCAGCTGTGTTTCTTGGGCAGCCCAGAGTCCATGGCCCAGCTGATTGGTTTATTTGGGGGGGGGGGTTGCGAAAGAAGTGCCTGACATGTGGCTGTAGACTCCCCTTAGAGACAGACAAGACCTCTGCCTATTTTTGTTTGAGCCCATTTTGGGTTCCTCTATGTTCCTAGTATTTGGGGCAGATCTACACATAAAATACCAGTAATAACACATCTATAGGCACTGTGGAAACTGGTTTCCTACACAGATTTGTTTTTAAGGTTTGAGTATTCTGAAAATAAAGCATGCTTACGGAAAACAAACTGAAAATTGGCATCAGTATTAACCCTGTCCTTGTTATATCCCACCTTCCAAAGACTGGGTAAAATGTCTACCCTTCAACAAAAGAAAGATATTCACACTTTAATATACAAATGAAACTGAAGCATCACACTCAGTCTTGAGCTGTTTTTCTGTTTCCCAGTTAATTTTTAAAAACAAAAATTGCAAGTTTCTGTAAGCCTTGGATTTTCCCTAGCCTACCTTTCTCTTGCATGTGGGTGACACTGTTTTGCTACACAAGGCATGGTACTTACCTCTGAAAGCTGGAAATAGAAGGAATAACAACTTTGGTCTAAGACTGAAAAATACAGTCTTGCTGATCCTCATCTACATAATGTGGAAAGCGAACTAAATATTCACTGAAGTTACTGTTCTTCTGAAGACCTTAAGGCAGGCTTCCTCAACCTTGGCCCTCCAGATGTTTTTGGCCTACAACTCCCATGATCCCTAGCTAGTAGGACCAGTGGTCAGGGATGATGGGAATTGTAGTCTCAAAACATCTGGAGGCCTGAGGTTGAGGAAGCCTGCCTTAAGATGTCAAAAAAGGAGCTAGCTTTGGGAATATAAACGCTGGATATACATGTTATGTCATTGCAGATCTCTGAGTATTTCCCCAGTTTTAGGCTGCTCTGCATTGTACCTCTAAGGGTTGTGTGTATTTGAATGTGTACATATGTTTTCATTCAAAAGATTCATAGTTCAAATCTCAATTCAGCAAGATTGATTTTGTATCAAAGTTGAATATGGTAAGTTGTGATCTTTTCAAATATGCACTAGTACTTTGTGCCAGAATTCTTGACAGCCTTTACAAGATGACCACACAAAGTTTGATGCTTCTCACCACCTCCATTTCCAACAAGCCCATCATCCTTTTTGGGTGTGTTACATATCACATGGAAGATGTTTTCAGATTCTGTTTGCATATCAACTACCTGGATTTTTCCTAACTGCATAAATTAAGGCAGAAGTAATTAAGCATCTGAATAAGAATGAGAAAAGGCCTGGAATGTTTCAAAAGTTAAGCTAAACTAAAAGCTTACAGGTAATGAATTTATTATGGGGAAAGTATTTTCATTCTGTATAGTTGTATGTTACAATTTTCTTTAGGTAGCCTCAGCATTTTAAAATATCTCTGGCAGTAAGATCCGCTCATTCAGTTTCACACAAGGTTATACACAGCTATTATTCATATTAGAATCCAAAGTGTAAAACTTAAATTTTAAATAAGTGGTCCATAAACAAAAGAAGAGGAGAATTTAAAACAAAGCAGGTGGAAGTCCACTGCCATAGAGTAATTTCCAGGAACTTGGTATTTTCCATCTGGAAGATTTAGCTGGAGAACTGCAGCTTTCCTAATTTCAGAAAACAAAAGTCACAACACGGTTTTATTCTCAAGTAGCAAAAACACATTGTCTCAAACACATGTATTTATATACACTCTAGCATTCAATTATATGACTTTTAAGTAAAAGTGTTCTAATGCATCCTGCAGCTCCCAGTCTATGTCAACAATTTCAAACCATTCTAAGGAAATGGTCTGAATGAAGGAACTTCCTTGAATTTTTCTTCCAGATCTGCAGCCATGATGTGTCCCCAAGCATACAAATTGTTTCAAGGCACCCCCATGACAAATGCCAGGTGAGAACGAGGCATGCATCCTATAATATGCCTCAGGGCAGGGGCTTTGAGGCAATTTTTTGTCAATTCCTCCATCCTCCCTTAGCCCTGTGAAAAGCCGATCCAAAGGTTGCAGAAGGAGCCCTTCTGTTCACTGAACAGCAACTTTGGATCTAGCCCATTGCCCCTGGAGACAAAAGGGCAAAGGTTACAATACAACAATATTCATATGTTGCAACAGTATTTGGAATTTCACTTTAGAAGCACCTTTCTAAGCGCTAGAATTCCAAAACTAAAAAACCTACCATGTTTACCGTGGGCTGGCATACTTTTACTTGGTTTGCAGTTAGCTGGAGCCATTCATTAAGGTAGTCAGCAAGAGCCAGGGCATCAGGGATATTGTCTCCCTCTGAGCAAAACTTCAGCAAAACTATCATTGGAATACCTTTTGTACAACTGGAATAAAAGCAAAAGCAATTAAATAACTGGACAGAAAAATTCTCTGCTGGCACTCTTGCTCATGTTTGGGTTGTAAGCCTGGAATGGATTAATGTGGACCTCCAGATGTTGAACTACAACTCCTGCTGTCTCTAGCCATTGGCAAGCCTGCTGGGAGTTGTAGTCTTGGAACATCTGGAGGGCCACAGGTTCCCTCTCTCTCCTATAAGCCATAGAATCACACATACATAAACACAAAGTAAACATGTAAAACAATCCAGCTAATCCAGCATTCTTCTTTCTTAAAGCAAGCTGAGGTGACATAAAAACCAAGCTTAATCAACCAAGAATTCCAAGCTGTTTGCTACAGCACAATGACTGTCTGAGAACCACCAAGATACTCCCTGAAATTTTAAGACCTTAAAAGGACCAAAAGGAATGGAGTGGAGAACAGTAGGACAGGTACATTAACAACAGAGCTCTGCTTTGACCTTGAATAAGTGTGAACTAAGGGATTGGTTCTTCCTGACAGAATCCAGAAGGGATTAATTAGACACAACTAAATAGAAACACCAACTTTCCCCCTTGGTATCCACTCTTGAGAACAGAGAATTTTAGAGCTAGTTATCTGACCAAGCTCTCACCAGTTTCCTTCATAAATGCCATTATTGAACTGCATTTCCAAGTGATTCCCACTACAGTCTTGGATGGCTGTTACTACAAGGTCCCATATGCAGATAGACTTTGTATTTGTGGTCGACCTCAGGTGGAAAATCCAGTAGATTTCCTTCTGAAACCTTTGTTCACACAAGCAAGCGGGCAAAGCCCAGCATAAATGGTTCAGTTTCTTCTACGTAAAAATAATAGCTTTGTAAAACAGAGTAGCCCTCTATGCACTAGCTGCACAAAAAAGTCGGAAAAAGCAATTAGATAAAATCACTCTAAATTGTGATGGTAGCTTAATGGTCATTAGTTTCGTAAATTATCCTTTGATTAGAATTTCATCATATTTTTTCTGCTAAAGTTTCCGTTGATAACATGTTGTACTCCAACTTCAGAGTAATTTGAGGTGCTAATTTTAACTTTGGTGCTACTGTACTCATTTGTGTCCTCTTCCAGTGCAAAGTGCCTTTCACTGGCACTTTATAATGGTAATTTTCAATATTATTTTTTTACTGCCTCACCAACCTTTCAGTGAACAATAGTTTTGTGATACCACCTCCTGGAATGTGGAACACTTTCTCATCTGTTACTCCAGGGAAAGCGGCTGTTTGCTCCAGTTCTCTCCTGTTCAGTCTCTGCATTTGATCTCCAACTGCTTTCTCAACAGCAGATGAAAGCAAATATCGCAATGAGGTACTGTCAATAAACCATGAGATATAAGCATAAGCTGCCACAAATTACAGTTGGGAACTTTGAAAAAGCAGGTTTATTTGATTTGTAATGCATGCTGAATTACACCTTTGTCATGAAAGACAATTTTGCATATGCTAACTTGTTAGCAATATGCATACGAAAAAGGAAAAAATTACTCTAGCCTGCTAAAATAACAGGACTTTGTGGGTGACAAAAATGTTCTAGGTAACTTTAGATCAAAGACAGAAAATAAGAAAAAGGAAGCTTTTCTTGGGCATGGATAACGAGCGTGATGAGGCTGGAGCTGGTTTAAACAGTATTTATAACCTGTCCTATTCTCAAATACCTAATGATTCCTAGTATAAGAGGACATATTAAAATATAACACTAAAACACACCTTTGATCCAACACCATCCCAAATAGAAATATTCTCACATTGCCTCTGTTTCTCTGCTGTAGCATTTTACCTTTTATGGTTTTATGAGTTATTTAATTATTTTCTAACATGCTTCTTAGGTCAAGCAGATCAGAAAATTTCTAAATAAATAAAAATTGGGCAGTATCCAACACATCTGCTCCATTAGCACAGGGATTTTCACAACAGAATTCCCCCCACATCCCAATGCATATCCTGCAACCTCCTCAGATCAGCTCTGGAGAGCCAGGGGTGCAGGAAAAGAAGGAGGGGCAGCCCTTTTGAGTAGCCAAAAGTCCTTGCGTTAATGGAATAAGTGCATTGAATACCAACTGTCATCTCTGAAAAACACTCAGGCCTGTGACCGACCTATCTTAAGGGGTTCATGCAGCTACTGATAGAAAGACTGAATATGTATTTATGACACACTGCACTTATGGCTTCTTTCGGGGTACTGAAAGATGCTCTGGGAAGCTAAAGTGATTGTAGATCAAAGCACAAAATTAAATTAAAACAGCAGGTTGAATTCAAAGCTGTCTGGGCACCAAACAGACCTGCTCACAGAAGCATTCATGCAGCCCTCACACCCAAAGCCGCTCCAAGTGGACCCGCAACCCTTCAGAGCAGATTTTGAGGGTGGATGGGGCAGTGCTGCGGGAAGCAGGGGAAGGTAAATTTCAGCTACATGAATAGAACTCCACTCATACGACGATGGATTCCGCCCTAAAAAAAATATTTCTAACAGTTGGCACAGACATACCCATGAAGCTGTTGGTCATTACGCTGGTAAGCATGGCTGCTGGACAGAAGAACAATTTTGGCAAAACTGCAACTTTTCACCCAGGATAGTAGCGTCTGACAAAAGGACCTATATTTATTCTTTACATCAAGGGGGGGGGGGGGGAGAGAAGAGGTTAGAAAGTTGTTTCAAATTATCATGTTAAGTCTTCAGGACTTTAAACATTTTTGAATTGTTAATTATGAAATGGTATGTTTTCTCAGCTGTTTCTTTCTTGTGACCTTTAAAAAGTAAGACTATATTGAGTGGCAAAGTTGTATTTTAGAGCCGTAACAATATATAACAGCGCAAAGGATTTATTGGAAAGCCATATACTGAAATGATGCCAATTTACCACCTATTTTGCCATTTCCAGTGAATAATTACCCTACGGAATTCAGCAATTGATGACTGATTTGTTAACTTACATCTTAAACGTCTGTCAGATTCTTGCTGATTTTTTTTTTTAATTCATCCTCTGTTGTTTAAATGTATTTGGCACCTTTCTAGAAATGGATTTGAATTAGAAGGTGCCTTCCACAATCAGGAAAAAATTCTATTTCTACATCCTGCAATTGGATGCCCAATTCCCTCATAGAGTCTGGAGTGGCTTGGGATTCTGTCAGTGAACTCCAGCGGACAGAAGCCAGGACAACTGCATTACTTTACCCAAGTTTCACTCCACATCTAACCCACAGTTAATTATACATCTCATAGGACAATTTTAATTACTCACCGTCAGGACTTGAAGATTTTTCATTATTTGTTTTCACTTTTGAAGTCTAATAACATGACTACTTGAAATAGACACACATACCTTTATGAACAGTGATCTGATTTGTAGAACAGCCAACTGTTTAGAAGGTGCTGCATACACTACAGGAAGAAGTAGCATAAACCATCTGTCAAGACCCACATTAAATTACATTTAGTTCCCCTCTCCTCCTGCCCTGTGCTGGTTTGAGGGTTCTCTCAAACCTCTGGAACAGATCTGGAGGAGGAGAGGAGTAAATGTCCCTTTGTGATAGCAGAATTTTTAATGCTGGCTTCCGCAAAGGCAGCAATTTAGTTAAGTAAGTCCCAATGAAATGAACCTGTTTCAGAACTTACAAGCAATACCCATTAGAACAGAAGGCAATATTACTTTATATGCTTTCACATAGCTATCAAGATATCTGAACCCGTCCCAATTTCATTTATGATATCGAACCTTTAGAATCATTCATATCAGGGATCTTGTAGCAATTCTTTAGAAGATTATTTTTTGGGGGGTGGGGACACACATATGTCCCATCAATCAAGTAACTGTCTTGATTAAGTACATTTGCAAGAGACTGAAAACTCATAAACATAAGAACAATTAACAGTTATTTATACATAACCCACTTATCAGCTGGGCTAACTATCAATTTAGATGCTAGAGTGATAACTATAGCAAGCTTCCCACATGCGAAAACTTCAGTGCTCACACTCTAAAAGCAAAGTAAGATGTTTGAAACTGTCTTCACATGGAATAGTTTGAGCAGTCTCATGATGCAGCTACCTAAGTACATCCCTAGTTGCGTGTGCTGCTTCCTGGTGGCAATTTGAAAGTGTATTATGAACAAAAACTTCAGTGCTCATCTCATATGACTTGCTGCTAGAAGGCAGCAACTACAAGCTATGAAGTCTTCTGATGGGGTACATATGATGGTCCTACGTGCACCTGAGGTTCATCTGGCCTTTCCCAGGGACCAAGCCTTTAGTGTGGCAGGCCTTGCCCTGTGGAATTCCTTGCCAACAAAGGTTAGGCAGGAGCCACCCCTGCTCATTTTAGGTGCTTTCTAAAAATGGTATTATTCAAACAGGCCTTTCAAACCTGATATTATTTACCAATCAGCTCTTACTGATGTATTACTATTTACTGTTTTTAGTTTGAATACCACCTTGAGATATTTTCTATGAAAAGTATGTATAAGCAAATAAATAAAGCAAGCAAACTCCAAGTCAAAAGCTCTCTCCCTCTCTCCCTGTGGTTGCTCTGCACAGATTTTCAAATGCCTGAACTGACCCTAAGGACTGAAGGAAGTGTGGTCTCTTTCTAGGGTGTCTTGACAAGATTTGTGTTTACAGCACATACCTTCAGCATTTGTACAAAGTTCTGTTGTATTCTCTTCTGTCGTTGCATATGGATTATTTCCAACCATCGGCACAAGACAATCAGTATAAAAGTAACCAACTTTGGACATGCCAACTGTGGAAATGACTAAATCTACAGCTAGCTGGCCAACATTTCCCACTGATACAGCTGGCTGAAATGGAAAAAAAATGCAGATGAAATGAAATGATGGACACATATGAGCTACATAATCCATAACAGCTTACTGTTTCTAGTTTTGTTTTGTTTTTTTAAGAACGATCAGCTTTAACTATCAAGATGTCCACACAGACAATTAGTTGATCAGATGTGCAAAGCATCATCCTAGGATTTGGGAGAAGGGCATTGTGAAAAGTGAGGTCGGAGGGACATGAAATGCAGCAAAAGGATAGACACAGAGAACCTCTGTACAGTGGTACCTTTGGTTAAGTACTTAATTCGTTCCGGAGGTCTGTTCTTAACCTGAAACTGTTCTTAACCTGAAGAACCACCATTAGGAGGCTAATGGGGCCTCCGGCTGCCACCGTGCTGCTGGAGCATGATTTCTGTTCTCATCCTGAAGCAAAGTTCTTAACCTGAAGCACTATTTCTGAGTCTGTAACCTGAAGTGTATGTAACCCAAGGTACCACTGTACAGTGTTTAGAAAATTTATTAGTTTAACAATAACAGGAATTTAGTTTTGTACAGTCTTGTAGGGATCAGTTAGTTTAGTTTCGCAGTTGTAGGGATTACCATTCCCAGACTAACATGCTTCACGTGAGAGGCTTTTGGGGGCGGGGCTCCTCCTTCAGGAGATCCACTCTGCTCCTTCTATGCCCTCCTCGTCCCTTTTATATTTCGTGCAACCTCCATCAAAGGGCCAGTGGCCCCGCGATTCTTGTCTGGCGGGTGCCCCAATCTCGCCCCTCCGCCCCTCTTTTTAATGCCCGCTCTCCCTCCAGCCCACCGAGGTTGTGAAGGAGGAGGAGGCGGAACCTCTCCCTCTGACTCCCCGCTTCGCGACTGACTGACAGCCGCCCGGCTGCCCGGGCAACAACAGCAGCGCGCGCAACCCCAGAGAAGCGATCTCCGTTACCATAAGGAGCATGAAGCCTTTGAAGTCCGGGCACGCGGAGCCATCGCAGGAAACGAACATCTTGTCAACGGGAAGATAGAAGCAAACGCGTAGGCTGCGTGGTTGGGGGGCGTGATTTCTTTCCTCCTTGAGGGGGCCTTTATCTCTCAGCGGCACGGCGTGCTGTTTAACCGAGTGCCTGTCACAATCTCCCCTTCCCACGCCAAAGCCAGCTACTGCGCCGGGATAGCAACCTCGAGAAAAGCCCGAGCTGTGCTTGCAGTGGTGGGGTTTAGAAGGGAGTCCGGGAGTAAAGGCTCCGTTTAGCCAGCAGGCGATTGCCGAGGGCAGCCTCTGAGGCGGGCTGTTTCGAAAGGCGGTTGAGCTAGAAGGCCCCGTTCCCGGCTGCGGGTGAGGCTTCCGTTTCTGGTTGGTTGAAGACTGAGCCAATGGGGACTCTGCAAAAGCTGGTCTGGACACAGGCGGGCGAGTGCGCGGGAGGCTGCCCGTCCCCCTGGTGTCAAAGCCGCTCGTTCCTTTTCGGGAGATCCCCTTAAAGTTAACGCCCAGCTCGTTTTTGTTTCCCTGCCCAAGAAATTGTAGCAGCTGCCCAGCCATGGCTCTGCCTCCGGAGAAAGCCTCGGAGCTCAAACAGATTATTCACCAACAGTTAACTAAGGTAAGGGCTCTCCGCGTTGAAAGCACTGCTGGGAAAGGAGGAGGAACCTATCTTTAAATATCCTCCAAAGCGGTTTTCCCATATGTTATCTGAGGCTTGTAGCAGAGGAAGCCTGTATCTATATCTAGCTGTCTATATCCCACTGATTTTAATAGGGCTTCCTTCCAGGTAAGTGTTGATATTGCAACCTGATGATTGAGATTGGGGCTGCAACCTGAAAAAGCAGTTGTGACAACTCTTTGTTTTTTAATATGATGAAAGGACCTTCATTTATTCAGTAAGCATACAAAAGAACTGGCTTGATTTCTAAGAAGTCTATTAATGATGCAATGAATGGCAGGTTTCCTAGGTTGCTTTCTGATGACTGGAACAAAGCCAGAACATGTCCAAAATGTGCACATATAACTAAGAGAACATCCATCTGAGTGCTATGAGTGCATTAAAAACTGTTCTCTTTTTTGGAATTACCTTTTTAAATTATATGAAGGTTGTACTGAATTTCATTCAGAGCCTGTATCACATGTTAACAGAAATGTTTCTGTTTAGATGGATGTTCACAGCAGGATTCGAGAAGTGCTTGCTGAGACCATACGTGAAGAACTGCCACCTCAACATCAGCAGCTATCCCAAGAAGATCTAATGAAAGCCCTCACACGGCGAGGAATCATTGATGATGTTATGAAAGAACTAAATTTTGTAACAGTGAGTATAATTTGAAGAAAAACTCTCCTGGTGTGATACAAGAAGTGCATGGCATAGTTAAATACAGCCATATTTATACAAAATCACTTTTGAATGATTTCAGTGTGATGCAGAATTAAAAAGGAGGTTATGTGATTGCAGTCCTTTATGAGTAAGTTTAATATATTTTTCATTGCATGGCTTGGAAGTACTGGATGCATTGAGAGCCTGTAAACTACAGAAACCCTATGAGTCACTTCATTGTTTTTAATGAGCTCCTGCATTGTTCTAGCTAAAAAAAAAGTGATATTTACAAACCTGTATTTTGATGCAAGTGAGCCTTACCCAGAGCTCCTAACTGTATGTAGCTCCCTGTGATGTGTCTCCTAATATCTTTGGATTTGTGTCATGTGAAGTGTCCCCTGGATGAATATTTTAGTAGAGCATGATGTATTTCTGGGGTTTTTAATTATGTTGGAAGGATTGTAGGAGACTGACTTGAAGGTGTCCTTAATGATATCTTTATGTACTTCTAGGATATAAATGACAAAGAAATTACTTCAACTCCAAAACCCTCTACTCATTTTGTTGACCGACAGACAGCCATGCTGAAGAAAAGTATGTTCTATATTACCTTGAGTATTTGATGTACTGATTTTGTATTTTAAATGTATATTTTAAAGCTAGTATTGTAAGGCTTTTGGGGTGGAATCAAATGTTGTTCAAGTGGACTACCACTCATGCAGTAGAGCTTCAGCTTCCTCTTCTGCCCCAAGCAGCTCCTGCCACCCCCCATACCTGCTTCAGAGGGTTTCCTATAACTTTCATAGCAGATTTTTGGAATGGGTGGGCTGAAAGGGGGAAGGAGAGGAAAGTGAAGTCACCTTGTGCAAGCAGAATTCTGCTCAGTTCACGAGGAGACATATTAGTTATGAAGGCTGGGTTGTATTCAACTTAATTATGATCAGGTTGGTATGTACATATATTGTACATGTTACCAAGTATCTGCTAAGACTAGTTTAATGTAGCAAATTAGATAAGTGACCAGGCAGGATTATTTTGGACTATCCCTAGATAACCTTCTTGGTAGGGGAATTACAAGATATACTTGGGGCACTCTGTGGATGAATGGATTGTGGTTGTTTGCCATGATTGTTGTTGTAACCCTACGTCTTGGCTAACTAGTTTTTTAAACCTACTTTCTAGTGTTTCCTATTTATGTTAAATACATTTTTTATGAACTGCTTGCAACTCTTTTATACTTATTGTTACACTTTGCAGCAAATATTGACCCAACACGAAGGTATCTTTATCTTCAGGTTTTGGGTGGAAAAGCTTTTCTGGAACATCTGCAGGAACCAGAACCTTTACCTGGTCAAATTTGTTCTACTTTGACACTTTGCTTGCATTTCCGAAACCAACGTTTCCGCTCTAAACCTGTCCCGTGTGCCTGTGAACCAGATTTCAGTGATGGTTTTCTACTTGAAGTATATAAGGAAAGCTTAGGTAAGGAAGCCTGCAGTCTAAAAATGAATAATGTTTTGGGTTGCACTTCAGAAATAGTCCAAGAGTAGTTGTTCCATAAGCAGTAATATAGCCTGCATTCTTTTTTTAACATGCAGAATTTCATTAAGAGGCCCCACAATTCCAAACATTTGCCTTTATGCTCCTTTTCCTACTTGTTTTGAAACAAAGGATCAAAGAAACAGAGTTCACTTTTAAGGATCCTGATCTTCCCTTTGCAGCTACATCTTTGCCTGTCTCATATCTGTCATATATTATGTTAGATAGGCAGTGGGCATACTTTTGGAGGAACTGCCTTGTCAGGCTAGATGTTCACCACTGCTGTTATTCCTTGGCTTCTTCTAGTTCTCTTTTATATCTTGATAATTTAAATATATTTGAAAATGTTTTAAAATTCTATTAGATCTTATACTCAATTATCTGCTCTAATGAGAAAGTTGGCAAAGTTGAGTGAGTTGATATTGCTGTTTCACTTCAAGTGCCTTGGTAATAGCTTTCTAAGTAATGACCAGCAATCAAAACTCATTATGCTATTCTATAGTGGGGAACCTCTGGCCCTCCAGATGATCAACTACTCAAACTCTCAGCAGCTCTAGCCAGCATGACCAATGACCTGGGATTTATATGAGTTGGAGTCCAGCATCATCTGGAAGACACAAGTTCCCCACCCTCATTCTGCGTATTTTTACACAGGTCAATTGCGTTCTGCTGTCATATGCAATGCTCCAGAATGCAATCCCCGCAAATCAGGGGTTGCCTGTGTGGATGGGAAATGCTTTTAACAGAAATTTGTTCTTAACTTCATTTTGCTGTGCTGCTGACAGGTGAAGCAAGTAAAATGGCAGATGCAACCACTATGCTATCAATTTGTGATCCAGTGCATATTGTCTTGATCAAAACAGACACATCTGGTGAGACCACATTAGTAGCATCCTATTTCTTAGAATGGCGGTCTGTCCTTTGTGCAGAGAACAGGATTACAAATGTCGCTGTTGAACTTCTGGGTGTAGGTAAGTTTTAAAACTACAGTACTACAACAGTGGAAAACAATATTGTCTGAGTGTGACAGACTACTCAAAATGAGACAGGAGCAATAAGAGTTTAATTTAGTTGACAAAAGTAGATTACCGTAAGTACTTGTGTCGTGTAGTATGATTTAGTTGCATATCACCAAATGAGCCTAAATCTTATAAACACTTTTTTTTCCTTTTGCTATTTGAATACCTGATCTATTAAAATGTCTATTTATTTTTGTTAACAAAGAGAGAAAATGTGATACTTACCCAGTCTGGTAAAGGAACCTTAGCCATTTGGTATAACATTTCACTCAACATGGACCAAAAGCCTTCTACTAGATTAAGTGGCAATGGGGTGTAGGTAATATAATTTATAGTGATGAATAGAATTGGATATATAAACATATTTAAAATGTGGTGTTAATAACAATGGGAAAAAACCATTACAAAATGCAGTACAGCTGGTATCTGACACCACCTGTTAAAAAAGAATTTATACCCTCCAGCAAGATACATGTTAGAGATGTCAGAACCTGATATGCACATTTTGGAATTGTTTGCAAAGAAGGCCCTTTGGATAGAAATTCTTTTATGTAATTACATATACAATTGGGTGTGATGTGGCTTTGAATACCAAGTATATGCTCCTTGGTTACATAAAAACGAGTTATACTTAGAATTTTATAAATATTATTAATAGCAACAATGCAAGTAATACCAGGAAATGCAAAAACCTCACCTGCACCAAATATAATGAAATGCCACACAAAAAATCAGGAATATAGTTGTTGTTTTAACAAAGTTACTCTATAAGCTGTAAAAAAAGGTCAAGCTGATAAATTTAACCAAAATATGTATTTAGGAATTGAAATCTGACATTTCAAGGTAAAATTCAACCATATGTTTTGTTCAATTTAATTTGAAGTTGTTTAAAGTGTTGATAAATTAGGCTGCAAGTCTAGCCATGTATACTCAGAAGTAAGTCCCATTGAATTCAAAGGGGCTTACTCCCAGGTAAGAGGGTTTAGAATTGCAGTCCTATTGATTCCCTCCATTACTACTTTAGAACAAATATATAGCACTTTAATTGTCAGTATTGTTTGATGACTTTTTAATGTACACTGTAGAGTTGTTCATTAAAAAAAATTTAAAAATTATTTGCTTTCTTATCAAGCCTTGTATTTTGGTCCAAAGGTACAGAATCAAAAGTTTCTGTTGGAGTACTTAATATCAGACTTGAAATGTATCCAAAGCTAAATAAGACACTTTCTCAGGAAATAGTTACTACTCAGGTAAGTCTGAACTCATATAAGCATTCTTTTAAGCATTATTATTTTAATGCAATTCAGATTGATTTAATCTTCTAAACAAAGGAACTTTGAATATGTGTTTCATTGCAATCAGTCACAAATGTTCTGCAGATGTCCTTCTCCTGATTAATCAAGGCTGATGTCATGTTACAAACTTAAATCTTTATTACTTCTGCAGTACAATAAAGAGTAAAACACAATTTATGCTGTTAGTTTGCTTGAATTTGATTTTAATCTATTACAAAATTCAATAACTTTTTCTATCATAATAAAACTCACACTCATTACTAAAAAAAACACCCTCCAGTATCCTACTCATTTACAGATTAAGCATTTTAACAAGAGAGTTGACAGTCTCCAGCCATCTGACAACTTTCATATGGCTTCATTATTCTAAATCAGGCATAGGCAAACTCGGCCCTCCAGATGTTTTGGGATTACAACTCCCATCCTCCCTAGCTAACAGGACCAGTGGTCAGGGATGATGGGAATTGTAGTCTCAAAACATCTGGAGGGCCGAGTTTGCCTATGCTGTCAGATTTAGCCCATTCCTTTTCAACAGACATGTCATATTACAATTAATACTGAACACAGAATAAAAAGGCAATCCTGTGGTTATGGATCTGTTTGCCTTGGGCTTGGAGAATTAGCAAAGCAAGCTTACATACAGTATTCTTAAAAGAGATTTTTTTTGCTCATATTTCCTCCCATTTTTTTGTTCTGACCATCAAGACTGACACAAGAGGGCACTGTCCATCAGCTGTTCTATATATATCTACTAGTTAAACCAGATAGCATGAATTTATTACAGTGGTACCTCGGGTTACATACGCTTCAGGTTACAGACTCCGCTAACCCAGAAATAGTACCTTGGGTTAAGAACTTTGCTTCAGGATGGGAACAGAAATCGTGCTCCAGCGGCATGTTAGCAGCAGGAGGCCCCATTAGCTAAAGTGGTGCTTCAGGTTAAGAACATTTTCAGATTAAGAACGGACCTCCAGAACAAATTAAGTACTTAACCCGAGGTACCACTGTACTGTAGTTTGCCCAAACAACCACTTTTCTGGTTTTTTTCTACATATTCATGTAGATCAGACTGGGCAGTAAATTTCTCCCTTCTCCTTAGTAGCATGGTTTACTGATGTTCCCTAGAATTATTTCTTCAGTTTTACTTTATCTTAGAATCATAGAACTGGAGAGTTGGAAAGGGACCACAGGGGTCATCTAATCCAGCTCCCTGCAATGCAGGAATCTTTTGTGCAGTGTGGGACTCAAACCCATGACCCTGACATTAAGAGTCCCGTGCTCTACCAACTGAGCCGAAAGCAGAAGCTGCTTCTGATCTTTGTAGCACACAAGCCCTACAGGTAAAGAAGTCCTCGCGTGATTACTGGAGAATTGGGTTGCGTTGCTGGTCCCACTCCCAAGGTTGTGTGGCTTGCCTCATCTGCAACACCCACGTCTTAAGCTTTTCCTCTGCAAATGTAAACTTATGTGCATAGATATGTGTGCTCTGCAAAAATCCACACCTAATATATGGATACTGGTGTGGGAAGCTGGGAATCCCCACTCTCCAGTAATTCTTTGAGGATCCCTTCATCTGTATGAAGGAGCCCATAGTTCGAAAGCACGTCAAAGTGCAAGTAGATAAATAGGTACCGCTCCAGCGGGAAGGTAAACGGCGTTTCCGTGCGCTGCTCTGGTTTGCCAGAAGCAGCTTCGTCATGCTGGCCACATGACCTGGAAGCTGTACGCCGGCTCCCTCAGCCAATAAAGCGAGATGAGCACCGCAACCCCAGAGTCAGCCACGACTGGACCTAATGGTCAGGGGTACCTTTACCTTTACCTATCTGGTGGAAACTACATTTGAGTAATGTGGAACTCGTTAAATCTCTTGATGTGTATCAACAATGTACATAGAAAACCAATCATAGTTCCTTGTCCTAAGTGCTTGAAATCAATGTACATTCTTTTTATAATAATGTCCAGAGTGAATTCTATGACTCCTGCATATTATTGCTTCAAAGCAAGTTTTGGAATACTCTACTAGGAGAAAAAATGTCCAAACTTATTTCTGTTTCCTTTATTGACATTTTATTCAAAGCCAATGACAGCATTGGAATAGGCACAACCAGTCTATATATGTTCTTCTGAAAAGCAGCAGTCAGAATCCAAGGCACTTTTGTACATGTTCTGGGAAATAGGGCTAAAAATCTATGTGCATACCTATATCACATAGTGTTCGTTTCTGAATTTCAGTTTTCTTTAGAACGCCAGAAAACAGCAGAAAAAGAACGCCTGTTTCTTGTTTATGCTAAGCAGTGGTGGAGAGAATATTTGCAGATTAGGACTTCACACAACACAAGACTGGTGAAAATTTTTGCACAGGTCTGTCAACTTATTTTTTCCTTGATTCTTGCTACAGGTCCAAATTTACTGGTTTTTCCAGTACAACCCTGTATTGTATTCATTGTTGAGAACTGGAATATTTAACAGTTAACTTGTCAGAGTGTAAACTATTCTACCCCACAAGTCTTGGCTGCCTTATGTTTTACTGATTCCAGACACTTGTTTTCCTGCAGTAGAGGAGGAGATCCTTAGACTGGTTGTCCCTTCCACTCATTCTACTAGACAGGCCTATGCAATTAAATAAGTTTATCTCCAAGTGACAATGCATCCCCCTCTCAGTTCCTTCCTGCTTAGCTCTCAGTGCAGGTTGTTGATGGAACTGCTCATGCACCTTGGCAGGAGCAGGATTTTGAAAGTAAGATGACAATCTTTGCCTTCTCATCACCCTTGCACTCTAATAAGAATGAAACATTTGTAGTTCTTTTATAGAAGTAACCTTGAAATGGAGTAAAGCAGGACATTGTGTAGCTATAACCGTAAAACCTGCTATCTTCCAAACCACCATAAAAAAACCTAAGCGTTCTTGCTTTCGTTAGAGGCACAAATGGGAAAGGAAGTTCTAGAGCAGTTGTGGTAGAGAATCCCATTTTTGATGTGGAAGATAATTGTTTCCATATTTTCTTTCGGTTAAACTTCATTTGATAGCCTTTTATATATATATGCAGGATGAAAATGGGATAAACAGGCCAGTCTGTTCATACGTCAAGCCTCTTCGAGCAGGTCGACTTCTAGACACGCCCAGGCAAGCGGCAAGATTTGTCAGTGTGCTTGGTTATGAAAGAGCCCCTATCATTGGTGGAGGAAATAGTAAACAAGAACAGTGGTGTACTCTTCTGGCTTTTCTATGTAGAAATAAGGTACCTGACACTCCTTCAGATACTATAATTCAAAATTTTATTGTGTAGTATCAATTCATGGTATAAATCTGTTTTAAGTTGTGGCTTCTTACAACTCTATAGTTGATTCTTTGAATCTATCCAGAAATCTTGCACTTTGGTATTCATGTAAACTTTTGTCCCATCTTAGCTTCAGCACCCATATTGCATGCTGCATTTCCTAATGTTCTGCAGCAGCAGGCCTGAAGCAGAGAGAGTGAAATGGCCAGTAAACACACCCACATGCACATGCATTGCAATACTGTTCAGTACTTCTGTTGCAGACAATTTCCCATATTTTATTTCATAAACTTGGCTAGATGAACTTAGTATGAACTTATTTATTTAAAAGCATTTATAAACCACTTAATATTTTAAAAACCATGTGGTAGATGTGTTACAGCAGCATTTGGAAGATTAAGAAATGTTTAATTGCTTATTGAATTTTTTCTGTAAATATGCACAAAGTGTTGCACATATAATGCCTGGGCTACAGTGGATGCTACACCACTCTAGTATGACCAGCTAGAAAGTACACAGTTTCATTGACAACAGTTGTGGGTGTCCCAATACACATCCTCCTATGAAAGCTTTTCCATGCCATGTAAGGGAGAAATGGCTGTGGGCATGATCAGAGAAGGAAGCTTATCACCAGTAGCAGCCAGCATGATGGGGGTGGAGCTGCCCTCCTGGGTGAGGGCAGGGCAGGGCAAGGTAGTGGTGAGGTTGTGGCTCTGCACATCCACTGGTGGAGCCAATCTGTCACTCCTGTTGATGTGTCCTAGTAACCCTAACCTTGCCATTGCTCTTCCCCATCCTGATAAGCTGCAGTGACATCTGTGTTAGGAAGGCAGCCTGGCATCTCTGTCCCATCATGCTGGCTGCTACAGTATTGTTAAACTATAGAAGCTAATTATACTTTCCAGAATGTTGCTCAAGTAGAATTTGGTGTATGGCTTTCTCTAGTAGGGCTAGTAAGACCAGGAATAAGTCCTAGTGTACAGTTTCTGTATAAGGCTATGAAATACTTGATTCTAGGTTAATGATTGTCTGTACTCTTAATCTTGCATATACTAACTGTGGGTTGTATTGAATTAAATTTTACTCAGTGTAGATACATTGAAATTAATGGACCTAAGTAATGTTCATTCATTTAATCAGGCCTCATCTGAGTAGGACTAGCATTGGAGTCAACCCTTTCTTTCAATAACATCTATGTTAACATGATGGTAACATTTTTGTCACTAACCTAAACAAAGCAATTCGCTCTTCCTCTTTGCTTCTATTTTTAATCCGTAAATCTCGAATTCTTGCCATTATCTGCTAAATTTTCATTAGTTGTCAATTTAAGACACCTTACTTTTTTTGGTATAAACTCATGTTATACATTTTAATATACCCCCCCTTTCAGGGAGATTGTGAGGATCATGCTAACCTTTTGTGCAGTCTTCTACTGGGATTTGGACTAGAAGCTTTTGTCTGTGTAGGAACAAAGGCCAAAGGAGTTCCTCACACTTGGGTAATGACTTACGGGATTGATGGAATAATCACTTTCTGGGAGAGTTTAACAGGACATAGGTAAGTAAGTCGATTGTGCTGTAAAATTGAAGGCAGATTCAAGGAATCTTCAGACATAATACCAATCCACAGTTTAGTGTTGCATCTGAACATTCTGCATGTGTGTCATTTGCTACTGAAATTTTATTAACCAACTCCCAGTTATGGCTAATGTGCTTTAATGTGTTTTTGCTTCTTTTCGGGGGCTTCTTTATTTGCTTGTTTTATTGCAGGAACATGTCGGCATCCTGAATGCATGGATCCACTAAAATGGCAAATACTGGGCATGCTGGAAAATATTCTGTGCTCAATCTGTAGCTACTCAGGAACATATGAATAACACTACAAGACTAAGTCAGCTGGGCTGTGACTTTGGAAAAACTAATTGAAGCGCTTCTCTCAGTCAGCGCTCCTAGCAATTACATAATGATGGCACTAATCATGGGCAGCAATGTCACAATGGCCAGACTGACAACACTTAACCTATTCCTTCTCTAGGATATGGGTAGGGAGTATTTCAGGCAGGGGGAAGACTTGACAGATAGCCCAGTAGGGAGAAATGCCACAATAAGAAGTGGACAATACATACAAAACTTGTGTATTTTCTTACAACTCTTGTCTGCAATCAATATTTTTAATACAATGCCCAATCATTACATTTAAGGGTAGTTGTACAATGGAAGATACCTGGTTTGGAAGAGAAAGGTACAGCGACATAAGGACTGAGAGAAGCAGCTACAAGAGTGAGGGCAAAGTGTGTAGCCTCTACTCTGATGAAGTGTTGTATTAACATGGATTCAAATTTTGGTTTTGGACATGCACTATTAGGCCTGGGTGAATGGGGTTCATGCTTTAAAGGAGGTTGCACATTCCTGAGACTTGCTCCAACTTCTTAAACATAGCTGATCAATAAAAACAGACAGTATTTTCTGTGCACCAGCCAAATGTCTATGTAAACTGAGGAGTACTTTGGGACTTCCTAGTTCTGGCTTTAAATTACTTTACTTTGTAGGGTAACTTATTAAATCATACCTATTAATTTTCAGATATATCCACAATCCTATAAAACCTGATGATCCTCCAATTGTTGAACAACCCAAGCCACTGTATCCTTACCGAACAATAGGATGTGTCTTCAATCATCACAAATTTTTGGCAAACTGCCAACCTACTGATGCCGTAGAAGTCTGTGCCTTTGACTTGCATGATGAATCCAAATGGAAACCAATGAGTGGCGAAGCAATCAAATCTGTGTGTTCTCCAGGAGCCACAACTGCACTTCCTCCTTTTCCTCCTCTCTGTGCTTCGTCAGTAGATGCTGCAGTGACAAGCAATGAACTGGAGTTGCAACTGAGAATGTTAGTGGTAGAACACAGGAAGGTACATGCCATTATTTGTGTGCAAACTGGTGTTTGGCTGCTTCTGCATTTCAGTAGGTTAAAGTTATTTTCAAAATGTATTTGAGTCAACACAGTTTCTCTCTTACATTTGATACTCATGGTATGGACAGTTGGCTTTATCCCAACATATGTAGAAAGCAAGTAAAAGGTAAAAGTAAAGGTACCCCTGCCCGTACGGGCCAGTCGTGTCCGACTCTAGGGTTGTGCGCCCATCTCACATAAGAGGCCGGGGGGCAGCGCTGTCCGAAGACACTTTCGCGTCACGTGGCCAGCGTGACGAAGCTGTTCCGGCGAGCCAGCACCAGCGCAGCACACGGAAACGCTGTTTACCTTCCCACTATAAAGCGGTACCTATTTATCTACTTGCACTTAGGGGTGCTTTCGAACTGCTAGGTGAGCAGGAGCTGGGACTGAAAGACGGGAGCTCACCCCGCCGCAGGGATTCGAACCGCCGACCATGCGATCGGCAAGTCCTAGGAACTGAGGTTTTACCCACAGCGCCACCCGCGTCCCTAGAGAAAGCAAGTACATAGGCACTATCCACACTTTGCGGAAATTCTGTATTCATGTAGATGCATCTGTGCATAAACTGAAAGCAATTTGCTTTTACTCAGTCTGGTTTAGCAGTAAAACAATTTACTTTATGTAAAATATACTTAAGACTTAGCAAATATGTTTGAAGCTTGTCTTAAAGGAACATAGGACGCTGCCCTCTAGTAAGTCATATAATTGGTATATCTAGCTCACTATTGTTAACACTGACTTCAGTTTTTCTCAGCCCTATCTGGAGACACTTGGCATTTCAGCTAGGACCTTTTGCATGCAAATTCAAATCCCCGCAACTGGGTGAGCTCCTTTTGTTCAGTCCCAGCTCCTGCCCACCCTTTGCGCTGCTCTGGTTCGCCAGAAGCAGCTTAGTCATGCTGGCCACATGACCCAGAAGCTGTATGCCGGCTCCCTCGGCCAATAAAGCGAGATGAGCGCCACAACCCCAGAGTCATTCGTAACTGGACTTAACTATCAGGGGTCCTTTACCTTTACTATGTACAGGGTGAGTCCTTTAAAAGAGGCCCCGTGGATACAGAGTACACGTGTTCCACAGGCCTCTTTTTAAAGATTCATCCTGTAGTAATTACATTCTGACCAAAAATGGAATTTTGAAATAATTGTGGTCAATTCTTATTATTGCTAACTAAATATACTCTTGGACCTTTTAACCTGAGGTGGGCAGCCTCTGGCCCGGAGACCTCATTAGGCTTGTCATTATATGCCAGGTATGGGACAGGTAAAAGCCTGGCTCAGCCAAAAGTGCAGTGCCTGCAAAGCCCTGTTTAAAGTGCTGCACAATACAGTATAGCATTTTGAAAGGGACTTCTGAAGACCTGTGGACAAAAAACATATCAGCTGACATCACAATAACATCTCCCCCCATAAAATTTGGTCTGAAAGTGATGGGAGAGAAAACATTCTGGACCGCTGAGCTAAAAAAAAGGTTCCCCCACTCCTATTTACCTCTGTTAAGTAAGCATTGTTATGTAACTACTAGTCCTAATTCCCTTCTTTATTTGATTCAACATACAGGACCTTGGTCTTTCAACAGTTTGGGACGACCAACTTTCCTACCTCTTGTCACCAGCCTTGGCAGCCTATGAACTTGAACGTACCACAGGTGTTTCTTCAGGTAATGAAGAATTTCAAGATGCCATCAGGAGAGCAGTACCCGATGGACACACATTCAAAGGATTTCCCATTCATTTTGTACACAGAAATGCAAGGAGAGCATTTGCTGCGTGCCTTCGGTAAACTTCCTTCTGCTCTTTTTACGTTGTAGTGTTGCATACAATCAGTGCTTTTTTTGTTAAAAAATAAGGTGCCAATATTGGTATCTTGATAAAAATGTTGTGGGTGAAAACACTAAACGGCTGCCATGGGTAGTATAGATAGAGGTGACAGTACTCGTGAGGACCATCACAACCAGAGTGTTGCATAACATAATCAGAATATAATATCAGATACAAGTATTTATAGCTAATCATATAAGGCTGAACATATAAGATTCAGTATTAGTTAAAATAAAACAGAAAAAAGTTAAAATTACTGACCTTTGAAAGAAAAATAATATGACATAACATAAGGGAATAAGATATATATTGATGTAAGTTGAGAAAACAGAAAGGAGATATAATTTAATAATATCTTGCATGAAAAATTGAGGCTAAATTTTTAATAATTCTCATATGGACCTTGAAGTATACAACTGGTTATTTTATACATGTAGCTAGGTAAAGGTAAAGGGACCCCTGACTGTTAAGTCATTGCAGACGACTCTGGGGTTGCGGCGCTCATCTCGCTTTACTGGCCAAGGGAGCCGGCGTTTGTCTGCAGACAGTTTCCAGGTCATGTGGCCAGCATGACTAAGCCAATTCTGGCAAACCAGAGCAGCACACGGAAACACCATTTACCTTTCCGTCAAAGCGGTACCTATTTATCTATTTGGACTTTGATGTGCTTTCGAACTGCTAGATTGGCAGGAGCAGGGACTGAACAATGGGAGCTCACCCCGTCGCGGGAATTCGAACTGCTGACCTTCTGGTTGGCAAGCCCTAGGCTCTGTGGTTTAGACCACAGCGCCACCCACGTCCTATACATGTAGCTAGAGATGAACAAATATTGGTTGTGTAGTCCTGCTCACTCATATTTTAGTTTTATATTCATTTCTGGTCAGTGGACACCTGTTAAGTGTTCTGGATGAAGATGGGTCATCTGTTAGTCAACATTTGTGACAAAATGTATCAGTCAGCATGTTATCATTCAGGCCATAGAAATAACTCGTGGAGTAAGCTATGCTTGGTATGGCTAAATTCATAGCAAAGGCTTTGTACAATTGGATGGTTAATTGCTGTGTCAAACTTCTGGTATGCAGATTTGCAGATTAAGACAATGGCTGCAGTTAACCACTTCTGTAATGGTTACTATCCTTACAATTTTAAAAAATGTCTCAAATTCAACAGTTGAGTGACTGGTTTTTGTGTTTCCATTTCCTGAAATAGGTCTCCTTTTTGTGACGAAATACTGTGCTGTAGAGGGGACCAAGTGCGACTTGCAGTTCGTGTCAGAGTTTTCACATATCCTGAATCTGCATGTGCCGTATGGATCATGTTTGCTTGCAAATACCGTTGCGTACTCTAAGAACCACTTGCACTTTGAACTGAAATCCTCCGCAGTTATGTCAAAGTCCCATTGAGGTCAAATACTTCTCACTATTAATGATGTCAGGCTTGCATTGTGATCCCGAACACATTTACTTGGAAGTAAATCCCATTGGTTTGTACTCAGCACTGTTGTTCCAGTTGCTCAGACTTTTACTTGCGCAACTGAACTTCCCCATCCTCTCTTCCACCCTGCACCCCCTGTGCACTCTTAAAGTCTGCTCCAGTTGGTTGGAGGACCCTCCAGAGCAGATTTTGAGGGTGTGTATGGAAGGAGGTGAAGAAGGAAAAGTCCCATTGTGCAATTGGAACTCTACTCAGTGTTGGATACAACCCACTGATTTCAGTACAACATTTATCTAAGTGTGCTTAGGATCACAGCCTTAAAGAGGCAAGATTGAATATTATTGTATTTAATGGTATGCCTTTAGTAAAGGCTTCTGCCACAATATAATGTTATGAGTTTTGGCTGTGTGATTGTGTTCAGAGTATCATGACAGAAAATCTTTGTATAAAGTGTAATTAAGGTATTATAAATGAAATGTACATTTCTATGTAATAAAAGTTATATTTCTTAATGAAAGGGAAGACTGCACTAATTTTCAGTTGGTGTCCAAATATTCTGTAGTTCACCTCTCTATACTGGATCTCTCTCTCTCTCTCTCTCTCTCTCTGTGTGTGTGTGTGTGTGTGTCCTGTTTAATTGCAGTGAAATTATAAAACTGAAAGACCAATGCATTTTGCTTTCACTTGGAAAACACCATAACATAACGGAAAAAAGAGAATGTTGATTGTGTGTGATCATAATCTAAGAAAGTGTCGCTAAGGGAGGAATCCTGTGCACAAGAAGTTGGCATAAAGCAAGCTGATGTCAAGTTATACAAGATCTAAACCCAATTCAGCAGTGGGGCTGCTTCTGTACCTAAGCCGGGCAGAGGGAAAACAAGCCTTTAAAATAGTGTTGTATGCTGGGCTGGCATGTGACCACACTGAGGCTTAGAATCCAGTCTAAGTCTCCCCTCTCTGGACCCACCCCTAGAACAGAAAGAATGGTAAAGGCCATGTTGTTGTTTAGTCGTTTAGTCGTGTCCGACTCTTCATGACCCCATGGACCAGAGCACACCAGGCACTTCTGTCTTCCACTGCCTCCCACAATTTGGTCAGACTCATGTTTGTAACTTCGAAGACACTATCCAACCATCTTGTCCTCTGTCGTCCCCTTCTCCTTGTGCCCTCCATCTTTCCCAACATCAGGGTCTTTTCCAGGGAGTCTTCTCTTCTCATGAGGTGGCCAAAGTATTGGAGCCTCAGCTTCACGATCTGTCCTTCCAGTGAGCACTCAGGGCTGATTTCCTTCAGAATGGATAGGTTTGATCTTCTTGCAGTCCATGGGACTCTCAAGAGTCTCCTCCAGCACCATAATTCAAAAGCATCAATTCTTCGGCGATCAGCCTTCTTTATGGTCCAGCTCTCACTTCCATACATCACTACTGGGAAAACCATAGCTTTTACTATATGGACCTTTGTTGGCAAGGTGATGTCTCTACTTTTTAAGATGCTGTCTAGGTTTGTCATTGCTTTTCTCCCAAGAAGCAGCGTCTCTTAATTTCGTGGCTGCTGTCACCATCTGCAGTGATCATGGAGCCCAAGAAAGTAAAATCTCTCACTGCCTCCATTTCTTCCCCTTCTATTTGCCAGAAGGTGATGGGACCAGTGGCCATGATCTTCGTTTTTGATGTTGAGCTTCAGACCATATTTTGCGCTCTCCTCTTTCACCCTCAATAAAAGGTTCTTTAATTCCTCCTCACTTTCTGCCATCAAGGTTGTGTCATCTGCATATCTGAGGTTGTTGATATTTCTTCCAGCAATCTTAATTCCAGCTTGGGATTCATCCAGCCCAGCCTTTCGCATGATGAATTCTGCATATAAGTTAAATAAACAGGGAGACAAAATACAGCCTTGTCGTACTCCTTTCCCAATTTTGAACCAATCAGTTGTTCCATATCCAGTTCTAACTGTAGCTTCTTGACCCACATAGAGATTTTTCAGGAGACAGATGAGGTGATCAGGCACTCCCATTCCTTTAAGAACTTGCCATAGTTTGCTGTGGTCGACACAGTCAAAGGCTTTTGCATAGTCAATGAAGCAGAAGTAGATGTCTTTCTGGAACTCTCTAGCTTTCTCCATAATCCAGCACATGTTTGCAATTTGGTCTCTGGTTCCTCTGCCTCTTCTAAATCCAGCTTGCACTTCTGGGAGTTCTTGGTCCACATACTGCTTGAGCCTTCCTTGTAGAATTTTAAGCATAACCTTGCTAGCGTGTGAAATGAGTGCAATTGTGCAGTAGTTGGAGCATTCTTTGGCACTGCCCTTCTTTGGGATTGGGATGTAGACTGATCTTCTCCAATCCTCTGGCCGCTGCTGAGTTTTCCAAACTTGCTGGCATATTGAGTGTAGCACCTTAACAGCATCATCTTTTAAAATTTTAAATAGTTCAGCTGGAATACCATCACTTCCACTGGCCTTGTTATTTGCAGTGCTTTCTAAGGCCCATTTGACTTCACTCTCCAGGATGTCTGGCTCAAGGTCAGCAACCACACTACCTGGGGTGTACGAGACATCCATATCTTTCTGGTATAATTCCTCTGTGTATTCTTGCCACCTCTTCTTGATGTCTTCTGCTTCTGTTAGGTCCTTACCACTTTTGTCCTTTATTATGGTAATCTTTGAACGAAATGTTCCTTTTATATCTCCAATTTTCTTGAACAGATCTCTGGTTCTTCCCATTCTGTTGTTTTCCTCTATTTCTTTGCATTGCTCATTTAAGAAGGCCTTCTTGTCCTTGCTGTTTTTTGGAAATTTGCATTCAATTTCCTGTATCTTTCTCTATCTCCCTCGCATTTTGCTTGCCTTCTCTCCCCCGCTATTTGTAAGGCCTCATTGGACAGCCACTTTGCTTTCTTGCATTTCCTTTTCATTGGGATGGTTTTCGTTGCTGCCTCCTGTATAATGTTGCGAGCCTCCATCCATAGTTCTTCAGGCACTCTGTCCAGCAAATCTAAATCCTTAAATCTGTTCCTCACTTCCACTGTGTATTCATAAGGGATTTGATTTAGATTGTATCTTACTGGCCCAGTGGTTTTTCCTACTTTCTTCAGTTTAAGCTTGAATTTTGCTATAAGAAGCTGATGATCTGAGCCACAGTCAGCTCCAGGTCTTGTTTTTGCTGACTATATAGAGCTTCTCCATCTTTGGCTGCAGAGAATATAATCTGATTTCGATGCTGCCCATCTGGTGATGTCCACGTGTAGAGTCGTCTCTTGTGTTGTTGGAAAAGCGTGTTTGTGATGACCAGCTTGTTCTCTTGACAGAACTCTATTAGCCTTTGCCCTGCTTCGTTTTGCTCTCCAAGGCCAAACTTGCCAGTTGCTCCTTTTATCTCTTGATTCCCTACTTTAGCATTCCAATCCCCTATAATGAGAAGAACATCCTTCTTTGGTGTCACTTCAATAAGGTGTTGTAAGTCTTCATAGAATTGGTCAATTTCAGTTTCTTCAGCACCAGTAGTTGGTGCATAAACGTGGATTACTGTGATGTTAAAAGGTCTGCCTTGGATTCGTATCGAGATCATTCTATCATTTTCGAGATTGCATCCCAGTACAGCTTTCGCCACTCTTTTGTTGACTATGAGGGCCACTCCATTTCTTTTGCGGGTTTCTTGCCCACAGTAGTAGATATGATGGTCATCCGAACTGAATTCGCCCATTCCCGTCCATTTTAGTTCACTGATGCCCAGGATGTCAATATTTATTCTTGCCATCTCATTTTTGACCACATCCAACTTACCCAGGTTCATGGTTCTTACATTCCAGGTTCCTATGCAATATTTTTCTTTACAGCATTGGACTTTCCATACTTTGAGCCAATGTGGATCCATCTACCCTGCTTGGGTCTTTGTCACAAGGCTGAAGGTGAACATCTTGCATACAAAACTTGTCCTGGACCCCTGAGCAAAGGGTCCGTTTCTCCCAAATTAATTCTGAAATACCACTCCGGAATTCACGGGTTTAGCTGGGGGAGGAATGGCAGGCTCCTTATTAATTTAGTACTGAAGCACTGCGGCCAAGTTAGTCATATCCTGACGCTTGGCAAATCCCCATGCGGAAGGCTTTGGCGCCTAATTAATTTTCTTCCCTGGGGGAGGCCGGGCCCTCGTGGCTGGCTCTATTCCTCCCAACCCGGACACATGATATACTGTACCGGTATGTACACTTCTCCCCCGGTCCATTCCCCCCGCTTCTTGCTGTCCTTGTTTCCCGCAGGCAGGCGGCAGTGTAACCCAGCAGAGCCCGAGGCGAGGAGGAGGAGGAGGAGGGACGCCATTGCGTTGCTATGAGGTGACTCCCGCCCTCCATACTCTCCTCCCCCTCCAGCCACGGACTGACTCGCTCTGGGGTGGCGGTGGCGGCGCTGCTGCTGCTGCCTGCCTGCCTTCCTCGCCGGTGACTGGGGCGGCTCACGCGCTTTCTTATTTATTGAGGGAAGCGGGGGGAGGGGTGCGGGGAGAAGAACATGAAGGCGGCGGGCAACGGGCAGCCGCGGCGGCGGCAGCAGCAGCAGCTGAGGTGAAGCGAAGCGAGGCGGCGAAGGCAGAGGACGAAGAGGGCAGCGAGCGCGGCCGGTCATCTCCTTTCCGTTGTTATTATCATTCGGCTCCCCGCAGAGGGAATGGCTCACGGCGGGGCCGCGGGAAGCGACGAGCCCTTGCCGGGCACCTCCGGCCGCAGAGACGGCGGCGGCGACGACGACGAAGGCCGGTCTCTGGCGGCGGCGCTGGCGATGCGGGACGCGCTGTCTCTGGAGGAGATCCTGCGGCTCTACAACCAGCCCATCAACGAGGAGCAGGCGTGGGCCGTCTGCTACCAGTGCTGCGGTTCCCTCCGCTCCCGAGGCCGCCGCGGGGAGTCTCCCAGCCGCAGGGTGGAGAGCCCCGCCGACATCCGCATCTGGAAGGACGGAGCCGTCACGCTGGGCGACCGTGCTCGGAGCCCGCCGGCAGCAGGTAAAGCTCCGGGGCGAGGGCCGCCGCTGAGCCCCGCGCTCTCCGCGCTCTTGAGGCTCCCTTGGGCCCCAGAAGGGTACTGGGGGTGCCCTTCGCGCGCTGTTTTCAGCCTTGTTTTCTTTCTGTGGGGGGTGAATCTTTCCCCCTAGCAACGCCTCCCCCCCCCCCCACACTTTCCCCCCTTCCGTCGTCTCCCGCTCCCGGGAGGCTGCATACATCCCCCAGTAATGCAATTGCACGGCGAGGATTTCCTCCACCATTTCTCCATCACTTAGCACTGCTTCTTCCCCATGGATTTCAGGGCTGCCTCCTCCTCCTCTTCTTAGCTGCCTCAGGTCGGCGACATTCTCGCGCGCGCTCCTCCCGCACCCACAGCAACAAAAACGCCTCTGTTTCGTCTTGTTTATACAACTGACCCATCTTCCCCAGAAACGACGGCGTTTGTATGAAGAGCTTGCTAGTTACCATTTTCTGATAATCCCTTCCCTCCCCCCCACTCCTCCCGCTTCGCTGCGAATGTTTTTCTTCTCTCTGTCGTGCTGAAATCTAGAGTTCTTATATGATCAGTAATATTTTCTGTCTTTTAAATGCTGCATTATGGCTGGTGTATAGGCAAGCAGTTGGGAGACTGCAGGGTAGCTTAATTGTACCTGAAAGGATGTCTTGGTTTGGGCATGAGACGTTTCATTTTTGGATGGAGCACCTAACAAAAACATCCTTCCTGTTTCATTGCCCTTGTTTGGCACTGCAGCATGGGTGACTATATTAAATACTGATACACGGTTTCTGAAATACCGAGGCTGTGTGCCTGTTTATTTACTAGAGCTCCTCCAGCACCTTTTTTCCTTTGCTCCTGCTTGGAGAAAGCCTGTGGAAAATAAAATGATGCAAAGCTACTCATGTAGGTCAGCATGAGGGATTGGGGGAGGGCACTGCAAAGCAAAACAAAGAAAGCAGCTGTCAGAACCTAGGCATGTTGCTACCAGGAGGTTTAATGTCTGTTGGCTTTGTGCCTTTGTTTTGTGTTCCTTTTTAATTCCAAAACAAGGCTGCAATCTTATGCTAACTTATTTGGGAGTAAATTCCAGTGATATCAGTGTGTTCTATACACATCCACGTGAAAAATGTATAGGAAACAAGCAAGTGGAAATACATACTTTTTATAACATTGGTTTGATGTTCCCGTTTACTGAAGACTGCAACTAATCAATCATATGATTAACACAGGAAATAAAATGTGACGTTATGAATTCCTCTTATGTACTTAGGAAAAATATGTTAAACAGATTAAGCAGTTATATATAATACACACTTTATGTCCATGACTAATGTAACACCATATTATCTTTCCCTTACATGTCTTAGCACGTGCCTTCAAAATCTCTGATTATACTAGTTACCTCAAACATACTTTTAAAAAAACCCAAATTAACGCAGTAAACCACTTTTCAAAGTCAGCTCTATAAACTCATTCTAGCAGCAAACAGATTGTACCTGTCATTTGACTGTACAGTCAAAGAAACAATACATATGAAAAGTGACACATAGCATGCATTGTACAGATCCTGCATTTGCTGTGTATTGTTTAGTGAACATAATAAAACAAGAGTTGAAGTAATAAGACTTCAAATGGTGGTTATTTGATTTTAAAAATAGGACATCATATGAAATTTGTTTATTTCGTTGTTGTAAGAAGAACAATAGGATAACCTACTGTAGAGTTTAATGTTGGCATGACGCTCATTGTTGAGTACTCCATAATCTCCTTCAGAACACAGTAATGAATTCTTGAATTCTACAGCAAATACTAGACAGACATTTTATACTGGCTGAGGAATAGGAAACCTTTATGTGCAGAATTATTTTATGTCACTGTCGAAGGATATTTTGTACTCCCATATGCCAGGACACAGAGTTAGTTCCATGTCAGAATGCAGTTCCTAGACAGGTTTTAACCTCAACATAACAAACAACAAGCATGAGTGGTATTTTGCAAAATGGTTTTTTGTTTGTTTGCCTGCAGACAGAAACATTCTGTATTTGAACACTCTTAATACTGGCTATGATTTGTGAAATTAAGATAATGGATGAAATCCAATGCTAGTAATACTCAGAGTAAACTCATTTAAACTAATGGATAAGTAAATTAATTTCAGTGGGTTTACTCTTGAGTATTATTACTATTATTATATTTATTTTCATCCTGCCTTTTTCCCTGACAGAGACTCAAGGCAGCTTACAGCTAAAACAGAAACAGCTAAAAATGGGGGAAAGCAATAATTAAAAAACATTTAACTATTAATATATTTATCTATATATGATCTATTAAAGATACAGATCATAATGAAAACACCACAGTACCAGCCCTTCCCCTAAAAGGAGTCAGTTCCCAAATACTATTGGAACAAGAAAGTCTTCACCTGGCTGCAATAAGAAGGAAGTTCCAAAGTCTGGGAGCAACCACTGAGAAGGCCCTTGACTATGACTTCGTTAGATATCACTCAATGTCTTTTACCTCTTTATCCCTTTATCTTATATTATTTTAACACTTCTTATTCCCCAAATGAGGGCAAGGGCACAGCATATGACATACTCTCAGCTGAATATTAGGTTTTGTACTTGCAAATAGCATAGCTTTTTCACACTGCTGTAGGGAGGAAGGGTTTATAATAACAGAGATGTGGTATGTTTAGGTTTTCAGCTGAGACCGTCAGAGCAGCCACCTGCTCTGAGTCCACACACAGCAACATGACTCATCTGTCATGGCACTGTTAAGTTGACTTTTCCTGTTTATTGTAGCATTTCCTACTTGTGGGTTCCTAAGACGGTGGTGAGAAGGGTTCCAAAGGAGGTGACAAGAAGCATATAGAAGTGAGGAGTGCAGAACCTTCCCCTGCCAGCTGCCTATCTTCAGGAAAACATAAACTACTTTCTAGAACAGCATAAGTAGTCTTAGTGCCATACTTTGTTGTCAGCCCTCATCACACACTGTGTCTGCCCAATGGTGTAGCATGTACAGAGCTGCTGCCACCATGAAGTGGCTTGGGCTAATTATCTGGATAATAAGCTCTCAGTTGATGTGGGGCAAAACAATAGCCATGTTTGCACTTACAGAGCATGTTGGCTGTCATAATTTATCTCTTGGAAACATTCCAATGTTGCTGAGAGGAAAAAACCTCTCTGATGGTTTCCTTTGATCTGTTAATCCCACATATTTTAGACTATGGCAGATTATTTTTAAGTGCATGAGTAAGGGTTAACACTGACAGGTAGATCATTTAAAATTATACCTTATATCCATTAGAATAAACATCTCTAAGGTCCCTATTTCAGTACAGTCATACCTCGGGTTAAATATGCTTCGAGTTGAGCACGTTCGAGTTGCGCTCCGCAGCAACCCGGAAGTAACGGAGCGCGTTACTTCCGGGTTTCGCCACTTGCGCATGCGCGGACGCTCAAAATGACGTCATGCGCAGAAGCGGCGAAAAGCGACGCGCGCATGCGCAGATGTGCCGTTGCTAGTTACATTTACCTCCAGATGCGAACAGGGCTCCGGAACGGATCTTCTTTTATATCTAGAGGTACCACTGTACATATATGTTTTCATTTGTTAAACTAACATTAGAAATGTATCATGATCTTGTAAAGGAGATCTATGTGCAGAAGCAAGTGCGTATTCATACCATGCTGATTATCTGGGCCTCATAAAGCTGCATCTTTTTTTCTCCACTGGAGATGTACAACCCTGTCAAGGGACAGTAGTTGCCTGTAACTGCAACTTGATCATGGCCTTTGTTAACAAGAAAGGAAGCAGACACAAACTCTTGAGTATTAACTCTTTTATGAGAATTTGACAACTTTTGGTAGGGAAAGTTCAAGTTTTGTTTAAGACTGTGAAAGAGGATACAATCTGCCATTATGTCATCTAAGCTAAGGAAACAGCAAATGCCATAGACTTTGATTTAGGTTGCATTCCTGTGCTCATTTTCCTGTATGAATACAATGGTACTTACTTTTGAGTAAGCATATGTAAGACAGCTCTTATATGGATGTCTAACTGCCATGACTGGGCTCATTTGGTAGAGCATGAGACCCTTAATCTCAGGGTTGTGAGTTTGAGCCCTATGTTGGGCAAAAGATACCTGCAATGAAGAGGGTTGGACTAGATGACCCTCATGGTCCCTTCCAACTCTACAATTCTATGGTTTTGCTTAACCTGATGAAAAAGTGGAGCATGTTATTACTGGAAGGAATTTGAAGATCAGATAGATTTAATCTTCTTTAGTGAATGGCTATCAGTTGGGTCATAACATTCCGCAAACGAAGTGGGTGGATGAAGGCAAACGCTATTAAGTAAATAAATTAAATGCAGCATATAAGCAAGCTATGCTATAATGCAAACTGCAAGATAATGTAATAAAACTCAGAATTATTAGAAACTGTGATCTGGAATAACATTGCCCTTCAAATATGGTAAAGAAATTGGACCCAATTTACTTCTCTTTCTCATGTTTACTTGTCTTTATCATGCCCACCCTACTTAAAAGCTTATATCCAGTTCCAACTGTCTTTGAACCTCCAAGGGAAGGAATTTCTCCATCTCATCTTTCAAACCTAGGTTTGCAAGTGTATATAAAATTCATTACTCTAGTAAACTACCAATGAGGTTCAAATCAAAATGTGCTAGATTAAATTATGCTAAAATACAAATCAGTTAACTAATAATAAAGTGCAAACCTCGGTATTCTTCACTGCCTCTAACAGAAATTGAACGGAAAGCGCTGACAGGCTTGGAGCCATTGAGAAAGAGATGAAACATACCTGGAGGAACCCTGAAGTTTGCAGAAGAAAAATACTGAAGGGGGCAACCCTCCAAAGTAGACCAATGAGGACTGAGCATTCTCAGTAGCTGCAGGACATTGAGTGTCACTTAGAAAAGAAAAATGAGAAACTGGGGGTGGAATGTAATGTGCTGCAAACCCCCTGTTAGCAGCTTCTTGGAGGTTAGGGCATGATTGGTTGGAAGGACTCTTTAATAAGAACACTTTTGATAGGAAAGGGTGGGCTAGATACATTCTCCAGGCTGAGGGCCACATTGCTTCTTGGGCAGCTTGCCAGAGGCCACATGACTGTGATCGAACAGAGTTACAAAGTGGGTAGGGAATTGGATGTGCTACTTACTTTGATATAGCAAGCTACACTCTAGAAATGCAAAGTCAGAAGTTTCTATACATACCCTTCTCTATCCATGCAAGCAAGAGTCACTAGTACAATTTAAAAACTCATTTGAGACAGACAATAGCACTTGAAGAGGGTGTGGAGCCTTGACGAATGTGGCTGGGGTAAATCCTAGAAGGCCTCATTTAGCTCTCCTTGTTGTGCAGCTCCGTACCTTGTGTGAGGGGGTCTACCCGTTCCCCACAACAGCAAATTCAGGTGGTGACTGCTGATAGGACTGGTGCCAAAAAGGGATACTGAGAAATGAGGGTGTTCTCAACGTGCTCCAAGAAACAAGGGGTATGCAGAAGTACAGAAGGATTAAAATGTTCAAGTACACATTGTTTGGTAATCTCCAGGAGCCACAGAATGAGTAGCAAAGAAAAATGGAAAATCAGATTGAGTGAATTGGCCTACTTGAATGCTTTAGTACGGAGGATAATATGCCTGGGTGACACTCCTGTTAGGAGCTTCAGATACATTGAAAATATTCGTTTAAAGTTGTGTTCATAGAATAAAAGAATTGAAACTTCCCAAGGTAACATTAATGACATTGCCCTGCCCTATATATGGGGAAACCCAGCCAGATGGGTGAGGTATAAATAAAATTATTATTATTATTATTATTATTAATCATATCAGTATACCCGAAGAACAGAATTGTTCCAGTGACTTGAATTAGAGTGCTAGTCCAGTTGTAAATAATGACCTTGCATTAAATACTAAAGTCTAAAAATAATGTGGATAAAACTGCAGTGTCTCAAGATGGAGAATGGACCTATTGTTTGCTAGAAAGTAATTATACAGTAAAATAAACTAGCATTTTAAAGACTGTTTGACATGCTAGTTTTTCTATAAATATTATTAAACATTTGATACCTTAATACATTTTTTTTAAAAAAATCTACAACTCATAACAATTATGTGGATGAAATTACAACTTGATAGTTCTTACAGTGTGTTTAGGAGCGATTATCATTTAGTAAATGAAGGCTTTTTATAGAGCAATCATATTTGTTTATTCAGCAGTAAGCTCAATATAGTTTTCAGTGAGACTTACTTCTGATGTGTAAGGGATTGCAGCTTTAATTGAGTGATACTTCTCTAAGTCACTAGATTTGTTTTAAGGAGGCATGGGCTTCTCAGTGACATTTATTGGCTCAGTTTCTATCTTGATTGGCACAGAATTGGAATACTGATTAAGTATGGTGTATATGGTTAAGTGACTATGTGCTTGTATTTTGCTGCTGGATAGTGCTTTTTCTGGAGAAACCTCAAGCGTGTCATAAGGCACGTATGTGTAGTCCTTCCCTTTTTATTGAATCTACTTATGTCTGTTATTGGTTCAAGAGTGAGGTACAAAGTCTTCTAGACTAGTTGGCTGAATGAAGCAGAATGTGCTATGTAACCTACTAGGCTTAAGATGAAGTTCAAGAACTCTTGCTCTAAACTTAATAACAATTAAAATCACAGTGGAACAAATACCAGTCAAAACTTTTCCTTTCACTTACTTCTATGAAGGCTGATCTTATGCCTGTTGTTTTGGGCACTAGAAACATGTAGTTTTATAGTCAACACAAAAGCTGGCATTTCCATAATTCTTTTTTACGTGATCTCTTTTTTCAGTTGAGATCAGATTCTTAAAGCAGCCAAAATGCTTTCCTTCTCCAAGTATGACTTTCAAGATAAATTGTTTGCTAGGATAAGAGGAGCACCTGTATATGAGGCTACATGTTGTGATTTTTCAAGGGCTTAATACTGTATTATTCTCTTGAAAGTTTAGAAAATACATTAGAGACAGAAATCAAGAAATTTCAGGGTTCTAAGGTTTACTAATTTAGTAGGGGTTTTATTCCTTTACTGAACGTTTGATGAAAAAGTTATAAGATTAACAGTGGCTGTCATTCATATGTGGTACACCCTGTAGTTCATTGTTCAAATATACTAATTATTTTATTGTTAATATCTTAGGGCACAGTAAGAACATATTATGCAGTCTTCTTACAGGGAAAATATATGTGCAAGGCTGGTTTCTCTTAATTCTTTCTTCTAGCCTGCTTTTCTAGCTGTCATTAATGAGCAAAAAGCCATCTATTGTTGAGTTTTGTTTATAATGAAATATGATTTTATTTCCTTAACAAGGTACACACCCACTTGAGCACTGAGATGTAAAGTGATTTTTTGGGTTGATTTAACATTACTTTGAATATTAGCCCTAGTTCTCACTGAGGTGGCAAAGGTGTGCCAGGGTTTTACTGCTTTAGGTTTCAATGGGAGGCTCACAGGATTGAACATTCCCCCATATAATATAAATAAAAATATATATCCACATAGTCAGGTAGCATGTCAGGCTACAGCCTTTCCTCCTGAAATCTAGTTTTCTGTGTGCAGAGAATTTGTATGAAGGAGCAATCAGTCATGTCAGTTACCATCCACAGGCTGAAGTACCACTGTTCAGATAGAGCTTTACAAACTCATGAGTACTAGACTTCAATTGTTGAGTCTCTTTTTATGTAATGGAGTTTGAAAGGGTAGACTGCAGCACTCTCAGATAACATTACAGAGCTAAATCTAAAGCCCGTAATTATAACTAAAAGCTGGCCAGAGCTTCTGGAGCTACAGTCTGAATGTTTTTTATTGCTTCAGGGTGCTTTGGGGGGAGGCAATGATAATTGAGTTTTATGTCTTAAGTTTTATCCTGGCATTTTGTGTATTTTTATTTTATCTAGAATATTGTAACACATTTGAAGTAGATGACCTCTTTTCTCAAACAGCAGAGTCTTGTGACACCTTAACACCTAACAAATTCATGTATCAAACTTTGGTTAATTCAAATCCACTTCATCAGATTCAGGAAGTGTAATCCTCAATTGGCAGCTGAGGATTATACATGTATTTATTAATTTTATATCTTGCCTTTCCGAAGGAGTCTGGGGCAAAAAACACACAAGTGATAAAACATCTTAAAAATATCTTTGAAACAATTTATCTTTAAAACATCTTTAAATGCATTTGGTAAAATAGACTTTAGCCTATGAAAGCTTATGCCAAACTAAATTGGTTAGTATTTAATGTGCCACAGGAACCTTTGAATAGAAAAGGAGTTGAATGTCTAAAGGAGGATAAGGAGATTGTTCCAAGCATGGCTAGAATTGCCTGGTCAATCCAGAGGGCTTGCTAATACCATTTCTCTACCCTCAGATAAATTACAGCAGCTCTTAAGTGCTTCCCTACTTGACAATAAAAAGGGAAGTGGTGGCAGTTTAATGAATATAAGAGGAATGCACCTTATACCCTGTTTATCTCATATGGGAGATGTGGGAGTGATTGCCCCATGGTTAAAGAAATCAGCGAATGTGTGATTCCAGTTAATGCATGTTTTCAATATATAGAGAGGAGCCTTGGAAAGTGTGAATGAGGAAGGAAAGTGGGAGAGGCCAGTGTCTGTATTCTTTACAAGAACTTCTGTTGAAATTGAGTCATAGATTTGTATGACTCAGTTAAGTGTCAAGTCTTCAAAGTCAGCAGGGCAAAATGTTAGACATATACTGTCATAACTTCCTGAAAAGTGGGGGAAATAAAAGCATGGCTAGAATTGGAGCATGCTGAAGAACTTGACAAGCCAGACTTTAAAGTTGTATTTTAAAAACATTTTTTAATATCTGGATTTAATGAAGTCTGCAAATCTGTTCATCATGAAGATAGCCCCTTCTTGTGCACAAAGTATGCTCACTTCCCATCCACCTAAGTGGATCTTTGTGACTCCTAATTTGTCATCCTCCTTTTAGACCAGCAGCTGGTGCTGAACATATGAACCTCCTCCCTTCACAGTTCCTTTCAGCCTTGATAATGAGGTGTTGCTGTCATCCACCACTGCATCCCATCCCAACATGGATAGGGTGGTGAACCTTGACAAGCTCTCTGACTTCTGGCAAATCATTTCTTAGCCTAACCTACCTCACATGGTTTTGTGCAAATACACTGTCCATCTTCAGATTGTATAAATCTTTAATCTTTTAATAAAAATATCCAAGGAGAATAACATTTAGAATATTTTAGTACGTACTTTTTTGTGAGAATAAAAGGAGGAATCATTCATACATGGCATCCTGAATGTATTGCAGTAAGAGATGACTAAAAGTTTCATAGTCAATAAAAGTGGGGAGGTGGCTATTGCAGAGACAGACAGAGGAAGAAGCAACGAGACCCTAACCTAGCTTCAGCTTGGGGATGACAGTGCAAGTTCATGATCTTACATATGGTGCAACACTTCAGAGAGTGGTTTGTAGCATGATATAGACTGTCTGCCGTACTTCTTCTCAGCATGGAGCTGCGGAGGCTGTGAGGCGAAGGTTGTTGCTAGTTTTGTGCTGAGCTTTGGAGATCCTTGCTTCAGACGTTCAGCATGGCATCAGATACCAGACTCCACCCCTCTGAGGCCAGGGCCAGCATGTATTTTAGCTGGCTACTAAGGCCAATCAAAATTTGTCTGTCCCATTTTAAGGCTGATTTTTTTGGTAACAATTTTGTTAATATTTATTTATTCAAAAGCAGAATAAAATGAAGGTTGTGAAATACTGGCTAACTTGTCAATCAAATTGTGCACAGCTTATTGCTTCCAGGGTTATTTGCTTGTGTCAGGTTAAGTTATGCATGTGCAGGATGGAGGAGGTATAAATATGCATCACATTATCTGATTCAGTAGAAGACATTTTCATAATGTTATTTTCTCTCCCAATGAGTTTGTGAGAACATTTTTTTCTGAGTTACTGGGAAACTCAGACAATGAGAGGGGAACACCTTTGTTGTTTGTTAAGATGCTTATCTTAAGAAAGAGAAACTTTCTTGGGGGATTGTATATATTTCATGGAACAGACAAATACTTGTTCAGATTTCATTGAGTGGCAGATTTAAGATTTTAAAAATGTATATAGCAGTGCACCAGTAGCAATTAAGCCTCACCATGAACAGTGCATGTACAACCAGGGCCCAGATCCTTGCTCCATCTTCCTCCAGCAGTGGATTAGAGGTAGAAAGTACAGAAGCGTAAAATGATCAATTCACATAGGCCATCTGAGAAAGGAAGAGTCCTGGAGACTCAACTATACAGCTCTGAATAAAACATTTTAAGTGTGTTTTAAATGCAATATACAATGTGATACTAGATGGCAATGGTGAGCGTTTTTATATGTGTGTATATGTGTACGTTTTTAATATATGTGTACATTCCACCCCAGTGCATTTCCTCGCTTCCATGTAGCACCTGTATGGAGTGAAAGGAATAGTATTCCCATTTACCACAATCCCTGAAGATTTTTGCTTTGCACAGAGTTCTCAGGAAGAAAGAAGCAACACAGCTTCTTCTCTTCCTAAGTACCTGTACAAAGTGAAAGGATCACCTCCTTCTCTGGTCATCTGCAATATGCAATGAACAGGGAAATGTAATAGTCCATGGATGATGGGAGTTGTAGTCTACATGGGGAAAGAGGATGCATCAGATTTTTTTCTAATCTTTTCTAATCTTGTTTTTGGAATTGATTGTTTATTTTTAAAAGGTGTAAATAACTCTTTTTTGTTTTTAATTTCAGGTAAATCAGAACATTTACGCTGTCCAGAAACAGAGGTAAGAACTTGTAAAAGTGTTTGTTCTGTTTGATACACTAGTGTATCTTAGGGCATTTATATATAGCTCTCCCAGGTATCTGTACTGATATGCCGAGAGAGCACTGCCACAGGGGAGAGAAATGTGTGCAGTCTGTCTCTGAATACAGAAGAAAGCTTCAAGCAGTGGAGCTTTCAAAATGCAAATGCTAAGCAGGGAAAGGACTTCTTTTGGCTAGGCAGATGCTGCAATGGAGGGAAGAGCAAAAGGGTCAAGCAGTCCACAATCAGAGCAGCCCTTCCTCTTTTTCAGCTTTCCCAACTTTTCCAGCTTTTTGCTGTCCTTGACCAGCACCATCAACTGTGTCTGTGATGGTCTATGTGAAACCCCCATGCAAGCAGCTTCACACTAGTGTTAGAAACTGAGATATGAAAGCTAGGAGCTAAATGGCACTTAAACCTAGGTTATGGGCGCAACAACGGAATGTCTAGGTGTGCTTTTTTTATAACAAGAATACAAAACTGAAAATGAATGAACTGCAGCTAAAATGTTATGTTCATTTTTCACATGGTCTAGTCCTTCCCCTGCCCACCCTCCTAATATTCTTAAGAGGGTCTCTTCTCCAGTCTTCAGAAAGTAGCTAGAAGTGGGGAACCAGAAAAAGGTCCTCCTTTTCTTCCACTCTGCAGTTTTAATCTGAAATTTTAGGTGCAGTACTGCGCCCAGAGCTCAGAAACTGCTCACATGAATGAAATTCCATGTTGCAAAATGCGCTTAGAACAATGGGAGTTTCGAACAGTGCTTCACACTGCTCCTTACACCCCCAAAAACTAAGGGTACAACGAGCAGCGTTTCAAAATGTTTCCCACTGCTCCTGAAAGCTCTGAAAGTCAGGTTTAATTCACACATGCTGATTCCACAGCTCTGTCGGTTATTTTCTCATAGGAAAAACTTGAGCTCTTTAAAGAATATGAGGGCTGTGTTTGACCCATGTTTATTTCTTTTTAGCGCTGAGAGAAATCTGTATGATTCCGCTTAGTGTCTTAACAGCTGTACCCAATGCTAGGGAAATTTCCCAGGAGCACTTACATATTATTTGATACAGTTGTATCCTGCCCTTCCTCCATAGAGCTTAAAGTGGTATTTTAACCTCAAAGAAGAGAGGTTGGTTGAGTGATGGTAACTTGCTCGAACAATGTGGTGAGTTTTGCAAGAATTTGGACATAGGATTTCCACCACATTAAAAACCATTTTAGCCACTGTGTGGGAATATAAAGTTTCTATAAAGAACAAGATCCAACCTCTTTCCAGGCAGAGTTTTTGTAGCTTTTGCCCTCACCTGTCGGTCAGGGTAAACTGGGAGTCTTGTGTGGCTGATCAGTATCTCTACCACCTTGCCTCAAGGGCTCTCTCAGGTGACAATGCTACTGTTGACTGAGTTCTCTCTTTTGGTGAAAAGGGTATTTGATAGTAATCAGTTTTCTTTGGAGGCATTGATTTGGCTACTGAGTTTCTAGAATTTAGGGACTTGGATAGTTATTGTTTCTGACTCATATGCTGGCTTCTGTATCTCAATGGCCCTGTGCTTGCTATGCTGCTGCTGAGATTTAATATGCAACTGCCCCCTGGTTTTTGTCACTATTTTTAATACACTAGAAATACACTGAATTACTAATAGTGGTGGGAAGATCTCTGTACTTTCTGGAAATAAAGATCAGCTGTGTTTTACCAGAGCTTGGAAAAGATAGAAAATCATTCATTGTGACCTTAAAACATGCTATTCACTGCTGCAGCTCCTGTCATATGACATCATGCATAAAATTCAAGATAGTTCTTTTTTAGAAACAAAAATAAGCTTGCCATGTGAGTGGAATAGAAATACTTTTTTTTTTTTAGAAATAGCATGATGTGGAGAAAGTGGGTATAGATGTTTTTCTCCCTCTCTCATAACAGTAGGACTCAGGGACATCCAATGAAACTGAGTCTTGGAAGATTCAGGATAGACAAAATACATGCTACTTCACACTACGGAATTAACTATGGAATTCTCTCCCACAAGATGTGGCTATCAACTTAAGTTGGCTTTAGAAGATTAGATGAATTTATGAAAGATAAGGCTATTGCCATGATGGGTATGTGCCAGGGACTGACTAGAAACTGAGGAGTGGTGGCTGGATTTGGGTGAGTGGGCACCGGAAGAAGGGGGGTTGGAGACTGACTTGGAGAAAGGGATCAGTGATCTGGGGGAGCCAGTAACAGCCAGGAGATGAGAGGCAGGAGAAGCTGCGAGATTGGAGAGTGAAGAACAGGTGCAGGAGGAGAGAGAGAGAGGTCAAGCTGGTGTAAAGGGCTTCCACACCTCCTCCTTCTGCCTCCACCTCCTGCTCTACTGTCTCCCAGGACCAGAAGAGGATTGAAGCAGGAAGAGCAAAAGGCTACACGCAGGTGGAGTCATTATCTGCTTGCAAGCAGCTTGGGGGGGGGGCAAGAACGACATAAATGGAGGTTGAGGGCAGGGCTTCTTTGTTCAGCAACTCCCTCATCGGGTGCACACCTGGAAGTAGCTGATACACTTAGGCCTGATAGACATGCCTTTTGCTAACGTGTAAGTGTACTTCTGACAATAAAGTGTTAGCTGTTTACTCAGGATGTCCATTCCTCCGGCACTGTGACAGTATGTTGTAATTCCACTGTCAGAAGCAGTATGGCTCTGAACACCAGTTTCTGGGAATTGTGGGTTATGCCCATGTTCTGTTTGCATGCTTCTCATAGGTGTTTGGGTGGCCACTGTGAGAACACTGTGCTGGACTAGGTGGGCCTCTGTCCTGATCCATCAAGGTTTTCTTATATTCTTATATCATGTTCAAAAGCAAAATAGGTATAGTCTGTCAATGACACCTGCAGCAAATGTTTTGAATAGTTATTTCAAATTACTATGTTATATTCTTCCTTCTGGTTTCTTCGTCTGTCTTATCACTCTTGACTGCTCTTGACTTCTGTTAGCCTTTTCAGGACTTTGCCTGCCATTTTGTGGGCTTCAGCTTCTGTCCCTTACCCACTGTCTGTCCTGCACCTTTTTAAGATCAGAGAAATGCAGCTTAGTATTTGTGGGTGGCTATTATTATTATTATTATTATTAATAAACATATTGTAGGATTAATAGATACAATTATTAATCATCATCTATGGTCTGTACAATGTAATAGTAAAATAGAACAATTCAGTTTTGAGATTTTTTTTCTTGGGAGTTTGCAAAAAATGCTTGGGCTTGCCTCGTGTTCCTTATTTCAAGGAATACTTCGCTGTTTAATAAGGAACAGGGGGCAAACCTCCATGGAAGGCAAAACAAAGTTTTAGGCCAGTAACATACATTAAATTAAAGATTCAGTTTAATAAAATGGCAGTGTACAATACAAGTTTTTGTTCTTTTCTTCAGCATTTATAGCACAAACATTCTGCTTGGCCTTTGAAAATATGTACAGTAGGACAGAATGTGACAAATAACTGAGGTAGCCCAGCCAAAGTACTTTCATGGTTCAGTTGGAAAGGCAGCTCTAGTACTCTCAAGGGCAAAGAGAACCTTCAATCATTATTTCCAAAACTGTCTGAGAAATCTTAATACAAAAGCTGTTTACTATGCAATATGACTATGGTAGTATTTTTATCATCATATGCAGGACTGAAGCTCGTAAGTGGTAAAGTTTATAAAAGGTTATGTACATAATTATAGGCTAAAAATAGAAAATATATTGTGAACTACAGTGTAGGGTAAAAAAAGGCTTGCATAAGAATTGTTCTGGGTCCCTAAATAATGGGTGTAGAAACCTATAATGTGCACTATTTGGGATATTACAATTTTGTGTATATTCATGAACTTTGTGTTTAAAAAGTTGGTTGCAGCATAGTTTCGTAGACACAATTTCAGAGACAATGATGTCTCTGAAGTGGCAGCTGCAGAAGGTACAGTGATCAGCCACTCTTTCCCTCTGCGGAATGCTCCTGAATACTAGTTGCTGGCAATCACAAATGAGGTGTGTGTCTGGTTGGTCATTGTGATAAAAGAACTCTGGACTAGATGGACCTTTGGCCTGAATTAGCAAGGGTCGTCTTACAGCTCAGCAGCCCATTTGTCCATGAACCCACTTGACTTGACCTACTCCATGCTTATTAAATAACATATATTAAGTTCTCATGTAGTTAGATAAACAAACCCAAGTGTGGAGTACTTATCTGTTCCATCAAGTGTGGACATGTATAGGGAGAGATGTATCCTTCAAAATAAAATCCTAAATTGAACAAGTTAATATATTTTTCTCCACCTTAGCTGAAGGACAATTATTTGCTTTAAAAGTTTGAATAATTGAAATTGGATAATATAAATTGTAGGCATGATCCAATCCATTGCTTAAGAAGCAGGCATTCTGTGATAGAAGTGGGAGTTGCTGGCATTTAATTGTGCTTGTGTACTGACACAGTAGATTACTAAATTTCATATTTAACCAGCTCTAGCATCTCCTCTATTTTTTATGTACAATCAGATGTAACTTTTGCAAAAGTTGAAATTAAAAGAGGGAAAGCTTCCCAAGTTCAACATGTTTATTTGATACATGAACTTCCACAGTTACATGGTAAAAGACATTATGTTTATATGAAAGCATTTTGGAGATGAAGAATCTTGATGATTTGGGTGAGGATGGGGGCCTCATGGCAGAAGAGAGGAAGGGGAAGTTCCATTTGCTTGGGCAGAAATCCATTATACCGGCAGGCTGACACTATTAGAGGTGACCCTATATTATATATGCATTATTGTATTTCATTTAGTTTCGTTTGGAAATGAAATAGTAAGGGTGTTGGGCAGGAGGGCATTCTCCCCTGTGTAGTTAGCTGAATGCTGTTGGATTCATGTTGCAACCAGCCTAAGAGACATATGAGCTTGACAGATCAAAATCCTGAAGAACAGGTGTAGATCTCCTGAGATTGTATCTCATAGGCTAGTCATTGTGCATTAATTACAATTGGCTATTTGTACAGCAGACTTTTCTTCAGTGCTGCACTTCTAGCTATGTCTGTGGTAGAGTGCTCTTTCTCGTTGTTTGCCAAAGCATTTTTGTATGGTGCAAATGCTGCTGATGTGTCAGAAGTATGCTTTATCTGAGATCTTAAAAAGTATGTGCTTTGTGACTGCAAATGCTATTTTAATTAGTTTTTGTAACGACATAATTAGCTGTGCCATGCATTGGATTTTAAAAATACTATTTTAATTCATCACTACTGGATTTTCAGTTATAAAGAATAATTTTATTTGTTTCAGGTTTGATTCTTTGCACAAATGACTATTGTTTATTTTATTTACTTAAAACTATGAGGCTGCTAATTTGTTTCTGAATAAAACACAGGTTTGTCCAGAAATCAAAGACTATGTTATTTGCAGGCCACAAGCAAACATTCTGTTTTAGCAGGCATTTTATGTAAGTTTTCTTTTTGTATGATTAATTTTTATTGTTTTATCCACTGTATGCTTTTTGAAATCTTATTGCACATGGCTTAGAAACTTTGTTGATTCAGTGATATATAAATAGCTGAAATAAATAATAAATAAGGTGTTCAGGTATATTATAATCTTCATGCCTAGACTAACAAAGAACTGACAGTTTCAAGTGAATTGTTCAAACATTCAACACCAGTGATTCAGAAATGGTATTTTCTTGTGAAAAAGGCATGGGGACTTGTTTTCTCTAACCATCTAATATCCAATTGCAAGGGCTGCAAAGGCAATAGAGCGTATTATCTAGTGCCTCCTTCCATTATTCTTCAATTTAATTAGGGCAGTCAGCTGCTTATCTTTAGCAATCATGAAGTGTTGCACTTTCAGCTTCATCCTGCAAGGAGATTATTCATCCATCTGACTTGTTAGGCACCCATTCATCCTGTTTACTAGGCACCCATTCATCCTTATGCCTCCAGTGACTTTGCTTACTATTCAGATACTATCATTCCTCGGGATGTTGGGGATAAAGTGAAAGACTGGATTAATGCTGGGAACAGACAACTGCTGTTTAAAATCCATGATTATACTGTTAAAATAGAATTGATGGCTACTCTGATCAGGGTTTTTTTCTATGACCTTGAATACCCTTCGGCTGGCCATCCATTCAAGCTGTAGGGGTGAAAGTTTATATCTCACTAAACATCCTACAACAATATTTAATAGTCAAAACTGGTTCACAGAAAAGTCAAATCTTATATGTAACTCTTATGATGCGTTTCATTAAAAACTCACACAAAACCATGGGGGTTACTTTGTTTGAAATGCTGTATATATAAAGCTTCCTTTATATTTTTTTACTTGCAATAATCCACTTGCCCAACATAAGAAGTAATTCATTTAAGGCCTTTTCAGATGTGAGAGACTTGTTCAGTTTATGCACTTAGTACAGATCCAGCACCAGTAGGCTGCAAAGTAATGGTAACCTATATGGGGAATAGCAATGGTGATATAATGCTTTCTTCCAAGAGACTGAGAACATGACATTACATCACATTTATAATATAGTCATAATTTATAATATAACCATAAGCTTCAAAATATTTGTTGTGGCTTTGGATGCCATTCATGATATGACAGAAATAAAATATTCTGTTCTAATAATTTTTCAAGATTCAGGGTCGTTTCATATGTTCTTGGATATAGCTGACACTGTGAACTTTTCTAATGTTTACACTGTTAGGACACAGTTCAATTTTAATTAGCTTTTTACATCACTAACATATTTTAGGAAAAACAAACTCCCACTAGATTTTTTACATTGTTGTAGTGGGGAAAGTTTCAGGAAATTATCCAACTCTTATGCAATACTTAGCAACTATGAGATTTAAAATGAAACTACTGCAGTGGCCTGATACTAGAAATGATGTGTCACATCCTATCTAGTTACAGTGAATATTATAACAGTGTATTAAGTATCCAGTCACTAATGTAAAATTGATAATGCAAAACATACCCTTAGTAGTTGAATGTTTAGTATTGTAATGATAAAATTAATTGTTAATGTTGTTTGTAAGCAACAAAGTGTTGGCTATGATTGCACAAACCAAGAAATAATAATCTGGTTCTCTGAATTATCTGAAATTACAACTTGATCCCCTACTTGATTTAGGACAGTTAAGTAATATAACATCATGTCATAGCATTAAGCAGATTCCCTAGCAGCATTAAGGATTTTCCAGGTTTTTTTTTATCAGCACAGAGCAAAATCCTCATTCAGTTAAATTATGTAATGTATTATAAATACAGTTTTATTAATGAATGCCATGCAGATGATGGAAGCTGCTTGGGACAGCCTTTTTTAATGAAAGTTTGTAGAACACATTTTGCTTTTTATTTTGAAGATTATTACATAGGACGAATCATCTATAGCTAGTGTTCACTGCAGTGGCCAACCAGGTGCCACTGGCAAGCCCTCAAATAGGACCTGAATGGTGCTCTCCCGACTTGTAATTCCCAGCATCTGCTCATAGCTGTCAACTTTCCCCCTTTTTTAAGGGAAATTCACTTATTCCAAATAGGATTCCTTGCAAGAAAAGGGAAAAGTTGACAGCTATGCATCTGTTCAGCATGACTTGTACTTCTGCATGCTTGGTAGTTCTTTATCTAGCAATGCTTTCAGCCAGTTCCCCCAGAACACATGTTAAGCAAACAAGCCTGTAATTTCAATTATCTCCCCTGGATATCTTTTTGAAAGTTTGTGTTATATTGGCCTCCTCAGTCCTCTGGTATGGAGGCTAATCTTAAGGACAAATTCCATAATTTTGTTAGAAGAACATCAATTTCACATTTGAGTTCTTTAAATACTCTCAGGTGGATGCTATCCAGACCGTATGATTTGTCTGTTTTTATTTTGTTAGGAAGACCTAAAATTGCATCTTTTGTCGCCACTATTTGCCTTTTTTCCTGTGAAAGTCAGTTCAGGCGCTGGGAGCTGCCCTATATATTCTGCTGTGAAGACTGCACCTTCATTCAGCTTCTTTGCCATCTCTTTTCCTTTGTTAGCACACCTCTGCCTCACTTGTCATCCAAAGATCCTAACACATCCCTGCGGGACTCCCTAAAATTTTATAGTTTAACTGTGTGCTCCTTAAATTCTTTTTCTAGCACCCCCTATTGTCTGATTCAATTTGTTTGCCAGCATTTGTATTACTTTTTTCCTCCTTGTTTGAACAATACTTCCATTTTCTAAAGGGAACCTTCTTGTCCTTAATAGCTTCTTTGACTCTGCTCATTAACTAACCACACTGGCAGCTTCTTGACTCAGGTGGTACCTTTTCTGATCTGTGGTTTACATTCTGGCTGAGCTTCTAATATTATGGTTTTAAACAACTTCCAAGCTTTTTGGAGAGATTTGATCCTCTTAACTTTGCCTTTCAACTTCCTTTTTACCAATCCCCTCAGTTTGGGGAAGTTTCCTCTTTTGAAGTGAAACGAGGCTGTTGGATATTTTTGGCAATTGACCATGTACATATATATTAAATTTGATAGAACTATGGTCACTGCCTTCAATCAGTACAGCAACTTACACCTCTCACCTTAAGGAACTTGCTTCATGCTACTGCTAGCTTCACCTTAAATCTCTTTATATTTGTTTTAAAATACCGTATTGTGCTTGTTGCCGTATTTATTTCTTTTACACTGCCTCTCACTATAGTTGTGCAGGGAGGTATTCTTAATTCTATTCATACTCAACAAAGGGATGTCTCTTATCCTAGCTGGCTAACTAAAAAAAGGAAGGGAAAATCTGCTCTAGAAAGACCAAATAAATTTTATTTTAAGCTTATCATTTATTTACTATTTCAGAGCCATTACTAGATTTCAGTCAAAGTCATCCCCAAAATGAAAGTAATGGAGTGTTGTGTGTTCATCTGTAAATTCAGGCTAATTCTAGCTTCAGTGAATGCAGATAATTCCATGGAATGTTTTGTCATAGCTTTTTGCAGAAAACAGCTAAGCATACTTTTATGTGAATGTTCATAATTGGCCAATTATGTAGAGGAGCAATTCTCAAGTGAATATGTCCAGCAGGTGGATTATTGGACATTACAGTGTTATTTTGATTTCAGTTCAACTTTAGCAGTAACCTATTTTTGTAAAATAGAAATCGTGACTTGTTCAACAAAATTGTTAAGAAGGTGAGTGACATATTGATAAAATGATGTGGCCTGATATATTAGGCATTCAGTGAGTTGGTGCATAGTGACAAACATTTCTCAAGAATAGAAGCAGAGAACAGAAAGCAAGAAAAGCAGCCATTTTGAGGGGTACACACAGTGTTAAATATAATTTCCCCACATTTTGGTCTGCTATGGCATCATTTACAGAGCTTGTACTAGGACCACATTACAGGAGCAATAAGTTGGAAGTAGAGCATCTGTTTTATATTCACAAGTTTTAGATTTAATCCTAGCACTGCCAGTTAACGGATTTCTGGTTGAGAAAGACCTCTGTCTGAAAACTAAAAATTGAGAAGTCGTACTACTATGTTATTCTGCAGTCACTTTTAGACCACCACAATGGAAGACAGCTCCTTATCATCTTAGAAAATAATTCACACAGAAGGATTAGTGAAATGAAATGAAACAAAAAAACAAAACAAAACAAAAACTGTTCTGTGTTCTATAATTCAGGAGCTGGAATTATTCATTGATATTTAAAATATCAAACGAGTTGAGGCCCCAGAGGCAGCTTAGTTAATTGACTTGTTTTGATATCCTTTGGTGCTTTCATATTAATTGATGTTTCTTTTTTAAGAAGTTTGTTTTTTGTAGTCCTTACTATTTATACGACATTCAATGAAAGCTGCCTCTGTTCTATCTCGTGTCCAGTTCTGCTGGTCTTTATATGACTTTTGTGTTCTGCTGGTCTTTATATGACTTTATATGACTTTACGCTGCTTAATGGCTGCTACTTTTTATGATCTCTCATTGTACCTTTTTAAATAACAAAATGTGTACTTTTAATTTTAAATAAAAGGATTAGCTCTTTCTGCTCACACACCATAAAGGAGATTAAGTAGAGTTGTAAAGTTCACTAGGAAGTTGTGAGAAGAAATTTGGATGCAAGGTAGGTTTAAATCTGCTAGTTAGGTGTAACTGTTCAACAAATACCTGCTGTGCATACCAGAAGCTGTGTGCCTTCTGCTTGGTATTCCCATTTACTTTCTCATTCCTATGTCACTTCCTCACTTTCCCAAGTAGACAGATCATGTTTTTTAAACTCTTTTGGACTTAAAATTGCTTGTTGTTCAGCAGAACAAGGAGCAAATTTATGTTCTGCCTTACCACTGAATAAGATCTTATCCCATCACTTGTGGATTTTTAGGAGACATTGAAATGGTATATTTGCAACTACATATCTACTAATCTGCTTTTAAAAACTGTAAAGGTTGTTTTTCCTGGAGACAAGATTATGCCAGTGTCCACATTCTTCATTGCCTGATAAAGGATACAGACACACTAGTTTATGAATAATGTGACTTTGTGCATTTGAGTGTAAATAGCACTGGTAGCATTACTACTTTTTTGTAATCCAGTACAGATAGATTCCTGTGCCTGTCAACAATCTGAATATCCTTGTTTGGTTGTACCGCAGCTTGTTGCATTTGCTCAGCTAATCCATGATATGATGACCGATATGTCAGCTCATTGCACTCAGTTTGGACTAACTCACAGTAATACTAGGAATTTTAATCACTGCAGACATACCTTAAAAAGAGGTACAAGATATGTTTATCTCCCAAAATGTTCGCTTTCTGTCGTAGTTAGTGTTAGCATAGATATATGTTGCACAGAAACTGAAAAAATATGTCAGTGAACTTTGCACTAGATGAAACACTCTAATTATCTGACTGCATTAAACAGGTAGTAAGATTAAACAGGTAATAAACCAAGAAAGTAACACACTTTAAATATTTTCATAACTCCTCCTTTCTAATAAAACTTGTTTCTTGGTTTACTGAGGGAGTTCACATGAGTACTTTCCAAACAGAAAGATTAACAGTCCTTCAGCCGAAGAGTTTAAACAAAGATTAATTCCCCCTGTGCATACTGTTCTCAAGGATGTTGAAGAAAAGTGATGTGCCAACAAAGAGAATAATGTCTGTGCTACTGGAATTGCTGTTTTGATTATTTTGGCTTTGGAATAAACTAAATGTATTTATTTTATTTACTTATTAAATTTCTATACCGCCCTTCATCCAAGGATCACAGGGCAGTTTACAATATAGAAATACAAAAATACATACCATAGTAACAAACAAAAACAATGCTCCCCCCAAATACATAAACAGTTTTAAAAGGCCATAGATTGTTTAATTAGCCCAAGGTATGGGATAAGAAGAACGTTTTTGCTTGGTACCTAACAGTATGTAACAAAGGTGTCAGGTGAGTCTCCCCAAGGAGAATATTCCACAAATGGGGAGCCAGTGCAGAAAAGGCCCGTTCTCAATTTGCTGCCCTCTGGACCCCTCATGGAGGAGGCACAAGAAGAATGGCCTCAAATGATGATCTCAGGGTCTGGTTCAGTTCATATGGGGAGGGGTAAATTGTTATCTCAGTGATGCATTAAATAAGTCTTTTAATATAGAATCATAGAATTGTAGAGTTGGAAGGAACCCCAAGGGTCATCTAGACCAACCCCCTGCATTACAGGAATCTGAATGCAGTCTCCCATCCAATTTGAAACTGTACCGGCTTGGCTTAGCTTTGCAAATATGCCAGCAGTTTTATTGATGCACCACTGCTTAGCAATCTCATGGACATTCAAAATGACATGGTAATCCTATACATATCTGCTCTACTTCTAAATAGATATATATAGGATTACATTGTCAATTAGCCTCATTGAATTCAGTGGGACTAACTCTCAAGTACATAGGACCACAACCTGAAAAATCTGACTCTTTAGATTGTGTGACTTGCTCCTCTGTAGTGTTTTATCACACACCTGTGAATGCATGAAAACACTCCTAAATGGAAGTTAATTCTGTTATTAAACAACAACAATTCATCTGTAGGGCTGCTGTGTTACATTATCAATGTTAGGACAATACCCTTATTAGGCCATCCAAAGCACCACAAAATAATGTGCAACCTTTCAAGTTCTCCAGTACTTTTCATTAGACCAGATGATAAATAAACCATTAGTGGGTGGAGGAATAAAAGTTATTTTTGTTGATGTTGAAGCCTTGGAAACTGTACCTGGTCACAGTCTTAAGACGAAAGTTCTTAACCTGAAGCACTATTTCTGGGTTAGCAGAGTCTGTAACCTGAAGCGTATGTAACCCAAGGTACCACTGTATTATAAAAGAGAAATTATTTGCTTATACAGTGGTACCTCGGGTTACATATGCTTCAGGTTACATACGCTTCAAGTTACAGACTCCGCTAACCCAGAAATAGTACCTTGGGTTAAGAACTTTGCTTCAGGATGAGAACAGAAATCGTGCTCCGGCGGTGTGGCAGCAGTGGGAGGCCCCATTAGCTAAAGTGGTGCTTCAGGTTAAGAACAGTTTCGGGTTAAGAATGGACCTCCGGAACGAATTAAGTACTTAACCCGAGGTACCACTGTACTCTCATTTCTGATAGTCTGCTGAATGCACAAACATAGTATGCGGGACTGGTCTGCCTGCTACCTCCTTTGACATGTATAACAGATAAATGGAGGGCTAGGCAGAAGAATGATTTGATTGGTTTTAATAGAATGTTTGTGACTGCTTTTGCTGTGGTATAATTTTTCTGCAACTTAGAAAACTTAAGCAGTGTGCACACCATACATTAACCGCCCCCCACCATCCTAAGAAGTGTAGTTTACCCCTCACAGAGCTATAATTCCCAGCACTACAGTTCCTTTTATTCAGTTGGGTGTGATGTGCTTATATGTATGGCACATACGCAGCCTTAGTTTTCAAACAACGTAAGAATCAAGTGTAGGTGAATCAACTTGGCAGGTCCTTTAACACAGCAGGGTGAAGGGTACTTGGTATTACAGATTATATCCCACTCCTTAGAAACTTACACAAATATATTTGGAGCTACTCTGACTCTTCTTGACCGCAGACTTATTTGGGCCTCAGACTTATAAAGAGATTACCAGCTCCAAGGAAAAGTCAGATAATTACAAGTGTGGCAGAAAAGCAGCCTTTTTAATGTTTATAAGTACAGCTATGCCTTGGAGCTTTGTCACTTTAATTATGAACATGGACAAGCTCAGGAAGAGGGCAAGCACACAGACAATGCCCTATTATATGTAATAAGTGAGGGAGAATGGCATGCATTATAAACATTAACACGTGTTTCAAAATGACTGAAAAATAAAAATAGTTTTTAAAAGTTCATTTTAGAAAGCATATACTGTCTGTGATATGACTGGAAATCACATAAATGCATCAGCTATAGGGTGGCACTGTTTGCACTAGTGGCAAGAAAAATAAGGGCAACCTTTCTGGATAGTGCAAGTGCCAAACCCCTGGGATGCTGACTAGAAGGAATGTTTTTAAATTTTAGATATTGTAGAATTTGTCCTGGTCTGGTGCATGAAATGTCTTTTGTTTTATAGTTTGTGATTTGTGCTCATGCTGTATTGTGATGGCCATTGGCTATAAACAATAAAATTTACTGGAACAGACTGACAAAAAGTAAAAGTTCTCAGGAGAATTAAATCACCAATATTACTCATATTCTTCTCCTAAAAATAATTCATTTAGTGCATGACCTTTATTAAACCAAACAGAAAAATGTGCCAACTAGATGTTTCCAGACCAAGCCTGCCATTAAGCAAGTCAGTTGTAGCAAAAGAAGGTGTGGTTTGGGGCACGTCCATCCCTCAGCTGGAAGAATGCAAGTGAAGCAGAGAGAGTGAAATATCAGTGCCAGCTGTCCATAAAATAGTGGTTACAAAGGAATCAAGCACAATCTCTCTTCTTGGCTTGAACAGAGGGGCTGCAATGGCAGATACTCAGCACCTGCAATGATTTTGTTTCAACCTTGAAGCCATTGCAGGTGCTTGTCTTGGGCTCAGGAGAGGGTCCTAGGAAGCCATCTTCATAGCTGAGATAAAGTTGCTCAAGTCTGGAACATGTTCACCCCTTCAGCCCATGATGCCATTTCCTATTATGGGAGGAAAACTGGACTTGGAAGATGTTCAACTGAGAGTACATGTCTTCCAAATCCAATTCGTCACGACCCCATCACTTTCAGATCCTAGCTGGAGAACAGAAAGCTAGAGCAATCATGTTCTTCTTTAGGCTAACTATTGCTAAAAGCTTGCTTCTGCATGCTACTTTCTGCTACCCATGTTTGTTTCCTGACCACCCCTTAATCCTGTAGGTTTGGGGCCGTGTGCTTTTGCAAGTGAGTCTGGAATTCTAATAATAATGGTAATAAACAGTGTTTTTTATGTATGCCTCTGGGTGTCCCCACTTGGCTGTAGGGACCCATTCTAGAACTTTCCCCTCTTCCGTTTGGGGCTCACAGGTGCAGGGCCGGCCCAATACATTTTGGCACCTGAGACGAACCACAAAATGGTGCCCCCCTTCCCACCAGAGTGGAAAGGGTGAGTGAACATCTACATCAGGAACAAGGGGAAGAATAAAGCCCTAGATTGGGATCTGGTGCCCCTGTGGATTCTGCCACCTGAGGCGGTCACCACACCTTGCCTCATGAGTGGACTGGCCCTGCACAGGGGAAATCCCATAGAAAGAGTGCTGCTGAAATGGCACAAAGGCTGTTACTCCAGTAAAAGTCATACTACATTTTAATATTAATGTATGTTTGCTGAACATGCTATATAATGTTTTCTATGAATTATAGTGTACATCGTATTTCTTATTACCTTAATAAGCTCAACATCGTTACATTGTCTTAGTTTTCAAGGTGTAAACATATTAAATGCATACACTAACATACAGTGGTACCTCGCAAGACGAATGCCTCGCAAGACAAAAAACTCACTAGACGAAAGGGTTTTTTGTTTTTTGAGCTGCTTCTCAAGACAATTTTCGCTATGGGCTTGCTTCGCAAGACGGAAACGTCTTGCAAGTTTGTTTCCTTTTCTTAACACCGTTAATACAGTTGCGACTTGACTTCGAGGAGCAACTCATAGAACGTGGTGTGGTAGCCTTTTTTGAGGTTTTTAAAGACTTTGGTGATTTTGAAGCTTTTCCAAAACTTTCCCGACACCGTGCTTCGCAAGACGAAAAAAATCGCAAGACGACAAAACTCGCGGAACGAATTAATTTCGTCTTGCGAGGCACCACTGTACCTCATTCTTTTCTTGTGGTTTCAAAACAACCCTCACAAGGAGCAGGATTTAGAGAGTTTGAATATTGGCATCTCATTAATACTGATATTTCCATTTTTGTGCTATATTTGATATCTTCCTGTTTAACAGTGTTATAACAGAAAATGTATTTCATGGTTGATATTGTAGCAGTTAATAGTAGCAAAATATTAGTACCAATATATCTAATATGATGTAATCCTTCTTTTCAGGTAATAGAATCATTGGGAATTATTATTTATAAAGCACTGGACTATGGCTTGAAGGAGAATGAAGAGCGAGAGCTAAGCCCCCCCTTGGAACAGCTTATTGATCATATGACCAACACAGTAGAAGCAGATGGGAGCAAAGATGAAGGTTATGAGGCTCTGGATGAAGGAGTAGAAGAAGAAAATGACAAGGGAGACGTTGAAGTTATACATTCTTATCGAGATGTCATGAAGGTACAGACTGGTTATCTGATATTGTTATTTATATTGTTTAGTACCTTTTAACTGCAATACTGACAGTTGTAGTTCAAACACTGGTCACATTATCTCCAACACACATAATGTTTGCTTAACCCTTTTGATTTCAACAGACTTCAGTGCATACTTTAGTACTTCATTGGGTTGTAGCTACCTTGCATATATTTATTTCTCACATGAAATTTCCTGATAATTCTAGACTTTTGCACATATTAAAACTGTATAAGGACACAGTATAGATTCCTATGACATACTATGGTTGTATTATGGATCATCATCAGAGGCTCTTCTTCGTGGGTCTCCTCTGTGACTTGAAAATGGGCCTTTCCTGCAGTGGCTCCCCACTTGTGGAGGGAGACTTGCTTGATGCCTTGGTTACATGTTTTTGTCTGGCACATGAATATATGTACTAATGTATTTCTGTGGTTTTTTTAACCGATTGTGCCAGTTCCCTATGGAACAGGAATGAAGTAGATGGCTTAAAATGCAAAAGGAACATATGAAAGGAGGTTCTCTTTAACTCACTGGTGAGAGTTTCTTCCAGTCTCAGAGTGCTTCCAGACTGTTGCTATATTCAGGTGTGATTCAGTCACTTAGTGGCAAATTCAGTCCATGCATTTAAAGTTGGTTTGGAGAACTTTTACAGCATACCCAATTCCTTCCAAAATTGGACTTTTTACCACAAGGGAAAGTGATAGAGAGTTACACTGGAAAATGTGGGGAAGTATTTGCTTGATGCAACATTGTCTAATCTCCCTTCAAACAACTGCTTTGAGATTTTATCTACAGTCAAGCAATATATAAATTTTACGAAATAATAAATGCTCAATAAATAGCCACATTGTCTAATCTCCCCACAAACAAACTAGGATGAATGATTCAAGAAACAGGTGGTCTGGAAGTAACCACAGGGAGAAAAATGGCTCTGGAAAAGAGGTTCCAGGGAAAAGGGAAAGTGAGGGAAGGTGTTCAGCAACCTCTTCTTACCTGTGCCTTCTGCTCTTTGAATTTCCCCCAGTCAGACTTCTCACTTTTATAGGGATTTGACTGCAACCCAGTTTTAATTTGTGGGTCTGTTACTAGTGTGTCTTGTTTGAACTTTATTGGCCTTCAGGCATTTTATTGATATTTGTAGTATATTTGAGTGCATTGCTAATGCTGCACATAAAAAGACAATTTGTCCACAGTTTTTTCATACAAGTAGATCTGTGGAATTAGTTTTGTGGTATAATTTTTGCTACACCCTTTATAGGGATAGTGTGCTGCTAAAGCATATTTATAGCTGGTTATAGATTATGTAACAGTGACACGGGTGGCACTGTAGGTTAAACCACTGAGCCTAGGGCTTGCCAATTAGAAGGTCAGCGGTTCGAATCCCCATGATGGGGTGAGTTCCCGATGCTCGGTCCCTGCTCCTGCCAACCTAGCAGTTCGAAAGCACGTCAAAGTGCAAGTAGATAAATAGGTACCACTCCTGCGGGAAGGTAAACGGCGTTTCTGTGCACTGCTCTGGTTCGCCAGAAGCGGCTTAGTCATGCTGGCCACATGACCCGGAAGCTGTACGCCGGCTCCCTCGGCCAGTAAAGCAAGATGAGCGCCGCAACCCCAGAGTCGTCCACGACTGGACCTAACAGTCAGGGGTCCCTTTACCTTTTATAGATTATGTACCTGTGACACGCTCTCTTAGGGAGTAGTCCTAAATATGGGAAGCCAGTGTAATTAAGCCACTTTAAATAAAGTCAGCATAAAGTGCACGAGATCCAAACTCCATCCTGAAGCCTGGCACAGGGAAAACAAGCCTTTAAAATAGCATCTGATTTGCACCACTCTTTTTTTGCTGATGTATGTTCCGGTGGTTGCCAGGTCACGTAACCAAGCTGAACGGCGTTAGGATCCAGCCTAAGTCTTCCCTTGCCTGGTCTTGCCCTCGCTACTCACCTGGAATGCCCATTTTTCAGGGCATGTGCTGGCATTAGTTCAGCCAGTCTCAGGTCAGTCGGCTTAGCCCCAGCTGGAGTACAATGAGAAAGTTATACTGGAGTATCTCAGTCTGAGCCAGGATTGGTTACTTATGCCAGCGTAGTATGACAGAGCTGTGAACCTGCTGGCTGAGCTGGAGATCTACTATATCTTAACTCAGTCTTCCCAGTGAATCTATTGTTAGGCTTGCACCCTTACTCATAGCAGATCATTCTCATTTGCTGGTAGAAGTTCCATAAGCTATTTGCTTGCTGATTTGAACCTACCATTCTTCAAATATCTGTCTTTAAAGGGACAGAGAATGTTATTTTGGCTCTGTTCTGTTTTTTATTCAGCAGCTTGCCTAGAGTACAGATGCGATAACTGCAATGCAAATCCTCTTAGGAATTTCACCACTGCATTGATGTAATTTTCTCCCCAACCCACACACCTTCATCACATTCCACTTTCCTACAAACTCCTAGCAGAGAAGTCTGCATATCTGAACCAGATTAACATCTTAATGCATGTATTGTGTGGCAACAATTGAGTAGCACTATGCAGCATTGCACTGTAGTAGTATCTGATGGCATTTTTTGTGTTGTGATATTTGTGTCAGTTCTATTTTATTAACACATTCATTACTGAGGGTGTATGCAACAAATTTAGTACCACTGTAAGGAAGATAGTTGGAGGCATGTGGGCTACTTTACTGCCCTTTCACTCATCCATGCCCTTTTCTCTCTTTCTCTTTTTTAGTTCTAGATAGCCTCTTTACAGTCAGTCTCAGGAAGGAGTAAAGCCTACCACATATGTATGGGCTATGAACTGTGAGTGAGCTGGAGTAGTGGGGAAGAGAGTTGGCTCTTTAGTCCTGAACTCAGACCAATCTTCTTTACCACCAAAATATGTTGATACTACATATTTTAGCTATGACAGATACAATCGAAGCAAGATACAGAACAGTTGAAGAGGGAGTAGCAGCTTTGTGGATATGAATTGTTCTACTGTATTTATTTAGTGTTGTCAGTTTACCTTCTCTCAGTCAGGCATGGATAATTCCTTCAGTGATGGGGGAAAAAGATTAATACATCAATCTGTATGTTCATGTTAGCATTTACTTTGCATTAAAGAAATGCATGTGGCTATATGTACTTTTCTAACAGGTTTATATGGGTGATAGCTACTGAAATACACCAGTTACCTATACCTTTCCCAGTTGTGCAGATAACCATGGATCTGCCCTAGAACTGGGCCTCTGAGGATGGTCTCATGTCTGGGATATATGATGAAGCAAAGAATAACATGAGCATATGCGCAATGCCATGTTATTGAGTAACCATAAAAAGCTCCACCTGAAGGTGAAGAGATCTTGGTAACCTTGAGTATCTGCAATTCCTGCATGACAAATTGAGCACGACTCTGGTGGTAGTGTGTTGGATTAAGCTTTGACTATCTTTTCTGTTTCTGGATATGTAGTATACATCCACAGTGTTTGATGTAAAACTTCAGATACTTAAAACCTCAATACAAATTTATGTAATACTCTTTACACAGACTTTTAGAACTGAAAGTATTCAGGTCATCCATGAATTTGAATTATATTTCTAGTCCTGCTAATCTAACTCAAACCTCTTGACACATTGATCTTAAAGCTTTACAGTATTGCAGTATAAATCTTCAGTAGTCTGAAGAAGTTGCTGTATATTTATTTAACAATTTTCAGACCCCCCTTTCCCCCTGCTGATATTCAAAAGTGCTTTCAGAATCTGTTGCTGACAGAAGCAAGTGTTTTATAAAAGTTTGAGTGCATTACTGTTCATTGATGTCAAAAAAAGGATTCATTTCTCATTAAAAAATGCATTTCCTAAGCCTTTGGGTACTTGGAACATATAACCTTGTCATATCCTAAACATGGTTTCACTTTAATGAACCATAATGGGTACTATGCATTGTTATGTTAAGAAAACTCCTGAAATTATGCTATGCAATTTTCTTGCTTCATTGTTCAAAGGGGAAATTCTGTGTTCTCTATCAACTGTGTCAAACTGCAGTTTCTGTGACCCACCATTAGTTTTGGTTGTTAACTGTTAACTTTAAGAGATATATTTCGTAAGGCAAGGTCAGGTTGAAAGTTAGATGGCTCATAAATTTTAAAAGAGTTCAAGCTCATAGGTGATATTTTAAATGGATATGAGTTGAGAGGAAATACTATTCCTTATGGAATTTCTAACTTTATATTAGATTTTATCATTCTTGTTTAATAACAATGTTTATCTCTCGTGTGTCTGTATGTGTAGGGTTATTGCCAATTAAATCATACTCAGAGTAGACCATTGGAATCAATGCACTTGGTTGACTTTCCCATTGATTTTGCTTTGTCTATACTAAATAAGACTTGATTAGCTACCATCCCATGAGCTTGTATTCTGTCCACTTTGTTCAGAACACAGGGCCAGTACAAGACATTTTGCTGCCTGAGGCGAAGGACAAAGTAGTGCCCTCCCTCAAGGCACATAAGAAGCCAATTAGATTGGAAGTTGAATCTTGATGCAATATTGGTGAAAGGACAGTGTCCTGAACTGCGCTTGAGGGCAGCAGACTAGCATAGGGAGTACAGGGTAGGTCACGTGGCACTCATAGCTCTGGTCACTCCCTGCATCTCAGCATCTGCTGCCAGAGGCAGCTGCCTCACACTGCCTCATCTTAGGGCTGGCCCTGTCAGAACAGTGCAGATTCATGGGTTTTGTTGATTTAGATTATTTCTCAAATCATGTTTCTTATACTGGGAAATTTTGCAGGTAGCATTTTAGATACATCAGGGAAAGTTGTTTAATAACTACCAAATCATACATGTTAATTAAAAAAACAACTGACTGCAGATGCAAATCAAAGAGGCCTGTTCAGTCACTTTGTACCACTGCAGCTACAGCAGCTGATATGGCAAATTTGCTTTTCAAACTGAAATGCAGTGTTTCTCCTTTGGGAGTTTGAGTTGCCAAATTGGATATTCAAGCTTACTTTCTCAAGTTTTTGTTTGGCAGGACATTAACTAGGAGCTCTGCACTGCTGTCTTGCTGCCAGCATGCTTTTCATGCAGATACTGACAGAGAAGAAGCAAGTTGCAGCATAAATCCTTGGGCTGAAAATATGCACTGAATTTTGGGGTTGTTTGAGGGGAGATATCTCGGTCAGCCTCTCATTGAGAGAAATTGAGGCCAGGAACTCAATAAAAAGTATTTTAGAGAACTGAGGGCTAAATTAGATTTGGCTGCAACACCTTCTCTGTTTATATCTCAAACAATATATGGAGAACTAAACCACCTCTCCTTCCTGATTTTAAAGTAAAAAGGGATATTCTGCTGAGAGTAATGTAGCTAGTACTGAAAAATATGATCAGTAAAGGGAATTGATTGCTATTGCAAAAATATTCTCACATCTGAACACTTGTTTGTTTGTTTATCCCTTCCTCCCAAAGGTGCCTAGGGTGGCAATAAAACATCCCAATCTCAAGATTGTTTAAAAACCTAAGAGTCCAACTGGATCGGGTCAAGATGCCATCCAGTCTAGTACTGTTCTCACAGTGGCCAACCAGATGCCTATGGGAGGCCCACAAAAAGGCCCTGAGCAACTGATATTAAGAGGTATATTTCCTATGACAGCAGAGGAAGAACATAACCATCATGGCTAGTAGCCACTGATAGCCCTTATTCTCTTTGAATTTGTCTTATCCCCTTTTAAAGCCATCCAAGTTGGAGGCCATCTTGTGGGAGCAATTTCCATGTGCACTGTGTGAGGAAATACTTTCTTATATCTGTCCTGAATCTTCCAGCGTTCAGCTTTCTTGGTTGTGAAGTAGATATGAACATTTCTTTATGATGTATTTGAAAGGCATTGAGATTGGGAACTAATATTTGCGGTTGTCTTTTTATGATGTGCTGATATGTTCCTGTGCAGGGAGATGGCAGCTTTTTTAAATAGAGGGGGAAGTTAAGCCTCCACACCACTGTTTTTAATGTAAAAAAATGTGAGAGGTGACATCAGATAGACCTCATTGTTTTACCTAGTTTGGCCCTTAGTGACATAGCAGTGTTATAGCCACTTGTCAAAACAAACCTAATTGCTAAAGCAGAATGAAGTGCCTGACTTTCAGACAGACAAGTTGTACTGATCGGTTCCAAAGCTGATCTGATCTGTCTGTGAGTTCATCTCATGGTACAAACACCTTTGCTGTCCAGACTTTAACACTGATAAGTACACTGTGGAGTGGGTTGCATCTTTCAGTTTCACTATCAGCATGATGGTGTTAAATCCACCCAGGCAAATTGGATAAGACAGCAAATAATCTGAACTGAGGATCAGCAAGTCAATCTCTTCTTTTCATCCCTGAGCATAGACTTTACTGTCCTTAAAGTTTTAGCTGTGCTGATTAAAGAGCGGCTCTAGAGAAAATCACAGAAATTGGAAAAGTAACACAATTAATAGTCTTCTGATGTTCGCCACTATGCGATGAACATTTTATTTGAAATAGGTCTATTAATTTTCCTATTTCAGTAAATAAGGACAAAATATATTATTCAGCTGTACTTGAAAAGCTTGTGTTATGCAAAGTCATAGCTGCTGTATATATTGCAATAAAAACAGCTAACAGCAAAGAATGACAAAGCAAACAGAAATTTATACATCCATCAGCAATACATTATCAACCATAATATCAGCAGGAGCATGGCAGTGTTATGGAACTTCTACTTTTCACACTTTCAGTTGGAAAGTCTCCAGAAGCCAGGCATGATGTTCAGATAATATGGGAATAAAATACATTCTTGTGAAAGTAATGATTGATCATGAAATATTGACTTTCCATCTTAAGTAACTGTCCATCACAGAATGGTCAACAATAATTGTCCATGGAAATGTCATCCATGGAAATGTCAACCATCTGCATTTAAGACGCCTCTTGTTTCTGGCTTAAATCTTTAGGTATGCTTTAAATTTGCAGCTTCACTGGAAGCATAGCATCTGATATGCTTTCACAATTGTTAGTAACCACAGAAAGAAAACTTATCAAAATAAGCTGTTCAGACTTATTTCTCAGAATTACTTCACCTTTTAGGTATTACATTTGCTGACTGTGTAGTCTGGGGGTTTTTTGGATTGGAAACTATAGTTGTGTGTTTTGTGGAAAGGAAATATTATACACCAGATATTGTTTTTGAATTATGATTTTGAGACTTGGAACTAGCAAGTTCTTGTTCTAAATTCTAGTTCTTGTTGTTCACCACCACCTTCCATCCTGCATTTTGTTGATTGATTCATATTATCTGCTTGATAGTTTAAATCTTGATTTCTGTTTGTAATGGCATTCTATGCAAACATGACTTTGAATCACTGTGCTGTGGAAGTACATAGAAAACTGTACCTCTTAGCATAGCATTTGTGTTCTAGTGCTCTTTGTTCCTTTGGTTACAGTAGACAATAGTCCAATTGATTCTGCTATAGTTCTGAGGTTGGAGATCCAAGTTTTCATTCACATTGTGGAAAGTTCCACCTATTAGTCTGTCAGTGCAGACCTGTTTTGCTTCTGTTATCCTTATTTCTTAAGTAAATTTGAGAAGAATGGAGCCCTCATGATTCCAGTTAATACCTCAGAATCCTTGCAGTATTAAGCTCATCTCTGCTGAGGACACATGCCTTATTGTCTAAAAAATTTAGGGGGAACTAAGCATGACATTAAATGCATATTGTTTCTTGGAAGCTGCTCTTTCCTTTGGGAATAAATCCCCATTTGGTGCTAACAGGAATAATAATTTCAGAGGAAGAATTTTCTTCAGACTGCAGTAAAGGAGGAAAGGGCTACATTCTCCTTTGTATGTTAGAGGGATATGCTAGGGGAAAGCAGTTTACAGTGGTCTTGCAATGTAGTCTACTGTTAATATTGCAGGTTGGAGATGAAGCTGAGGCTGCTTTGGATTCACAGTAAAAATGTCCTTGTGTTCCAGCAAAAATCAATCTACTAAAAATTGCTCCTTCAGACATTCTCCAAGGCCAAATCAAGTACACAATTGCATGCAGAAGCTTCATGCTCCATTGACTTGGATGCAGACTGACTGCAGTATTAAATGTTCAGAAACCTTTTTTAAAAACAGAAAAAATGGGCACCACATAGATTCATAGAGTTGGAAGTGACCCAATAACATACAAATTACAGCAGTGGCATGCTGATTTGGGGTTTGTTCTTTTAGCCCCTCAGGCTCACATAACACATGCATACTTACATGCCCTGGTTTTAAGGTGTAAAAATGTCGTCGGGGGGAATATTGCTCAATTGGCAAAATGTCATGGAAAACCCAGGTGAATGGCAACTCTAAAAGCACTGTTTTTGGTTTGTTCCAAAGAAAAAGAAAGAAAAAGCTTAGGCTCTTCTTAAAAAAAGCCTAAACAACTTTTACTTTTTGGCAACCCTAATAAATGTCGTTGTGACTTTGCTTAATTTTTAACCTTGAAATCTTTGCCTTTCAGATCAAATTTTAACAATAAACCATATTATTCATTCATTCATTTCATTTATTATTTGCTTCCTGTGAAGCAATTAACAATAAAACACCCATAAAAAACACCCACAACATAACAGGTAACAGTTTCATAGGGCTGGATCCAAAGTGTACTGCCTGTGAGCAGAAGGGGTCATTATCCATCAGTGGTTTCCTCACCAATGGTGTGAGGAGGCAAGCTTTATTGATTCTTCCTTGTCCTTGCAGTGCCTCACACTATTCCACTTCCTGTCCTCCCTCCTCCAGCACAAGCAGAACTCAGCTGAATGCAAGTCTGAATCCAGCACTTAGGACTCATCCACACTTCTTTTCTGCTGCACTTTCTAGGCACAGGTCTGAGATTTTTAGGTCCCTGTCTGAACAGTTTCGTTTTGTATTTTTGTCCCACCACGTTATCAGGGAAAACCCACTGTTCGTCCTGATTCAACAGTAAACAGCTGGCTTTCCTGGGAAAAGCAGCAGGACAAAAAAACAACACAACACACACAAAAACTTGGACACAGAAATCCAAGTCCTGTGCCTAGAAAGTGTGGCTGAGCCCTTAGTGTCTCCTTTTTTTGGGGGGGGGTTTCCCTAGGACTTTCCAAACCTTCTCAGGCTCAAAGCTTCTCGATTTAACCCATGCTGTGCTTTTAGTTGTAGTAGTAGATGACGTATAGGAAATGATTATCAGTATGTTTATGCACAGTAATGCAACCAGAGACTTCAGTGTAATAATAATAATAATAATAATAATAATAATTTTTTATTTATACCCCGCCCTCCCCACCCAAGGCCGGGCTCAGAGCGGCTTACAAGCAATAATAAAAACAAGTTGAATGATTACAACTTAAAAACAAAATTAAAATACAACATTAAAATATTGAAACGTTAAAATATTAAAATGTAGCCTCATCGCAGGAGAAGGAAAGGAAAAAAGAAAGAGAGGGAGGGAATCAAATTGGTTCCAAGCCAAAGGCCAGGCGGAACAACTCTGTCTTACAGGCCCTGCGGGAAGAAATCAGATCCTGCAGGGCCCTGGTCTCATGAGGCAGAGCGTTCCACCAGGTCAGAGCCAGAGTTGAAAAGGCCCTGGCTCTGGTTGAAGCCAATCTAACTTCCTTAGGGCCCGGTACCACTAGGGTGTTGTTATTTATGGACCTTGAGGCTCTCCGTGGGGCATACCGGGAGAGGCGGTCCCATAGGTACGAGGGTCCTAGGCCGTGAAGGGCTTTAAAGGTCAAAAGCAGCACCTTAAATCTGACCCTGTACTCTACCGGGAGCCAGTGCAGTTTGAAAAGCACTGGGTGAATATGCTCCCATGGCAGAGACCCCGTGAGGAGCCTCGCTGCAGCATTCTGCACCCTCTGAAGTTTCTGGGTCAGCTTCAAGGGCAGGCCCGCGTAGAGCGAATTACAGTAATCAAGCCTGGAGATGACCGTCGCATGGATCACTGTGGCCAGGTCGGGTTGGGAAAGGTAAGGGACCAACTGCTTGATACAGTGAAGGTGGAAAAATGTCGCCTTGGCTGTTGCTGTAACTTGCGCCTCCATGGAAAGGGAGGCGTCAAGGATTACACCCAAACTCTTAATGGAAGGCAATGGCACTAATTGGGCCCCCGCAAGAGAAGGGAGTTGGTCTCTCATCCCCATGCTATCCCGACCCAGCCATAGGACCTCTGTCTTCGAAGGATTTAGTTTCAATCGGCTCCCACGAAACCATCCAGCCACAGCTTCCAAGCATCTGGTCAGTGTGTTCGGGGCCGAGTCAGTGTGGCCATCCATCAACAGATAGAGCTGAGTGTCATCAGCATATTGGTGACAGCCCAGCCCAAAGCTCCGGATAATCTGGGCAAGGGGGCGCATAAAGATGTTAAAAAGCATCGGGGAGAGAATTGCGCCCTGTGGCACTCCACACACCAAGGAATGGCGCGACGACATTTCCCTCCCCAGTGCCACCTTCTGGGCCATGTTAGTTCTTGGATCAAGTTAGTAATCTCAGCCGCTAACCACAGTGTTACTGTACATTTCCTACCATTGCAGTTTCTACGCAACTGTGTCCTTGAGGTAATGCTAGGCTCGGCTTCTTTTGGATCCTCTTAAGAGGGTCCATACACCATCTGCTATCTCCCAGGTGGTTACAGTAATCCCTTCCCCCACACAGAGAATGCATTATCCCTGCGAAGTGCTACACTGAGCTACAATCTGAAACAAAATGTCATGTTATTTGATTCCACTGTTCTCTACCTTTTCTCCAGGACCGACTTTGTTTTAGTCACTGTTTAAAGCCATTCAATCTACAAAGTATATTTAGGGCACTGAATCTCAAGGGAAGTCTGGAGATTTCATGTCATTCCTGGACAATACATTGTTTATAAGTACCAACACAGTATTAATTATGGTTACAATATGGGAAGCCAATAACAGATTCCCCCCCCCCTTTGAAGTTTCCTCCCCAAAACTTTGGTATTTTCTTCTAGACCCTATTAATTGAATCGGAGAGAATAAATTAACTCCCGAGACAAAAGGTTTACAAGTAAGGCGTTATCCCATGCATACACAAGTAGATGTCCGTTGTTCTGATGTCTTATAAAAAGCAAAATAACAACTTGCATCTGGTCATGCAATTCGAAATCTGTCTTTTGGCTGAGAAAACAATCTAGCGAAGGACAAAACATGTCCTACATACTGAGCAGCATTTTAATGCCTTACATAAGGATACATAAACTGAAGGTCTGAATTCTAAAACAATAGAATATAGCTGCACATTTTGCTTGCTTAATATTATGTTGGTAGATTCATTTTATATGGCATTCTAATAATAGCCACCTTGCTCTGAAAATAGGCCTCTCCTCTAGAGTAAATTATTGTATATTTATTTATGAAATTTGTGGGCATTTTGGAAGTATATTTTTATTCTGCTCTTATTCTTTACCAAGTATGAAACATATGCAGCCAGAAGATATGCCTCTTTAAAAACACAGAGTGCATGTTAGGTGCAATAGTATGTAGTAATAATATATGTTTAAAATAATTTTTCATATAAGTCCTTACAAGACTTGTTCCTTTTGATTATATTGAAAAAACCTTTTAAAATAGAAAAGAAAATGACAGCTCATGTGATTTTATTTTAATTTTAAAACATATATTTCTTTTCTAGTTTAAAATGTAAAGAGTTATGTAAAAATGATCACTTTTAAAATGTTTTTCATATTGAATTTTAAATTGCTGTAACCCACCCCCTTGGGATCTTATGGTGAAGAGTGGTAAAAAATCCAAAAATAAGAAGAAGAATGACAATAATCCAGACTCCGCATGTATACTATAACTAGTTGCCACAAGGTACCTGTATATTTTCCCTTGTGGGGCAAAACAAAGCTTTGTGTGGTAGGCAATTCAGACTGGCGCGTGCGCACACACACACACACATACCCAACCCTGTGCCATGGTCCCAATTTAAGCTGGTAGCTGTTTTTAACTTCTTCTTCTTCTTCTTCTTCTTCTTCTTCTTCCTCTTCTTCTTCTTATTATTAATTGATTAATCTTCTATTCGAGCATCTCAAGGTGATGCACAATAACAAAACCACCAAAAAGTAGATGTATTTTAAAAAACAAAACAATATAAAACCAATGCCTGTGGCAGAGTTTTCTTCATCCAACTGTGAAGAACAAAAGTGTCTTCAATTGTTTCCAGAAAGTGCAGATAGTGGACACCTGTCATACCTCGACAAGAATGCTGTTCCTTAGGTGGGCAACCATACCAAAAGTCCTGCTCTGAGTCACTGTGGAGCAGGCTTCTGGTAGTTTTTGGAGTTTGCAGCAGAAGCTCGCCCACATATTGCAGTGACCTGCTGGGTATATAAGTGATAAAGCAGTTTCTCAAATATATATATATTTAATTAATTACAGGAGATCAGTGATGGTTCTCCTGTCTAGTTTGGCCCTAAGACTGTCTAACAACATTTCTGGAGAGCAGGTTATTCTCCCCCACTGCACTGCTGCCTTCTTTCACACAGAGGAAGCACAGGAGTTGTTTCAAGCAGTGCTTTTGAGAAGCGCTTTAATTACTGCTCATCAGCTAATGAGTGGAGATTAAATCCTACTGCTTGGAACAGGGCATACAGCCAATTCAGGATTAAACCCTCTCCTCTCACCCATCAGCTGATATCACCAGTGACGTCAGCTGATGGGTGAGCATACATGGCTTGGAGAAAGTTGCCTTGTGGGCCAAATTGGACCTCCTGGCAGCCCAAGGTTGGCCTGGAGCCAGAGATTCCCCACCCCTGATGTAGAAGGAGAGAAATGACTTAGGTACAGCTGCCTGATTTCCTTATCACAAATGCCTGTGTGGCTGAAAGGATGTGAAGATGGCAGGTATTAGTATCAGACAGGAAAGGCAAGAACCAGTAAATAGATTTTGACTGTGTGAATAAAAATACACAGCATGGAGAGTGTATGGTATGTTTCCATCTCCCAGGATTGAAGTGAGGAGCTAACATAAGGCCTTTGCTTTGCCTCTGAAATGAAGATTTGGTGAAATGTGTTTTATCTTTCAGTTCTACAGCAAATGCATGACGTTATTCAGGCTGTATTTTTGCTGCTTAATCAGAGAATTGTCATTAGTTGGTCTTTTTGGTCCCATGGGAAAGAATTTTTTTCACTCTCTAGAGAAAAGAGAACAGTAATACAGCTCTTTTCAAATGATGATTAGAAGTGGAAGCAAGCGTGTATCTTTTGAACTCTGATCCCAGACAGACTGAGTTGTTGTGGTGCAGATTTCAAGGCTTTATCTGAAAATGCTTATATAGAAGCCAAGTGAGCTCTGAGAAGTCAGTCAGTTGTGAATATTTTGTTGTAATTTGGTTTCACTCTTGATGAAGTACATTCAAATGGAGCCAGAAGTTTTGTTTGATCTTTCCTGATAGTTGTGATTTCTGTTAGCACCAGGCTGGCTGGGATAGTTGTGCTCCCTACTCAAATGAGAATGAACCCAGAGAGAGAAGCTGGCAAGACTCCCCTGTTTACATAATGTGACCTCTGAATGTAGATGGAAATGCTCTAATCTTCTTAGTGATCTAAGCAAAAACTGAATACCGCAACCCAGTTTCTAGGCATCCCAGAAGCTGTTTGAAAATAAAAGCTTCCCATAGAAATTTAGTTAAGCAGCACTTCCACTTCTATTTTTTGCTCCTGTTGTAATGTATTCCAGCTTATGCACAGACCTTATTGCATTCCAGTCTTATTCCATGTCTACCAAGTGATAGAATAATCAAAATACACAATAAGCATGCAAATGGTGGGTGCGTGCGTGCATTTGTATATTTGATAATATTTTAAGTGCAGGCATTTTAGGTTCTCTTTCTAAATGGCTCAGGACCACAATACCTCAAAGACCACACATGAACCAACCTGGACCCTGCAATCATAATCTGAGGCCCTTTTTTGTGTGCCAATTCCACCAGAGCCCCAGAGGTCAGCAACACAAGAATAAGCCTTTTCTGTGGTGGTTCCCTGTTTGTGGAATGCTCTCCCCAGGGAGGGTTGCCTGGCTCCTTCCTTATATATCTTCAGACGCCCCGGCAAAAACATTTCTCAGTATTTATGCCTTTGGCTGATTGAACATTCTATAGCCCTTAAATGTGTTTGTAGGAAGGGCATTATTGGTTTGTTTTTGTTTTTTGCTTTGTTATGTATTTTTTGAACTTTGTGATCTTTAGATGAAGGGCAGTATACAAATATAATAATAATAATAGAGCAAGAACAATGATGCTTATATCATGAAAACATTTGTTTCCCCCTAGCTCTGTGCTGCTCATCTACCAACTCGATCAGATGCACCAAATCACTATCAAGCAGTGTGCCGGGCACTATTTGCAGAAACAATGGAGCTGTATACATTCTTGGCCAGAATTAAAAGTGCAAGAGAGGTAAGCATGGTAAAAGTCATGAGTGTTTGCTTTACTCATTTTTGAGACTTGTTTCGTTCTGTACACTAATATGTACACATACTATGTCACAAAAGGTAATTTTTGCCAGAATAGGTTGGAGGACATTCTGTTGTAAGGATGATGCTTCCCACTGGACTTGTTAGGTAGGATTTTTAGAGCCTTTCCTCATCCTCTTCCAGACCTAGCCTGCCTATGGCTTTTACTCTCTCTTGAAATATTCCTATATTTGAACCTTTCTAGTGATATGAAAGATTCTTATACAGTACATCATTTGTGTGTCCCAGTCTGAGCAGTTTGTGTGTGGTTTTGCCCTCCCTTTTCCTCTGTCTCCTCCTGAGAGGCAGGGGGAGGGGCGCAACTGGAGCTGGTTCCCCAGTGGCTCGTTCAGAATGGTCCTATTTCTTTTTGTTATTCCTCTTCAACAATATTTCTGTTCTTCAGTTTCAACAGATTTCTTCTCTTGTCTGTTTCTTTTCATTTCATACTCTTACAGTTTCAAGTTTGTTCAGTATGGTGCTGCATATAATAAACTCTCAGCTAAATAAAAATAAAGGGTGGTATTCAATGCTAGTTCTACTCAGAGTTAATTCATTGACGTTAATAACTTAGGTTCATTAATTTCATCAGATTTACTCTATAACACAAATTAATTATGCAGGCATTGTGATAAAATTAAATATTTAAGGGTGAAATACAACACTAAATAGATTGTTCAATCATTACAAGCATTTCTGCTTGCCCAGCAGAATTATCTCCCCTCTCCTCCCACTGTGTGCTGTTCAGGGGGTTTTTGGGAAGAGGGGAAAGCCTCATTGCACTATCAGGAATCCTTGTGCTGGCTTCCACTAGAGGAGCCAGCCCTAAGAGTTAATAAAATATGTAATGGGATCAAATGTAATGCTGCACATACTTAAATATGAGACAGATGCTGAGCTTTCACACATTTGCAAATTTTGAATGAAAGTTTGATATTAAAATGGCAACCTGATTTTGGCAACTTTAGCCTTTTAGTATTAACAATTCCTTTTGACGACAGAGATTTGACAGTGACTTGCAGTACAATCCTAACCTTCTTTACTCAGAAGTACAGTCCTACTGAATTCAGTGGGGCTTACTTCCAGGTAAATGAAGTTAATATTGCAGCTTTTAGCATTTAGGTGGTATATTAAAAACATTGATAGACTTAAATTTGTGGTGACCAGAAAGCTCTTAAAATAACTGCTCTCTGGAGAGGTTTAGAGTGTGCACTCTGATTTAATGCTGCAGTGACCTTTGGTTCAATAAAGAATGAGCCATTTCCTGTCAATTCAACAAATCTCATTTGAGGATTCGACTTATGTTCAATGTCATCCACAGGGTCTATTTTTTCATGCTGATATGATAAAACTAGAATGTGTACAGATGTATATAATTTGTGTGGTGAGCCTGCTGTGGAAGTGCACTCATTGCATTTTGTTCAGAATTACAGCCTTTCCCCCAGATTGAGTTCAGTAGAAACTTGTTCTGCATAATTTTTGCAGAAGCTGACTGTGCACATGACTAATTTGCTGGAAGTAGTGATGTCATTAAACCTCTTGCCATGAAACTTAGTGCCCTAATGTTCATTTTCATTAGTTTTTCATCGTAATAGAGCAGTCAGGGTGAATTGGTTTTACAATTCTGTAATACAAACAACAACAATATGCTTACTCAATAGAGTTTACACATCAAGCATCCAAACTGTCTATTACCTGTCCTTTTGTATAGAAAGCAGTAACACTTGTTATTTAAAATAAAGAAGGAAATGCAATCTCTCTCAATGGCTCAAGCTTTCAAATGATCTCTCAGGGGAGATTTCCCTGTATTATCTTTCCCAACAGATGTCAACCTTTTCTGGGATCATTAAATTTTCAGCAGCTTTTTACAACATGTTCTTAGCAAAAAGTTAGTTTATTTACCTGAAACAACAATGAGTGAAATTCAGGTTTCAGTTAGGTGAAATTATAATGGAATGTGTCACATTATTTATACAAAACTTTCAATTGGCAGTGGTGCAGAGATTTCTAGTGTTAAGCAGAGCAGTGTATAATCAAATCTCCTTGGTGGAAAGATTTATATACAGATGCAGGAAATAATAAGAAAGCAATAGAAGGGAAACATATACGCATGGCTTCATCTGACACAAACTGTGACAAATATGACGCTATTACATCAAGTTAAATAAAGTACCTTTAAAAAGGTCAGGTCTAGAAATCTAGCAATAAACCAATTTAAACAACAGATGAACAGATTTCATTCCTTATATTACAAGTTTATAAGGTTGATTATAAGGTTGTTGTAAATATTACAACTAGTTAATGTATGAGAAGTGCTTTTAACACCTGAAAATGTTATACAAATGTCAGCTATTTATTATTATTATTAGTGGTGGTGGTGGTAGTACGGTGAATAGCTTGGAGATAGGGCAGGATGTTCAAATACATTTCATATTAGGTATATGAGTACCCCACCAAAGAGGACCTCCTTCTCAACCTATAGACTTCACTTTTGGGGGAAACAGAAACCAATGCATCCACTCACAGATATTAATGGGCCCCCAGTGTTAGACCATATAGACCTTCTAAAGGTAATAATCTGCAAATCTAACTGCCTAGCTTCAAGGCTGATACCACCCTCTTAGATCTCAGGTCAGCAGTGTCATTCTGAATCAAGTCATGGATAACAACTTTTTTAAGCAACCACTGATCCAACACTGATAAGCCAGAGTCCATTCTTGAAGTCGTGCGTTGACATCAAACCCAGACTAACAAGGGTTGAAGGAAGAACTGAAACAACTGGAACCCCTTTCATTAACCTTGTGTTGTTTTCTTGCCTGTGCCCCTCCTTTCTCTGTCTCTACCATTTTGATTCTGGTCCTCACTTCATCTCCACTCTATTCACCATCTGTTGCCCACATTGCAAATATATTGGCTGAGATTCAAAGATGCCGTTCCACTAGTGTACAGCCTCTTTTGCTTATGAAAGGGCTGGTTCTGATCTATTCTGACCATACTGCTGCTGTTTCATTGCAACATATCTACCTTCTATTTTAACCTTCAGAATTTGAAGAAGATGCAGGAAATGGACAGAGAAGGAACTGATGACTCCAGCGCTGATCTTGATGATTTAAAAACTGCTGATTGGGTAATACTGCCTTGTAAATAATACACTAAATATTGTGGCCAAATATTGTGTACGATTGTGGAGTGTTTTTTGTTTTTGTTTTACTGTTAGTGTTTTTATTTATTGATAAGCATATTTCCAAATCTCCAACTCTTTAAACATATTGTGGTAGTGTACAATAAAAACATCAGAATATCATAAATTTATAAACATTATCTATACAATTTATATAATACCTATAAAAGCTTATAAAATTTTATATTTAAAACCATAACTAAGAAAAGTTATAAAAGTTAATTTAAACTAGTGATCATTATGTTTTGGATCAGCTTAGTTATTTTTCTTAGTGGGCTAACATTTGATTATGGATTCTGAAAAATATTAATGTTCTTGATTCTTCAGGCTCAGTTTTGGGTGCAGGTCATGCGAGACTTGCGAGATGGTGTGAAACTGAAGAAAGTTAAAGAACGTCAGTTCAATCCTCTTCCCATAGAGTATCAGCTCACTCCGTATGAGATGCTGATGGATGATATTCGATCCAAACGCTATACTTTAAGGAAAGTTATGGTAAGCTGTGACAACACAAGTTAAAAAAGAAATGACCACCTTTCACTGTGTCTTTTGGTGAAAGTCAGGTTTATGATTCCACACATATCCATAGAATAGTGGTGGAAACCCTGCAGCTTGTATAGATGGCATTATGCAGACCTCTGGACATTGCAGGCCCGCTCTTGTTCTGTAGACCACTCCTCTGGAAATTGCATCCTCTTCCATGGTGTGTGCAGAGGCAGTTTTAAAGGCGGTGCGACTGGTTTGTCCGCACTGGGTCCTGGTGCCACAAGGGATGCTTCAACAATGGTGTAGAACAGAGCACGAGAGGCAGGCGGTGCTGAATTTTAGCATTGCATGGGGCACCGCTGAAATTTGAGAGCCCAAAGAGAGAGAGGGGGGTGGTGTGTGGGTGTGGGTGTGGGTGTGGGTGTAAGTAAGTAAAAGAGAGAAAGAAACAGACAGTGGGAGACACAGAGAGAGAGCCCAGGCGGAAAAAGCCTTATAGGGCATATAACATCTTTGTTGCTGGGAATCACAAGTGGGGAAAGTGCTCTTGCACTCATATTCTGTTTGTGGCCTTCAGGCCTATGTAAGAATAAAATGCTGGACCAGCAGCTGCTGTTATGATCATTTTGGCAATTTGGGTGGGTGGGTGAAATGGAGGCAATATGTAGGTGGAGGTTGCCAATGGCTGCAGCAAGCAGAATTCGTCCCATTGTGCCTTGCTTCCTTTTGGCTGTTGTGATAGTTCTGGATTTTTGGTCTGATTCATCAAAGATAATTCTTAATGTCAAACAACATGTTATTATCTTCAGTACCCCTTAGCTGATTGAAGACTGTTGATGCGTTTCAGTGATTATGATGGTTTTAGGATGCATTGCCCTGTTTCCATTTTCAAATTACCAGATGATACAGATGTGCAGATAAAACATTAGTTTTCTCTCTTTCAGGTCAATGGGGATATCCCTCCACGATTAAAAAAGAGTGCTCATGATATTATCTTGGACTTTATCCGATCTCGACCTCCATTAAATCCAGTATGTAATCTGATATGTTCCTTTTCCCAGTTAAGATGTAGCTTTTAAATATATTTTATTTGCAATAATTATTTTTATTGATGCTCCTACCACTTCTCACCTGAAAAATGCTGTAGAATAGAAAACACAAACATTTTCCATATAATCTATCCCCTTTCAGCTTTATAATGCTTGCATAGAAAGTTAAAACAAGTAACAGGAATTCTTTTAAAATAAAACTCTCTGGTATTTTCACTTTCCTTCTCCCTGCTCACAGTATATTGCTCTCAGTAGGTTTTCTCACCTTGAGTTTTGTACTCTTCCTCCCTTCTGTGGCCAATTCCTGCCCAGACATTGCCTCTCTTAATTCCTCACACACTCGTTGGGCCATTTAACCAGGGACAGGTATGCCCAAATGCACTTCCTCCTGTTGGTCATGCTATCTTTCCCCCTTGATATTTAACATATACAGGATTCAGACAAGCACTAACTTTATTGCTGCCAGACTCACTGTTGAATTAATACGCATTCCTTACAAACCTATTTCAGCTAGCCTTGTTGTTTGCTTTCTGGGTTTTTTCATTCCTGACTCTGTCCACACAATTTCCAATATCAATTTTTATTTACACCTGTATTTCTTGATTCAAGGAGGGAGAGGTTTTAATTCACTATAAATCATATTTCCCATTTAACTTGTAGCCTCCTAGTTGTTGTTTTCCCCCCTATCATCCCCAGTTCCTGATGAATATACCCTTTTTATTTGAAAAGGGGTGGGGGAATACTTTAATTTCTAAATGGGGCAAGTACAATTACTACCAAAGAGTTAGCTGCCTTTGCATTGAGCACTGAGGAGAAACAACATGAAGAAACAAAGTCTATCAGACCTGCTATCTTGAATTTGATCTAGTTCAGAACCAGTAAGATTTATTATATAAGCCTGTCTGGATCAATGCCTGAATCCATCCCATAACCCTCTGTGTGTTTTAGTTTACGAAAGACTTCACCATGATAATAATTTGCTGTACACATCTCTTGTGAAGTGTTTGGCATCAATTCTCTACTTTTGTATTAATGTTCACAAGGCCTCTGCAAGAAAACTAAAACCAACCCCACCAAGACCACGTAGCCTCCATGAAAGAATACTGGAAGAAATCAAGTCTGAAAGAAAACTGAGACCCGTCTCTCCTGATGAGATCAGGCGCAGCAGGCTAGGTATTTTGATTTTGATTATATTAGTCCTGGGTGGTACTCTGCTGATGAAATTATTGTATATTGCTAATGGCTTGTATCCAACTGGTGTCATTCCGCTTACTGAAGGCTCATTGATGAAGCAGAGCCTTCTATCACGAGAACAGGGAATGAGACATTCTCCAGTGATTCCCCACATACCTGCACACTTTTGTGCTGATTTGGGGGTGTGGGGAATAAGGGGCTAAAGAGGGAAGGAAATTGCTAAACAAAACCCACCTGCTGATTTTGATAGGTGGTGATTGTACCTAAGTTGCTTGATTCTTGCAGGAGTGAAAAAACCAGTATGTTCACTGAGCTCTCTTCATAAGAATAGTCATTAAAGTGAAATGGAATGTCTGCAAGCTCAGGAGCTCTGATTGCTTATTAAAAGGCACATGGGCTCTGTATTTATTAAAGTAATAATAATGATCAGTGATTTAGACCAGCTATTTCAATTTTCAGTTATTTCATTTTTCTTATCTTGGTCTAGGAAAATAATAATTGCTACAGTGATCTTTGCTGGACACATGGAGTAGTTTTCCACTAATTTATTGACAAGTAGCAGTGGTTGCTTTCCTTTTGTACAAAGCAACATGTCACTTATTCTTTTGGTGTATGGGGTGTGTGTTTTTAACTTCTCTTCCAATTTCTGCACAGTAGTCCTACAAGATTCCATTTAAATGCAATAGTGTGATATCTAGTCCACATGTAACAGCTTGGAGAAGAGTGATACCCATACCACTTTCTACATTAATAAAAATCAAGGTAGATATATGCTGCAGCATTGGACACAAGAACACACATCCTCTCAAAAACTAAATAAAAACAAGTCAATGAAATTATAGGGCATTGATGCACCTGGAAAGAGATATTTGTTGTCTGACACTTAAAAATAAATAAATGCTGAAACTCTCACATATTAAAACTTTTATTTAAAAGTCATAAAACAGCACCACCATGAGAGGACTTGTGTATCTACTATTAATGTCACAGGCAATAAAGAAGGAAATGCCTATAAATGGGGAGGGAACCATCTTCGTCCCCATCAGGGCACTAGGCTCCACCTATACCAGCACAGTGTTTCTTTAATTTTTGTTGTTTTCACTGCTGCTACCAGAAGGCAGAAAAATTTGCTTAGGGAGGATGGATCTTTTCTTCCAAAGTGGAGTTTAGCAACCCCTAAATTATAGTGTCAGAATATTCAGTGTGAATACTATTGCTGTTCAAGTTATCTATTTACACATCCAGCTTTACAGTATATAATTATGCACCAGCAGTGCATACTCTGATTATCAGCAGTTGCCTATTTTCAGTTTTCATGAGAGCATAGTCAAGTGGTTAAAAGCATGAGTTGTAAACCAGTTTTAGTTCAAATTTTAGCATATTGGGCAGCTTTAGGCAGACCACCATTTTTCAATCTTAATTCTGCGTCTGTAATTTGTGGATAATACAGGCCTACATTCCATGGTTGTTGTAAGGATTACTGAGTGAAGTATGTGAAGCACTTTAAGCATTTAGAGAAAACACTATAATCACCAGTAACTGCTCTTTTTACAGCCAAGATGACCTTATTCTAATCAAAAAAATACTAGATATCTTTGAAGAATAGTTATTTTGTGCATTTGGCAATTTACAGTTGGGAGTAGAGTCAGGGATTTTATGCCAGTACTGAGATTAGTTGACCAAACTATTTTGAGTACCTCTGCAATTGCATGTGCCTACCTCCTTGAAATGTAGTGCCATAATGTTTGCCACCCTCCCTCGCCCTCCTTATGTATTTATGCATGTATTTCTATTACAGAATAACTTTTTCAGCAGCATCTTTGTGACAGGATTCATATTTTTTTACTTTACCAGTGATCCTAAGTACATTCATAGCCATTTCTAACATGACAAATTCCCTATACCAAAATAATTTTGAAATATAAAATAGAATTTACAAAATCAAAGCTGAAAAATTGCAGATCTGTTTTTCCATGTGTATATGCCACAGAAACCTGCTAGCAGTCAGAACTTCCTTGCAATTAAACATTGCAAGGAATGCAACAGTGTACACAAAGATTTATATGCAACAGTGTACACAAAGATTTATATGCAATTTTCTACACTCATTTAAGTAATTTGTCATGTGTCAAGTGGCCCTTACTGAAATCGATGTGACTTCGGGCCAAATTAGAAGGTATTAATCCTGCATGCAGGCTTCAGGAAAGCCTTTACTTATGGCTATGTAATGTGAAGGCAGTGTAATGTTTAAAAGATTATCACCACATGTGCAGCCCAGTTATGCAGAGTATCTGTACACCAGCATCATCCCTGATGAGAATGTGCAACAATGATAGGTATATTATAGACGTGCATATTGGGGGCTGCAAATGCAGTAAAGATCTTTTAAATATTATGCTCACTGTGCTCTGCATGTGGAGTTAATATTAGCTAAACTGGCCCTTCCAGGGAAATACATGTTTAGGATTCAGGTGTTAATGTATTTCCAACCTCTCATGATGCTGTTGCAGTGTTTACACTTACACCTTTACTGCTGTAAAGAAAAAGTGTCTGACTCATTTCAGATTTAGATTGGCCTGTATAATACAATTTGAAATGTCTCTCATTTAAACTAACCTTCTGTTTTCTTTGTGTTCCCTTAAAAACAGATTGTTTTTCTTTTGTCATTTTGATTTCTTTTCTTTTCTTTTTCCAGCAATCCGGCCTCTTAGCATGTCTTACAGTTTTGACTTGTCAGGTAAAAAGTGCTACAGCACCTGACGTGGTTATTGTGATAACTGTAAATCGTGTTCCATTCCATTTCTTTGTTTAATGTAAGAAAAACATCTGAAGGATGTTTTTCCAAATCCTAGTCTGCAGATTTTAAGATTAATTTAAATATCATCTGAGATACACACTAAAATCATTAGCATTTGTGTAAACATTTATTTTAAAAAATACTGTAGTTATAGAAGAGTGAGTAAATACCCATTACTCTGACTGGGCACCCAAAGGGAAGGAGTAACTCCTCTATGAAGAAAGGTTGCGGCATTTGGGACTTTTAGTTTAGAGAAAAAGTGAGTAAGCGGTGACATGATAGACAAGTATAAAATTATGCATGGCATGGAATAAGTTTTTCAGAAAAGTTTTTCTGCCTCTCTAATAACACTAGTACATGTGGACATTCCATGAAGCTGAATCTTGAAAGATTCAGGACAGGCAAAAGAAAGTACTTTTTCATGCAGCACAAAGTTATATGGAACTCGCACCCATGGCAGGCAGTGATGGCCACTAACTTAGACAGCTTTAAAATAGGATTAGATACAGTCACGAAGGAAAGGGCTATCAAATGATGGCTCTTATCTGCCTCCACAGTTGGAGGCAATAATGCTTCTGGATACCAGTTGCTGGAAAAACAGGGTGGGAGAATCATCTTGTGCTCAAATCCTTCTTGCGGATTTACCACAAGCATCTGGTTGGCCACTGTGATAATGGGATGCTGGACTATATGGGCCATTGGCCTGATCTAGTAGACTCTTCTTGGGTTCTTATAAATTTATTCACAAACCGTTTATAGAAGATTGGTTCTGTTGGTTCACTGTACCAGTGCAATGCTCCACAACAGTGTTGGTCCAGAACTCCCTTTATACATGAGCCAATAACAGGCATGATCTTCTAACCACGATTAGCAGTGGCCTCTAGGCTCATGCAATTTTCCTCCACTTCCACATGTGAATTTTCCTTCCCTTTTATTTTCATATGGCAAGATCAGAGCTAGGTTTGAAGGAGTCCAGGAGAAAATCCCCTCCTAGGACCTCCCATATCACCCTGGTCTTTGCATCAAGTAAGCTTAACAAGTAGCTTTGTCACTTCTTAACATGTTTTCTCAATGTGGCAGGTACACTGCAAAGTGAAGCACTTTCTGAGGGTATTGCCACCTGCCATTTTCATTTCCCAGAATACCTCTTGGCATCAGGTTCCAGAAGCATTCTGAGGAAAAGCAGATGGTGGGTGTATGCAGCCTTGGCAGCCACTTTGCAGCATGGACACCACTTTGGTAAAAAAATTAAAAAATTAACAAAGACAGTGAAAAGTTATTTCAGAGTCTAGCATTAGCCCTGAATGGCCTTCCTGGGGCCTATGAGTCCCAGCATTTACCTGACCATTGCAGGTGCTCACAGTGGGCCTGAACCATGATGTAATAGCACATGTGTACTAGTATTTCATCTAACCATGGTAAGCACCAAATAAGAGTTTGCAACTATCATTAAAAGTAGCTTTCAGAACTCTGGGGAGAGCTAAGCAGGGCTAGCAAAGATTCTCATGCAGGCATAACATTAGCCATGGCTAGTTCTGAAAATCTAAGAGAGGGAGAATTCACATGGAATAGGGGAGGAGGAAGGGTGATAAAACGAGAACTTACTATTCTTTCTTGAACTCATAACCTTATGAGGTTGTTTCAATAGATACAGTGGTACCTTGGGTTACAAACACTTCGGTTTACAGACTCCACTAACCCGGAAGTAGTACCTCGGGTTAAGAACTTTACCTCAGGATGAGAAAAGAAATTGTGCACTGGCGGCACAGCAGCAGCAGGAGGCCCCATTAGCTAAAGTGGTACCACAGGTTAAGAACGGACCTCCAGAATGAATTAAGTTCGTAACCAGAGGTACCACTGTACTCTCTTCTTTCTATTACTAAAATTATATGTGCTACATTAAACAGGGTGACATCCAGTGATATCTGCCTGCTTGCGCAACAATGCTTTGTGTTTCTCTTCTCCCCATTTCAGCCCCCCTGCATGCCCCCAAAATCTGCTCCAGAGGGGCTGCTGTGGGGAGGAAAGGGAGGTGAAATCCTGTTGCACAAATGGACACCCACTTGTAATATGTTGGATCTGACCCATAACCTTTCACACTAATATATTAATATGCTGTAGATTTACTATTTAACATGTTACAGATTTTAACCATGCTTTGAATTTGAATATTATCTAAAGAGCTTTTGCTTTTCTGTTTCTGTTTAAAAAGTTTTATACAGGCAGGTATGTGCATCACACAGAAATGTGATGTTGGTACTTTATCGTCTGAATTCCGAACCTTCCTCTGAGTTGTGCTTTTGGGGAGCAAATTGAGGAGTTTGTGGATAGAAGCGGGCTAGCACATGATCAGCACAAGCTTCAGTTATGATGATTTTGGATTAAGGAAGAATAGGCTGTATTCAGGAGTTTTCTTTAACTGTGTTGCTGTATGTGTGTGTTTTATTCAATTGTTTAAAAATGGATATTTCCATTTGCTTCCATGTTAATTGGTGCTTTCATCATCATCAACTTCCCTGCTTGTTTTGTCTGATGATTTGATGTTTACACATAGGGAATCCCTCAAAAAGGAGAGCAGTAGTCTTATTTGTATTATTTTTTACAATGTTTGTCTAAATAGTTTAAGTATAGTTTTTGTTTTTGAATTAGGCTCTGTTATTTTCATCACTATCATTATTAATCGCTTATGCCGGTGGTTTTCAACCTGTGTGCCATGGCAACCTGGGGTGCCTTGAATGATAATCAGGGGTGCCATGGGCAACACTGGTCTCTGTTCTTCTTTCCCTCCCTCCTACCTCTGATGCCCTCTCATGTTTCTGCCTCCCAAAGGCTTGCACAGCTGTTTGTTGCAGCAGCCCTGGCTACAATCTCTCCAGGCAAATGGTGCCTCTGGGGCTGGCCAGGGGGTGCTTCTCAGGCCCCTGTGGGGCAGTGAGAGGAGGCATCTCTCTTTGGGGCAGGAGGAGCAGCTCAGAGACCAGTGATGGTAGCTGCAGCTGCCCAGAGGACTCCCAAGGAGACGGGAGAAGAGAGGAGGCTGATGAACACTCCACAAGGGGGGTGTTCAAAAAGTGGTGAGTGGCTGCCAGCTTTGCAGGCAAGGGTGGCATAACTGGGCTCCTGAGCCATACAGGGGTGCCACAGAAAGAGAATGTAGTTGGTCAAGGAGCCATGGACCCCAAAAGGTTGCACACCTCTGGTTTATGCAGTACCATTGCTATACGTGACACCTTAGAGTTTCATTTGTAAAGAACAGCCAAGTCTCTACCTACAAGGAGCTTACTGTCTTAAAACTGAGAGTAGGGGGCAAGAAAGGAAGGGAAGGAGATAAAGTGCAGAAGATTGGTAGAACTGGAGGAAGGGTTGTAACAGGAAACAAGGGCTTAAAGTCAGAGTGGACATGTGGATGAAGAAGCATTTTGAGATGGTCTGAGCAGCAGTAGAGGTCAGTGTTTTGAGTAAAGAGGACTGAGTAAATAAGGAGGCTGTAAGTAATGGAAGGTCTCATCTCTATCAAGAGCTGAAAAGAGTTGCAGCTGCTCTTCATAATCCTGTTGTTGAAGGTGACACCAAAGTGTGTCAACTATCAGATAGACTCTTGGGAAGATCAAGGGCATGAAGATTAGTCTGCACATGCAGATGGAACAAGGACCATTGGTTTAAAAAGGCCCCTGTTTTATTTATACTTCCAACAGGTTGCCACAGAACCACAACTCTACATTAGTCCTTCAACAGTGGACAAGCCACTAGCCAAAAACATATGTGGCTGTGTAATTTTCACAGCCTGGTTATACTGGTTATACTGATTTTTATTATGAAATCTCCCTTGTATAAATTGGAATGTTTTTTAGGGAGGAAGCACTATGGATAGGGAGTCAAATCTCATGGCCCATCAAACCTTCCAGTAGAAGCCTGTTCCATGAGGCTGCCTTTGTCACCAGAAAGGGGAGGCGGTGCATGCTAGCCACCTTTTATTGAATTTGTGTGAACTAGTGAGTGGGTGCAACAGGAAGGAAAGTGAGTCCATCCAGTTCTCCCATCTGAGAGTTGTCTCCCACCCTGTAACCACTACAGTTCCCTCAGGTTTCTGACATTTACCCTGTTGCTTTAAGCCTTTGCTGCCATACTTGGTTTCCTCCAGAAGACCTGTTCCATCTCTTGGTGTGTGCCAATGTGTGTTAGAGGAACATAGGGATGCCTATGGAGCCACTGACTTTAATCATAATAACTTTAATCATAATATGTTACTACATTGGTCATGCTTGCTGTTCACATTTTCCTCACCTCTTAAATTTAGACATTCCTTCTAATTGATATTTCTGGTCAGTTTTAGCAGCTGGCTAGACAGAAGTGTTGGGAGAGGAAGGTTTTTTGTTTGTTTCTGTTTTTAGCTTAAAAGTGCTGCTTTCTTATTTTAAAGATGTGCATTTCAGTGGTTTTATGTGAAAGAGGATGACAGGGAGTGTATTTCATATTATATGCAATTTTATTTATGTATGTGAAGTGCTGCCCATTCTATTTTGGTTTGAATTCAGGTTCTAACTAGAAGATGGAAGAGCTGAGGTACAAGAAAGGGAGAGATGGATTGTTCCCCTAACCCAGCTATTCTTGGATTATCCGATCCCCCAAAATGTAACTGGAAATCCACTTCCATAGAGCTTGTAAATTAAATACTTTTTAAATCTGAAGCTGAAGCAGTTATTCAATTGATCTTGAAATGGTTCAAATAAATTACTTGATGCTTCGACCAGCTGTGCAAAGAGGATTCAGTAATTAATAATTTAACAAAGATCCCACCAGGGAACTATTTTCAGAGGAAACGATAACTCCTATTCTCTGAACCCACTGTATACTAACAGGGAGGTTACAGAGGAAGCTGTTTATGGAAATTAAGAAGATTAGGAACAGATTCTTTAATATCAGTGCACAATTCCTGGTATTCAGCTACTTAACTGAATCAGGAATTTTATCTTTAAATGAAAAGGCCTGAACTAGGATTTCTCCTAAGAAAGTGAATTTGATCAAAGACATAATGTTAACTAAGAAATAGATGGTCCTCCCTACTTCTGCCCTGCTCACCATCTAGTGCAGTTTATTGAAAGAGGAGACTTCTAATTTCCTTGATAATCAATTACTTGGTCATCAAGGAGAATGACAAAAGAACCAGGACAAAGGTTTTCATGACTACGATTGTGAACATAGTTATGCCTAGGGAGACCTGTCAAACATCATTTCCACAGATTAATTTGTGTGTTTTTTATTTTGCTTTTTATTAGTTTTCTTACTTGAGGAACAAACACAGACAATAAAATAGCCAAAATAATAAAATGACAACATCAAACAAAAAAGGGAAAAATGAAAAAAACATACAAAAAGCATACATACAACCATAAATCCATAAATTCTTATATACGGATTTATGTCACCCTATTTTTTAATCCCAATTCCTTTTCTTCTCTAATAGGCTTCGGTCCTCCACAGATTAATTTGGTAATGTGTAGAGGCTCTGGGCTACAACTATCCAGAACATTTTCCTTTTCAAGAAGAAGGAATTCCAGCAGGTTTAGCTATACGTAATGAAATTCCCTCTTCTAGAAGTGCAGGTGCCCTGTCTGCTTTTCCACCCAGCCACCTTACTGCTACTCCAGCATAGCCACACGGAGGACATCAGTTGTTTTTAATTTTGTTTTTGATTAGCAGCATCTGGGATTACATTGACGTGGTTAATCATAAATCATGGTTTATTGAAACAAGTCAAATTCATAACCCTAGCTTTGAAGTTGTCTTTTTCAAGTTATAACTGGTAACATGTTTAAGTATGGACTAGCCACACAATCATATTGAATTGGGAATGCATTTCATGTTCTTATCTAAGGGCTCACCCACAATTCCTTTTTTGCCACATTTCTAGGCACAGGTCAGCACTTTAAAGCTCTGTGTCCAAACCTGCATTTTACCACTGAATCGGGGCAAACTACAATAGGGTTTTCTGCACACACAGAGCTTTAAAGTGCGGAGCTGTGCCTGGAAGAGGAAGTCTGGATAATCCCTAAGTCGCCTTGTGATTGTGAAATCAGCATCAATTCTAAGACTTATTTTTATTTTTCTGTCATCTCCAAATTGTACCCATATCTAGGCAAACAGCATATTAAAAATCCTAAGCATCTGTTCTAATTGTCTTTTCCAATGAAAGCTGCGCTTGAACACAAACAGCATATGGGTACATGATTGCTCATGTCCATATATAATTTATGTTCTCTTTGATTCATTTGGTAAGCACAGTAATCTGTACCTAGAAAGAAAAGGTGAATTCCATTTTGGTTTTGTATTATCTTGTTTTACACCTTAGTAGTAGATACTGATACCAAAATGTCATAGCATTAAGGCTCTTATGCATACCTATCTAGGAATAAGCCCCAGTGAAAACAAATGGACTTACTTCTGAGTAGACATGTATAGGATTGCACTATAAAGAGATCCAACTTAGCCATTTTCCAAAAAAGATTGCAGCCTGTGATATTTGATAGCTATTTTTCCATCTTGGCAAGATGAGAAATGTATATTCTGCAGCCAGGCTACTGTTTGTCTTGGAATTGCTGACTAACACTGGAAGTAACTGCTATTGCTTCCCATTTGTCTGACTAAATTAATCTGTATTGAATTAATTAATTATCATTTCAGAGTTTATACTGACAAAAAAACAGCCTTTAAAAGCCCTGTATTTACAGTAATTTTGTGGTGTGTGAGAGATCTAATAGCTAGCTGTATTTTTTGCTGTAAATTTAAGTTAGTTGCCCTTTACCATCTGTTTGAATTATTTTCAGTCTGAAAATTGGTTATAAGCAGTTGCTTCCAATATTTAATTCTATTTTTTACTGGTCTGAAGACATTGTGGTCTTGATTCTCTTGAGATAACTAAAAGCTGGGAAACGGTAGGGATATCTATCATATGACAGAGGGATACAAGTGCCTTGCAGCAAAAACAATAGAGTGTTTTGCGGCACCTTAAATACCTAACAAATTCATTTTTATGTTTGTTTGTTTGATGCTCTTTGTCAGAAGCTCTCTGGACAGTTCACCGCATTAAAATACAAAATAAAAACACAAAACACATAATAAAAACAAGAACAAAAACAAAAGAAACCCATAGCAATCCCCCATAAACTTCCATAGACTAGTCCTCTTCATCAAATGTTACCTGCAGTTGTGTCTGTATGTTTATCTATACACACACATGCATGTGCACATATACGGTACAGACACACATTTGGCAGGGAAGAGGAATGTAAAGAGTGAAGTCGAAGGAAAGCAAAGGATGGTGGAAATAGCATAACTATCACAGTTTGCACTTACCTGCATATCATTTTCCTTGCACTTCACTGTTTAGAATCCTCCTCCCTTAGCTCCCTTCGTGCATCTGTTGGCTGTTGTCCACAAAAATGTGTTAGGTGCCACAAGACTCTTGGTTTTTTAAAATCTATATCTTAAGTGGTAATAGAATTATTTAAAGGTAAAAAACAAATGTTTTTTCCCAACTACATATCAGTTGCAAAATACTTACAAGTGTGACCAAAAAATAGTCTGGTAAAATGCATTTCAAGCTATCCTTGAGCTTTATTCTTTTCTTTTTGTTATATTTTCTGTTTGCGTGTATGTTTCCTTGTGAATTTCCTTTGGGTTCTGCAAGGTGTAAGTAGCTGGCTGCTGATATGCTAAAACTATTTTAGCAGTATTGGATGGATGATTTGTTTATCCACGGTTTCACAAAATTAAAGTAGATTTGCCTCTAAAAATAGAAGCACAGATTTATATAATTGGAATAGATTATTTACAACACCCATCCAATCAGGGCCTGGGATATTCCGTAAACAGAAATCATGAACCTGACTCCCTCCCAAGCCTTCCTTGGTGCCCATGTGCACCAGGTGGAGACTTTCAGTTTTTTAGTTTGTAATTGCAGAGCAGTTGCTGGAGCTGGAGGTCTTTTGATTTTAAAGGATTCTTGAGCAGGGGGCAGAAGTATCAGGGGTGGCTTCCCCACCTAGTAGCCAATCTTGTTTGCTTCCCTGTTGCCCTCTGGCCATGTGGAGCTGACAGTAGGCACTTGCTTCACCCCATGAAGGGACCGTGTGTGTGTGTGTATGATTCAGAATATGCATTTGGGCAGAGAGTAAAAAATAGGTCATAGAATCATAGAATTGGACAGGACTATGAGGGCTATATAATCCAACCCCCTGCACAGGAATCTTTTGCCCAACATTGGGCTGGAACCCACAACCCTGAAATTAAGAGTCTCGGGCTCTACTGACATAGGTACCTTTCAGCACAACTGGGGATGGGGAACTGCTTTGTAGTCTAGTAGAGGTACAGGAGGGTTCACATGGGCAAAAGTGCCCCCCAAGTTTTAACATTTTATTGGTTTTATTGAACTTTGAGCAAAGGGTTATCTGCTAGAAACACAAATAAGTTTATAATTTGAATGAGATCAGGTTTTTGAAAGTACATTTGTGAACGTCACATGCTTCCCTTCCTCCTCAGATCCACTAATGCTTTTCTTTTGCATCACATCCACATTGCACTCCAGTGTCTGTAATTTTATAGAAAAAAGAGATAAATTTCACAGTTGTGAAACTTCAGTATTAATTGCGCTGTGAGAAACAAGTACAGTATAAGTGGAGTATACTTTTCTACTGTGCCACCACAATAATTTTTCTCTTTCCCCCCCTAGATGTATCAACACCAGAGGCCTCCAAAAATCTTTCAGAAAGCTGTCAGAATGGCAGCTTTTCATCAGAAGCAAAGGTGAATGGCATTGGTGCTACTAAGTTGACAGTACAACGGAAGAGACTTTTGAAAGCTCCCACTTTGGCTGAACTGGATAGCTCAGATTCAGAGGTAAGGTGCTGGTTGGTCTGAACCTCTTTTCAGGATTTACATTTTTGTTGATTAATTTCTATTTTGTCAGACTTTTTTTGTTAAAGTTATTATATATTTGTTTTTTGAATAATTCTAAATCTTACCTTAAGCCAGAAAAGGTTTGCAGAGCAATTAGAGATCAATACAAGCAAGTTCCTGCCCCCAGGCTTAAAATCTAAAAAGACATGACACAAAAAGGAAAAGGACTAAGGGAGAAGGAAATAAGCAAACTTAGGTTTAAGTTACAAGTTACTCTAATAATCACTTGGGGGGAGGGTAGAAGAAGTTCAAGAACAGGCGTAGCCAAAGTTATTGGTCTCTCAGTTCTGCCAATGAACTGGTCTATATCCCTTCTGCCTTGTGGAATGGCCACAGTCAGATGATGATCATATGGAGGTGTCTGGCTTCTCAGCAAAGCTGGTGGCCCTGCATCCTTTGAAGGTTGGTGGCTCAGGAACTAGAGTGGAGACAAGAGAGACTTTGGGCTGTGTAAGATCTTTCAATAAGTTGCATGTGATTCCTGTGCCCAGCACTGCACATTCTTTAAACTCCTGAGTGAAGAGGAGGCACTGCAATATTTGCCTGTCCATGTTTGGTGTCTTTGGGAGTGCTGGCATGGTTTTGTCTGATTGTTCTAGTCCCAGGGAACTTTATGGCCCTTCCAAATTCTGGAAGCTCAGGCTGAATAACAGCACATAGCATTTCTTGTAGAATAACAGTTTCTATCTGTCACAAGTCTATCAGAGTTCAACCTTCTTTTTGCTCTTGTCTGTATTCAGTGATACCTTACAGTTGGGTTATAATGCTGTATCCCCTCCCCTAAATAAAACAAGTAATGAATCAGTCTTGACAAAATGTGAGGTTTCCCACATTTCTTTTTAAGATTAACAACCCAGTTCTAAAATTTAGTGAACAAAACCTAAGTAGGTTTCCGTGAACCTTTGCTAGGACTCAAGGTCAAAGCAATACTTGAACAGGTGACTTAAGGGATGTTCTATGGGGATTCAGTTTGTTTGGCTAACAAGGCATTTGCAAGGAGACACGCCATCAAGCAGGTAAACTTCCATGCACCAGTAAGCCAGGTTAGCATTCCTGATGCCTATAAAAATTTCCAGGTCAGGCATGCTTGTAACAGAAGCATTCACCTCTTTCTCACCCCACCCTCAGCTACTGAGGAGTTGGAACAGGCAAACTTACAGTACCAGAATATTTTTATTACAAAATGCATTGTGATAAAATCATCAAGGTTTTAACGCTGTTTATATATAATGCTAACAAGAAGTGTCTCAGTTAAAGTTAACTCTTATTTAACTTAAATAGAAACTGAATTAATTACAGCTCTCTTCTCTAAAGTCCTGACATAGAAGTCTTGATTACAGATGGATAGATAATTCAAATTTGGTTTATGCCAATTTCACTTTAAAAAAAAAAAAAAAAGTGTGTTTCAGCCCATAGGGACAATCATGTCATCCCCACCCCCTGCCATATAATTTTCTTCAGAGTGACGACACATAATCGCAAACTATTGTTCCGGGGGCCTTTGCAGCTCCATTTTTAATCCATGCAACAGGAGCTGTACTTTGTAGCTGAATGGCTTGTACCTTTTTAAAAAAAGTTAAAAATGAAGCTCTTGAACCACCTTGTAGTATTTGTTGTGGATCTGGATTCCAAAGTGAACCACGTTATGACCTGCACAGAAATCTTTGTTTGTGTATCAAGTGAGTTTGCTTTGGAATATGGACTTGCAAATTTCCACCATGCCATGTCATGATTTGGTGATAAAGTATTTAAACAATAGCAGCAATCAGTGAAAGGGCTTGAGTGTAATTTCTGGGCTATAGCTTATTTAACTTGAAATTCCATTTTTGAAAGAAGATGCCATAAAAGAAAAATGTAAAGCTCCTGTTACTGGCTGGGGACAGTGATTTAGTCAATGCTTATAGCCAGGAGCATACAGCTTGGATTGTATAGCATGTAAATAAGACCTTAGGTTGAATTTCATGTTATAATAAATTGAAAGTAAATTACCAATACAATTTAAAGAAATAAGAAAAATGCTATATTGAGTAGAAATACCAGCTAAGTAATCATGTTATACTTTATAAGTAATATTTGTTGAGTATATACATAAGAAAATTTATGGAAACAGAGCAAAGAGGTACATGAGCAAAGCTGTTGGTGGGGGGACAACCATAAGATTTTGTAATCTGTTGTCTTCTAGCAATATTTTTATTAATGTGATCCAATGACTATATATACTAGTGTTTTTCAGAACCTTGTGTTGATAAAAACTCTGATCATGGCATATGAAAAGTTTGCTAATAACTGGAAAGTAGAAATGCTAAAGCATTTCTTTTAATTGGAACTTGTTAAATAAAGTATTGTAGATGTTGTCTGCTTATTAAAGTGGAAGCAATTGATCAACAAGAACATCTAAATGACCTATTTTTTTTTCTTCTAGGAGGAGTATGTACAGAAATCACCCAGCAGCAGCAGTATTTCTCCCTCCCAAATGGAAGATACATTTCCAGAGACCATATCTGGGAAAAAGGGTAAGAATCCAACATTTGAAAAAGTGTGCAGTACAGTAGGAACTTCTAGAAGCAGATGACTCCAGCAAGGGACACCCAATTCACTAAGTTAAAGGAAACTTACACAGCAACATGGGTCTATCTTGGACATATCTCATAAGGAGAGCAGGAAACCAGTTGTGGAAAATTCTTTTAAGTTGAATTAATTTGGTAATGATTTGTAATAATTTGTAAAATAAATAACAATAATTGGCAAAAAAAGGAAAGTCCTGGTGTCCAGGGAATCTGATCTAGAACAGACTAAAGGAAAATACAGGTGTGATACTTCAGGATCTATTGACAACCTTTGCTGTGCTGTTGGGGTGGCGACGAGATCATACTGGCCTATCTATTCTGAATGTATTCTGAATGTTCTTATGTGATGCCAATAAAGGTTACTTGACTTGACAACCTTTGCATCAACCTTTAAGTCTTGAACATCTGAAATCCTCATGGCCTCCTGTGATTCTATAGATTTGTACTGGCCATATGAGGAGTGTTTGAGCAACACACTTGTGTATCACCTCTATCAAACAGCTGTGTTGGCATATGCCCTCTTTCATTTATGGGGTAGCTACAAATGTGCTGTTTTGAGGTCAAAACATTAAGAGTGATGCCTGCGGAGAGGGGAGGATTATGCTTTTGTACTTCTATGGTCTTTTTTTCAAAAGCTCTTCACACTTTCAGATGAGGTTGTGATTACTAGGGAGCAATGCCCAATATTTCTACTCATTAGGTGTAGAATCCTGCTGTAGCAAAATCCACTGGTAGTCATATGAATCTGTAGGGATGGGGTATAATGAAGCAAGAAATCATTTTAGCCATATTAGAAAATACTGCTAACAGTCTGTACAATTGTACATATGTTAATTATTTGAAAGCTGTATCTTTATAGCAACCACCGTTATGGTGAAGAAATGTTGCAATGTAGTGGTTTAGGTGTGGATTGAGTAAGGGAGTTAAATCATTAGTTCAACTAACCTCCTGAATTGTTGGGGAAATAGTTTAGCTTCACTCTGGGTTGATTTCACACAAAGGTATGTGGCTTATAAAGAAACCTTAGCTCACATTTTTGTTATCTTCCCCTGAAGGTATTAAAATAAATATAGAAGAATTTTATTAGATTTTGGCTTGGAAGCTGACTTTGAATCATTTTTATAAATTTACTCCCATAATAAATACACTGAAAATTGTGTTCAACACTCGATGCAGTTCCACTTATTAAAGCATCACCACAGTCTGATTAGAACAATAGGATTGGGTTCCTTTGATGTCATTGGTCCTGTTCTTAAAAGAAAATGTCTGATTATTAACAAAGTAAACTGTTACTTAGAACTAATTGATGCTGATTGAATTTATAGTGCCTCCGAAATTCTTGCCAATATCATCCACACCACAGCCAGAGAGGAGACAGCCACCCCAGAGGCGACATTCCATTGAAAAGGAAACACCAACCAATGTCCGACAGTTCCTGCCACCTACAAAACAGAGCTCCAGATCACTTGTAAGTAGCGTGGTAGATAATTTTCGACACTGGTTGATGGGTAAAGACACAACAGCTCCACAACAATGAGAGGATAATGAAATGCTGTGTTGAAACCCAGATGTAATACTACCTTGAACTGTATGAGAAATTGAATCAGCACTTGAGCTTCATCCACTGTAAACTGATTGGAAACTCCAGGAGAAAACTCCGAACTTTCTGATTCAAGTTTTGAATGTTGTGCTTAAGCATTGATGACATTTTTATTTAAATACACTGACAAAATTATTATGTTTCTAAATAACAAGAAGGTTGATACTTTCCCCCGCTCACATGTTAGTTCGATTTAAAAAGCCCAGAGCAGATGTGATCGCATGGCAATATAAGAATCCATTGAGGACAATTTTTTAATTTTTTTCTTGAAAACAAAGTACAGCAGATTAGCCAATTGGCTTTAATTGAAAGCAGTTTTCCGACAGCACGTAAGTGTGATGGGGGAACAAAATGCCTGCTTTGGGGCTGGCACTGTGCCTTAAATAACTTGGATTTCATATGACAGTTCCAAGTGCACTTTTTAGTCTCTTGTTCCTTGCCCGAAGGGCCCAAAAGTGTCCCTTAGAACTGAGGAAGACTGAAAGAAGTTTTTGAGAGAACAGGGGGCACTTGCAAGCTCTTCAAGTCAATTTATTTGCATTGCTTAACTTGAAGAGAGCCCTTCTTATTCCTCCTTGGCTCAAGAGGCCATGATTTGGATGCCAACTCTTCAAGGTGCTGAGGTTAACTTGTATTAAATAATATACTTCACTAATGTAGAGGGCACAGTCTATTCCCCAAGAAGAAATCAAATGGTTTGTTGTCATATGATTCTAACTTGAGTACATCTTATGATTCTAGGTAAATGGAATTTCAGTAACCTTAAGCTTATTTGTTAGTGCAGCATGCAGAGTACAACACAAAAAGAATTATTTTTGAAGAGTTAGCTAAAGAGAGTAATTGTTTTATGCATGAGAGAGAGTTTGTTTGAAGTTTGACTGAGGGAAGTAATCAACATACAGAAAATCTGGCTTTTTTATGTGGTACAAAAATGTTTGTTTCCACTGAGGTCTATCATAGCCTCATATCTACACAGGGGGGAGGGGGGGAATTGTTTGGGAGTATTTAATTGATTGCCGTTTCTGATTAACATTATTCTGATCCTGTACAAAATGGGGGTTTCTTTTTTGTGCTTTTGAAAAACTTCCCAGCTCATCCATCCTTTTATAAAATAATCTGAAAACTTTATTGTCTTCTTTAAGTATTTTTACTATTCATTTATAGGGACCTCTTATGCTCTCTTTTTTAAATAAAAAGGCACAAAAGAATCAAATTTATTCCCTTTTTACATTATTATCAGCTGATATCAGGTACTAGCTGGGTTTCACTTTTAGAGCTCTGTCTGTGGAAGAAAGATGTTCTTTGGCAGCTGTGTTTAGTTCTTGAGATCTAAGGTAAGATGGGAGCAAGAACTGTGAATATTACAGCAGATACGAAAAACAAAATTTAGATGGAGAACTTTACATCTACAAATATTTCTGAATAACAATCTAATATTTTATATCTTGTACTATCAAAAGGAGCACCCCATATTTCTGTTCTTGTTTGGCCTTATGAGAATGAGGAGGCTTCTTGTAAGTATTCATCATTACTTTTTTCTTTTAAATTTTTGTATTCCGCCTTACTTGTAAAACTACTAAAGGCGGCTACAACATATCATTAAAACAACAACATAGCAAAATAAAATGAAAAATGAAAAAGCCAAAGTAGCAGAAGCAAAAAAAACCCCATAAAATTATCAATAAAAAGTATAAATCAATAGCAATTGGCCAAATCAAAGAAAACAAAATAAAAATCCAAATTTCAGTTTAGCTCAGAATCTTATTTAGAGTGGCCTTTACCCATTTAAGTTCTTGGCTTGATGGAATTTCTTAAAAGAGAACATTTCACAGTGTGCCACAACTGAAAGCACTCTGTTCTGAGGAAATGTTTGTGTGGCACAGATATTGAAAAGAGTGCATGGAAGTGATACATACAGAGAAGGCAGTTCCTTTAGATTTGCAGATTGTATGTCTCTGGTGCATCTGCATCACAGTGTTTCAACCATTAACTAATCCAGAAAAGGTATAGTTTACTTAATCAAACCAAAGAAGAAATTTCAAAGAAATTCCTTGATGGAACTGGATTTGAAGTAGTACGCACAAATGTTATAAGGTTTATTCATGCCATAGAATAGTTTTCTCCTTCGTTCATTATTTTGCTGAGAGAGAGAGAATTTGAAAGTTCAAGTCCATTTAATATGCCTAACATAACATAAGAATGGCTGCAATAATTTCTGTAGTATCAGAAAGCAGCACATATATTGGCAATGAAATATAGTTTGTGTTCATACTTGTAGCCTTATGCACACTTCATACATTTTTGTAAACAAATGTGGCCCAGTCATGCTATTTTAAAAGATGATGTGAGAAAAGAGAGATTATTATGGTGTTTTGTTCGTGATAAATGTATTTGTATTGTGTAATAGTGCCTCCTAGGGGTGATACCTGGCATTTCATAACCATTTTTTCAATAAAAAACTGCAGAAATTTAAGCAGCTACTTCAAATTATCATTGAAGACTTTCAGTGTTGGACTTCCTTGCCTAACTGTTAGACTTCCTTGCCTAGTTCTAACATATGGCTTTAGGAATGCAATTCCATTACTGGACAGGCTCAAAATATGAAGGAAGTGACATAAGTAAGCTCAAAATGTTACCTACTTTAAATTTAATGGCAAACTTCTTCATCCCTTCCCCCAGGATTGATGAAATTTCATGGCTTATCTTCTGCTCCAATGATGGCAGTTGGTCTCCCAAGGTGAAAGAAACCCCATCAGTTCCAGTGAACAGAAAGTTGCCTGTTTTTTTCCAGCAGGATTAGAAGGGAACTCGTCCTATTTCACATACTAGCTACAGTTTTGTTAAACTGGCTTGCTAGTATGCTAAGGAAATTAATACTGGAGCTAGAGTTACATAATCAGAAGCACTGGTAGAATTGTTGCTTGTGTTCAACATTCCCTTTTCTCCTTCCTGTCTGTTGTTCAGGTTCCCAGGATAACAAATTTATTTCCAAGGATGACGCTCAAAACACTTTTCCCAGCCATTCATACAGCCTCTCAGCTTAGCTCCCATCCCTTTGAAGCAGCCTTATTTGGGGTGGCAAGGACAATATATTATCTTTGTGAGAGAGCTTTTAACAACAAGTGGACACTCTCAAAGGTTTGCCTTGCACTGCTGCCTATATACTTTCTTAGCCATCTTTTTCTCCCCTCAAAAAGGGGAGAGTTTTCAAAGCTATGGCAAGAATTAACAGCCTAGATTGTCACTGGATTCTGATTCAAGTTGATTTCAACATCTGTAGACTTTTCTGTGCATGTGTAGATTCTCTAATCAATTTGCTGGGGAACAGAAATCACTTATGAAAGGACAGCAAACTAAAAATGCAACATCACAAGATTATTAGGGAAAGAATTGTCATAATCTTAAATCAGTGGAATTTTAAAAAATAAAAATAAAAAGCAGTGGAAAGCCAGTTCAGAAGAATTAAAAAATTATTTTAAAACCACTTATCTGAAACCACAGATGTCCAGTTTTGCCCAAATTTTGATATTTATACATTATTTCTCTCTTTGTGTGTGCCAACTCAGCAAGCAAATATAATCACAAACCAGTGTTTATAAATCAAGTAGGTTTAAGTAGCATATTGGATTCTGAGGATTTGTGTAAGGACATCTGAGGGAAATTTTAATATATTTGTTACAATAAAATTGAATTGCAGAATATATACAATGTAGGCTTTCTTTCTCTACCAATCTATCAATATTTACTATATTTTACCTGATTAAAGCTACTCCTTTATTAGTTTTTGATAAGTAGCAATATAAGAGTGCAAGATATATACGGGACACTTTCAGTCCAGTCAAATGAGCCATTTCCAAGATGAAAGCAGTGCTATTAGCTTCAAGGCTCCATCCTACTAGTAAAACCCCAAAGCTAGTTAAATTGTTTCTGGTGCAGGAAGAACTATAAACAGAATTGCATCAGCAAGTACCCTGGCCTTCTGTCTCAGCCGAGTGGAGGCGAGACCCTGTGGGTCCGCTCACATTAGTGGCTTGAAAGAGCAAGTTCATTTTTCTCTGCTGTGTTTCAAGTCTTATTTGCACAGAGTTTTCCACATTAGGGAGGGGCCAGGGATGTCTTCAACCGATGCACATGGCATTTTTGGTCTCCTTCCCCTGCAACCCCCCTGGAACCCTTGTTCATGAAGCTGTCATCTGCACCTGAACAACCACTGTTAGGCTATGTTCATGTTCCTGCCTACTCAGCATCCAGTTTTCTAATCAGATTGAATCTGGTTTGAGGAGGGAAAAGCCTCATGAAACCTCAGCAATTCTTGTCAAGAAACCACAGGATTGGTAAGGATTGTGACTAACAACATGTGAATGTGATTTCAAAAATTAGCAGTGTGGGCGCACTGGATGCAGAGTAAGTGGTAGTATGAACACACCCCAAATTAGAATATAGAGTGGAACTGAATGGATTTTCCTCACTTTGGATTCTGAGATACCTCTAGCAACAGCTCCATGAGACTGGGTTATGAGCTACCCACCCCCCCAAAAAATCCCTAATCATAAAAGGTGCTTCCAGATGGGTGTTTATTAGGAGATTGCAAGTTTTTTTCTGCAGTGATCACACAGTGTCATTAGCATCAAAACGCCAGCCTTTGTTTTTTGCCATGTAATTAGACCCTTTCTGCAGAAAATCCAATAAATTAATTTTTTTAAAAACACCCATTGCCAGTGAAGCCATATGTGAAATCTGAATGACTCATTTACAACGCTAAGCCCAGTTGGAAGCACTCTTAAACTATTCCATACTCAAACCGTTTGTCATGTTCAATAAAAATTGGATTCAGTACATATTTAGAAACGAAAGTTAAACTCCCATAAAAACAACAGTATTATAGATATTTAATTATTTGTGGGGAAGAGTTGCTAGGCACAAACCAGAGAAATTTCTCCTTAGGAAAAATGAAAAGGCATGACAATGCTCAATGCGTCTCCCATGCATTTTAATGGGGATTGTGGAAAAGTCATTACAAGTATATTTTAGCAACTATTTTAAATACATGGTGATGAATCACAGTCACGTTTTACAGCCTGTTGAGTACAATTAACATAAGATGGAAATTAAATTGCTTGAATCTAAATAGATCTTTTGTCCATCATTTTGCCCCACCCCCATATCTGACCGCCCACGTCCTATCAAGATTTTGAAGCTCCTTTCAGTTTCAAAAACAGTTTGCCATACAAAAAGCGGGGGGGGGGGGCAACTGTTGGGGCGGGGACACAAGTCCAGTAGAGTTTTTGAGATCATGGGAGTAATTCCCTTGTTGTTTGGATCCTGGCCAATATTATTAGAGACATGCAGAGTGATACAGTCAAGACATACTGAGACTCACATGATGAAAAACCTCCTTCAAGCACTAAAGACTTGGTGGTCCCTTTCAAATAAACATCAGAATTTACATAACTGACCTTCTGGTTCCCAGGTTCTGGGAATGCAGTCAGACATTCTTGTCATTTTGAACTCATGATTGCTTGTGCTTCTGCTATATCAAGTTTTATTCAATATTAACGTGTTCAAATCCAGCAAATAGTGGGTTTTCATTATTTTCATTTTAAAAATCTTAGAAATAAAAAGATATTAGTCAATGTTGTACACTCAGTTACATGTACTCATGATAGTGGAATGGATTTTGTATGGAACTGGTAATGCCAAATGCCTCTTTCAATAAACTTCAATTGGACTGCTCAATGACTTGCTTTCATTAAAAGGATATTAGCTGATACGTAATCTCATTAGAACATGTCAAAATATATTCCCATAAGAACTCAGTATCTCTATCATTTGTTTTAATGTTGCATTGCAGTTTGGTTGCCCTTGTGTTAACTTCTTGAAAATGAAAAAAAAAAAGCATTTAGACCAAAATTATTATTTTTTTGCTCATGTCTGTAGTTGTACATAGATTATTTTTTTAACGGACATAATATTTTCTTTATCTACTGTAGTGGAGAACAATAGAGCATATTCAAGAAAAAAACCTAAGAGACACAATAAAGTTATTCCAAATAAATAAAGACAAATAAAGCTATTACAGAACTCCAGTGTAGCTGGTAGTAATGGGTCCTAAAGTATTCATTAAGTGCTATTTTAATTGGTTGCAGTCAGTAAAGACAGCTAAGGGAAGAATTTAAGCAAATACTATTAGAATTTAAATCTTTTAAAAGGCTATTCCATGTATTACAAAGCAGAAAAAGTTGAGGTTGTGGTCTATACTGGCTCTCTAGTGAGTGTGTCTGTATGGTGCACACATTTCCAAACTTGAATTTTTTTCTTTCATCCTCTGAAATGGTATGTGTATCACTTTGGTGTAATCCTAAGTATACTTAAATGGAAGAAATTCTAGCACAATGAATAGTGTTGTGCTAATAGTACTAAACTAGGAGACTTGGGCAAAAGTCCACTTAACCCTGACATTCACTGGCTATCCTTGGCCCGGGCGCATGCTCTCAGCCTAAGCTGCCTTGTGACGATAAAGTGTGCGAGGGGGTGGCAGAGATAAATATAATAATGATGATATAGTATAGAAATTCTCATTGAATATGGTGGACTAGCTTTCAAAAGCCATCCAGCTCAGAGTAATGGTTCAGTTCTGCATGTCCAATTAGATTTTGGCTTTGTGTTCCTCATCCCAATGCAGCATCATGGACTGTTTTTGAAACATTGGGGTATAGTCAGTATATTGATATGGTGTTAGTTTGCTGTTAAAAGGAGGGCGATAGATATGCTAGGAGGAAATGTTATTGGGGGTAGGGGACATATCTACTGCATGGAGGTAAACCACAGGTGGGAGGGGGTTTAGTACCGCCACGCATGCATCCCTTTTGCATTAAAACTGAACCACTTTCCCCTGCTTGATATTTTATGAATTGTATCCAGTTGTGCCTCTCTGCTGATGGAAGGTGGGGAGGCGGTTTTGGCAAATTCTCCCTTTCTCCTGCTGGTCCATACACTCATCTGCCAAAAGGTCTCCAAACCCTCTTGATCAGATTTGGAGGGGGCTGCAGACTGCCTACGGTTCAGCTAATGAAGCCTTTGCTGGATCAAAGTGCCTTCTGTCACTTCTGTCAGCAGGGAGACACAACTGGATACACTATAGATTTCAGTCCAGAAAGGTTCACTCAAGGCAATTTACAACATTGATACCAGTTAGACAATGTTATGAAAGCCAAGAGTCTTAAAACAAGTTAACAGAACAAATCCACAGGCAGAAATGAATTAAAAACTAATCAAAAGCCTGCCAAAATAAAATAAATCTTAACCACCCACCTAACAATCATCGCTGAATAGGCTAATCAAATCTCTTTGGGAGGAGGCAGTTGCACAATCCGGTACCCCAACTGAAAAGTCCTGCCACAATCACAACAAAATGTGTCTCTCCTGGTGTTGGAACATGAAGCGAGGCCTTGGGTCAGCCTCCATCACTATTTATTTTGATAGATTCCCTGCCAATCAGATACAATGGCTTTGATCCAGAGTTCTGAAGAACAGAACTCCACTCACTTGAAGAAATGGAAATAAGTATTTTTTGTTTATTCTCCCTTAGCCCTACATCCCTCCTGGGGGGTTGAAGGCCTCAAATGCAGCGTGGTAAGGGATTGGAAGGGGAAACAGGCAAAAGCCACCTATTCTTGCTTGCTCTTTTTGGATTGCAATCCATTCTGTGAATAGAAGGAGTCTTTCTATTCACTGAAAGCAACTCAGGATCCAACCCAAGACCTTATAATAAAATATTAAAAACCATAAATAACTAATGCATTTAAAAACTAGAAACAGAAACTCTTTAAAAACAGTATCCAAAATAAAACAGATCAATAAAAGGGTTTTTTTTTTTATTTAAAAAGCTTGGGAAATAAAAGGTCTTTACCTGGCATTGGAAACACATTAGAAAGCATAATTGTTTTCTGAAATGTGTTGGTTATGAAACACATTTGGCTTTGCTTTGAAGCAAAGTATCCTTCAAAGCAAGCTGTATTAAATTTTGGCTCTTCAGAAAAATGGCATCTTGAACAATACCAAGAAAGTAATGATTACAAAGGCAAATTTCACTCAGTTTATAGACCTTTGTGGGCACCTTAAGCAAGTTGAAGTTTCTGTGTGTGTTCCATTTCTAGATCGGTAAGACTGCAGTTTTTAAAATATATATATGGTGGCTCCTAAATGCACATTTTTATCTGGTATACATCATAATTGATTTTTTTCTTCCTAAAAGACAGAAAATCTTTAGACCGTAAAATTAAATAACTTGCAGCGGATCTTAATTGCATATTTGGTTTGAAAATTGGATTTCCAAATGGGCAGTATTATGCTACTATGCTTATGGAAATTTCCTGCCATTGTTTTTGACAGCTGATAATGTTGGATTTGGATCTAGGCTAAAGTCCTAGCTCCACACCATAGATGACTGGTTGCCCTTGTACAAACCAGTAGGGTCAACATGCCATGTTGAGAGACTTACTGTGCCCTGTTAGAAAGCACAACATAGTGGGATGTGCAAATAATTTCTGTCTTTTAGCTAGATTTATTTAATCAGTTACAAATAATTGGGAATTGGTGTTTTATCCTGTGGTACCATCAGTGCTGAATGTGTATTCAGCTTAGCATCAATTTGCTAGGGAGCTTTAGTGTCATAAAGCAATACTATATTTGTGTCACAAATATCACTGTATGTAACTGTATGAAGTTTAAACTGATTGTGTAACAGTATACGGGAACAATATAACCTGTGTGTAATGTTAACTGTACTGGATATTTAGAATACTATGTTACCTACATATGATACCACAGAATAAAGTTCTCTTTGGGATTGGGCTACTAACCATTTCTCTGTCTGTTCTAGGCATCACAGAGTGTCAGACATTTCAGTGAAAATAAGTGCCCGTGTTTTCAGTGGCAGGCAACATTATTTTGCATTTTTCTGCATCAGAACACACATCTATAATGTGAGGTTCATAATACAGTGATTGGCTTAATAAATGACAATATGTTTTTAGTGAGCATTAGACCCCTTTGGTTGCAAATTCTAAACTCTTAGCCTTCTGGAAACACGTGATGCCTCTGGACCAGATATACCCGTCTGGTTTGGGTGATGAAATCTTTTCTCTCCTCAAATTACTAACCAGGTGACTGGCTCTCTAGGTTGGTGGCTATGAAATTCTGTGAGATACATATTTAAAATAGAACCTTTTGGCTTTCAGGAGGAGTTTTGTTACCCAGTGGAATGCCTGGCTCTTACAGTGGAAGAAGTAATGCACATCCGTCAAGTGCTAGTGAAGGCCGAGCTAGAGAAGTACCAGCAGTATAAAGATGTCTATACTGCCCTCAAGAAAGGAAAGGTAAGGATGCTTATGCTGATTTTCCCAGAGAACTGGGAGTGAATGATGAAGAAGAAATTCAGCTAAATGTTATTAGAGCTCCTGAAATTAACAAATTAAGGCCTGCATCCAATGTCATGTTAAGTAATCTTCCCCCACCCTCAGCTCAAGGATTTATTCTTTTGCAATAGGATTTTCTCACCTTCTTTTTCCCTTGCACATCCCCTAAATATGTTATGGGTTTCCCCCCAACCCTCCAAAGCAGATTTGGGAAGGAAGGGAAGTCCCACTACATAAATGTATGTTTTTGAGCTGACAGTACACTTACTTAGTGCTATATTGGATAAAGTCAAGAATAGCACCATAAAACCATACATTTCTTTGAGTTGTTGAGTTGCATGTAATTCTAGTCATTTGAGAATGGTGGAAATGCATGAGTCAGTTCTTACTGAACTCTTTGGAACTTCTTTCTGAGTAAGAATGCTTTTAGGATTCTGTTGTCAGATTACTGATTGAGTGCTTTCTTCTAGATTAAGTAAAGGACTATGAAAACATTTCACAAATTTAATTGTACTGATTTAATCTATAAGGTGGCTGGTTAACTTTACACTTTGGATGTATTGGGCTGCAAACTTCTTCTTCTCCTTGCCTGACACCCAGATCTGTTCCAGAATCTTTCCCAACTCTCTAAAACACATTTTGAGGTTGAACAGCTGGTTGCAAGGGAGATAAAAAGTGGGGGGAGTTGTGCTGCTCTTCATAAACTCCCTAAGTCCTGTGCAAGGGCTTCTGCTTGTGCAGTTGGGTTTCCCCTACTGCATGCTCCCTGAAATTGACTCTGCAGGGTCAGGGATTGTTCCATTTGCCAAGCTGATATACTTGTGCAGACAGAACATTCGTAATAGTGTGACATCAATTTCTACCCTTGATCTTCACTGATATTTTTTAGATGTTAGTAAATTGATTTTCTAGAAAGACCTACTAATGCTATGGGCTCTTCTCAATTTTTATAGCTCTGTTTTTGTTGCCGAACAAGGAGATTTTCTTTCTTCACCTGGTCCTATACCTGTCAGTTTTGTAAAAGGTAAGCCTTTGGTTTTCATAGTAACCAATAACTAGTGAAGGCACTGGAGCAGAATTTTGTTTGTTTTATTTTTAACTTTTTGTGTCACATTTAGTATGTAATTGAAGGAGAAAAAGTGATATTTGTACTGTATTTAGGAGTAAAGGAGAATTTGAACAGGAAGTTTTTGTGTTTTCCTAGATAATGATTAGGGATGATTATCAAATGCTCATTATGGGATAGGACATAAGACAGAATAAAAGCACTTTCAGATTTAGTGTTAATATTTAAAGTTGGTAGAATGACATAAAAAGAACAAGTTGCCAAAAAAGGGAGTAGATGCTGTAACAACGTATCTCAAATGCCATGGTTGTGCAAGTTTCTCAGAATCAATATCTTAAGAGCAGGATATGGATGAATGATATTTAGTCCCCTTGGTCTGCACATACATGCTCACTAATACAAACTGCTTGCATGAAATTATAAGAAAACATTGCCACTCAAGTTTAATGTTCCTGCGAGTTTCCCGTAAGAGTCATTTAAAATTTACCATCTAATCTTATAGGATGTGATTAAATAAAAAGAAGAGTGCTGATGTCAAGTCTGAATGGGGCTCTTGGGTTTTTCACACATTCCATTCCTAATTTCCTGATAATGGTTAAGATCTATAGGACTGCCTATGGAAGCATGCCAATCGCGGCTTGTGAGGTCCCTAAACTTCTCATCTAAGCTACAGTATGCCCTAACATTAGGCAACACTTTTGTAGCTCAGGACTGCAGTTGAAACATGAAGATGGGCAAGACCCAGGCCATGCGCTCAAGATTCTTTGACAATGACAATCCTTTGTTTTTATTTTTTGCCTCCTCCTGAGTTCTGGTATTTAAGCTAAAGCCAGTGAAATTCAAAAATAGTTCATAGCTCGTAAAACATTTTTACTAGGAAAGAACAATACAACATTTGAAGAGATGTGTCCAGTGCTGTCCTGCAAAAGTATTACTACATTTAGCTGAGTAAGTCACATATTTTCTTTTTCTTTTATAGGCCTGTATGCTCACAGTGTTGCAAGAAGGTAAGTTCAGAAACCTCTAAATCCTTTATCTTCTTAATATCTGTGGTGTGATTCATCAGGAACAGCTGCTTTACTATCTTCATCCAAAACTACAAAGTACAACAGGAAAAAATTTCAGCAAAACCCCCCCTGCTTTGTATATACTTGCCATATATACACAGTTGTGTTCATGCACTCATATTTCTTTTCTTACAACATTTGCAATATATGTATTTGCAACATTTTTTAAAATGGGACTCCTGTAGAGGTCTGCAGGGAATGTATTGCTTTGTATCTCTATAGTTCACAAATTCTAAGTCATTGCCACTGGGAATATGCTTGCAAAAGTTGTACAAGCCCACATAATGGCACTGTCTCTAGGTAGCCCAATCTATAATTGTTATTCTCTTTCCTTTGTAACAGATGCGCCTGCCATCAAAGCCATATTCTACGCTTCCCATCTTTTCTCTGGGACCTTCGGCTTTACAGAAAGGAGAGAGTTTTATGAGGCCAGATAAACCTTCCACTAGCCATCATCGGTCCCTTAGGGGCATGCCAAGGTAAGTGATACTTCTGATTAAGATTAGACTGCTTATCTACTACCAGCTACTTTCATGGACTATATTCCATAGTTCATTTTATTTGTGGGCAGTGAATTGTTACATATATTTATTTATAAGATGCTCTTGCAGATGCTTACTATTATTCTCTCTTTCTTTAAAAAAAATACAGTTAAATGGGGGGAGCTGTCAAAATTTAAATAAAACACTGCAGAATTAGGTGACATTTGCAAAATTAAACACAAAATTGTATTCTATTTCAAAAGAAAATAACCAAAGTTAAAAGTGGGAAAATAGGCAAGAATCTATATAAAATGGATTAAATAGTAATTTAACCATCCTTGCCAAACCTGATTTCAAATCAGTATAAACAACAATATATTTTGCTGAACCATAGAGCTTTGTTCGAGTCCATAAATGGCTGCCAATTTGTGGCAAATTTATCTTATCTTTGGCTTTTCTCTTTAAATCTGACATAATGCATTAACCTGGCTGTTCATTAACAGTTGATGTGGTTGCTAATAATAATAATAATAATAATAATAATAATAATAAATTTATTATTTATACCCCGCCCATCTGGCTGAGTTTCCCCAGCCCCTCTGGGTGGCTCCCATTCAAGTATTAAAAACAATACAGTGTTAAATATTAAAAACTTCCCTGAACAGGGCTGCCTTCAGATGTCTTTTAAAGATAGGATAGCTACTTATTTCCTTCACATCTGAAGGGAGGGTGTTCCACAGAGTGGGCGCCACTACCGAGAAGACCCTCTGTCTGGTTCCCTGTAACCTTGCTTCTCACAATGAGGGAACCGCCAGAAGGCCCTCAGCGCTGGATCTCAGTGTCCGGGCTGAACGATGGGGGTGGAGACGCTCCTTCAGGTATACAGGACCGAGGCCGTTTAGGGTTTTAAAGGTCAGCACCAACACTTTGAATTGTGCTCGGAAATGTACTGGGAGCCAATGCAGATCTCTCAGAACCGGTGTTATGTGGTCCCGGCGGCCACTCCCAGTCATAATAATCATATCTGGCCACAAGAAACACCTCTCTCCCCTGACACAGTATGTTAGGAAGCAAAAAGACATGTGAGAGACAGATTTGTTATTTTAGAGTGCACAGAGTTCACCTACCTAGTACAATTGGAAAACTAAATAACCCTAATAAGAATAGAATTGTTGCTTTGTTTTCAGGTTATCCTCAAAGTCCAAGTCTGTAGATAAATCAGATGAAGAAGCACTATTTCCAAAAGAGCTAATGGAGGACTGGAGCACCATGGAAGTATGTGTGGACTGCAAAAAGTTCATTTCGGAAATCATCAATTCAAGCCGCCGCAGCCTCTCCCTGGCTAACAAGCGAGCCAGATTAAAAAGGAAAACCCAGTCATTCTACATGTCCTCCCCAGGCACCTCGGAGTATTGCCCTTCTGAGAGGACTATCAATGAGATCTGAGCTGTGTGCCTTTCTCTTTGCTTTGTATTCATGAAGTCTTGAGAGAACTCGGTGAAACCAGAATGTCTTTTTCCCCTTTGTTCTACCTGACAGCTTACATTTGCATTAGATCACTGGTTTTGCCTCTCCATAATTTATACACAGAGAGAAAGTAAGAAATTGGGCTATGCAGCAGGTCAGTAGATAAAACTGTTTGCACAGGAAGAAAATGTCCGTTTGAAATTGTTGCCTTTTTGTATGTGGCACAGTGTACAAAGAGCGCCTTTACTTGCATTATTTTTTCTAGTGTTCATTCCTTCGATAATTTTCAAGAAGAGAGTCAAAATATAGTTACGGAACTACACAATGGTGTTAGCACAGTTGTAATTATCGAACTATGCTGGCATTTACTACCAACTAACATTTACATTTCAGTCTTTGTGGCACACAAGCCCATGCTTGTACAGAAAATTGACGGGGGCCATGGCTCTTAATGCCTTATGGTATAGCACAAAGCTTTAAAGGATGTGCTCAGCATGGTCGATCAATCCAAACTAGATAGTTTATACTGTCTGGGTTCTAGGATAAAATATTGAATAAGCTAGAAACCTGGATTGGGTAACTATTTCCTGCAGCTGCTACTTGTTCCAGTATAATGATAAGTGTGTTATGTCTAAAGTAATAGCAGTTTCTTCCCTATCTTGAATGTATTCTGAATGTTAGTTGCAGTAGTTGTTAGTTGTAGCTTTTAGACATAAGCAAAATACTCTCTATGGAGGGGATGCAAGATAAGTGCAACTTTTTAATATTAATGATTTTTTTTGTAAAATAAAGAACATTCTCTGGGTGACAATCCTGAGAAAATAGATCATATGTATATTTGTATTATAGTAGAACACCTAAGTACTGCTATAATTAAGGGTCTGGAAGCATATCCATTATAAGCCCCATTTTTACAGGGGTTTGTATCTTGGCTGTAAAGAAATTTTATACCCTGCAAAAATTTGAGGCAGGAGTGTCTCAGATTGAGAGGTAGGTTTTTTTTAAGGTTTGGAGAAACACTGTCTAGCTGTTTTGAAGTTCCAGGAATATTACCAAACATCACATTTTTGCACTCTTTTATATTCCGATTTTTAAATGTAAACAAACTGGGGCTTAGTGTAGAGTATGCAGCTAGGTTGTTTTTATATTTATAACAGCACAGTTATAAATATTTGCAAATCATCCAGTGGACAGGAACAATAATCCTTTCACGTTTTTAATGGCTAGGTCCATATTTAATATCAGCATTCAGTATATGATAGGAAGGATTCAAATATTTGAATTTTCATTTTCACATTTTAGGTTGATGAGAGACATCTCAGTTCACTTCCAAAATAAGCAGAATCTGCTTAAATGCAATCTCTATCCAGACATTTGTTTAATGAAAATGCGCTGAGAAATGAATCTTATCTTCCAAGAAAACCAAAACATTAGAGGCCAATAAATAGAGCTACTATGTAAAGACTAAAAGCTTGATATTGCTGCTCTAATATCTGAAATTTAACTAACTGCACAAGCACAAATGTTTGGGGTCCTAGGATGCAATGGGGTCTCTGGTCCAATTATTCTTAAGCAACTCAGCCAAGACAGTGGGACTACTCTATTTTCATTGGATAAACAAATGTAGGCCGTGTCTACACTACAGACAAAACTGGCACTGTTGGCACAATTGAGATATTCTCACTGGCAAAATAAAACACTCCTACAGGGAAAGCCACAAGAGTTCCACCAATGGACATAACCCATGGTCAATAACAGCAGAATTTAAATTTCACTGTGTTAATTGACATGATAAAATTGCCTTGTGATGACATCAGACCGAGAAGTATTGTTAGACTATAGTATTTTTTCCATTAATCAGCTTGGAAAAAATGGACTGAAAGCACCTATTCCTTTTATATTTTGCTACATTTTATTAATAAATGCCACAAATTGTGTGGAAGCAAAGGGGTCACCCCACAGCTCACAAAGGCATCAGCAATGGCTCCCAGTAAGGTGAGGCATCAGCTAGGAGGTTCTCACCCTTCCAGGTTTTCTATGTCATCTCTTCTCCTTCCATGTAGCTAACCTGCTCTATTGGGTCTTTATAAAGAACCGGTTGTCTAGCTACTTTTCTAGAGAAATAAGATGTATTCTGATATGTGCCTGGACACACAAATGCATCTGTGGATGGAAAGCCTGCTCCCAACAACCCCATCTATATCAGCCCACACGCTCAGTCTCCAGCCTTCCCCAAGTTGAGCAAGGTATCATGCATGATGTTCTACTCACGTTTAAGGGAATGCAAGTACTATGCCCTTATATCCTGCTCAACGTGGGGAAGTTTTGGAACAAATATGTGGGGCAGGGCTTGCATGTACTATCTCCTGCCTACAGATACAGAGTTCATGTGTTCGGACAAATGCCTGAATTCTCTTTGTAAAAATGTGGCTGGGACTCATGTCGTCGCCTCGTTCTATTAAATATTCTTTAGATTTTCTAGGCTCTTTATTAGTATTGCACACATGAACTTTGGTGCTCCTATGGGTCCAGTCAGATTACAGGGAGTGAAGTGGGGATCTTTCTGGTAGAGGGCCTCTCAAATTCTAAGGTGAGGGGTTTGAGGTTGAAGTACTAACAGTATGAGTCACCTTGAATGCCAGCAATATAAGCAGAGGCTACTTACTTGTCTCAATAATTTTATACCTGCACGCAGACAACACAACTCCTTCTTTCTCTCCCTTTGACAATGCACTTACAGCCACATGCAGCATTTGATCTTAATAGAAACTGCCACTAGCAAGCTCGATATTTTTCAGTCACCACTTTCCAAGTGCCCTTCGCCTTTCTCATTTCCTCTTTGACTCTTTCTGTCAGGATGAAGGAAATATGCCGGCCTTTAATTTGCGGGAAGAAGTTCCACAAAGTTGTTGTTTGAAGCCTGAGGGGGAACTTGGTTCCTTGAGCGTTGTGCTGTGTGACATAACATTCTTGTCACCTTGCCATTAATATTCCAACTGTGGTCCAAGTAATAAGGATATTCACTCCGTTTCTCCATATCACAGGAAGCTGCCTGTAACGTGAAGCTTTTTGGTGCCCTACTCTGTTTCAACATAATCATATCAACTTGTAAATATGTGTAAAATATATTCACTTCGGAGAACCACCACTCTTTGTAGTGAGAATCATCCTTCTCATGAAGAGAGAAGAGGAAATTTAAAATAAGCTAAGTGAGCCAACTTCTGTGCTATCAGAAATCATACCAATGTTTAAATGAGTTTTAAAGAGGAGAAAGGCTATCTAGAACAGCAAACTTGGCACCATAAGAACTTTAAAGCATTTATTTTTCTAATTACTAATAAATCTAGGAAGTACCCCAAGTGTATTGTAGAAAACCTGCATCCAGTAAAATGATTGTGTGTTTTGTACATGAAAATATTTTGTGGGAAATTCCAAGCTAGCTCCGCTCTGCAGAAGGTGGCGACAAAGCCTTTGCAATGCCTTGGTGTGCAGACAGAACTTTTATGCATCCCTGGTGACAATGTTACTCTATTATTATTTTGGTTGAAATCCTTTATTTAAATATGAAATATGAGGAAAATAAAAACACCTTTCTGTCATAGCTTTTGTCTGTGTTAATAATTTGTTATAACTCTGTACAATATTTGAAAAGAATATTTTAGTACTTGCTTGGGCTGCATGAAAGGAAGAAAATCTGTCAGATGTATCTGAAGAATAGCAATAAAGCAATTTTGATGGGCTATTTTTTTTTAAAAAAGCATTTAATTGGCACAAGATTCACAAACTGAAGTTTAAAAAACTTTCCCAAAAACATTTCTGTACCTCAAGCTGCATTTCTAATTACATGTCATTTGTGCTGAATCCTTAGTCTCTGCAACTACTACATTTACATTAATTGTGTAAATTCTGTCAGAAAATAAATTAATTTGGCCTTTCTACCAAAGGAAGCATATTCAATAACACATTAATTCAAACTTCTCACCCCTCTTCCCCAACCCCTTTTGTTCTGCCTATCCCTATTAACAAAAAGTTCTTCTCCTGTGATTACTGCACGTGAAGCGAGTCAAAAGTGGTTCCCTTTTAATAACGCATGGTTTCACATTTTCATTTGTGAAATGCTGACACACCAAGCAGGTATTAGGCAAGCGATGGCATCACATGTGGGTACTTGTTAGCACTATTTTGGAATTCTAACAGCACAAGTATTTTAATTGTAGACCATCTTTCCCTCCCTCACCTCCGCACTTTCCACAACTCTTTCTCTGCCTTGAAGAGAAAGAACAAGTGCTCTCCCCCCTCCCCTCGCCAGTTAAAAGATTGCAGTTGCACTGGAAACCAAATACAAGATTTTCAGGCAACTTATTGACCGTGTTCATGGCTGCGGAAAAGCAGAAGCTACTGTGGCTTATAGGCAAAGAAATTTTAAATACTCTAGATGCAAACTGCACAGCACAATCTTCTGCATATTCACATGGTGCATCCTACTGTGTTTATTCTCTCATGCTTACGATTGCACACTTAATCTCTTGTTTATGAGATAATCAAGAATACTGTTGCATATTATTTATGCATTCAGGATTACTTCCGAAAAATAACTTTAGTTCAGGTTCAAATACTTGGTGGTTGGTTTTTTTGTTTTGTTTTTTGTTTTAGTAATTTGAAGGTTCCATGATGTTAGCAAATTCAAACACCAATTTGACTCCTGAAGGATTGAATTTGCATATTGTTACATGGTGGATGTTTTTCCCCAAGATGGCACTGACCACACCTGGATCCAAGGGACCATGCAACTAGTTTTACATGGCTGGTATTTATTTATTTATTTGGGGGGGGGGGGTTGGTCACATGATTTATAGTACCCATTTGAAAAATCTTGGCTTAAGCTAACACAAAGTGATATTCTGGAATGAGCATGATGTAATGCCATGCTAAGGAAAGTTCTAAGCTGGGGGGAAATATCCATTATAATGTGTTACAACTTGCATTGGTTGGATTTCTGTTTCTAAACCTGTATCAGAGATCATCATTCTAAACCAAGAGACACGGAATTAATGGAAAACGGGCATGTAGAGATCTGCATTTGCTAACGAAGTGTGTTCATAGAAGGGTACATATTAAAGTTATGTGAAGTATCTGCTAAAGTAATATCAAATGTCTTGACAGGCTTTTTTAGACAGCACTATCCATCAATGGAGCACCTACAGAACAAAGTTTATACAATAAGGTTGGTGGTGGCTGCTATAATCGGTACTTTTAAATTTATTTAAAACTGCTGGTTTAAAAATCTAAGCAGCAGACAAAAAGAAACCACAGACAACAAAAAAGTAAGTAGTATAAAGAGATAAACATAAAAACATACTACCTCAACAATTAGTGGTTGGTTGGTTGGTTGGTTGTTTTTTTACCGATCCTGCACTGCAAGTGTGAAAACAAGTAGTTAAACCTAGGTCTCCTCCCTTGTTAAGGACCAATTGCCCCAGGGAAGGAAGTGGAATGCTGCTTTCAATTCCCACGCCTGTCTTCAGCTATGTTGCCAACTCCTAGTTAGCTGGCTTTAGAAAGCAAGCAGAGAGCTCTGCACCTGTGAGTTTATAGCAAGAAGCAGGGGTGGCAAAAGAAGGACTACTATACGGCCTCTAAATCAACAAGCAACACGTGTTCATTTCTGTGGTGTGTATGTGGGTAAATTAATTTACAAACATCATGTGAATTGATATTATTATTAATGAATTAAATTTGTTAGTCTCTTTACCTTGCCCAAAGCAACTTACAAGCTACCCACCAACAATAGAGAGATGCATGTTCAAATTCCTTCTCCATCATGTATGGCCCTGGGTACACCACTCTTTTAAAAAGTCTTACCTGCTTATAGGGCTGTCATCAGGATAAATTTAAGCCACCAGCTTGAACTCCTTGAGAGAAGAGTGGGAGTAAAGATAATGAAAGGTAAAATTAAGCTGAAATATATTTGGCAGGAGAAATAACTCGCAGATTCGTCTCTAAAAAACGTGCTCAGTCTTATTGCTTTGTTAAATAACTGAATTCTATCAGCATACTAGCATCCCATTTTATAACTTTCTTTAGGCATAAGTTTCAAATCTCAGCTGTGCAACCTTATATATTAGAAAGCAAAATTCTCAGTCAAATTTGCATCCATCAAAATCCTCTTAATTATGTATAGTTGCAGGGTTGAGGAACAGCATACCTTTAAGAAAAACAACTGGAAGCACAAGATATAGCTCTTCAATTCCTCCTATGTGATGTCACTGTGCATGTTTTTGTATGGCTTCTGATGCACCAGGGTAGCCATTTGTAAATGAAAAGGGCAATAGAATTCTTCTGCTTGTTTTCCTGTTATGTAATACTGATATGCAGTTTATGCATTACAAATTAAAACAAAAACCTGTTCTAAAAGTTGTACCGATGTCTTCATTGCTCCATCAGATCAATACGTTTTCTAATATTGCAGAGAGCAAGTTGTGTGTACCACTGCATACTTTTCCGCTACAGGTAGGTAGCCGTGTTGGTCTGCCGTAGTCGAAACAAAATAAAAACATTCCTTCCAGTAGCACCTTAGAGACCAACTAAGTTTGTTATTGGTATGAGCTTTCGTGTGCATGCACACTTCTTCAGAGGACTTTTCCGCTATTTATGTAAACACATGAGAATGGAACTTCCCCCAAAGGTTAGAATTAAGTTTCATTGATTGTTTTCACAAGATTTACAATCACCACCTTGAAGGCTGCACAATTAAGATGGGTCCCTCATCTTATTTTGCTAAATCGTACTTCCAGTTAGTCCATGTCTCCATGCACTAATAACACTTTAAGGAAGCTAATGTACAAGCTCCGCTTTCTCAATAGATACATAGTACAATCCTTTGCATGTTTATGCAAAATAATACCTCTTGTATTTAGTAGGGTTTACTCATAGGTAAGTGGCTTCCAACTTCTGGGGGAAAAGGAAGTGAAGACTGAGGTTTTGTTTTTTAAAAGTACATCTTAGCAGTACCAATATAACAAAGTAAGTTAAATTTTCTGTGTGCCCTAGCTGGGGTAATAACATAAAAGCATTGTATTAATAGTTCAACCACAATTAATGAGTGCCAAGGTACTCTCCCAAAACCTCTTAATTGCAATGATGGGCTGGTTAATTCCAGGGCGGCACCTACCGGCCTCCCTTGTGCTATTTTTAGTGTTTGTGACTCAGTTGTGTACTGCATGATCATCCCATTTGGCAATTAACACAAAAGCAGTCTTTTGTTTTACTATATATAAAAAAAGAAAAGTCAGTTTGCTATTTTTAAGTAGGTCATGTTATTTATAGCCCCAGATGTCCATAGCATTTAACATTTCAGATAGATTCTCTGCTCAGAAGAGCTTACAGTCTAAATGCAGGTGGGAAAAGGCAAGAGATACAGGAAGAGAAACATTTCTGCATGCAATTATCCTTCAAGTCGCAGCTGATTAAGCATTCGCTCCCCTCCCCACAAGCACACCTTCACATTAATGGCACCTGTGAAAGCAGTGTTAATCAAGGTTGTTTACATAATGAAAAGCAGTGGTTTTTGAACAATCAAGGTAGTTCAGATTAAACAAAGGACTGTGACCAAATGCCAAGAAAGACAGGACTACTATACCGTTTCAACAATTGCAGTTTTCTCCTCGTCTGTGCGTGACATGCTTCAGCTCCCTGTGCTACGTAACTCTTAGAAGTACAGAAGCTTTGCCTTTATTTGCACATAGGAACAAAAAGTGCAGCAGGAGACAGTGTACTGTCTAACACCCAGTTCTCCAGACAAATATCAGTATTTGTTAGTGAAACTGGCCAATAGAACTTTAGGCATCAGTTAAGGTTACTGCTATCTGTTGAAACCTACTGTCTTTCCTTTAAATAACCATGAGACAGGAAGAGATTTAGTAGTTAGAGACACTCCTTACCCTGGAATGACACATGACATGCATGGCAATTTTCTCATTGAATGTAACAGTTGTGAGACAGAGCCTGGAAACGAGTTTTAAAATGCTCTCTTCAGAGTCCTATTCAGAAAGGTGCTGTTACTGGAAGAATAACTTCTTCCTAAAGTAAAGCAAATCCTGACCATGCAGGGTAAAGGAAGAGGCTGAATGAGCAAAGTCCTAAATTGTTGCCCCACCATCCCTTTGTGTACTATCCCACGCAGCCAATACTTGTGTGGGAAACGATGCAGATTCTCTCAGCTCATGTATTTTTGATTTTATAAAGCTTCAAGGGTGGGTTATTTGGAATGTTCAGGGGCAGAAGATGGTACAGCAAGAGAGAACAAAAGAAGAACCCCCTAAAGGTGAGGTTTTGGTAAGTTTCAGGAAGGTAGATAAGCTACTAGATATAAAAAGGTTTGATTTCCAGTCACCTAGAACAGAGAATGCTGGGGCCTTCAAGGACAAAGGAAAAGCATGGAGTGCTTTTACTGAAGATGTGAAGGGGCAAGAAGCAAGGGTAGTGGCAGCCATGATCGAAAGAGCACATGCTCTATTTTCACATGCTAAGGAGTGAAAATGCAACGTATTTTTATTTTCCATGATTTTATTACTAAATTCTATCCTGCTCTTCCTCACAAAGAAGCCCATATTCCTGTGCCATGTTAAATATCTAATAAATATGTGCTAGCCAGGAAAATGTAAGACTGTGGTCATTATTTGGTAAGCAAACAATATAAAAGCAATAGTACCAAGCTTGCCTGCCCGGAGGTTTGTGAGCTCTAAGATCCACTAGGGAACTAAGAGAACAGCCTTAAGAGACAACATCGCACCAAGCAAGACACCAAGACAGTCTGTGGAGCTGCAGTCATATGAGAGTTCCATCAGCCAAGATCCGTGGAAGGAACAAGAAAGAGCAAAGGTAAGAAGGAGTGTGGCTAATCGCCTTTAGGAGACAGGAGTAGGACTATTAAAGGAAACTCAACCACGATTGTATAGAAGACAGAAGGAAGAAGTGCACATGAATAAGCACGGACAAGTTTACCTTCACACAAAATAAAGGAAGTGGGGTGCAGGATTCCATATGAAAGCTGGTGACTTTGGTTGAAATGAACACACATACGGGCTAGAATGCTGAACTTCTCTGCCCCAGCCACACCACCTCTTCCATGACGGGCCTGATACCCTTCACAGAAGGCAGGCTCTTTGTAATCCAACTATTCTTTGTACAAAGTATATTGAAATTGGGGGGGGGGGGATGCTTTGATCATATTAAAGAAGCTCTTTTTCTGCCACGGCTTAAAAATTGTTAATGCCGTGAGTTATTCAGGCCGGTGGGGCGGGGGAGGGCAGGCAGGGAGCAAAAAAGGCTCCAGTAACAATTCATCACCATTCCACTTAGATGCGCATGCAGCTTAGCTACATCCTAAGTTTTCTTGGCATGTTATGCTTCCAGATAAGAATTCTAGTATGCTGGATTTTGGCATCTTTCTTATTTTTGTCACAAATTCCACACCGTGCCCAGTCCCCAAGATTAAACAAGTAAGATTTCAGCCTTCATGGTTTTTTTTCAGCTTTTCACAAAATATTCAGAAGAGATATACTGCAAGCAAAGTTTGAAGAGAGACAGGAATTGTTTTCATCATACTGGATTGTAGGCAGACATCTTGTGTTCATGCCCGAGATATTTGTCATTCTCTGTGAATCAGGAGCTTTCCAACTTTTCATCTTGCACAGTTTTAAACTACAGTTTTGAATCTACAATGCTTGGAAGTGCATTAATTTATATATGTTTGTAGCTTTCTGTTCCACGGAGATTGGCTTTCATCAGTGAATGAACTGTTAACAAAACTTTGAATCACACAAAATGTAACACCATGAACTACTTTTGAAGTTACATGGACCTGCATGCTTCCAAAATAATTCCACTGAAAAGCCTGCTATTCGCTCTTCTTTTTCTCTAATCTTCTGTGTGGAACATCTAGGGCTACTGCCATCATAACCTGGTTTTAAGCAAGTGCTCTGTCCTTACCGGCTTCAATAGAATTACTTCTAGATGTTGTACAGAAGAAAACTCCATTGAAATCAGAGGTCAGAAATGGAGTTTGAACTTGCTCAATGATGAAAGCTGTTGGCTTGGTGGGAGAGGTGGTTGTGCTTCACAACATCACATTCCCCCACCACTATGAAACAGCCTCCTCCCTGGAACTGCCAAACAGAGTGCCAGAAGATGGGTGTGAAATGTGGGGTGGGCCATAAATATCCTTTATGGTCTTGTATCCATTGCTAAAAGTAAGAAATGAATTACACAACTAAGTACTCCAAACATATGCCCATTACATATAGAAAATTAGTTTCCTAGTACTTCCCACTGAGGTATCAATTGTCTTCACATAATAAGTGACCAGAGGGTATATTCACATATATGGAAATAAATTAGCTACTGAAAAATAAAAACAAAAATTGACAAGAGAGGATTCAACCCATTTTTACCACAACAAAATGGCTGCTCTCAGTGGTTTCAGTATAAATACTAGGAGGTAACGTGCTAGAACACCTTGTTCAGAATCTGCATTTGAACAGTGCAAGGAAGAATTACTATCCACAAAGACAAAGTCTCAGGAGGAGATCTCCAGCCTCCAACAAAGGGCACAATCCACCATGGAACTTTGTTGCACACCAACCTTCATTTCAGGGAAGGTTGTTCAGATCTTCTTTCAGGCTCCACTAAGTAAAAGGAAGGTTGTGTTGCAGAACTACATAGACGATCACATCAGGTGCCAGTCAACCTCCTGTGCCATCACATTTTACCTCCCCACTATACTTATCTAGCCTGTAGAGAGAGAGAGAGAGAGATCCCCAGTGCTTTCTGTACCTATTTGTCGTTTACAGAATAAGAACGGCAGCTGCACTTTTAAAGAAATAAATAAATAAATTTCAAGTACAAGAAAATGGTTATATAAGATGGGAAGTCTATTCTCTCAGCTCTGATCAAGGCACAGTTTGGTACTTATGTAGATGTCGATCTTCAATCTGCTCTGCAAGTTCCACATCCATTTAACTTCAGTAGGACTTAAGGTCACTATACTCTATCGAATTTGGGCACTTGTAACTAGAGGCCATGGGAAAGCCAAAAAACATACACTGTGGACAAATAGAGGACCCTAGAAAGGCTTAAAAATGGGGGGGGGGTTGATTCTGACCTGTAAAATTTCATTATATAAACATATATATTTCTAAATAAAAAATATTGGAATATCCATCCTGGCAAGGAGAAAATATAATGGAAAAATAAAGTTCTGTCACAGTTCCATCAGTCCTCCGCTGAAGCTGCTGCCATTGCGGACTTCATGCTCTCTCGCGTCGAAGTTAGTTCGCCAATCACCCACTCTAAGGCTTCTCGACCCTGTTAAAGAAGGAACAAGAGCTAAGTGGGTTGACCAGATACACTGATGTTAAACTTCTAAATCTTTCCTCTGTCAGACACCAAAAGATCTCCCAAAGCAAACTGCTTTGTTGTCTTCTGAATTATGAATGTATCATAATGAATTGTGCCATTGAATTTGTACGATGATATTATTTCATTCTAGTCCGCCTTTGCTTCTGTAACAAGGAAAACCGTAAATTGAAGGGTGATCTGCTTAGACAATACATTTTTCTTAGTAATAATAGGCCAACAAAGTTACAAGACTACAAGCTAGCTCTTTTGCAGAGTACAAATGTTAGATCTGTCTAGCAAGGCACAATTACAAGAGACTGTTGCACTTGGATCAGTGCTAGAGAGAGTTTTGACTACCCACTTTTTTCAAAGTGCAAAGCATCATTTGCTTCTTATCCCTAGCATGCCTCTGAACAACCTGAAATTTTTTCTATTACATTTCTGTGGCTTCCTCCATTACCATGGTAAGATTGCAACAGAACAGACATGAGGCCTAATACTAGCCCTTCTCCCATCAATAATATTTCCCCCCTTCAATTTCTTCCGCTTCATCCTAGCAGTGGAAAAGTTGTTACAAGTCCTAATGAACGTTATTAATGAACCTATAGTTTATGGTTTCTTTCCCATCCTGTTTACTCTCTATCATGAAACACTAAATTACCATCACTGATGCTCAGTTCAGAGCAACTTAGAAAGCAAGAGCGCCGCTTTTGCAAGAATTCAGTTTAACTGGGCCTAAAGACCAGCTACAGATGGCAAACCTAAATAAGAAGAACTTGAAACACATGCTGGGCAGTATTCAACTTAACAGTTGCACCAGTGCAAGCACTCTTGGCTGCACAACGGAACTGCTTCAACCTGCGCACCCTCTAAATATTTTTTTAGTTTGCCCTCAACCCTTCAGGGCAGATTTAGAGGGTGTGCAGGTAGGGTAAGTTCTCATGCATAGTTAAAAGTGCTTGCGCTAGTGGAACTGAGGAGAAAACCTCAGTAAGCTCAAGTAGAGAAACTCAGCAAAAAAGTGAGAGCCTCCGTAAGTATTCAGGCTAGGAGCCTAATCACTTGTGCAGATGCATAAGGCCACTTAGCATGTGATCAAAAGATACCTTTGCTCAAGAACCGCCTCTCCTCTTATTACCTGGACTATAGCTAATTTCTTTGAAACATAAATATACAGTGAAACTGTGCGCACATCTGCATTATGAAAAGCCTGAACACGGTATTTGTACAGAATACTAAATAGCTTAAAGCTTAACATTTCGAGCCAAATTGCTGTTAGTTTTAAGCCTGTACTACACCATGACTGCTTTAACTACCAACTTATTTTTTTTTATAGCTGCTTGTTTTAATTGAAACAGAACACTACTGGATTAAATGACAGTTACATAATCTTTCTGGATACAAATGTGCTCAGTTGAAATCTGTAAACTTAACAGCTCAGGTCAACACTCCTGGAAGAGAGAGAGATGTATATATTATTTGCAGTTGTTGTTTCTAAACTGTGACAAAGCAACTAGCTTGCTCTGTCAGTGTGCAGATTTCCATATGCACAACAGAACTAACCCCCTCTCCTTTCCCTGGCACCCCCCTAAATCTGTTCTGCTGTACCCGCAACCCTATAAAGCAGATTTGAGGAGGGCATGGGGCACGCACAGTGAAAGAAGAGGGGGGAAGTTTCCTTCTGCAAGTGAAAATCCTTGTGCTGATGGAACAAGTTAACTGGAAGTCACCCTTAGTTTTGAAATAAAAAGTGTAATGAACCAATAGATTGAAGAAACAGCCTTTGGGCTTATCTACACTGTAACCTTATACTGGGCTTCTAAGAATATCACAACCATGTTTTTCTCCAAACAGTTCTAGTAATTCTAGATTCAGGTAGGTAGCCATGTTGGTCTGACACAGTAGAAATATATATAAAAAATTAAAAAATTGTCCAGTAGCACCATAGAGACCAACTAAATTTGTTCTTGGTATGAGCTTTCATGTGCATGCACAAGAAAGCTCATACCAAGAACAAACTTAGTTGGTCTCTAAGGTGCTACTGGACTATATAGTAATTGTTACTGGATGATTTCCTGCAGAAAAGACTGTAGTGTGCATATGACCCAAAGCACTTGGCCAGAATTATTTGAATTTCTTCAATTATTTGTTACTTTTGAAAACACCATTCAGTTTGAAGTGTTTTCCATTCCTGGCCTCGGGTCAGAACTAACCACCTTTAACCCAATCCTTCAACTGAATGAAGTTCTGAGCATTAGAAACTGCACAAGTTGGATTTAAAAATCAAAGCATTAGATAAGAATAAAAAAGGGCCCCACTAATAACAGACATATGACATGTCAAATGAAGAAATTCACAGGATTGCTATGGGAGATAGGAACTAACAGGAATTATTGCACCAAGTGCTTTTGATCAACAAATCTCCATGCTATAACACTAAATACAAGTGTTGGGGCTTAAAGCACAGCACACGTACATCTTAACATATTCTAAGAAATGAAATGGCAGCTTGGTTTGAGTAGATTCTAAGCACATTGGTGGGGTGAACTAGGTTGCAGCTTCTTTAAAGGAGAGGGTGGAACTCTGTGGGTTTTTTAGGACCAAACTAGACATTTGCCTAATATGTAGTATGCATCTTAAATATTACATTCACAGGGAGACATATTCTCACTGGGAAGGCAACCAGTAGGGAGAGGAGGCTTATCTTTCCACCCACTCACCATGATCTGAATGGGAAAAGTCCCCATCAGACTCCCCCATGCCAGTAATTATTTCAGGAACAACAATATATACAGCTGCATGTGACACAATTGAGCAGATGTCAAGTTTGATCCAGTCTGGCCAGCTTTCCTTGGGAAGACTGGTCATTTGTTTATATAGTAACTGAGCATGTTGAACGATTTTGCTGAGTTTGAAATGACCTTAGTTAGAGTGGTCTATTGGGCTGATGACTTACTTATTTGCTTCCCATAGACATCTGGCAAGCCTTTAAAAACAAAATGCTGGACCAAAAAGACCGGGGCTCTTTTTAACATGCATGGAACTAGCAAAAACAATCTGACAGAGGATTGGTTTACTGAGTTTCTGTTGTACCATAAAACAGCATATTAGTATATGACTTGAGCAAGCATATTTCCAATTAAAGCATGCACCTTTTAATATATTTACGTACATGGTGGTAGCACACTGAACATACAGAATGAGAGTTAAGAACTGGACATAATTTCAGTGGTTACTACTTAACAAACGATTGAGAGCATAAAATTTTAAACTCTGAAACATTTCACAGGCTTAATGGTAAAACTGAAAACATACAGTGAGAGTTTACTTTTTTTTTGTAATATATACACACACTCCAAAATTGGGAGTAGTTAAGTATTACACAACACTAAGGCATGTTTGGTAACTGTATTCTGCAAATGAAAATTGAGGCTTTTAAGGGCAGGATCAACAGTCAAATAATCTGTTTCCAAGCTTGGCAGTCAAGCTCAAGGAACGAAAAAAGGTGGTCACTGAAGTTCCCCGCAAGTCAAACAGATGCTAGCAATGCCTCTTAAAACAATGCATTTAGACAAAAACATCTGCTTTGTTATAGCAAAACTATTTATATATTAGTGTATGTTTAGATAAAAGCCTGGATTTTAGATGTGAAAAAACGAATCATGGTTTGTTGTTCATATATTTCCCCGTGTTCCCCACTTACATGTGGAGGAAGAGAAGCTATTTCAACTTCTAGTCTGCAACAAATTGTTGTTTGCCATAACAGGATGAGAAAACAAACTGATATGTTCAATTCATCTTCCCCCACATCCAGGATCCAATCCCGGTTTTGCAAACAAGCAAACCACAGTTGGCCATCTTGGGGCAAAGCTGCAAGTGAACACTTCTAATCTCCCCTCACAAAATGCAGGGAGAAGAGAGTGAGGCTTGTGCTCATAACAAAAATATGCAGCCAAATGCAGCCAAAAGGTTTTGCATGATTCCTGCCTAATTAAAATAAAGTAAGACAGGAGTGCCTGGCGTGCTCTGGTCCATGGGGTCACGAAGAGTCGGACACGACTAAACAATGGGAGGCCCAGACACTAGAAATAATGCAAAGAAGAGAAAAAGTAGAACCCAATTCTCACAAGTGCCAACTGCTGGAGTTTATGATAGTACAATGTGTTTCAGAACAGAAGTTCCTTCTTCAGGATCAATCTTGGACTTTCTGAAGCAACTTACATAAATGCTCTGCTGCCCATAGGGCACCATGAGGGAGGAATGACAGTTCCAAAATGCGCTGAGCGACAATAAAGCTTAATAGCTGGCACTTTTGAAAACCAGTTTCTTCTTTTTGCGTTCTTTTTGCACAGATTTTAAGCTGCCTCAAAGGAAAAACCAACAAGGACCAAGTAAACAGGTGCAAATGTTCTAATTGTGACTTCATAAACTGCTTTCTTTTAAATGAGAACCCTTCTGTCCAAGCAGTGATGGGACTGTATTTCTACACTGATAGGCAAGAATTGCCATACTGTAGGCTAAGTCCAGCAGTAGTGTGAACTAGTTAACAACCTCAAGTATTTCACCCCAAAGCATTCCATGCATTGGATCAAGAGGACTGGTTGTACAGAGCTTCACCTACTTCCAAAATACTCTGGGGCCAAGGTGCAGCAGTTCTTTTAACAGTATTCCACTTACTCAAAAGAGATTTACCAAAGAACAGAAGGTGGGCCTTATTAGTGGCCCACACATGCAGGTTCATAAGAACCTTTTCCTGTGTCAAAGCATTAGACAGTACAGACGCCCCCCAAATTCCAGAGTTAAAGAATAAGGGTGCTGTTCCTCTATATGCAATGTGTGTATATATACGAGGCATGCAGGCTTTCAAGTAACATGACAACAACATGCACAGATTTGCTAGAAGCTGAAATGCTGTACCAAGGTAACAAATGCCGGTATTACCACTAATTAGTACAAAATGCAGCTGTAGAAAGAGACTGCTATCTTAGAACAGTGTCAGAATGTTGAATTGTCCACTCAATAGCATCCCACCCCTGGAGTAACACAGAAAAGATGTACAACTTATGACAAAAAGTTATTCCACCATCACAGTCTTGTAAATCTCAAGAGCCTACAGGAAAATCAAGCATTGTAAACTGAGAGTGATATCCAACTAAGTCCAAGTAAACCTACTGAAAGTGAATGGATGTAACAGTTATGACTAAGCCTACCTTGATTTTGACTTAGTTAAGCACCACGCTTATCAAATATTGGTAACAAGCAATTATATCATGTAAAGGTTTAACTGAGTGCCAAAGCAGGATTCTGAAGACACACAAATAGGCATCCCAGTAGAGTAAGTTAGGTAAAAGCAAGCTGAGCATGCATGCTTCTGACAGATGCATCTCATCCTAGACTTGGGATCACTTGACGTGCTACCAGATCCTACAACTTCTGCCTAGAAATCTGGTAGTACGCAAGTGTGAAGTGGCCCTAAGTTGAAAAGGTAAAGCGAGAGGGATCACCTGTAAGGAAACTTAGTTAAAACAGGCTGCATTATATAGCATTAAAAGAGAATGAAGAAGAAACAGTAAAGCACCTGAATGAGACCTGTAATGTATTGGTAATCTATTGTTATACAAGTGCAGAAGTCATGGAGGACTGAGAACAGAAATATTTGTTTAGGATTACAATACTTGAAATGCTCATTTCCCCCTTAATAATACTCTTTATAAGGCTGAGTTATTCATTTGCTGTTTTATAGTCAAATCCCAATGTACCCACGGAAGTCCCACGGAACTTAATAAAGGGTTTATTGTGTAGCATGCTGAATTGTTTCAGGCTGAGAACAGGGATGGGCCTGTCACGTTCTCTCGTAGCCCATTTCTGAGGGCCCTGTGTCTGCAGTGGGCATGGCCATGCCATGCTCTCTCTCACACCACACACAACACTCCCCCCGCCTGCCACGATTAGGTCGGAGTCACTAGGAACCTTTTTACAAACCTAACCGCAGCACGGGGAAGGTGCTTTGGAGCATGGTGATGAAACAACATATTTGGAGGCAGGGTTGACCATCCCCATCCCAGCTGCATCTAGGCAAGGGGGGAAATAATCTTTACTCCAACAGGATAGTTGTTTTCTAGCTGCAGGAAAGGCAAGGAGGGAGGTGAGGGCCAGATAAAGAGGTCAGGAGTTCAGCTTCCTGTATCTTTTAATGCATGGAGTGCTTGCATATGAAATATACTCTGGAGGGTTGAGGGAATTCCCAGAACAGGTTAATGCTGTGAACCGCCCTGAGATCTATGCATGAAGAACAGTATACAAATTTGATTGATTGATTGATTGATTGATTGATTGATTTGAGGGCCCACAGGGAAAGGAATGGAAAGTTCCACTGCACAGCCAGAAGTCTGTGTTCTAGCAGAACTTCTTCACCCATAGCATTTAGGGGAACAGTTCCTTTTCATTTATCCCCTATTCTGCTACTAACAGCCTATATATGCATTTGGTTTATTGCCCATCAGAAGTGGAATAAGTTCCCTTTCCAACACTACAAATAGGACAACTAGAACACGTGCTCATACCCACCATTTCGTACACAGTAGAAAACAAGAGACATCTGTACATAATAAGTGTCTGGGTTATGAGGGAAAGTTCAGATATGACATCTCCTTAGTTCTCCCCTCTGCTTTCAGCACTGAAAAGAGTAAGGAAACGATTTGCCTGCTTTCCATATAAACCTATTTGTCTCAAGCAACCCACTGCGGAATCCAATAGCTAAACTGAGAAGGTATTCTGTGAACTGCAAGCTGAAAGACAGACTAATCTGATCACACAACCAGACACTATCTCCCCTACACCCATTCTAGCTGTAAGCTGCTGTTGTCTCAGTGAGAGCCAACAATCACTTTTCCTGACTTCATACCTTACATGGTTTTGAATCTTAAAAGGAAATACATGTGGACTGAGAATACACAACTGGCTCTACAGACCATCACAAGTACAAGAAAAGTCATTATCTGACCTGAAGACTTACAGTGAATTGTGTATAATTGAAAGCACCCTGGGCTTATGGGATACCAATGCTAGCATAATGCACTTAAACATTTGAGTTTTAGGTTTTAAATGAACCACCTGAAAGTTAGCAACTGTGACCCAGTAAAAGTATGCCACACACCTACCTTTCTAGCATTAGAAGATATTGTGCTTGCCATTAAAGTTTCCAAGTAACTACTGAGGCTAACACCTTTTACTGTAATAATTGCTTCTTGCGTTAACAAAGTCCTGTAAGGGGAAAGACAGAAACTATCAGTACAAAATGGCTTCCCCCTCATCATATTTTTTTACTGAAAGTCAAAGACATTCCAACTTACTTTTCCGGGTTCTCAGGGTGTGGCGTATATACCAACCTTTCATCAACTGATATAAGATTTGTAAGTGTTATCTTAAAGGGAAAAAGAAGCAAAGATTAGTTTAACTAATCTTAGTATTATCTAGCATAATACATAATAAAAAAGATTGTCTACTTTACTTAAAGAAAATGATAGACTGCATTTTTAAAAACAACTAAGGCTGGATCCTAAGCAAACTTTCTAGGAATTAAAGTCACATTTTAAAGCAGGAGTAAGGAATTTCAGGCCCATAGGCCTAGTTAGGTCACAAACCATACCCACTCCCCCACATGTGTGATGCCAGGTTTGGGACAGATAAATATGTGCCTGGCATTGGCTACCCTAGGGAGCACCACACCAGTGAACTCGATGTGCAGTTGCGTATAGCTCACTGTCAGCCCCAATCAGCTGATGGACAAAGAGAGCAAGACTCCTTGAAGTTCCAATCTCCACACTCATAAGCTGAGGGACATTGAGAGAAAGCTGTTTTGAAGTTTGGTTGCAGCTGTGGTTTGGATACAAAGCATGCCTGAATCCATACCACAGCTGCAACCAGACTTCAAAGGGGATCTCTCAGCACCCATCACTTGATCAGTGCTGAGAGGGAACTCCTTTGAAGCCCTCACCTGATGATATAACGATGAGGATGGTGCTAGGTGACTAACTGGTGGGCAGCCCCACCCAGCTGCCAGAATTGACCTATGGGGAGTACGGGAGATATGGATTTGGCCTGCTGGCCTGCTTCAATTCCCTGACCTTGTACTACAAGCCTCAAATAGCAGAGAGCCAGCCAAATTACACACATTTATACCCAAAGCTGCCTGTGTGTGGGAAGGACTCGCCTTTCCCTGCTCTCCCCCCAGCAGCCCTCCCACCCTCAAATTTTGCTCCAGAGAGTTGGGGGCCCAATGGAGCAGACTTTGGGACTGCACAGAGCGAGGAAAAGGAGGAGATGGTGAAGTCCCACTGCATGAATGGAAGTCCACTTGTGCAAAGTTGGATTCTGCCCATAAAGAACTTTCGGATCCTCTAGAAATAATTTCATCAGAGAAAGTAAAGCTAGCAATCCCAGTTTCTTTAAAAAATAATAATCTAAAGTTATCTAGCATACACAGAGAATGCTAGCCTTGGTTCCTGCTATGCCCTTACAGCAACGTTTTCCCAACATAAGCAAGGACTGCCTCAAACAGGCAGTATGTAAAAAAACATAGCCAGCAACTCCCTGGTCCTGCCAGCAAATACAATACAGAATACTTTATTACTCACATTTGTGGAGCTCAGTACCATTTTCTTTTCCACCGGATCAACTACAGAATGTTCTTTAATGTATGTCATAGTTCTACTTGTTCCCAGAATCTTTTAAAAAAAGGAAATAAAAGCAAATACTAACACAGTAACCCAAAACAAGCCATCAAGCAAAATATCAAAAAGGTTGGTGATAAATGCATTTCTGTAAAGCATGCAGTGATAGCCCCTGTCCAAACAAAGAGTCTCATTGAACCAGGTTCTCTAGGTGTGTTGCAACTCTTGAGGAAATTTAGCCTAAGCATTTACTATGAGAGTCATTATGTGCAATGCAGTCAAGAATAGAACACATGTTTTTATTTCATAAAAAGATTCAGCCTACCACTAGCCACCATGGTTAAAACAAACTTACCGCTTTTACAATACTTGGTAGGCCCCATTCAGTGCTAAGTAGCCGGTGACTGTGCAACCTTCCTTGATTGTCAAGGCTTCGGTCCAAGACATCAACTCCTACCACTGAGGGGTTCATAGGATTGGGATATTTTCTCATGGCAGCTTTTATTACAGTATCCCATGGATGCCTAGGGAAAATGAAATGAAAGAGAAACAGGCAATGCATTAAGAATTCTCTGTATGAAATGCAATTTAATTAAAACTGAACATTTTGGTTTGCATTTATGGTATACAAAGCATACATTCCAAAACACAGTATTTAATATAATGTAAGAGTTGGTACCTGAATTTGCTTATTTTTCTCTTCCTCCCCTGTCACTTGCTTCATATTTGGTCTATTAGGCTGTTAACTACTGTAAGCACATTGGCATAAGGGTACTATACGTATAAGGTGGTATCCAATACTGAAATTGCAAGAGCAGAACAGATTTCTGCTTGAAAAATGAGACTTCCCCTTTGTCCCCCTGCAGCAAATCTCCATCCTTAAAATCTACTCCAAAGAGTTGGGAAATCCTCCAGTGCCGACGTCTGGAGAGCAAGACCTTTGAACCATAATAATAATAATAATAATTTATTAAATTTATATACCACTCTTCAGGCAAAGATCTCAGGACAGTTCACAAACCTGTCAAGCATCTACAGTTTAAGTGACACCCCCAAATGACCAGCACAATTAGTAAGTTTCAGAATATAGTGCTATATAAACTTTGGTCAGATCAGAGATTTGCCGATCTAGCCCTCTTCAAAGGCTGCTGTCCTGAAACCCCCACCAGTCCCAACCATTTTGGCCAATGGTCAGGGAAGGTGGGAGTGACAGTCCAACAATATCTGGAGGGCACAACGTTGACTACTTCTAGTTTAGATGGCAGCTCTTTCTAGGCACAGCAGAGTGACAGATATTAAAGGCAAGAAACACCACTTTCAATTTTCAGCACTTATTTAGCACAAGTTCTCCTCTGGAGAAGAAGCATTTGACACAGCAATAGGAAATCAATTCTTACAGCTGGATCCTAGCCATGCTTACTCAGAACTGGGTCCCACTGATTTCAATAGGACACACTCAAGCATGCTTAGAGCCGTGGTAGAAGTATTATGCACAATAACAAAATAAGAGGAAGAATTATAGGTTAACGTTATAGAACACGCTTTGCATGAAAATGCTCCAAGGTTCAAGAAGCACGGGGAAAGACTCCCATCTGAAATGCTGGAGAAACACTTCCATTCAGTGTTGAAAAAGCTGAGCTAGATGGACAAATGGTCTAGCTTGGTATAAACCAGCTTTCTACATTCTATGTTCCTATGTAGCATATATCTTTCATTTCCAGAAAACATTCATTGCTTAAGTAACATTAACTCAGTGGTGAAATATTTTCAGTAAGCTAATAAGAACTTATGAAACCCAGTGACTAAGTAAAGGAAGTTAACATTGGGCTGTCCTTGTTCACAAAGATAAGGACTGAGGGAGAGAGAAAGTCATGCTTAAATTCAGAGATTATCACACTTATTCAGTATCAGCCTGCCTAGCTCCACTGCTATCTCACACTTTTGAGAAACATACTTTTACATTAGTTTTTTTTAAAAAGAGTGTGGTGTTGCAATTTAAGCATTTCCTTCATTACTGGGAAAGTGTTTTATGGCACTTTGGCTATTTGCAAGTAGCTTATGCCAACAACATCATCAGTGATCTGGTATTGCACTTAACTGCTAGATAGTCTCAGGAGCCCTTCAAAGCCATACTGCTAATTCAGTATACTCATGCCATAGGGTCTCAACCCCTCTTTCTTTGGAAGAAGAATATGCCTTTTTTATGGCAATGCAAAAAACAGAACCCACTGAACACATCATAACCTACTTTCCACCCATTTAATTACAAGCTATTACAGGTAGTGTCTCAGCTTGTTTTATTGCAAAATTCCAGGAAGCCACTGTCATGATGTTATTTCCTACACATCTGTACAGAGGCAAGATGTGGCAACCTCTCCTCCCATTTTCAACCACCCTTTCCTGGAATACTAAAGAAAATTCCCTCTTAAATTGCTAGACAGAACAATTGCACCACTGCCTCCATGTCCCTCATGTCTTACAGCTCAATTTCTTAGAAGAACAAATAGGTACAGTTCACAGCGGTCCACAATTATGCACCCCACTAGTATTCCATCATTCCTGGAAAGAGTGACAAGAAAAGTCCCATCCTTCTGCTCCAGCTTCTAGATGAGGAGTCAGAGATCATTAACCAGAGGTCAACTGAGTTTCAGAGGGCATAATAAATCAAAGAGGAAGATCCCATACCCTCATCTCAGCTCCAAGCTGAAAAGAAAGATTGGGGCTTCCCATTTTGGTGCTCAGGTCTCTTCAGCCACCTTAAAAAAAACAACCAAAGAAAACCCAGCCATTCTCTCTAGCTCCAGAGTAGGAGAGTGAAGATCGCTATTTGAACCACTGGCAGCATTAATGTCCCAAGTGATCAGAGAACAGATTGTCCACACAGATGAGGTCTTCTGAACTTCAGCACTGTAACCACTGCAATTACTGTTATTACTGTAAGCAGTGTAATAGGGACTGTAACCACACAGGGGATTGCTGATGCCCTTGCGCACGGATGCAGGGGAAGGTCAGGGACCAGCAGCCCAATCCTAATATACTGAAAGGGAGGCAAGGAGTCCTGGCAATCACCAGCTTAGCTTTGGTAACCATGACCAGCCAAAAAGTCTGAGGGCCTCTCACACTCAAAAATATTCCAAGCCCCATTAAAATGATGGAAAGCAGAACTGAAGGCTCAAGAGTAACATCTTCTGGGCAGCAGTTCTAACCCTTGAAGGAGTCGAGAGTGGCAAAGGCCTACCAAGTTTCTGTCCGCAACATTCATGGCAATAGCAACATACTTTAGTTACACTGAGGTATTTTTAGAAACCAGTTCTACTCAGCAGTTTATGCAGCAAAGGCGTATTACCATGACACGACCTTGAAGAAAGGAAGTTGTCACCTTTGCCCCAGATATCACAGGCATTTGCAGGGCAGCTCAGTGTATGGAGAAACACTTACTGCTTCCCTTTCTAATAAAAAGACAGCAACAGACAGAGCGCAGGGGCCAGCTGTCCCCAACCTGGAGTCCACCATTTGTTTCAAACTGCATCAACCCCACAGTCCTCAACCCACGGTCAAGGAAGATGTGAGTCACACAACAACACTTAAGAGACCTTAAAGGGCAGCTAAGACAACATTTTTAAAGGTCTTTCATAAGGCAGGCATTTGGGAGCAAGCGCAAACCCACGACAGACCATGTTTAAAGCCCTTGGTGAGGGAGCAAGCGCCGGGGCAGGATGCTACCGATGTCCTCTCCCGGTGACCAAAAAGCACGAGTTGTATACCAAGCGGAAACGGAGAAGGGAAGAGGAGTTTTATTCGTTTTCCCTTCCAAAGGAAGCTCCATAGCTCAGCTAGAGAAGGGCTGTAGCTCACTGCCAAAGCATCTCCTTTGCACAGGCTCAACCCCCAGCATCTCCCGATGGGACGGGGAGAGACCCCTGGAGAGCCGCTGCCAGCCAGTGTAGGCAACACTGAGCTCGGAAGAACCAGTGGTTTTTCTGTCCCTCCGCCAGCGCGGGCTGCTGCTGCTGTCAAGGACGGAACGCGCGCCACTCCCGTCCTCGCCTTACCCAAACTCGTGCTCCGAGCTCCAGATCTTCATCCTGTCTGTAAAAGCAGCAGCGTTAATGGCGGCTCAATGGAAAGAACCGGCTTCTCCGCTCCAAAGGAAAGGGCGGCGCTTTTCCCCGGAGGAGGGTGGGCGATGACGTCAGCCGTCTCCCACCCACCCTTCTTCCCCGCGCCAGCCAATCGCCGCTCCTGTCCGCTGGAAAGACACCCGGCTCGCTCCCGCCTCCCTGCACCCTTCGATGCCCGGGGAAAGGACGCGTCAAGTCCGTGTGAAGACCTTGAACAGGGGACGCCCAGCTCACATTCCTCGCCAGTGACGTCAGGGCTTCGGCTCTGGAAACGCGCCGTTTCTTGCCAATTGCGTGACTCCTCGGTGGATCCAGTCGCTTTGCCTCGCGGGTTTGCAGATCCGTAGCGCCTCTGCGCCGGCTGCATCAGTCGTGAGCCGAGCGTGGGATTCTAAGGCTGCCCTTGGCATGGGGTGTGTTTTGATCTTTGCCCGCACAGAAAGCAGAAGAGTAGTATCTTGTGTCGTCGTGGCCTCTGACTCTTACTGACTTCAGTCTCACTGGGTTTAGGGTGCGAATTAAGTCAGGTCACACATTTTCACGGAATAAAATCTTCCACGTTTTCTGCAGCGCGTATTTATTAAAGGGGAAAAGGTTCGGTCCTATGCACGCATACCTGTATTTAGAATGAATGATTGTCAATGTATATACATGAGATTGTACAAAGCCGCTGGCAAACGCATTGTAAAATCATTCTTAAAACAAAACTAAATTCAAGTTGACTTAAGGCAGGCCTGTTACATTAGAGAAAATTAAGCAAACTGGTTTCACGACTGGCCTTGATTTCTAGGGCCATCGCTAGAATACAGAGCAGAGCGCGGGAAAACCTGCCTATGGATTGTCACAGAATTAACATCTACCGATGTCAGTTCTTACACACACATAACTGGGGAGAAAATGTTACTGTATTCTATGCGATTTAAGCCCAACTACTTGACAGTAATCAAAACAGAGTCCTCGAAAATACCGAACATAGGATTATGTAACTTTATGTAACTGTGTTCAGTTTCTACTCCCCAATAAATGTGTTTAGGCTTGCAATTTACACCGAACTGTCTCATCACAGAGTTTCTGCGCGGGTAACGTAATGAGAGATGCAATCCGAAATCAGTAGGCAGCGACCGTGGTACTGGGACAATTTAAAATCAAATAGGATTAAAATAATTGCAGCTTCCGGCACCTTTTATTGGTGAACTCTCTTCCACTTTCCTGGGTCGAGGTTATACCGGAGCCACGTGTCTCCGTCCGACTGACCTTGCAAATAAATTCCAAGGCATCACTCTTTCCCCTTCGACATATATGTAACTAATTAATACCGTCGGGGCCTACGTAAGTGTCCTAGACGCCATGTGATTTCGGCGCTCATCGACTCCTGATCCACTGGTGCCAACCTGCCTCAGCAGGCACAACCATCACCCTGTAGGCGTGTTTGCCTTGGGTACAAATACAGTGGTACCTCGGGTTAAGTACTTAATTCATTCCGGAGGTCCATTCTTAACCTGAAACTGTTCTTAACCTGAAGCACCACTTTAGCTAATGGGGCCTCCTGCTGCTGCTGCTGCGCCGCCGGAGCCCGATTTCTGTTCTTATCCTGAAGCAAAGATCTTAACCTGAAGCACTATTTCTGGGTTAGCGGAGTGTGTAACCTGAAGCGTATGTAACCCGAGGTACCACTGTACCAAGCAGGGGTCGTCCTTCAGCTAGCATGCAAGTCTTCAATAGGGTCGTCTCGTTGTTGCACCAGGCGGGCGGAGAGCAACACGCGCAACGCCTCCAAAAGAGGCGGAGCTTACGAAAAAAGGCGGAGCATGGCGAAGGCTGCGCGCACGCGCGGGAGGGGTCATGGGGCGCCGTGATGGCGTCACGCGCGGCGCCGGGGGCGTGGCCAAGGTCCCCCAACCACCCGCTCGCCTGTTTGTGTAACTGAGTGAGTGAAGAGAGCGGTGCTTTGGGGCCGCTGGCCTGTTTCGGCGACTATGGCTCACCGCTGCCTGTGGCTGTCGCGGGGCTGCTGCCGGCGTTCCCCCGGCGGGATCCCCGGGGCCGCCCAGCGGCTGCTTTGGGGCCGAGGCCCCGCAGCGCCTTCGCGCTACCTGAGATTGGTGAGTCACGTGCGTGTCAGGCAAGGGCAGGGCGCAAGGGGAGTGGGGTGCGCCTCCCGGGCACCGCCGCCCTTCCTGGCAGCGCCTGCCGGAGGTGGACCGGGGCCGTCGCCACGAGGGAGTCCCGTCCCCGTGGAGTCACTTGGCAGCTGACGTTTCTTATCCCCCCGAAGGTTAAAAGAGAGAACCGGCTTGTGTCGTGGCTGTTTCAGCACCGTAATGGTGACGGTGAGAAATGCTTAGCATCTCACCTTGGCTAGCCTGAATCACGGATATTCGGTTTAGGCATATGCGGGTTTTGCTTTTTACCGAGTCACAGTCCCTTGGTCCAAGAAGACCACAATGGGCTTCGCAGACTGACCAACTGACTGACAGAGGTTCTTGACGGTTTTGAGAAATATTTTTTTAAAAAGCAAATCTTGACCGCTCTTGCCTGGCGATGTCAGAGAGTGAATCTGGAACTTTTTGCAGATGAAGAAAATGGGTTCTACCACTGAACTGCGCTTCTCGTATTCAAAAGGATTTGTATAGTGCTTTTGAGTGTTCAAAGAGTTTCCTGTACATTCTCTTGTAATTTTATAATTACAGTGGTACCTCGGGTTACATACGCTTCAGGTTACATATGCTTCAGGTTACAGACTCCGCTAACCCAGAAATAGTGCTTCAGGTTAAGAACTTTGCTTCAGGATGAGAACAGAAATCGGGCTCCGGCAGCGCGGCAGCAGCAGGAGGCCCCATTAGCTAAAGTGGTGCTTCAGGTTAAGAACAGTTTCAGGTTAAGAACGGACCTCCAGAATGAATTAAGTACTTAACCCGAGGTACCACTGTATTATCTTTCAGCAACCCTGTAAAGCATATCATCATTATCCCCCTGCTGTATATTGGCTTCAGGGCAAAGTGTGAGTTTGAGAGACAGTGGTTTATTTAACATCACCTGCTAAATTCATAACAGAAGTGATATGTGAGCTAGTTTCTAGCTCAGGTGAGTTGAGAGTTGCTTTTATCTGTTCTTTGTAAACTTGCTTCAGCATCTCATTTGGAAAAGTAAGAGGATGAATGATGGAGTAAACTGCTTTTACTCACACTGTGGAGGGAACTTTCACTCTCTTTGCTTATCCCCCTTACCCTGTTATTTTGTGATATTTCATCCCCAGGCAACATTCCAGATGTACCTATCCAGAGTACCCATTGAGAAATGAAACCAAAGGACATCTTTTACATCAGGGGTGGTGCAGGAGAACCTCCGATGATGTAAAAAAATGTGCCAGGATATTTGTGAAACTGGGAGAGTGGCTGCTTTTAAATGAATAACCATTATTTCATATTGCAAAAACAGGCCTTCAAGTGGAACCTACTCGCATGTATGAATGTATACAACTGCAGTCTAAGGCTGCAATTCAAACACCCTTTTCCAGAAAGGGTGTTTATATTGGGCAGAGATGGTGCTGTGTCCAGCCCTGTACCCATGTCAGTTTGTATCCACTGGCACAAACATGCAGACAGATAGCCCTGAAACCGTGTGTTCTGGGGGCAGGGAAGGTCTGAGTCAGCCTGGGATCCAGTGGATCCCAAGCTGGTCCTGCAGCAGTCACATAACGATATTAGTCCCATTATGGGCCTGATGTCTGGCACAGCTCCAGGCTTGGGCAGCTGTTTGCCTGCCATCTCCCCTTTCTGGGCTAGCATGAGCAACTGGGCTGTGGATACCTTGGTGGTCCCACTGCTCTCCAGCTAGGGTTTGGGTTGCAACCTAAGGCAGCAATTGTGTGCATGCTTACTAGAAAGTAAGCCCCATTGAAATCTCTGGGATTTATTTGCAATTAAGCATGCATAGGATTGTGCTGAAAAGATGCTGAGGATCTGTCTTGGTTTTTTAGTGACAATTCTCATTTTTTCAGCTTCATGACCATGTGGCCACACAAGTTCCTACAAACAGAAGCAATGTCCTTGCAAGTGTAATTGCTGTTTACAGGAAGCTCTTCTCCCAACCTCCAAAAGGTAATTTTTTGCTGTAAAATAATAATATTGTGTAGCTTATTATTATATTATTGACTACTACGCTTATTCATCTTATGTGTTTAAAACTGCTTAGGCACAATTTTATGGGAAGCAGCATAGAAATAAACATGGTTTTTTTTCCAATACCAGAGCTGCACTAGAATGTTTGAAGGAGCATAGTTCTGAGAATGTGCAGAGACCTATTGCCTTGCTGCAGAACAATTACACCTTAATTGCATTGCTTCCTCACTCAGAATGAAAGATGTGGCCTGAGCCCTAGCACTTTACTCTTTAGAAGTTAAGCACAGCTGTCCTGCTGTCTTTCCAGCACAATGTGCAGTCAGAGAGCAATCTCCCACAAAACTCCCCTCTCGTATTGTTGCACAATCTTGGACCATCACTGAGAAGGGCCTTTCCTTCATGCCCACCAACCTAAATGATCACACTGGTGGGTACATGAGTATGGGTTCCTGACAGATTGATACATACGTAGACAGTCTTTCAAGTAACCTAATCACAAACCATTTAGTTCAGGAGTCCCACAGCCTCCCTGAGATGAGTAGATGGAAACAAGGGGTAGAGCTAAAGTCATCTGCATATGGCAGCTGAAACCTTTGAATGACTTCTCCCAGCAGTTTCATGCAGATGTTGAAAAGCATGGGAGACAGAACACAAAACAAAGCCAAAACTCAAGGGGTAAAACAGAAGGTCCCCTCATCACAACCATCTGGAATCAACTATCCAGGAGGCACCAGAGCCAGCAGAACACTCTGCCTTCCAAGTCCAACCCAGTCAAGTAGCTCAGAAGGATAGTGTTGATTGATGGTGTTGAAAGCCACTAATAGATCCAGGACAGCCAGTAGGATTGTGCTCAGTTCCATCTCCAGTCTAAGTCAACCACCAAGGCCAGTCAAGGTGTTTTTCAAGCTAAACCCAGGCCTGAAGCTGGACAGGAATATTATTCTTTCTTTGTCCCTATCTCAAGCTACATATGTTCTGTGACTCACCTGTTTCAGTCCAAGGGCTGACTGAGCTCTCAGAATAGTCCTCCTTTCTCTCCACAAAAAAGTCTGCTTCCAGTTTTCCACCTTCCTACCTTTTTCTTGTTTCAGCAGTGTAGTTCTTCTAGAAACTAGAGGGTAGGCACTTTTGATAGGCACTTGGGCAGTTACTATTCTTTATCAGAAATATTTTTAAATGACACACATGCTTTTATCTCCTCCTTTTCCCACCCACCCACCCTCCTGTTTAGCTTTATCAGATATGTGAAACTCACATATCCACCTCTTTTCCTGTTCCCTGAAACACATGGTGAGGCTATTTTTGGTGAGACTTCACTGCCTCAAGCATAATATAATATACTCAATTTTTATTGCTGCTTTTTTCCTTATTAGGTTTTGAAAAATATTTCCCTGATGAAAAGAAACCTAATGAAACAAAGGGCTCAGAAGGAGAAGCTAAAGGTACCAGTCTGCTTTTTCACTTGAGGCTCATATGTAGAGTAAATGTCACTTTGGTTATTATTAATTTTGACTGCTCTTATATACAAGCCCCATGTTGCTGTGTCCTAGTTTTGACAATGGTCATGGAAGTGGTCACTATTTCCTACAGTTTACTTCTGTCTTGTGACTTCTGTTGTCACATTTTATGTGCCAGGTCTTCACATTGTAGAATTGATATGTTTCTGCTCCAGCATCACCATATTCAATTTCTGAATTCTCTGTTAGATGTTTGTGGTGGTGTTATTTTGTTCTTGAGCATTTTGATTAACGATCTACGTTAACTGGGCCTGTTTATATCCCTGGTTTGTGTGCCTTTTAATGTTTGTTAAAGAATTGAGTACTTTGTATCAGTTAAGAAAGAGGGCCAAAGCTACAGTGACATGGCTACTGTATTTAAACATAATAAAGAAGGGAGCTGGAAGCTGGAAATGAGTTGGGAAAACTGAGCTTGCACTATCGTTCCACTAAAAACTGGATTCTATCTAATCAAAAAGCATTATCTGCATGTACCATGATACATTGTTTGAGACACCCCAACAATAACCAGTTTACACCAGGTTTTCTCTCTAATAGGCTCTCACTGTGTTGTGAGTTCTTACATAATCATTACTGTTCCCCACCTAAACACATGGCCTGGCGTGATGCATCATAATAATCTTTATATACTGCCTTTACTGAATCCTCAAAGGACATCATTTACATGATATAAGTAGTCTTTGTAACATCTCTGTAACTTAGTCCAGATTCTGAGTGTTAAAAACAAATTGCACGTTAAATATGTGACTTCTGTTGTAAACAGCTGCCACACATTTAGGCCCACCCAACCCCCTGATGCTTTCTGGTAGAGCTTTGCTATGCTGTGACATCATGATGTTCTGTGTTCCCTGCACCATGCCATCAGCAGTCAGTGATACAGGGTGAGGAGGCGCAGAACGTTTTGCTGTCACAGCATAAAGTAAGATCTGTTCCATGGTACGGAGTAAAGGTTGGGATTTGATGAGTGAATGCTATTTTTGTAGACAGCCGTGTGTGTGTGTTGTAACATCTAATCTAGCTGTTAATCTTGTAAGAATCAGTGTTGTGTAAAGATTACAGAAGTAACAAAACAAAGAACTACAGGGACATAGGCTTGCTTGCTTTCTGTTTTTTGTAGAAACATGCATGTGAACTTTTTTTGTAGATGTAAAGCAAGCCAACTCCCAGCGCCCTTCCAGAACCAACAGTGGAGGAGGAGGAGGAAGCAGTGGAGGAGGAGGGAAAAAAGGTGGCAAGAAAGAAGATACTAACTGGTGGTCCAGAATGCAAAAGGTCCCAATTCATATTTTTTGTGACATTGCTTTTATCAACCTGCTTTATTGTGTTTTGCAGTTCTGTAAAATATTATTACTTCTCTAAATGTTATTCAGATTATTTTCACCATGGGGATGCTGTTGACTTATGGTTTTTTAAACTCAGTTACTTACGTGTTTCTTAAATTTCTCTGAAAGATTATATGAATCTAAGATTTATAGTGGCCCTGACTCAAGGCCCAGTATGCAGTGCAGTAGATTTTGTGAGCTTTTGCAAAGGGAGCATTCCCATTCACCTCAGAAAAGCTCAGCACATTTCATATGTGTATCTGCCTCTCCACCAAGTTAGTAGAAAAGGGTTTGTAGGTGGGAATGAAGGCATGACTGTAATTCCGGACACTTTTTCATGTTTTTATGAATAAATCTTCTGTAAAAAAAATCTTTTACAAATTGGTGCTTACATAGGGCTGCTTTTGTGACAGCAGATCAGAAAACCCACCATTTTCACATACAAAAGTCAATCTCAATCCAGTATTCCTTCTTCCTCTTCCCCTTTAGGGTGACTTTCCCTGGGATGACAAAGAGTTCCGTTTTTATTTCATGGGCACTGCAATTTTCTGGGCTTTTGCTACATACTATGTTTTCTTCAGGAATGCTGGGAGAGAAATCACATGGAAGGACTTTGCCAACAACTACCTTTCCAAAGGAGTGGTAAGTAGCACTGAGGCACCTTCAGCTGAAATGTACATTTCACAGAATAAGTTATCCATTGTGACTGAATGTAAACCAGGGTGGGCTATAATTTAATTGAAGCTGGAAAGGCTGAGGATGAATTTGTATTAAAGAAAGAAGAAGAAAATTACTGCATGTGGTCAGAACTTCAATTCCAGAAACAAAAGGCAAAAAGTAGAGGTTAGCCATACTGTTAGAAAATGGCCTTAAGACATTTTGAGCTCCACTGCTCTTTTTAAGGGCATATTATTTATTTGAAACTTTTCCTGCCTTTGCTTCAAAAAACTCAAGGAAAATAATTTAAAATATAAAAATAGCAAGCTAAAAAAACACAACAAGCAGCTATTAAAACTCTTGAAGAGAGTTCAAGAATAAGTTTAGTGTAGTGGGCTAAAAGAGAGATCATAAGTTTGCATTTTCTTCAATGGACAGGTTATTTACTTTGAGAACCTGCTTTCTCAGGACTTGCTTGCTCACTGAGGCAAGAGAGGGCAGAACTCTCACTCACATAGTTTGGATAAGAAAAGCAACAGCAGGCTGATCTCCTGTTTTCTTTGTGTCTGACACAAGCTGAGTCAAGACCCCACTGACACATTCTTATTTCCTGTTGTGTTCTTATCCAAGCCTTGGGCAGCAATATGAAACAGCACTCCACCTTACCCTGTGTCCCTGCATGCTTGCTAGAAGGATCAGAGGAGAAGCAATGTTTTGTCCCACTTGCAGGGAGCTTTGACAAAGTGGAAAGGAACAGCAGAATCAGCATAGTTTCTTTATTCAAGCCCTGAGTGCAAGTGAAGGCAAGGCTCTTGCTGCAACCTTCTGTGCTTCATGGTAGGGTCAAAGAATTGGTACCTTGCCAAGGAATCAGTTTTATATTTGGGGGCCTCTGCTTTTGGAAGAAAGATTTTGAACTTATAATGTATTGGGCCAGACTTTTTTTAGCAGATTTTGGATGTTTTTGATTTTGAAACAGACCTCAGCAGTTTCAGTACACTCACATCTCACAGGGTCATGTTCATACAGCATAAGGGAAGGTCTCTAGCTCAGGGGCAGAGACGATGCTTTACATGCAGAAGGTCTGTGGTTCAATCTTTGGCTTCTCCCAGGAGGAAAAAGTTACTGTCTGAAATGTATTTTGTGCTTTCACAGGTGGACAAGCTAGAAGTGGTGAACAAGCGCTTTGTTAGAGTGGTTTTTACCCCAGGGAAGTCGCCAATTGATGGGGTAAATCAATTTTTTCAATTCACCAAATGCATTAAGGGGTTGAATCATTTATGTTTATAAACGTTTCTGTATAGCGTATTAAATATGGATCTGGCAGTTTGTTATTTTGATGTATCAGGGCTGTGCTCTGTGCCCTTGCAAGTAAATGACAAAATGTGTTGAGCATGTGCAGAATCTGATGTCTAGTGCACCTACATACTGTAGGAATCTCCACATGCTTTTTGCTTAAAGATGCAGAACATGATGTGCAAGTGTGGTTTCTCTGCACCATACCTATTAGGGATTTCACCTGTTATATAGTATTGTATAACACTATAATAGAAATACTTTTGCCATCAATGGGAGACATGGCAGAAGTACTATACAGTGGTACCTGAGGTTAAGTACTTAATTCGTTCCGGAGGTCCGTTCTTAACCTGAAACTGTTCTTAACCTGAAGCACCACTTTAGCTAATGGGGCCTCCTGCTGCCGCCGCACCGCCAGAGCACAATTTCTGTTCTCATCCTGAAGCAAAGTTCTTAACCTGAAGCACTATTTATGGGTTAGCGGAGTCTGTAACCTGAAACGTATGTAACCTGAAGCGTATGTAACCCGAGGTACCACTGTAAATATTTTGCCAGTCTAGCATTCAGAAATGCACATTCAGTGGAGGTGTTTTCTTCAGCAAATAGAAACGATGCAACTAAAACCAGCATATTAAATTTCTGCCTCTGGTTGATACGTATGTATTGTAACTTTTTGGATATTCAATTAAGCTGCTTCTTTATATTAAAATAAGCTTTATAATCTTGTCTCTCTCAGATTAATTTAAAATGCTAAAACTGAGACACCATGAATTATTGTATTTGTTTTTACAGCAATATGTTTGGTTTAATATTGGAAGTGTGGACACATTTGAGCGAAACTTGGAAACTGCACAGCTTGAGATGGGGATAGAAGGGGAGAGCCGGATACCTGTAGTGTATGCAGCAGAGAGTGATGGGTAAGTGTTTAAAATGATTGGAATTGTAATGGAATATATGATATTACCTTTTAGAATTGGCTTGCTGACAAGCCAGTCTCTGGTTGCGCTTGTTGGTAACCCCTATCATCCACCACTCTCAAATGATTTGGCATATGCATGGCGGAAGAAGAAGGGTTTTCTCTCATTTGCAGTAGGCTATGGAATGTCAAAGAAAGTTGGGGCGAGAACACAGCCCTGTTTCACACTGCTCTTTATAGGGAAGGAGTCCTAGGATGAGCTGTCATACTGGACGGTGCCATGCATGTTCTCGTGGAAGGACACTATCATCTTGTAAAGCTTAGGTGGACATCCTACCTTGTTGAGACAGGAGTCTGTTCAGCCTGGCACGTCTCTGCACCTAAACTTAAGTGCAACGGGTCTTACCTGAGAGATGTTGTTTGCAGATGACACAGCATTTACAGAGCACTCAGAGGAAGCTCTAGAGAGACTCGTCAACCGTTTTGCCCAAGACTGCAAGGAGTTTGGCCTCACCATCAGCCTGACGGGGATGAGCATCCTGAGCCATTATCAGCATTCCACGCATCAGCATTGGTGACCACACACTTGGGGTGCTAGACAAGTCTACCTGGGTTCCACCATAACCAGCAATCTCTCCATCGACGCTGAGCTGGACAAGTGAATTGGCAAGGCAGCTCCAACAATGGCTTTTCACTCCAAAGGGTATGGGAGGATGTGATGCTAATACTAAGATGAAGGTCTACCAGGCTTGCGTATTGAGGATTCTGCTTCATGGTAGTGAGACGTGGGCAACTTAGACCTGCCAGGAATGACACTTCAATGCCTTCCACATATACAGTGTCAGGAGGATTTGGGGTATCACATGGCAGGACAGAGTCCTGCCCACGTTCCCACAAAGTTCAGACTCCTGTCTCTGCGACTTCTACGTAGTCTTGGTCCTGTCCACAGAATGGAAGATTGCAGAATCCCCAAGGATGTGCTCTATTGGGAGCTGGCATCAGGCCCATTTGCAGACTCTGTGTTACATACATGTCTGTAAATGGGACGAAGGCTGGCAACATCAACCCCGCCACGTGGGAATCCCTTGCAGATGATTGCAGTGCTTGGAGACAGGAAATCAGGCTATGCCTCCACAGCATTGACTAGAGGAGGAGCGACAGTTGGGAGGAAGGCAGAGAGAAGAAACGCCATGGTGCATCTGCAGCAGCACAATTGGACGCCTTCATCTGCCCTAGCTGCAGCAAAACATGTCCCGTATCGGTTTCTACAACCACAGCAGGTGCTGCAACTCTCCCAAGGGTTTGACTTCATCTCCAAAAGTGCACTCCTCCATTTTCTCTTGAGATAGATGGATGCCAACTAATGGGGAATGTAAGAAAGAGCAAGAGATAAAGTTAGCCTGATCTAGGAATTCATTAGCTTTAGCGCCCATTTGTGTTAATAATCAGAAAGGTGCTATGAACTGTGCATGATTTATTGTAGCCCAGCATATTTTAACTAAAATTGCACCTTATTGAGCAAAGTTGCTCATAATGTAGAAATGAAATTGCTCTTATGTGCCTCCCCACCCCATATTTTGTTACGAAACAATGAATTAATAACTCCCACCTTTTATTTTTAGTTCCTTTCTTCTGAGTATGTTGCCAACGGTCCTTATAGTTGGCTTTCTGCTCTACACGTTAAGAAGAGGACCTTCTGGAATGGGCCGAACAGGACGGGGAATGGGAGGACTCTTCAGTGTGGGTGAAACAACAGCCAAAGTCTTAAAGGATGAAATAGATGTGAAGTTCAAAGATGTAGCTGGCTGTGAGGAGGCTAAATTAGAAATAATGGAGTTCGTCAACTTTCTGAAAAACCCAAAACAGTACGAGAATCTTGGAGCAAAGATCCCAAAGGTAAGGAGTTTCAAGAATAAAAACGTTATTGTGCCAACTTCATTACTTTATTGAGCTCTTTTAGCTGGAGATGATTTTTTTTGGAATTTAGTGACAATTTGCATTATTCCTATATTCTGACCTAACATCAGAATTTAAAAAATATGATCACAAGAATAAAAGCCTTTGATTAGTTTGTGGAATCATAAGAACTCATTTCACATAGCCTCTGAATCTTCCTTTAGTGACATTATGAAATTCTCTCTGCTTCCCTTTCAGTAAAATGAGGACACTGTTCTTTCTTACTCAGATTTACCTGCAAGCAAATACTATTTGTCCAACTTGATTTTTTTTAAAATCTGAACTAGCATAGGGCCAAAAATTAGGTTAGAGTATCATTTCCTCATGGATCTTAATAAATAGTGAGTGAATCTTGTGAAGACTTATTAAATTGACCATCTTGTGTGATCATGATCAAATATTGGTTACTTTAGCTATATTGCAGCTTGCACTCCCATTCAAAATACAATTATGTGAAATTCAAATGACCTTTTCAAGTGCTAGAACATTTCAGGGAAAAGAGAAAATTTTAAGTTATTTGTGGAACTAGGACACATGTTATACTTCCCTGAAACAGAGTTCTAAATATATTGACTCATATTGAAGAAAATTTAAGGTGAATATTTGCACTGCTTTTATTTCTTAGTAATAGTTACCCCTTCTCACACCTTACAGGGAGCTATTTTGACAGGACCTCCAGGCACAGGGAAAACTCTTCTAGCAAAAGCAACAGCTGGAGAGGCCAACGTCCCTTTCATTACAGTCAATGGGTCTGAGTTCTTAGAGATGTTTGTCGGCGTGGGTCCTGCTAGAGTAAGTCTTTGGCCTTGCTCTGTTATTGCAGTGTCGGTTGTTAAAAGGACGCAGTCAAGGTTGGTAGGCCAAAAGCTTGATAATTCACTAAATTTCAGTAATGATCAAGATAGCTGTTCATCTTAAATAGCTGGCTGCAAGCTATTTCAATTAATAACTCTGATATCTCACTCAGTTTCTAGGAAATCTTTTTGCTTCAGAGCTGTAGCCCTCTGACTGCATTTTGCCACTGTCGTCTTCTTTTTACTAACAGTTGATAAGGACAAGTGAATGGTATTCTAAACTTGATGGCTGTTGCAGGAAGACTAGATTTATCATCAGTGTGCACAAAGGTTCTTCACACTTCTCTACGGAGTTGTGTAGGAAATTTATGCTACTTTAAGAAGTCCCGGCTCTGAGGGAAAGATGCAATTTTAACCAAGGTCTCCTTCATCCAAGTCTAGCTCTTGTACTTTGAACACTGCTGGCTCTTCCAGCATAAAGCATCTGTTTCAAGTACTTATGTAGAAATAAAAACATTGGGCAGAATTCTTTGTTCACTAAGTCTCATTCTGTCAGCGCAGGGATTTCTGCTTTTGCAACAGAATGTCCTCCCCCTGTGCACCTCAAAATTTGTTCTAAGGGTTTTCCCAATCTTCTGGACCAGATTTGGGGAGGGCACACACAGTGGGGGGGGGGGAGTCGCATTGCACAAGTAGCAATCCTTGCGCTGACAGGATGTAGTAGTTGAATACCACCCATGGTTCTAAACACTTTCCCAGAGTTTGATTTCTACAGCTTTCAAATTACAGTCATACCTTGGAAGTCGAACAGAATCTGTTCCCGAAGTCTGTTCAACTTCTAAAACATTTGTAAACCAAAGTGTGGCTTCTAATTGGCTGCAGGAAGCTCCTGCAGCCAATCGGAAGCTGCAGAAGCCCTGTTGGACATTTGCCTTCCAAAAATAGTTTGCAAATCGGAACAGTCACTTCCGGGTTTGCGGTGTTCAGGAGTCAAAACGTTCAAGAACTAAGCTGTTCGAAAACAGAGTTATGACTGTAAAAGCATTTGATTTATTTCATAACCTAACATGTTAGCTGCAATATAATTTCCTGATAGACGGACAAATGAGTCTAATGTTGTATACCTATTTCAATGACATGAATACTATCTCTGTGGTGTATTCTGTAGTGTTGATGGACAACAAGCTGTGTGCCATTACATGAGTTTGAAAGTACATTCTTTCTCTTTCAAAGGTTCGTGATTTATTTGTTCTGGCTCGTAAAAATGCCCCTTGCATTCTCTTCATTGACGAAATAGATGCAGTGGGAAGGAAGAGAGGACGGGGTAACTTTGGAGGGCAAAGTGAACAAGAAAACACATTGAATCAGCTGCTAGTAGAAATGGATGGTAACTATTTGGTTTCTTAAACTTTGATCATTCCTACTGCCACTTACATATAGAGTAACACTTCATTCTTAAACAAATTACCTGGAAACAGCTCCTACTGATATGAAACAAGCTGCCTGGGGACACAACCAAACGTTGTTAATAAAACCTATGTCTAAAATCAACTGGCTGTTAAAAAGCAATAGGGAATGTAGGCAGGTGTTGGTTAGAGCCGGCTTCACCAGCCTGGTGCCCTCCACAAAATACATAAAAAGGTAAAGGGACCCCTGACCGTTAGGTCCAGTCGCGGACGACTCTGGGGTTGCGGCGCTCATCTCACTTTACTGGCCGAGGGAGCTGGCATACAGCTTCCAGGTCATGTGGCCAGCATGGCTAAGCTGCTTCTGGCGAACCAGAGCAGCGCACAGAAACGCCGTTTACCTTCCCGCCGGAGCAGTACCTATTTATCTACTTGCACTTTGACATGCTTTCGAACTGCTAGGTTGGCAGGAGCTGGAACCGAGCAATGGGAGCTCACCCCATCGTGGGGAATCAAACTGCCAACCTTCTGACCTACAAGCCCTAGGCTCTGGTTTAGACCACAGCGCCACCAAGTAATAAAACAAAAACAAACCAATAACCCTCTCAAGGGTTGGATGGCTTTATTAGTAATAACATATTTGAAGATGAAAATGTTGTAATTTTTGTTAGTAAGAAAAAGTAGAATAATATCTAGTAGTCACAAGCTGATTATGCCTATTGAAATAAATGGATTTAACTTTTTGATCAATTTCAGTGGCCTATTCACAGTATGACTGATATTGGATATAACCTAGACTTTATAATCTTTTTTAGGAAAAGTGGGTTGTTTTCATGATACTGAATGAACATAGCAGAAAGCATCTTTCTGTTCTTTTTGTTTTGTAACCTTATTGCTAATTGTATGGGATTGTACATTAAGGTTTGTATCCAACTCTGCCAGTGTCCAAGTGAAACAGACTTCTGTTTGCACAATGGGACCTCTCCCCACTACAGCCCCCTTGGCTCACTCAAATCTGCTCAAGATGGTTGGGGGACATAACCCATAATCTCTGTGGGTGATATCATGACTAACTTAAGCCCATTGATTTCACTGGTTCTACTCTGAGTATAGCTTAGTTGGATACTGCTCTTTGACTTGTTTCCCATTTCATAAGCTATTGCCTGCCATATAAGGCCACCCGGAAACCAATGTCCCCACTGTGGAAGGACGTGTGGATCCAGAATTGGCCTCCACAGTCACTTACGGACTCATTGTTAAAACTGTATTTATGGAAGACAATCTTACTCGACTGCGAGTGATCGCCAGAGAAGAAGAAGTTGTAGGCAGTAGTAGCAGTGGTTCAGAATTTTGAAAGTATCTTGTCCTGTGAATTGTAAGCACTCATATTACATAGTATGCAATAGTTCTGCATCTTTTCCTCATTCTTTAACATGGTGTAGTTCTCTTCAATTGATGCTTTTGAATTATGGTGCTGGAGGAGACTCTTGAGAGTCCCATGGACTGCAAGAAGATCAAACGTATCCATTCTTCAGCAAATCAGCCCCGAGTGCTCACTGGAAGGACAGATCGTGAAGCTGAGGCTCCAATACTTTGGCCACCTCATGAGAAGAGAAGACTCCCTGGAAAAGACCCTGATGTTGGGAAAGATGGCACAAGGAGAAGAGGACAACAGAGGACGAGATGGTTGGACAGTGTTCTCAAAGCTACAAACATGAGTCTGACCAAACTGCGGGAGGCAGTGGAAGACAGGAGTGCCTGGCGTGCTCTGGTCCATGGGGTCACGAAGAGTCGGACACGACTAAACAACAACAGTTCTCTTCACCTGCTCAGTCATTAAGTCCTTGACGGAAAGCAGAATCGCCAATACTCTGGTCACTTCAGAATTTACAAAATAGCATGCTTAAGATTCACAATAGTCTTTTGGAAAAACCATTTTCGCTACTGAATATTTAATATTTTGGTTTTTATTTTCTTCACAGGTTTTAATACCACAACAAACGTAGTTATTTTGGCAGGCACCAACAGGCCAGATATCCTGGACCCTGCACTTATGAGGCCAGGACGTTTTGATAGACAGATCTTCATTGGTAAGTTATCTTGGTAGACAACTTTGACCTCATAAAGATGTCAACTCAAAACTATGAGAACAGAGAGGAGATGTTAGCTAAAGCTGGTTAGTGGGACTATTAGAAAGCAGAAATGTTTGCAATTGTAAAGTTAATTGCTTTTTCTTTAAACTCTTCAAGGGCCGCCAGATATAAAGGGAAGAGCATCTATTTTCAAAGTTCATCTTAGGCCCCTGAAGTTGGATAGTAGCTTGAACAGAGATAATTTAGCACGAAAACTTGCATCACTTACTCCTGGATTTTCAGGTAGGTGATCTTTTACTCCTGTGTAATTGGTACATTTCTAGAAGTATTATTTTCTCATTTTTATGAGGAAATTGTGATGGCAGATTGGAGGTAGAATGAGGTTAGCTCTATATCTACTGCAGAATTTGCATGATTCGTAATAGATCGGCAAGGGTTTCTGATTCCCCATTATTTAATAATAGCAACAACAAGACTACTCTCCCCCACCCTAAAGTGCAGCTTTGCGGGAACTTTAGTTATTGTGCTTGATTGCATATCTGGTTATCCTCATTGTGTTAAGTGATGGATGTTGTGTTTGGAAACGGCTCTGTTTATTGTCTCCTCACTCTTTTCCTTTAGGTGCAGACATAGCTAATGTATGCAATGAAGCTGCCTTAATTGCTGCACGACATCTTTCAGATGCCATAAACCAAAAACACTTTGAGCAAGCAATTGAACGAGTGATAGGAGGTGAGAGGGTATCCCTTTGTGATTACGCTTCTTGCAGTGTTGTGGGTCAGTTCTTTTGTTCATCTCGTAATTTAATTGCTGGATACAAACAATAATCTTTCTTGATTATGGTGGGGAGGGGAGAATAATTTTATGGACCTAGTGCTCCATTATATCGAACAATAAATATTTCTCCCTTATTTGCAATAGTCTGTTGAGTGTGAGGCCTAACTATCTCAAGTTGAGGAGGGGATGTAGGAAACCCCAAAGCTGTTGGCTCTAGGGGGCTGTCTTATCACCAATTTGGAAATACGCACCTCAGTAGTAAAGTTTTGGGTTTTTTAAATCAAAGGTTTGGAAAAGAAGACACAAGTATTGCAACCAGAGGAGAAAAAGACAGTAGCGTATCATGAAGCTGGCCACGCAGTTGCTGGGTGGTTTTTGGAACATGCTGATCCACTTTTGAAGGTATGTTGACTTAGCAAGACGCTTGCTGTACAACGATCACATTTGGATAATCAGAAGTTGGCTTAGTAAGTTTAGATATGAACGAGCCTTTTGCCTTCACACACAGACCCTTCATTCTTTGCTTTGCAGCATGAGAAATCGAGTCTCTTAACCTCAGTTTCCCATTTCATCCAAACCAGGAAGCTATGGTAACTAGCTTTGGAATAAGTCAGGATATTAAACACTTGGTTAAATGCTGGATTTATATTAGCCAGGCTTATTCTGAAGCTGGTAACCACAGCTTTCTTAGTTTGGACAAAATGGAAAATTATGGTTAATTACAAGCTTCTAGGTATTAGAAGAAGTAAAAAAAAAAAAGTGCTTGCACTGTAACTGGGATACGCGTGCAAGCAAAAAGCTTATTAACCTGAGGTATAATTGTCTCAATTGTGTCAATTTCTTCAACTGGTAAATGTTAAAATATTATCATTTTCAGATTAGAAAAAAATGTGGGTTGGTAGCTTTAAGTGGATATTTTAGCCACTGCTTAAAGAAGATATGGTGGAATGTGTTCTGAATCATGAACCAGGACCCACACGGGATCTGAGCCACAGTAATCTTCCTTAGAAACTGGTAGGAAAATGTATTCAAGAAGAAAGAGGACATGACACAACTACAGTCAAGGATCTCACAAAGGCTTGCACATGGCTGCATTCCAGCTCAGTTCTTAAGAGCAAAGTAGATGCAGAATTTTGTGTCTTTCTCAGGCCTGCAGCTGCATTACCAGGAGTCAACCTTAGATAAAGGGAATCTCAATTCTGCTTAGAGATCAGGGTGCATTCTAGCATTTCAGCTTCCTTCCAGCAACTACGCTAATCATAATTAGCATAGCAATCAGAAAGGAGGAACAAAGTATATTCTATCTCACTTTCTCTCTGAGCAGCTGCTGAGGAAGCAGTAGGAAGTGTGGCAGCTTCACTCACTTCATTGCCAGTTGTTGCCACTGCTTTGAACTATGGGAAACTGTTCTGTCCTTCCTACTTATCTGTCTGGAAAAAGTAAAATTAATATTATTTATTGAATTTCCTAGCAGAGGAGTTCTGCTAGCTTCATACCCTCCCCAACCACCTCTGTGATACTTGCACATTGATGATAATTCTATGCCATCAACCTTGGCTTGATTCATGGAGCATTTTGGGATCTGCTGTGACAGGAATAGTTTAGACAAACCCTTTTCCCCAGGTCAGTCAGGTTTGTGGCTGCCATTAGCTGTTTGCATGTGTTCCAGCTGGAATAAGCTGGATTGTTTAAGTATTTTTTTTCTTCCCTTGCACAAGGTATCTATCATTCCTCGTGGCAAAGGACTGGGCTATGCTCAGTACTTACCGAAAGAGCAGTATCTTTACACCAAAGAGCAGCTGCTTGACAGGATGTGCATGACTCTGGGTGGGCGTGTGTCAGAACAAATCTTCTTTGGAAGAATTACAACAGGGGCCCAAGATGATCTAAGGAAAGTTACTCAGAGTGCATATGCTCAGGTTTGTAGGCCTCTCAACAACTCTATATTTTTTGATTTAAAAATTACTGTAAAATATGATTGTTTGTACTTTTTTGGTATTGTTTTGATATGCTTTATACACCACTCATGCCACAAAGATACTTCTGATATCTGGTATATATTAATGATTTGTTATGGAGGCTTGCTCCCCACCCCCTAAAGTCTAGCACTGTTTCTTCTGGGGGGGGGAGGGGATATAATTTGTATGCCAGTGGTACATGTTGATATTTATATTTTTGTAGTATACAGTACTTTACAGTTTGTAGTGCATTTTGATGCCTGGATGCTACTATTGGTTGTCTAATATTTTATGAATACTTCAAGAGCCAGATTATTGTTGCAATAGATTTCTAACAGTTTTGTAATTAGTAATGACCATACTCAAACACTAACATTAACCTTTCCCAGTAAGCATTCATGGTTTATTACAGGAATAAATACGATTGCCAAGAGCTGGTTTTTACTTCAGGGTTAAAATCCTGACAGTAATGTAGAGCAGGGTTGGAGAATATGGGACCCTCCAGGTGTTTGACTCCATTTCAACCACAGCCAACATAGCCAGTGGTCAAGGTTGATGAGAGCTGGAATCCAAGAACATCTGGAGGGCCACAGATTCCTCATCTCTGGTGCAGGGTTTGTTTAGTTGCAACTGCTAATACTAAAGTATTGTAGCTAGAATAAAGACTCTTAATATTTTTCATAGCATTCTTGACTAAGGCACTTAAAAATGTGTGCCATTCAATCCTCAGATTGTTCAGTTTGGAATGAATGAAAAAGTTGGGCAAATTTCATTTGAGCTTCCTCGGCAAGGAGACATGGTATTAGAAAAACCATATAGTGAGGCAACTGCAAGACTGATAGATGAAGAGGTGCGAGTGCTTATTAATTCAGCTTACGAACGGACATTGTCTCTCCTAACTGAGAAGAAGGCAGAGGTGGAAAAGGTGCGTATTCATTTGCCTACAGAAACGGTTACCAGGTTCTTTGATCAATATGCTACTAAAACATTGCTGTTTTATACACAGTATATGTGTTAGTGGGGTAGCAGCACTCTACAAGTTATATTATGCCCTTATTTGCCCTTTATCAGATTTACACAAGAATAGCAGCTCTGCCTATTACTTGCTTAAGCAATAATGAGGTATTGGCTCAGGACCACAATACCTCAAGGGCCTGCTCTCCATATGAACCTACCTGGACCCTGAGATCATCCACTGAGGCCCTTCTTTGTGTGCCTCCTTCACGAGAGGTCCAGAGGGTGGCAACACAAGAGCGGGCCTTTTCTGCAGTGGCTTCCCATTTGCGGCATGCTCTCCCCAGGAGGTTTGGCTGGCACCATCGTTATACACCTTTAAGCGCCAGGCGAAAATGTTCGTCTTTAACCATCCGATGCCCTTTTAAATGTATTGTGGGAGGGGGGGTTATTGGTTTGTTTTTGCTCTCATTTTATTATGTATTCTGTATTTTTTGTATTGTGGGTATAGGGACCTGCAAGTACAGGGTGGTATACAAATTTAATAAATAATAATAATTTCCTTGTTCATGACATGAGGATGTATATGTGGCCCTTTCCCTAACACCAAAATGAATGGGGCAACTCTGCCTCAGAGAAAGCAAAATGTGTGCATTCCTTAGGAAGTTTGGAACCAGGATGCGTTGATATAATCACATCCTGTAGGTATGTCATGGAAATACCTTGCAGTAGTGAGCTTCTTAATGGTTAGTTTTTAGAGTATGTTTGACTAGACTCTAGCATTAGAAACAATGTAGAGGAGGTTATAGTAGCTATTGGTAATATGCTGCTGTTGATTCTGTTATACACAGTGAAAGGTTAAATCCTTGGTTGTTATTTTGCATACTGTGGAAGAAAGCCAGTTTACATTCTTTACCTTCTATATAAATTGTGTGATATGTGTGCATATTGTTTCAGGTTGCTTTACAACTCCTAGAAAAGGAGGTTTTGGATAAAAGTGATATGATTGAAATGCTTGGCCCCAGACCATTTGCTGAAAAATCTACTTACGAAGAGTTTGTTGAAGGCACAGGCAGCTTAGATGAAGATACGTCACTTCCAGAAGGCCTTAAAGACTGGAACAAAGATCGTGAGAAGGAGAAGGAGGAGACGACAGATGAGCAGATTGCCAGACAGATTACAGGAGACATGCCTTTTTAGTGTTGAAATATGGTGTTGTATAAACTGGCACAGTGCATGTGTTGCACACTGAAAGAAAATGAGGGAACATGTCAGAGTCTAGTCTTCAAGAATCCTCGATTGGAAAGAAGCAAGCCTGCAGCAGTGGTGGAGCCAGGAAAGGGTTTGTTGTTGTATTTGACAGAGGAGGATTCAGATTCTAGTAGGTCCTGCTTCCTAAATATCTGCACACAAAAAGTGGAGACCTTGCAGCTTATGGATCTGGACTGAGTCCCCTTCTTGCAACTTTTTAGATCCATATCCAAGTTGTGCAACTCTTGCCCATCACCAGATACATTTAAGACGACCTAGATTAATGTACTGTCATGGATAATGGGGGAAAATCATCTGCCTGTCTTTTAAGTAGCCTCCATCAAATGCAAGTTGTTAGCACACAATAAATGCATTGCTGGTGCTTACGAGGAGTCAAAGTAATTTATGACAATACTTCTTCTGTTCTGCAGAAACATCTACTTATCACCCAACTCTATAAATTTATTTCTGCCTTGCCATTTGTAAAACAAAGCTGTGCTGGTGTCCATCGTGAAATTTGAAGCCTGCTAAAGAGGTTTTCCAATAGAATTTGGGGTCCGAGGCTGGAATAATGTGTAAAGTCTAAATTATATTATTGCTGTTTTAATAAAGGTTTCTTTTTTTACTGGCAGTTGTACAGTATTGAACATATGATTGTATTGTATTTTGTAAATACAGTTTGGAAACATTAAAGAAAATTGGCACACTGAACTTCATGAAGAAATTCTCCAGTCATGAGAGGCTATGAATAAAAGCGTTCTGTGGTAAAATTATATATTTATGTATAGATAATTCATCTATGGCTGTTGTTGGGTGGAAGGCCTAGAGGAAATAACTTTTCAGAATGTGATTGCCACCCTAGTCATTGAATTTGTTATTCAGGGTGAACCTGGCATCACCACAAACCAGGAAAAAATGACACCAAGTTGTCTTGCTCTCAGCTGAAATGGAGTATTGGAGCAGAAGCTGTTCACGAGAAGGACATGGATGCTTGTATTAACAGAGGGCAGAAGTTGAAGATTATTAGCACATATTGCTAGCACTCCTATTTGTAAGCCATTACTGTGTTCTTGAAACACAGGTGCCAGTTAAGTTTTGGGAAATAATTTGATCTACCTCAGAGGGGAAACTAGGCAGATTATCTTTAGTGGTGACTGGGAGTGGCCACTGAGACTATATAACACCAGTCCTTAAAGACCTACATTGGCTCCCAGTACGTTTCCAAGCACAATTCAAAGTGTTGGTGCTGACCTTTAAAGCCCTAAATGACCTTGGCCCTGTGTACCTGAAGGAGCGTCTCCACCCCCATCATTCAGCAGGACACTGAGGTCCAGTGCCGAGGCCTTCTGGTGGTTGCCTCACTGTGAGAAGTGAGCTTACAGGGAACCAGGCAGAGGGCCTTCTCAGTAGTAGCGCCTGCCCTGTGGAACACCTTCCATTAAGATGTCAAGAAAATAATTCTCCGACTTTTAGAACACATCTGTTTAGGGAAGTTTTTAATGTTTGATGTTTTATCGTGCTTTTAATATTCTGTTGGGAGCCACCCAGATTTATTATTTATACCCCACCCAGCCATATGGGTGGGGTATAAATAATAAATTATTATTATTAGTGTTTTCCCAATGCTGGTTGGTGCCCATTGGGACTGGTAGGGTAGAAGGCAGAGAGACCACTGTAGCTGGACCCAGAACCAGTAAAAGGCAGGAGCCACCTGACAGGTTGCTAAGTAAGAAGGCAGGCAGGTAAGAGCTGGCTAAAGGCAGGCATGTTTATGAGGAAGTGTCCTATTTGCCCTTAGTGACAGGCCACCACTGTGTTTTCCGGTTCTTATATTTTCTAAAACCCAGAAGTATCTCTCTGAAGAGCAGCAGCAAATGTGTATGTAATAACCCTCAGCTGTACCAGAGCATTCTAGCCAGCTATTCAATTTACTTTTCATACTCTTCTCTGTATTACTGCAAGTTCTGAACCCTACATCTCTAGGCACTCCTGCCTGGAATAAGTCTCTATTGACCTCAGTTGGGCTTTTGAGTTGACATGCATAGGATTTTGCTATGAAATTCCTGACACTGCAGGTGGGATTTTTAAGGTTCATACTACAAGTTTTAAACATTTTCAAATTGGAGAACAAGCTCAACAAATGGGAGGTCTGTTCATACGCTTGTTTGCTCAACTGCTGTAGTTGGGGGAAGTGGATGGGGCTTGAGAATGTTGAAGAAAAGGAAATATCCAGACATGAAACAACATGATGCTGTGAGTAAATTTGAATGTTGCAAGGCATACATAAGTCTCTTAAGAGGGAAGGGGGAATTTGCATGTATATCTTGGCAACACAGTCAACAAAACAAAAATGGAGAATGAAAATGAAAGGGCAAATACTTCCTATGCAGGAAGGTATCACGTTTGTTAGCTTGTCAATATGGAGGTCTCAAGCTTTCTGTGATGATAAGTCTCTCATACAACCCTTGCCTCTGCTGCAGAGAATTCTGGTAAGTATTGGAAGGCTCACACTTGATTCACACAGAGCACTTGTTCAGCCTTTTAGTTCAGAATCGCCCTGTGTGAACTGACAGTACTTGTGAAAGGTACAGGAGTGAGAAAAGTTATGTTTGGGCATGTGCACTTGAATGAAAGATCTAACCATTTAACTATGCCAACTCAATATTTTAAATGAATGGAGAAGCAGAACACCTCTGATTGATTCAACGTAGAATGTGTGATGCAGAAACAAACCTTTTTCAACCCCAGTGAAGGACATGGATTCTATCATAAACTTGTGTGTGGTTTGACATTATCCCAGCTACTAGTGTAAACAAATGGTGGGGGTTTTTTTTAGTCTTTAAATGTCCGTGTTTGAGCATTCATTTATATGCATTTAATATATGAAATATTAGACTTTTTCCATTCCTTTTATTAACAGTTTGTTCCCAGCAACTCAATACTATATACTTAGTACAGAATAGCACTCAAAAGCCTCACTAACTGCAAAACACATTTACTTTGATGATGCAAGTCCTGCTGGTATCAACACTCACTTTCAAGTAACTGTGCTTAAGATTGCAGCCTAAGGTGATTTTTCTGATTCACAGTTTGAGGAAAACAATATAGTCCTGAAAAATAAGTCTGTTATATTCTTTACTATCCTGGAAAAGATTAGAACTAGAGCTAGCTATTCAGACTTAATCATTTTTAGAACAGCATTTGATAGACTTCATTCATTAATTTCTTCCTCCTCGTCTTCAAAAATTTCCTCTCCATCATTTGCTGTAGCTTCTTGGTACTGCTGATACTCTGACACAAGGTCATTCATGTTGCTCTCTGCTTCTGTGAATTCCATCTCGTCCATTCCTTCTCCTGTAAACCAGTGAAGAAAAGCTTTTCTCCTGAACATGGCTGAGAATTGCTCTGAGATTCTTTTGAAGAGCTCTTGGATAGCTGTGCTGTTGCCGATGAAGGTAGAGGCCATCTTGAGGCCACGGGGTGCTATATCACAAACGGCCACTTTGACGTTATTTGGGATCCATTCCACAAAGTAGCTGCTGTTCTTGTTCTGGATGGCCAGCATCTGTTCATCAACTTCTTTCATGGACATGGGACCTCGGAAGACTGTAGCTACTGTCAAATACCGTCCGTGCCTTGGGTCGCAAGCTGCCATCATATTTTTGGCATCAAACATCTGTTGCGTGAGTTCCGGGACTGTGAGAGCCCGGTATTGTTGGCTCCCTCGGGCAGTCAGTGGAGCAAATCCTGGCATAAAGAAGTGTAGGCGTGGGAATGGGACCATATTCACTGCCAGCTTGCGCAAATCTGCATTTAGCTGACCAGGAAAACGCAATGATGTTGTTACCCCGCTCATTGTAGCGGACACCAAGTGGTTCAGATCTCCGTATGTTGGTGTGGTAAGCTTCAGAGTGCGGAAGCAAATATCATACAAGGCTTCGTTATCAATACAGTAGGTTTCGTCTGTATTTTCAACCAGTTGGTGGACTGAGAGTGTGGCGTTATATGGCTCCACAACAGTGTCAGAGACTTTAGGAGATGGCATGACACTGAATGTATTCATGATCCGATCAGGATATTCCTCTCGGATTTTGCTGATCAGTAGTGTTCCCATCCCAGAACCTGTTCCTCCTCCAAGAGAATGAGTGAGCTGAAATCCCTGCAAGCAATCACAGTGTTCACATTCTTTTCTTACTATATCAAGCACTGAATCTACCAGCTCTGCTCCTTCCGTATAATGTCCTTTGGCCCAGTTATTTCCAGCTCCTGTTTGTCCTGAGGTAACACAACAAAGGGGAAGAGGTGAATAGGTTTACAACTCATGAAATAATAAGGAACTTCAAAATATTCATATTTATCCACTGTATGCATTTAAGCATAGACTTTGTGGAAAACTTTTAAATAGAGTTACACCGAGAGCTCATTTAACTGCCAAATGTGTCCAAAACATTCCACATGTTCCTCAAGTACATAGTGGCATGATGGCACTACAGAAATAACATAAAATGCTGCACTGTTCTGACTACAGTGGAACCTCATGTTACGGACAGGATCCATTCCGGAGGCCCATCCGTAACACGGAACTGACGCAAGCCGAAGCGCCGCGTCTGCGCATGCACAGGGCCCGATTTAGCACTTCTGCGCATGTGCAAGCAGTGAAACCTGGAAGTAACCAATTCCAGTACTTCCAGGTTGCCGCAGGACGCAACATGAAAACACGTAACCTGAAGCGGACACAACATGAAGTATGACTACATTTAAAACCAAGGTGTTGCTTTCAGCATGTCCAAAAGCACTCCATAAATCTGTAATCATTTACACAGACATTTTTAATAAAAAAATATTATTTACAAAAGAGATTACCCCATAGACCCACACTTTAACTGGACCACTTATTTTCCAATGACAGATAAAGTTAGTCTGTGCATCCCTCGTTCTCCTTGCACTTTTTAAAGACCGACACATATGACTCTCTAAATTTACAATTTAGAGCCCACTACTTCATTTTCGTAAAAGATTTCAGTAAAGTCACATAGAAATGCACTGGCAATCTGCCTGTAACTTGTGGGTCATGTGCCCTTTTCTGACTTAGAGAGAGACATTGGCCCAAACTGCCTGTAAACAAGGGTTATCTCAAAGTGGTGAACTGTGACATTCCAGATGTTTTGGGGCTTTAATTCCCATCAGCCTAAACCAGCATGGCCAATGAAGCAGGGATGATGAGTTCAACAACATCTGAGAAGTCACAGTTTTCCCACCCCTTTTTACATTTTCCTTCCTGTTTTCATCATCTGTTAGAAGGTTACCTGACCCAATGGGGATAAGAGACAGAAAGGCAACATAGTCTTCCCTTGCTTATTCCTTCTTAAGTCACCACCTACAGATTGTTTTCCTCAGGCTTTACTTGCTTCCTCTTCCCCCTCCCATCAGTTAGTATTCGACCTTTTTGTTAACCTCATGGCTCCATAAAGGCCATATGAGCTTGTACCCAGAACGGTTTGTTTGCCAGGAGTAATAAGTTTCTTTATTCTTTCAACCAGCGGTTGAAAGAAATAAACAATTTATTTCTGCACTTTGCCAAACTCCAACATAATCTACTTGGTAAGTTTAGCCAGCATTTGTAACAGACAATCATATACATACCAAAGATGAAATTATCAGGCCGAAAGAGTTGTCCAAATGGACCAGACCGCACACTGTCCATGGTTCCAGGCTCCAAGTCCACCAAGATTGCTCTGGGCACATATTTCTGAGCTATAAGAAAAATGAAATGCATCTTGCTTTGGGATTTAATTTATTACAATTGCTTGCCACATCTTTATTGCATACACATAACATATGTAATTATTTATCACTGTGTTTCTAGTAGCTCAGTTTAAGGTATACCTCTACTTCCCCACAAATGTTTGGGAAAATATAACATAATGTCCCTTACTGTGACCATTGGCCTGACCTTTATTGTCAAAGTCTTTTTGATTACCAGCTGATCTTGTTTACATTCACCATATAAAATTTGCTGAGTTGTTTTGGTGACAGAGGATGGTGTTTCCATTCTGTGCAATGCAGCAAATTCACAAGCCCCTGGATCACTTTCTCCACACACACACCCTCTGTAATCCCTTGTTTGCATATCATATTAAAGTTCTTAGCAAGTTTATAGGTACCTGAATATAATTGTGCAAGCTGGTGCTATTTTTGAAACAAAACAATAGAAAACATGAGCCCACAATCTAGAGAGGAAGAAGTGTACATGCAGAGGAAACATGGAGATTAGTACTGGGACAACAAATTAAAAACTGAAATGAAAGGACATGTGATAAAGGACACTGGTTGTAAACATATCCTGAGGCAGGGATGGGGATCCACTGGCCCTACAGATGTTGTGGGATTCCTACTCCAATCGGCTCAACCAAAACAGCCAATAGTCAGGGGTGACGGGAGCCATTATAAATACATTTGTTAGGAAATCAACATTAAAAGTAATTAATTTTGTTCTGCTAGGTAGAAAATTGTACATATGGAAACAGGAAAACTCTATCATATTTCCATTAGCAATGGGCAGTACTTGGAAGGAAATCCCACTGTGTTCAATGGGGCTTGTTCCCAAATATATATATGGTTGGGACTCACACTACAGAGAAGTGATGGAGAATCAGTAGCCCTCTAGATATTGCTGGAATACAATTCCCCATATCCCTGGCCATTGCCTATGCTTGCTAAGGCAAATAAGGAGCTGTAGTTCAGTCATATCCACGGGGGGGGGGGGGGGGGGGGGGGGTGCCTGTATTAGCCCTTTGCTTCCCTACTTGTGTCAACCCCTAAAGTTACTCTAGCAAGCATAGCTGCGTTTCTGTGACTCTTTTAAACAACTACAGTGGTACCTCGGGTTACAGACGCTTCAGGTTACAGACTCCGCTAATCCAGAAATAGTACCTCAGGTTAAGAACTTTGCTTCAGGATGAGAACAGAAATCGTGCAGCGGCGCAGTGGAAGCAGCAGGAGACCCCATTAGCTAAAGTGGTGCTTCAGGTTAAGAACAGTTTCAGGCTAAGTACGGACCTCTGGAATGAATTAAGTTCTTAACCAGAGGTACCACTGTAGATGTAAAGAGGAGGGATAGTCCCACTGTTATCTCTTATACCAGGCCCCACCATGACTGGAAAGTTGCTTTCTCCCTTCCTATCTGCTAACAATGCTGCAAACTGCAGGGGGATTAGAACAGATAGATATCACAGGCACATTGCAGCACTGATCAGCCAGAAATGGAAGGAGGGGAGGTGGCAGGCCTAACCCAACCAAAAGTGTTGGAAGTCTTTAGTTGAAAGAGAATGAACCACCCAGTCTGGAATGCATCCAGGACAAACGCTTAACATGCTCGTATTTGTAAAGAATGGCAGGATTTTATGCTATTGGGCTGGGACAATGGTTCCTGGCATTTAGGGAACTGCTGTTAGTGAATCACGGCTTAGCTGGTGCTGCAAACTTTGTCCTCCATGAACTTTCCTGAATCAAAAGGCAAAAGTGCTTGGAACTCGTTAAGTTAAAGGTTGGAGATGAACAGGATCATTTGCTCACTATAACCCTTATAACCAGCAGTCTTTAAATTGAGCAAGGGCTCAGATGTTCAGTACCAAGGCTTATCCTTTGGAAGGTGAAGAAGATTCAAGTTCTGCTTATATACATGTGGGAAAAAACTTTCATTTTATATGAGAGGGTGCTTCCACACCAGGCATTTACTCTGGATTTTTTGCATTTCATTTATTTCTAACCTCACTGCTGCTTATGTTATTTTCCTCTACAGTTCTTTGTTTCTATACCTGCCAATGGATGCATCTTACAAAATAAACTATAGTCAGTTAAGGCTTACACCATAGTAAATTCATTAGTCTTTGTTGCTTTTTACAGGCATCTGTGTGATGTTATCATGAAATCATTGTTCTCCTGTGTTTTTCCCATAGTTCTTCCACTATTTGTCAAATATCGAAAACCTACTTTAAAAAGCATAAAACAGAGCAGCACTGCAATATCTGTGTAGATTGCCCTAGTGTTATGATTCTGTATTATTTTAAAAAGAGGTCTAGGTTTGACATGTGCAGTGTGCACATATCAGGCACTTGAGCCTGATATGCATCTATGCTTTAGCACATCTTCACTATTAAGCTTTCTAGTCAGCAGCATCAGTGCTTATATGAAAGAAGTGTTTTAGTGCAAATTGAGAAGTTCATTTTTTAATATGCTGCCTCTCCCGTCAACGCCATTTTAGAAGCATGTTCTGCTAAGTTAGTTGCACAAGTGTGCTTAAATTAAACAGTGTTACTGTATACTGAAGAATTTCACATTTTTATTTTTAAAAGCCATGCTGCTAAAATGACATGCTCAATTGAACTTTCCATTCACCTCACCCACACAAGTTATGTTATGCCCAGTAGTGTAGATGGAACACAGCTGGATAGACCACTCAGAGCACCATATCCTCCAATGTGTAGAAAGTCATTAGCAATTCCACATGTAGGATTCAGCAGAAGAACAGGGAACTATAGTACTAAACACCACCAGTCTGAAAGCACCTTGAGTGACTAATCACCTCATCCTTCATATCTGGGACCGAAGTGGGAAGCAAAGTGTTTAAGTAATGGGCTCTTCTCTCTTTACAAATTAACTATCGACAGCGAGACTTAGAACCAGATAATCTACACAGGTTTCTGTGGGACAGTGAAAAGCTTTCCCATGATTGTGGAAGCTGAAGGCCTCTACAAAACAGAAGACTGCAATACTCTGAGCACAAATACAAAGCAATGAGGTCAGCCCTTCAACATACAGCTAGCAAAGGGAGGATCATGGTGAAACTGATGTCTCCTTAAGTTGCTTGTGTTTCTGCTCTATGCAAGAAAATAAAAAGCCAGGAAATTAGCATATCTTTTATTCTACTTTGGGGGGGGGGGCAAAGTGCAGTACAGCACACTGAGACTGTCCTCCGGCCCACTAAAAATCTAGTTCCCCTTTCCTCCTATTCCTTGTGGGATTCCACTCCAGTTAGCTCAAAGCACTTTCAAGTCAATCTTCGCAAATCTTCCATTTGTTTTTAAAGTTTCATTTCAAATTTTGAAATAAAATACGCTGAATTATGTGTCCAAGTGCCAATTTTTTGTGTTTCTGTGCCACATGTGGGGAACCTCTGGCCTGCCAGATGTTAATGAATACAGTTCCAATCATCCCTGGCCATTGGTAAAGCTTGCTGAGGATGCTGGGAACTGTAGTTCACACACTCTTTCTAATTTACCTGCCTCCTATTGCCAACAAAGTAAGCAGTGAGCATAGAACTGTAACAGTTGAGGTTGAACAACACATACACACACACTTAATGAAGTACATAGAGGAAACTGAGCAACCTTTTTGCTTTCTTCATTGCTTCTCCTCCCATAAGATCACATTATGCTTAGCCCTTGGACAACAATGGTACACTTACAGGATGATTCATTGTAGTAGACATTGATCCTCTCCAGCTGCAGTGGTGAGTCACCAACATAGCCTCCAGCTGGGTCGATACCATGTTCATCACTGATCACTTCCCAAAACTTTTGAGTGGCAAAGGAAAAGAAAAGTGAGACAAACTCTCTGAGAAGATGGTCATCATCATAGCTCTCCCCCCCAAAAAAAACCACTCTGTGTGCGTGTTTCCCTTACTCTTTATCTCTGCCACTAATTGCAAGTCATCGAAACCCACCCATCCTTGGCAGGGACAGAACAGGCCTCTGAGGCATGTGTTGAAGCAACAGCTGCCGAATTCTTGGCATGTTTGAAGGCTGCTCCTCTGAGCCCCTCCCTGCTGTAGGCTTGAACAGCAGAGAAAATATAGGGTGGGGTTGTGGGGGGGGGGGATAAGGTCAAAAGCTAGGCAGATTCACATCAAGATTTCAAACCACAGAGAAAACGGATAAAATCTCCAGCAGCATTTCTAGCTTGGGTTAATTCCCCTCACCCCCACCCCGCTGCTGCCTCAGGGGTTTTTTTCTCCCTTGGTTTCTGTTTTTTCCAGAACCTTTTATGGTCAACGTGGAAGAGATGAGCTATTTAGTTCCCGTTTTGGTGGTTTCCCACTCTGTAGCTTATGTGAGCACGCACAAAATTAGAATCCGAGTTTGCTACAGAACAAGAAACTTCTCCCCAAAACAAGTGAAACTCTTAGGAGAAAAAAATTGTTTATCACTTTCTTCCTAAATTCTTAAGGCACTAATGAATTAAACATATTTTTCAAAAGTATCTTATTTTGCAGGTGGGTGTCTGAAGAAAGAGGGTCCCAATAGCACAAAACAGAAAATCCTACTGTACCACGAGGATTTACAACTGGAACCACCAGGCGCTAAATACAACTTAGTAATAATAATAATTCCCCTTACCTTGGTTCCAATTTGGTTTCCGCACTGGCCTGCCTGGATATGAACTATTTCCCTCATGCTGATATTTTACAAGCTCCTGATCAGTCTCCTGCTTCTGCTTCTCTCTTCCTGACTCTGCTGTGTAGAGTTCAGCTATGCACAATGTCCTTGCCTCTGTTAACGTTTTATTGGCTCCCGGTCTGTGATTCACCCTCCCTGCTCTGCTCACTCTGCAACTTCACAGAAGAATGAGGAGGAAGGGGAAAAAATGCAGCAGCAACTGGCTCTGCCCCCCTGCCGAGCCTTTTCTGGGACTGTGTCTATATATGAATGACATTTCACTCCATTCTTTCAAAGCACTTCAACATTTTGAGCAGACTGCAAGTCTCTGTGCTTTTAAGTTGCCTCATGCATTATTATCCTCTAACTTTTGTAAGACTTATGCCAAGCCAAAGGCCACTAGTTGTATCATGCTGTCTCCAAATAATTGACAGGGCTTCATTAATGGTTCCTGAAAATCCAAACTGAGGAGGAACAGATGAATATAAATTCAGGAATCAGCATCCAAGGTCACAAGTATAAATCCTGAAAAAGGACAATTGTGAAGTCTCTCAACCTGGATTAAGTACTTCCAAATAATCTGTAATGCATCTATTCCCATCACCCCATTCCCTTTCTTCAGGTGCCACCACCATTCTAAGCAATATTGGTATATTTTGGGTGGGGGCACCTTGTTTATGAAATTGTCTCTCAAGGGACATTGCTGGAAGAACCAAAGTTAGCATCTGGCACCCTTAGGCAACTGTTGGGCCTCAGTGCCCTGGAAAAGCTCATTGCTGACCTCTGCCCTAAGTCCCACTGCCCCTCGGTTTAAAATTAATTTTCCAACCCAGTGCATTAAACTACAAGATGGCTGGGTCTAGCTGCAGTTTTCATGTCTGTCTATGTTCCTGATGTAGCTTCAATCTGGGGCATTGTGGGAAATCCAAACAGCTGCTAGACGTAGCCACTCACTGCTGTTGTCACTGCAGCCCATTGTCCCAGAGCCAGTCAAGAGAGGTGAGGGCCTATCAGAGGGCACTTTGCTCTCAGACCAGGAGCTGGCCCTGGGTACCAGATCTATTCAAAACTCTTACTGTAGACTTTTTGGATTTAGGCTGTTGTGTTAGAGTTGGTGCTTGCTCTTGTTTCTATGTGTCTTTTGTGAGCAATTTTTAAAGTGTTATGTATAGCTAGTTTGATTTACCGTATTTACTGTATTAATATTTTTTAATTTAAATTAGCCCCTTGGTGCTCCTGAAGGTGAAAAGGAAGAGTAATCAAGCAATCAAAATTTGGTAAACTTTTGCTGTGAGGGGAGAGAAACTCTGGTTGCCATTAGAGTTGACTTTACCTGTGTGGCCCCACTGTGTGGCCTAGGACCTTTTGTATGGGAGCTGCTGCCAGAACAACAACTATGAGGGTTGAGAGCCTTCAGAAAGGAATTGTTTCCAAAGGAAGAGCTGGAGGGAGAGAGAAACTCTGCGGTTGCCAACAGAGGGTGGCTGGTTTCACCTGTGTGACCCTGCTATCCAGGCCTAAGAACTTTTATAAGGGACTTATAAAGTCCACAGACAGAGCAGTGGGAAAATGAACAGGAGAATCAAGAAAAATCAGGCAGATGGGATATTTTATCATTAATTGTTGCTGGGACTGGCTAGATGTTTGTTTCTTCTAAACACAACAACACTATTGCTCTCTAGCGTCTCTTATGGATGATGCCACTGTAAAGCAGTGGGTAGCCAAATACCGGCCTTCAGATATTTTTGAACTCTCACCCTTGGCTGTTCTCTATGCTAGCTGGGGTTGATGGGAGTTGGAGTCAAAGAACATTTGGCTACCCCTTATAAGCTATCCTCAAGAGAGAGACCTTGTTTTCTCTTGCATGTTTAGCCCAAATTTCATTATGTCCCAAAGCACCAGGGAGTTATCGGCATAAGTGATTTTTAATGGATGTAAATCTTTGTCCTCATCCCACCTGAGTTATTGCTACTAATGCTATAGAAATTACATAGCCAGTGATATGGGATTTTAGAACTCAGTTACTAAGAAATAGCTCCTGGCTACTCTGTTTCTAGTAGACAAGTGTCCACATCATAAAAAAAAATTATGAGTCATGCTGCTATGTGAAATGGCCCTTACTTTACACTTTGGTATGGTCTAAGTGCAATGGACACTAATGGGCAGTTGGCTATTCCAAGCAGCTGGAATCTAAGTCATGCCCACCTGCTAGGGTGGGCCCAAAACAGCTTCGTCGAGGAGAGTATTGTGAGAAGAGCTGGAAGCAACAGTTTTGTATTTGGCTGGCAGAGAGATTACTCAAATTTGGGAGAGAGGAGAATCATCCTACCTATTTCAAAGTGAATTTTTAAGTCAATGAAACTTAACTTTGAATCGATGCCTCCAACAATCTCTCCTCTAATATGAATGCCTTTTTTAAACTTCATATGATTAGGGAAGGACAAGCACTGAAAAATATACTGGTTGACACCCTTAATTTCAATAAGCTCATAGTCTTAAGACATAAGGATGTGCACTACAGGCTTTGTAAGGTGTAATTTAAACACTGAAGACTGAGGTATACATAATGAAGAAATGGAGGCAAATTGATGGTGCACTTGTACAGTACAGAAAAAAAGTTCAGTGGTAAATTTGTTCAGTACCCAAGACACAGTCATCTAATTCCAAGCAGCCTATGTATGATATTAAGAAGAAGAAATGGAAAATGCTACTTACTGCTCTGGAAAAACACTACTGTAGTACTTCCCCAATTTGTTTGTCATGAGATCTGTTTTGTTAAGCCTTTTCCTGCTTTTCAGGAAATATGTTAACATTCTGTGTAGAGTTTTTCTTTGGAGCATTTATATTAGCTGGCAGAGTCTGTCACGGCCTGTCAAGAAAGAAACTTAGATGGTGGGAAAGAGACTGGTCTAAGCAATCTCCACTAGCCCACCACAACTAACGGAGGAAATATATAAAAGGTAGCCATGCTGCTATCATTGCACAGAAATCACTGAGAAGGCAGCTGCACATTTTGTCCCATTATTCTCTTTCAATGGGCTTAGAGACTTACTTAAAAAATAAAAATAATAAAGCCAAATTCTTGCCCAAGGTCACCATGGGAAGCCTTCATGGGCACCATAGTGTCCATGGGCACCAAGTTAGTGACCTATGATCTAATTGATAATCACTAGCTCATATGTATCTGGCACCATGAACAGCCCAGGTCAGCCTACTACTACCGTATGAGGCCTCTTGACATTTTATTTGCTCAGATTCCACCCACAGAGGGAATGGTTCAATTCCGGACAATCCCAACGAGATTAAGGATAAACATGGCAACAGAAGCTATAGCTCCACAGCTTCAGCAGCCAATTACAACAACAACAAGAAGTATATGGTATTGTAAAAGCACAGTGGTAATACCCTGCCCCTACCACACAGTCCCTCTCTCAAATAAGACTGCTCTGTGTTGACCATGTATAAACATGGCCTGTCAGCAGACGACACAAAGAGTGTGGCAAAACTTCATACAGAGTGAAATTGTCACATAGATGTATGTGATTTATTTTTGAAACTTCTTCTTCAGCGAGCAAACCATTTGTTACACACAAATTAAAACTGTTAGCTATGTTACCATACCCATGATTTAAGAACATATGAATGCTGAGAATGTAAAGAGGTCAGTATGGCCTCTGTTCATCCAGAGCCCACCCCACAGGCCGCCCACGTTGAAAAAAAATCAATATATCACAAGGCCCATTTGTTAAACAGTGTGTGCAAAACATGGGATTACATTACATATCATTTGCTCAACATAATGTATTGCATTGAGAAACGAGAGTAAAGGCACTTTTGTAATCTCTGTGCTGGCAGCATTTAAATAAGTGCAGTTTGCACTGCAAAACCTTCTGCTGCCCATACTCCAGCTTCACATGTAATTTAACATGAAAAATAAAAAAATAAAAAATTAACTCTGATCTTCTGCAATATAAACAAAATAATCTGTTAGGCTTTAAACAACTATTGACACTGTTAAAGGATTGAAATAAAAGTTTGCTTGTAAGTTTTAGTATATAACTGGGGGTTTTTTTGTTGTGTAGGGAAACCAACAGGTCTCATCACCAGCTGACCATGTGAGTGAACTTGAAAACAGAGTTTATCCTTGGATCAGAAGGCAGTCAGAGCAATTGGGCCTACACAGTTTCCTCAGAGGCCAGATCAATCCTGGGTATATAGGTATGTACCAGTAACCAGTTAGGAGCAGAAGGAAATTAAGACTTCATTCCTGGGAAGCACCTGATGAACTGTTAAGGACTGCTCCTCACATATCTTATTAGGTAGAAAAATGCTAGGCAAATGTGAAAAATCAACAGCAAAACTATGACATCACAACATAGTATCAAGGGTCCCAGAGACAAACATAGAATAATGATGAAAAGCCAGAGCAAGCCAGAGCAAATTCTCACACCAGCCAGAATTCATTAACAGCATCTCTGAAGTATTTTATCAGTGCTTACACATTAGAGACATCGGAACACTGCTATTCCTTGAATGGGATAACCATCCAGGGTTGTTGTTATTGTCATGCAACTATGGGTGACTAATGTCCAGGATGAGACTGTGCTTTTTATCAGTGGTCTGATTCCATAGATGTTTTCGTGTATAGCTGACATCCAAAATGCATTTATCAACAATCTGATATTATTCAAGGAAGAAAGGGTAGCAGATTCATTCAGAAATGTTAATATTAGTAAAAAGTTAAGTAAATAAAAATAATAGTTACTCATTTCAGGATTTTTTACTCTGCTTAACACTCAAAATTTCTAAGCAGTGTGCATAACATGTTTCTTAAAAGTATGAAGAACAATTAAAAATTCACCATAGAAACAGAAACATACAGTACATAAAATGCCCATTGAAATAGGAAAGTCTTTGTCATGTTCAGCAAGGGGGGGGGTGCTATCTAATCTCAGTTGAGAGGGAGTTCCACAGGATTAGAGCCACAATACTGACTGAATGGCTTCTGGAAGTTACAAACTGTGCATCTGAACCATGTTTTATTGTGTTTTTAATATTTTGTGGGGAGTGGCCCAGAGCATCTGGGGCAGGGTTATAAGGAATCAGGTGTACCTTAAGTTATTATGGACCCAAGTTGTAAGAGCCTTGTTAATTAATACAAGAACATTGAACCTAGTCTGTAAACAAATGAGTAACCATTGCAAGCTTTTAATCACTAGTTTTAAGTGCTGGCAGTAGCCTGTCTCCATCAGCAGTCTAGCTGCAGCATTTTGCGCCAGCTGGAGCTTCTGAACCAGGCACAAAGGTTGCCTCTTACACAGGACATTGCAATAATCCAGTCTAGAGGTTACCAGTGCATGAATCAACGTGGCCAGGCTGTCTCACTCCAAGAATGGCTGTAGTTGGCATACCAGCTGTAGCTGTAGAAGCACACTCCTAGCCGCAGAGGCTGCCCAAACCTCAGTGAACTATGACATCTTCAATTCCTCACCCACCCCCATGAAATGTTGCAACATGGCACAAACATCAGAGACACAGAAACTCTCATTTACAGTCAAGGACGAAACATTTCTGCACCCTTTATTCAACACAAGTATCAACAAATGGTCCCTCTAATTAGTTTTGCACCATGATGAAAGGTGTAATTTTTCACAGTTGCAAACATACCCAATGTGCAATGAGCGAGGGAGGGAGGAAGAAAGAAAGAACTATGTGCAAACGAAACTAACTTAACTAGCAACGTGGCCAACTAAACTGCCTCGCCACAACCATCAAGAAACACATTTTTTAGCATGTAAAGCTAAGCAGATGCCAATAAAGCAGTTGAGAAGCACAAGGTGGCTAAAAGTGCCACTTTTTATTGGATAAAAGAGTCTGTCAGCTTTGATGTTC